AGTAATAGCCTAAAAGCTTTTATAAATATTAAAAGAGAAGAAAAGATATTAAAGTTTAGAGAAATCTAAATAGAAGTTAGCCTCTTTTTTAGAAGTTTAAAAGAAAATACTTCTAAAAGGCCTAAAGATATAAGAGATATTAGAAAAGAAAAAAAGAAGAATTCTAAAATTTAGTTTTCTAAAAAGTAAATAGATTAAAAACTTATAATATAGAAGTTCTAGATAAAAGTAATTCGGAAATAGTAATTAGGTACTAGCTTTTAGTATTATTAATAGAAGTATTAAAGAAGAAAAGGTTTAGAAAAGAGGTTTAGAGAAAGAAAGAAAAATTATAAAGTAATTAGATACTAGCTTTTAGTATTAATAATAGAAGTATTAAAAGAGAAGAAATTTAAAAAAAGAGTTTAGAGAAGAAAAGAAAGATTATAAAGTAGTTAGATACTAGCTCTTAATATTAATAGAGGCATTAATTAAGATATTAATAAAGGTATTAATAGAGAAGATATTAGTAAAAAATAGAAGCTTTTAATATTAATAATAAAATCAAAAAAATATAAAAGAAAAATAGAAGTTTTAAAATAAAAATAAAATGAAATTATAGTTTTATAGAAAATAAAGTTACTAGTATAAGGTAGTTATATTATTATATAATTCTATATTTACTTTTATTATTTATTAAGAATATATATTTTTTAGAAAAAAGTATTATTTAGAATTCTTAAATTCCTTTAATTTAATAATTATATATTCGAAAAATAAGAAATAAATATAATTATATATACTAGAATAAAAGAGTTCTTTTTATCTAAAAATTATAATTATAATATTACTAAATATAGAAATATAGAATTTTATATAATAAGCTATATATAGAGATTTAAAAAGATTTAAATTACCTTAAATTATTTATAATTAGTAAAATAAATTAACTAATTATATAAGTCGAATATAGTTTAACTATTATTAGTATATTTTAGCTTTTATAAGTTAGTAAGAAAAAAAATATTTTTATTTTTATTTTTATAATTATAATATCTAAAATTATAATTTTTTTAATATTTAAATATATTTAATTTAGAATTATTAAATACTAATATTTCTATTTTCAGGTATTATTTATTATAAATTTATTTAGATTTAAATAATTATATTAAATATATATTTTTATATCTTAAAGATAAATAATAAAAATATAGCTATATTAGCTTTAATCTTAATTTTAATCTCTTTTTAAAAATACTTTTAATTCCAATATATAATACTATTATTAAAGCTTTCTTTTATTAAAGATATATTAAATATAGCTTTAAATAATAATTCTAGAAAAGATAAAAGTAGTAAAAAAGATAATAAAGCTATAAATAAGTAAAAAGATAATATTTATAATATATTTTCTAATAATTTAGACTTAGTCTATAATATTCTCTCTTATTAATATATTTAACTAATAAATTTCTTTATTTCTCGACTTTCTTTTTATATATAACCTTTTTCTTTTTCTTTATAATAATACTTTAATCTTCTTATATTATTTAATAATACTACTAAAATAGTAAAGCAAATTAATAATAAGGCTAAAGTTAGAGAAATAAAGCTATATTAGGATAGGGAACTAAAGAAATTAGAGAAAGATAAAGCAAATCTAGAAGTAAGCTTAGTATATATTTATAAAATTAAATTCTTTTAAGCTTATATTATTTATAGTAATAAAAAGAAACTAAAAAGCCCTTTTAAATACTATATAGTTATAGAAAGCAAATTTAATAGTACTTATATAAATTATAAATATAATAATAATAATAATAATAATAATAATAATAATAATAATAATAATAATAATAATAATAATAATAATAATAATAATAATAATAATAATAATAATAATAATAATAATAATAATAATAATAATAATAATAATAATAATAATAATAATAATAATAATAATAATAATAATAATAATAATAATAATAATAAAGTCTGTATTTTTTTATTAATTTAATACTAATTTTACTAAGTCTGGAAAGCCTTATTCTATATTTATAAAACCCTTTATATTAAAGCCTTAATTATTTATAAGATATAGAAAGCGAGTATAAAAACAGATATAAGATTAAAAGGAAAAGGAAAAGGAGGTTATAGTAAAGAAAAAGAATAAGAATACTAGAGGAAAAGAGGAAGAAAGAGATATAAATAATTCGAATAATATAAGTAATATAGAGAATATAAATAATAAAGGAAATATATCTTATAATCTATAGAACTTGCCTTATAAACTATATAAGCTAAAGAGGAATTAGAAGTAGTTAAGAATAAGGCATATATATTATATTTTAAGAAAATATTATAGCAGAAATAAATATAAATACTAATATCTATATTAATTATATATAGCTTTATTTTAGCTACTTCTCTATAAATTATATATATATACGAGTATAATAATGGTTTATAAGAAAGAGACCTCGATTTTAGTAAAGTAGTATATATAAAGTGGGATACTACTATTCCTAATAATTTTTAGTAGATAAGGTATAGTATATACTAAAACCCTATCTTTTACTATCTTACAGGCGATTCTAGCCGTACTATAAGGTTAAAATAAATATAAAGTTGTCAGGATATCGAAAATACTATGGGATATTATTATTTAATAGGATTTGTAATTATAATAAAGGGTTGATTAAAAATCGATTTTTTTGGGGTGGGCGGATGGGGGTTTGGGCGGTTGGCTAGTGGATACTTCTAACTTTACAGAAAATTGGGGCGGGGAACAGTAAAACGCCCTCGTGCAAAATCCGGATCCGGAATCGAAATTACAAAAGCGGCAAGATAGAGATGCCAACGTGGAAAAAGAGCGCAGACTCCCTTAGGACACTTTTCCTGTCTAATTGACCGCTAGACCATCAAAGATGTTTGATTTTGATGAATGTGGCTTATTCTGGTATATACAAGTTATCCGTCATCTCGAAACTTCGGCAGATGAGTCAGCAATGGGAAGCGGTGCAGAACGGTTATTGTGGCACTCGACGGGCGAGCTAATGCATAGTCAGCCGCAGTTTTATGACTCCAAATCATGCTTTTCTATGAGACTTTCAACGTGTACAACTTGCATGTCAAGTGTTTGCTATAGGCTATGATTGGATGGCTTGGTGGCGGTCGCATCCGGGAATTCCGAATTTGATATCACATGACCTGTGCAACAGATTGGCTCAGCAGGTTTACGTTTGCGTTTGTCTATGTCGACGGATCAGCTATCCCAAGCTGAAATCAATCTCCAACAAGGGATTGAAAGAGCCTCAGCATGCTTTGTAAAGTCGAAACTTCGACGCAAGTATTTCTCGGCGATGGTCACGTTATCTAAGCACATCTTTCTTCAAAAGATGCGCGAGACACTGGTGTGAATAGAATCGAGAAACGGAATTTTCTCCATCCCAGACTGCCCCAGCCAAGAGAGCATTCTGGCTGATCTTTCATGGTAGAAATAGAACTAACTACATTCTCTTCTCCAACTTGGTAACCCGACACAGCCACCATGCCCCAGTTCTTCATATGCTGACTATCATTGTCTTCACTCGAAATTTCGAAAATCCCAAGAACAAACTTCAAGTCTAGAGTACACAGTCCAGATCAATAGCTATGAGTGATTTAGGTCTGATGTTGGATTCTTACCCCCTGTTTAGCGAGGCCCTATCCGAGGCCAGACTTCCTTCTCTGGATCTTCCCTTGATGATCCACCTTTAAATTAAATTTAAAAGTTCGCCAACTTCAGTTTATAAGCGCCGGAAATCTTCTAGAATTTATTCTCTGGTACAGTATTAGATCTGAAGAAGTCAGAACTCTATTCTCGGAGTCCGGTACGAGGTACTCAGTCGCTCGGTTGGGATTTCAGGCTGGGATCTCGTTTCCCCTGTTCCCGCCTGGAGTACCCGCGAGATCTTACCTATCTCCGTTTTAATTTAAACTTCAAAGTGAACGAGTTTCATCTGGCACGCAAAATGAAGTATATCGTTCCACCTTACGAATTCAGAACCATAGCGCGGCATCCCTCTCCTCCCACAAAAGCTCAATCAAGCCCCATTCTTCAGTCACCCACACCAAACATGAAGCCCTCCAACCTCATCCTCTTTTATTGTCTTCGCTCGTCCTCAGCAACCCCAATCCTAGCCCTGCCACCACCCCAGAACCCTTTCACGGCATAAAAACGCCTCTCCCAATCGAGACCCCTATCGTACGTACAAACTTACCTTGACCTTCCTAGTCATTTGAAGAGAGACAATCCTCAAACCCTCATTGGAAACTGGCCTTTTCCCTCTGCCTCCAGCCCGCGCTAATCCATCACCTAGGTGTCCGACTGAAACTCCTTGTACAAAGCAAAATCCGGCGACGCCTGCTCGAAAGTCGCCTCCGCACACTCCATCTCCCTCTCCAAATCCTACGCCTGGAACAAGAACATCGGGCCAGATTGTAAACACCTACTTTTGGGGTATAGTGTTTGTGTTTGTGTCATCGGTGGTGCGAAGATGACGCCAGAGCCTTTTCAGCAGACAAGACGGACGCCGAGGGCGGTGATGAGGGATGATAGAGCGGTTGCTAGAGTGTCCGGAATAAGAATCCTTGATCTTTCACAACCTGATGCTTATTTCAGACCACTTGGTTCTCTGTAGGTTCTCGATGGCGAGGCCCGGTCGGCTGTTGCTTCAAAGGGACTTATCTCGTTGATCAAGTTCTAGAAATGGAACTCGACTGCAGGATATTCGTGCCAGGAATTGTATTCGGGATGTTGTGATTGTGTTAGCGTTTGAGAAAACGAAGGGAGGAATAGATTTCAAGGAGCCGCATCGGGTTCTGTTACCGGTCGTTAGGACCGTAAATGAATTAGACTGAATAGAATACAACAGAATCAACAATTGCATGTTGAGAAATACAAGAAATTGTAGAGCATAAAGCCATCGCTAACATCGAAGGGTATATCGTAATTCGTAAGAATCGGCCATATCGTATCCCAAATCTTACAAACCCCCCAAAACACAATCATGAAAAACCCGTCAAAAACATCATACAAACTTTTGAACACCATATGTCATCGTCTCACATAGGCATGACCCTCACCGAATTCTCACATACTGCTCGCTCTTCATAGAGACTCGGCTCAGCAACGGCATTCTCGTGCTCGAGATACGAGATCACATTTTCAAAATCCTTGATGTTCAGCTCATTCTTGTTGAGTACGGCCTGAGTTTTGGCGTTCATGGTCGCTTGAAGGATGCTGATCTTGTGTCCATCGACATCTGTATCCCATTAGCTTGCACTTCAGACTATCGGGGATGACGTACCCTGTCGAACATTGACATTGGCTCCTGCTTCAATAAGACTCCTGACAGAATCAGGCCGGGCACGAATAGCAGCATAGTAAAGAGCAGAAACTCCTTCGCGATTCCGCATATTGACGTTGATTCTGTTCGGGATCCTGTGACGAGCATCGCTCCAAAGCAATGCATCGAGGTATTTTGACATCGTCGCACCTGTTTCATCGTTATGTTCTCCAAGAAAGGGACGCTCGCTGACAAAGGCTGCTAGAGGGCAATCTCGATCTCGATTGTGCAGATTTAGATCAATATCCTTCAAGACGAATTCTTGGATTTTGGATATGAGTGAACCCCCCGGCTTCAGCCTAGCAAGTGCGTGAAGAACGTTATCTCCAGTGTCCGGATCGATATATGATGGCTCCATCGATGCATGTCTAAGAATATCATGTGCCTTTTGTTGTCTATCCTGCTTAGCAATGAAATTGACGTCAGTTGTCGGGGAGGGTTTGTCAGATTGAGCTCTCGACGATTTTTTCGTGGGATATTGACTCGAAACCTCCAATGGGTAGCCTGCATCTCTGATATGACTGCGTTGAATCATTAGTTGAAATGAACAGGATAATTGCGGGTTCGATAGATTCACTCACCGAAATGTCTGAGTTCTTATCTCTGTATCCTTGATGTTAGATGCGAGGGCATCTAGGACTGTCCTCCCCTCATTGTCTCGCCATCTGAAGGCACCCTTTGGTTGGAAAGAATTCAAAAGATCAATCAAGCCTGCGTGGAACATGGCGACAAGGTTATCGTCAAAACCTTCGGAGCCAATTTCTCTAATATGGGGCCGCAAGCAATGAAGGAAAAGCTGCCCGGCCGTATTTATTTGCCAAGGATTGACCCCCGCCTGAATCAAGGCAGCGAAGTGTTCAATCCCGGCGCCACCTGCAGCAGCATAATGAAGGGCAGAATTCCCAACCTTATCGAGAGCTGCAATATTGTATTTCGTGTCAAGCATTAGCTCGGCCTTGAAAACCGCAAGACCGAGATATTGTGCAGACCAACTCAAGTTGTGGACGCTGGAATAGAGGCATTGCGAACAAGTAGGAGTCTCTTTGAAGCGCTCCATGGCTTTTGAATCTGGGATGTAGAACGTAACTATTGGCTTCGGTTGATGGAGCCACTTGCAAGGAACCCGGTATAATCCTTTGAACTCGAGCAAAGATGATGGGTCAGGTCTGGTGTCATCCACGCTTGGGGCCAACGGAGAGTTTCTCCCACTCGCATACCCCGAGTCGCGCTTGAGCATGTTCATCAGGCCAGACTTAGCTTTTGGGCTGACCCAAGCGAACATGCGTTCACCGAGGCTGTATTTGTCTGTCGGGGAAGGAGTATTCCTGAAGCCATGGTTATTAGGAGTGCCGGTCTGAATTGTGCTGGCAACCGGATCCAAATCAGATGAGTCGGCTACCGTGCTCATATGGACATCGTCACCCCCAATAGCTGTAGACATGGATGTATCATGTCCTTCCGACAGACTATGAGGGCTGAACCCTGGTTGAGTTTCGAAGTCAGTTGAAGAATGCTGAGGCGTCGAGGCTAATTCTCCTAGACCATCTTCTCCCACTTTCCCGTTTGCCTCTGTTAACCGTAGCAGCCGAGGCACATTTTGACATTTGATTGTAGTAGATGAATCATTGTCCTGATAACCGTCAAGTGGATCTTGTTCCCAGGAATATGTGTATTGGTCTTGTTCGTGGTAGCCAGAGAGAGTGCTATTGTCGAACCACTCTTGGGTGTCGAATGAAGTGGAGTCTGTACTCGGATTTGGGGCTATTTGAGCGGATTGGGTCTCCTCAAGAAACGTGCTGGGGCCAACGCCGAAGCTTTCTTGACGTTGAACCACTGGTAGTTTTGCAGTCCAATGGGGAGGTGTGTCAGACGAGGCAACGAATTCCAGACCACTTGAAATATTGGCAAATGCGGATTCGTCCTGAGCCCTGAAACTGTCTGAATGTCCCACGTCACCTGGGACATTTGAAGTGTGTAAATACTCCAATATACTTGGGTCTACCGTGCCGCTAGTTATTGGTGTTTGCTGCGGACCTGAAGAGTAAAGATTGCTTGTCGAAGGACAGAGAGCGACGTTGTAGTCGTTGTTGTTTTGCTCTGGGAAGGATGCAAGGTGCATTGGCCGATGCCCTGAGCTGCTAGCACCGACTCCAAAGCCGGCTTGTCTTGAAAGCTCGTGTGCTTCCAAAAACCTTGCCCGTTGATTCTTGTCGGTAGGATAGCCCTCAGCTCTGAGCTTCTGATATACTATACTTTGCCTAGAACACGTTAGAAATTGGTTCCACGATAGATTGTGATCTCAATCTAAGACTGCCTTGCAGAGCTTTACTTTCCAAATAGCACGAGAATCGACATACCCTGGGGTGAAACGTGTTGACTCGTCTTGAATTGCTCTCCATATTTCTGGAATTGACATTCCAGTAAGATACAGAGAGATCATCTTGGGAAGGTAATTGTCCCAGTCATACTTGTGCTTGGAGTTCGACATTTTGGTTGTACGATCGAGTATTAAAGACGTGAGACGGCACCAGGCCGCCAGCACGAGTTGCGAGGAAGAACAATCGACGGTAAAGACTGAAAGCTCGTCGAGCGAGGACGCAACGGACGAGGAGGAATGGCAGGTGAATGATCGTTGGGCAATTGACACGCTTGCTGAGTGACGAGAGGACCAGTTTGGGCGTCGTCGCAGAACAGGCGAATGTCCTGCAAGTCCACGATGGCGAGGCTGAAGTTGTTGCTTTTGCTCTTCGGCTTCGGGAATACTGCACTAAGTAACGAGAGGCATTGCTGAGTTGTGTCCAGCAAGGGGACGGTGGTGTCAGTGGGAGACGGTCATTCTTGGAGTGAGGAGCGAAAATCGACAGAAAGAGTCGAATTTAATTGAAATGGAGGAGAGGGTTAAATTTAAGGATGTCAAGCGCGCACAATCTCTCACCGACTGTCTGGAAACTAGGCTCCAGGGGCGCAATCAGACAGGGGAAGAAATGGGGGGATGCATCATGCATGTATGCTGCAGCAGTGGGCTTGACCTCGTGGCCGCCCAATCCGGGCCTGCAGTCTCGATTCAGACAATGTCCTCGAAACCTCGGAGACGTCACCCGAGCCTGACAGGAGATTGTAGAAGTCGATGCAACATCCCGCCTTCAGAGCCTTCCGGCTCATACTGTACTGAATCATTGAATACCGGTCCCGTTTGATCTGCGATAGCAAACTTGAGTCGAACCTCTCCCCAGAGTACAAGGACACGCCGAATCGAACAGAAGGTGGGGGGGGGGGGCTCACCGAGGGTGTCACGGAAGGAGAATAATAGGGGGGGCGTTTTTTGTAATCTTTAAGGACCAGGGTGCTGTCTGCCTCGTCCGCCCCATCGTGCTGATTTGCCAGCAACTGCCAATTGCAAAGGACACCTTTCACCGTTGGAATACCGCCACACTGAGGCTTGAAATAGAAAAGACCAGGAAGCCGTTCAACTGGTGAAGAACTATCCCAATGCTGTCCCGCAAGACCCGTTCCGTTTGGGGTTCGTTCTCCAGGAAGAGCCTCAATCGGATCGTCTGCGACCCATTTTTTTATGGAGATGCTGATCCGTCAAGCTTCGTAATTGTGCAGGCTACCCCGGTCTGATGCATGCAAGAAATCGATTGGAATTTGGAAGGATATGTGCAATCTGCTGGGGTCGTTTCAGGGACTCGAGATGAACTGGGTACTGTCGTGAGTCGTGACACTACGACGTGAAATAATAATTCGAAATTCGAGAGCCAGGCTGGCGGGCTTCCAGGCCTGGAAAAGGCGACCTTGGGCGGCCTTCGTATTCCCAAGTCTGAGGAAATGAGGATGACGGGCATGAAGCCATGCTCCCTTTTGGGGCAACGCGGTGAAGCCCAGCTCGAGACGTGGGGAATCACGCGCAGGCCTGCTGCAACTGCAGCCCCCACATGTTCTGAGAGACCGGCCGATCAACCTTGCTGCAGCTGCTTCCCGGCGCGACTCGATTGAAACCAGAGCTGAGCTGGTGTCCCCTTTTCATATCCTGCCTTCGATATTGATCGACTTCGATGGCTGAAGTGGCTGAAGACGATGTTGGTGAATGTTCCATAATGCTTCCAAAGGTCAAAGCGTTCCGACCCATGTTCGCACTTGCACTTTGCACTTCGCGAAGATCATTGCAAGGCTTTTGCAGTGGAAGTCTGCTTGCACTTGCAAGATGTGAGGACATTGGAGCACTGTATAAATATGGGACAAGACTCTCTGTCAGTGGATCGTCATGGAGTTCCCTCATTCACTCAGTAAAGAGCATCATTTTTGACCACGTTCGATCACGTGAAACAATCATCCACGTGATACAGACCGTTGCTTGGTCCTTCTAGAAGCGCCTCTAGTAAAATGTCGACTCTGTCGACTCAAGTTGAATACGGCTCAAACTCAAGGTAAAGGGCAGCCAATGTACACATTCAGAAAAGAACCCCAATCCGCTAACACACAAGTTTCTGCAGCCGGAGAGATAGCTCCAAGAAGTCATCAAGCACGAAACATTCCTCCACATCTCGCTCCAAATCCTCCTCCACGAAGTCCTCGTCAAAGTCCAAAGCACCGTCAACCTCAAACACACACTCCACCAGTTCTTCCAACTCATCTCATACCCACGTTCCCTCCGAACCTCTCGTCTATTACCTCAATGACCCTACACATTCAAATCCCGGGTACAGCTCGGCATATACGACGGCACTCGCATACACAAGTGGGTACCCTCAAAATTCAGGTGCAAGAGTAGAGATGGAGCAGGAGATTGTGGTGGAGTCTCAAGCCCGTGTGCAAGAAAATATTGACAGGTACGAGAGGCAGACGGGTGGTTGAGGGCAGTAAATAGAAAGAAGCCTGGGATGTTGATTGCAAGTTCTGGACTTGTATTACGACTTGTAACTTTATTTGGTGTTAAACAAGAAAGGGATGATTGGTCGCGGAGCGGATGCGGAAAATAATGTACGAATACCTGCAAGAATCGTACCTCAAATTTTAGGATCCTTGCCCCAACACTAAGATGAAGTAAGATAGTAGCTAGTCAATGTCATTGACACGGAACGATCGAGGAAAGGCTATGGGATGTTTATTGAAAACGAAGGGAAAAGAGAGATTGGGAAAACACCGTCCTGCCGTCTTCCCCACGACCGCCACCGCCATTTAAGCGAGCAGCCCCTATCCCCAGCGGGCCAGCCCCTGAGCGTACCGCATGTTCCTCTATGGAACCACCCCTGTAGTTTTGCACACCCACAATTACACTGAACTCTTCAACAAATCGAAATACAACTCTTATCAATGGCACAAACTTTAGAAGTATCTTAGGGAGTTGTTTCAATGAACTTATTTCGAATTAATTCAAACGATCAGATGGAAAGTTCGCTAAGCGATTTGGCATGCGACGAACATCAGACAGCGTTTGTTTCATCTCCTCCTGAGCCGCAGCACACGCGCGATCCGTGACGTTGATTTGAATTCAAGATAAGATCGAGTGTTCCAACCTAAAAGTCCCGTCGTCCCATCTTTTTCCACCTGAACATCCTGCTTGTGTATCGATATGTATCTTCTATTGGTGGCGACATCCCTTTCTCTTCTCCGCCTCGTGCGGGCTGCACAACACCCCCTCTATTTCGACTTTCAAGAGGATGTCTGCAGTGTCACAGAACAGAGTTTCTTTCCCACTTTGAGAGTCCCACGGATCGAGGAAGAGCACAAGCACTCGGGAAGCTGCAGCCATCACGAGCCTGCGCAAGCTCAAGTACCTGAATCTCCCTACGCGCCCTGGACGCACAAAAAACAGTGTCTCGAGGACGATGAGAATTACCAAGAATACTGCGTCTACACCAACGCAAACTTCGCCAACAGTCGAGGAATATCATTCTTCACAACGCGATCGATAACAAAACAGGTGGAATCCCTGCCCGCCTTCGTGCGACAAGGAGTCCACGAGAAGACCAACAAATTCGACGACCCGCCATGGGAAGTCAGAAATGTTCCGGGTCGAGGCAATGGTCTATTCGCAACGCGGACCCTCCATCGAGGAGATGAGATTATTGCCGCTACTCCGGTAGGAGTATATCACCAGGATGCTTTCATTCCCGACCGTCCGATCGGGTATGAATACCTTCGGAAGACTTTTGACCAGCTGCCGAATACTACGCGAGAGATCATCCTTCGGACGGCGGCGAATAACCAGGGAGATCCTATTATGGAGAGAATCAACACGAATGCTTTCCTTGGAGAATTTGAGGGCGCTCCTCACTTCCTCTTTTATCCCGAGACTGCTGTAGGGAGCCTGTGTCATATCACGTGACAACCAGCTGACAATGTCTCCGTAGCTCATGAACCATGATTGCCGTCCAAAGTGAGTCTTCCACCTTAATTTTCAGCATTAATATAAACTAAGCTTTTAGTTCAATGCATTACCACGACCCCTCAACCCTAATCCACGCCACATATGCATCCCGAACCATTTCACCTGGAGAAGAGATAACCATCACTTGTACTTCCCCAACCCCTTCACAAAATCAAATCTAACCCCACCCAGACATCAACATCCTTCAAACCCACGCCGAGAGACAATTTCACCTAAAAAACGTCTGGGGTTTCGACTGCACCTGCTCACTCTGCTCCTCCAACCCGGGCGAAATCTCCACCTCCGATTCCCGCATCCGGGAAATCTTGCAAATGCAAACGCACCTCGGAGACTGGAACCCAAATTCCCTCGGAACGCCGCGAATGGCACGGCAGTTGTTAGCTCTTTACGAAGCGGAGGAGGTGCATGCAGCGATGGGGAAGGGTCACGTGTTTGCTGCGCTGGCGTATAATGCTGTTGGTGATACTTACAAAGCCAAAAAACACGCGAAGTCGGCGATTGAGGCGGGAGTGGTGAGTAGTGGGGAGGAGAATGTGGATCTGAGGGATATGACAACGTTAAAAGAGAATCCGGAGGGGCATTGGAGTTTTATGGCCAGAGTTCCGAAGTAGTAATTCATTAATGCATCAAAGCATCAAGTTTGATTATGAAACGGTTTGGATAGTCCCCAGAGACACGATAAGGACAGCGCAGCACCTACTAATCCGTCAATAAAGGAACATAATTCATCATTTGGAAAGATGTGCCTTACGAAGCTGCAACGAAGAAAGCATCTGCCGATTCACGGAAGTAAAAAGCGAGAGCACCGTCAAGAACTCACAAAAAACAAAGCAGTACCGTGTCTAACATCATTGCTGCAGGCGTATCAACAAAAATGAGCAACCACACTTGGATCATCAAAGCGACGACCCAGAATGCAGTCATTCCGTTAAAAATTCCGATCGTGCTGTCGGAGTAGTAGTGAATCCCCTTGTCCGACGTTCTCTGGAGATCTTCAGAGTCTGAGAAACATGACTGTTTTGAGCTTTAGCATGACGAGGAATATTTGGCCAAAAAGTGGTGGAGGTACGTACCCGCAAAAGCTTGCCATTAAACAGAGCAATTAAGCTTCCTATTAAGTCATCCAACTAGCTTCTCTCACCAATGCCCACCAACGAGATGATATCATCACACCTACCGGTAGGCGTATCAGATTAGGCTTCCATAGTATCTCGATGGTGGGTGGAGCAAGTCCTCACCTGTAGATAAAAGTATCTTCTCCTGGTACAGGAGGTTTCCGCTCCCACATGCAATCATACAAGCTTCGATAGTCGACTTTCGTCGACTTTTTGACGGAGCCCAGCTTTAATTCACGAAGCAGGAGATGTAAGCATTACCCCTCCTATACTTCTACGAAGGTATTGTTACCGAAATTCTTAAATTTCGTCTCCAATGCGTCAATTAGAAGTTTCTGTTGCATTCTAGTATGCCCAAGAGCTTCCTATCCTGTTTCGGGACCTTCAAGCACTTTCCAAGTTTTGAGGCAAAGGTCTAAACTCTCATTAATTGCATCGAATATATCCAGTTCATCCAAGTTCTTCTCTAATGCGACGATCTCAGCCTATTGAAGAAGGAGGATGCGGTTTTGTATGTATCCAAACCTTTGATACATGATAAGGCTAGCGTCGCTGTTCTCTGCTGCAGCCAGTCTCGAATAACCCCGCGGGTGGTCATCGGCCTTTTCTCTGACAATATAGTTGAAGCGGCCACCGTGGATCTTGATGGTGAAAGAGTGCTAGCTTTGGGATCCTTGGCCCCAGCATGACTACCAGACCTTCGACCACAACCATTGAGAAAATTGTCAGATTTTCTTGCAGTAGCAAATGATCGAGGGGACTCACTCATTTCCTGCCTTTTGGCTCGCCTGCAACACCCCTGGTGCCTGATTGTATATGACTCACTTGGAAATCTTCTATTAAATGGAAGGGAGATGGTGGTACGGTTAAGATGACAGAAGCGACAACGATGGGATATGTAGAACAAAAAGGTGTTGATTTTGTGATCACTTAGGACAACTGCATCAGGCTCGGTTTGATGGAGGACGTCATGCCACCTGATCATGCGAGCATTTGATCCCTCTCGCCTCTTGCACATTTCTTATGTCTAGGAGCCTGATTGATGAGACGTCCACAGAAGGCCAACGTGGATATGGGCAACTTCTACACATACAATCGGCTCGTGCGATCAGGTCAATGTCAGGAGGTTGGTCCCGAATGAAAGGCGAGTTCCAACGGCAAAATTGGGGCAAGTGCCTCGCCTTGGCGCGCCAAAAGAGAAAATGAAATATGTAGTAAGCTGTTGGTCCAGAGTTGAGATTTGGGTCTCAGTAGGCTATGAAACTCGGCAATCTCCTGATAGAGACCACAGCCAAGTGGAGGCTCGGGGAAAAAGCCATTGTTATCATGAACATTCTGTTCAATTGTGTTTTCTCAACTCTTTGCATTGCAACCGCCCACTAAGACCCGGGGGTAAGAATTTAGCATCATGGGCGTCAATCTGAAATTCAGCTGCCACCGTGTATTTGCTAGGTAATTAAGAACGATCTTGAACATGAATCATTGTCTAGGATGTAAGGTGCTGACAACCACAAGATGCTCCTTCCGTCATTAACAGCATTGATCCAAGAAGGCAAAAGGATCAAACGCGGGCAGGGAATTATTGACACTTAATGAGTACACTTACTGGGAGGCGCGGAATATCACTTCCGACTTGGAACAGTTGTAGTTGGGCAGGAAAATTGTAGTTGGTGTCCCAAGAGCGCATACGGGTGATGTTTGCCGGCTGTATTTTTTGTGGTATTTCAACAGCTGGAAATCAAGCCCCTTTCCTGACAAAACGTCCTAAGGCAGGACCAAGCTCTTGCTCCGCTTCCTTTAGCCTTTTCCGTTGCTTCTCGCCCTGGCTCTTCCTCAGCTCCTCAATCTTCAGCCTCCTCTCATCGATAATATTTCTCGACCCCTTCTTCCTCAGATATTTCCTCAAAGAGCTATTCTTCCCTCTCCCACGATTCTTGATATCTGCAATCGGATCAACAGGTTTCTGGTCAAGATCCTTCTCTGCCTTTCGTTGTTCGGCAGACAGTAAATCTAAGTTTCCGATATATTCTGGGTTCAAGGAGATCATTTCTGGCTGCAGCTTGTTGAGCAAGGACTTCACTTCGGCTTCTTGTCGTTGCTTGGTGTTCTCGTATGGGTTGACCTCGCTGGCGTCGAAGTTAGGCTCTCCAGCTCCCGGGACGATGATCGAGGAAAATCCCTCGTTGTGAGAGACACCTAACAGATCTTCAAATGGGCACCACCGTACTCGCTCTATCCGCTTGCCATCACCTCTCCATGCCATATATGGACTTTGGATCTTTTCTTGCTCAAGTGAATGTTTCGAGAACAGACCTCGCCATATTGACGTCTGTGTGCCCCAGCCAACGGCTGTTAAACCGCGGTCTGATATTGCAACTGATGAAGCTGGCTGTCTCGTAAAATAGCTGTTGACTTCCTTGAACATTCGGATGTCCCAAACTGACATCTTGAGGTCTTGACCTGTTGAGACCATATATCTCCCTTCTCGATCCACACCTAGAGCTCGGACTGGACCTCGGTGAGCAAGAAGTTTGGCGAGTGGCGTTGTAGAATTAGGTGACCAGAGAGTGACCGTGCCATTTTGGTGACCCATGTGAAGGACGGCGTTCTGTGGATTTTGTGTTAAGGAAGTAGGAGAACCGAGCTTGGTAGGAATCTCAATAACCATTTGGCCAGTAGAGACATCTTGATATTTCAAGTATCCAGCGTTGCCCTAACATGGAGTTAGTTGTCATTTCCAAGATAGACCATAATTACTTACTACTGTGGCCAGCAGGTAGTGATATGGGAGAAACTCCATATTTGTGACCTCGATGTGCTTCTTCAGGCAATGTATCTCCACACCTGCCCGATCGTAAATGTAGACATATTTCTTCTGCGCAACTGCGAACAACTGGTTATTATGTAGCCACCTCGCATCTCGTACCGTTTCGCCGAGTTGTATCTCGCATCCGAGCTTTCCTTCTCGCCAGTCCATCGTAGCAACATGGCCCTTTCGACCAGCAAGCAGTAATTCCCTCCCATTCCTCGTGTAATCACAGACATATGGTCCCAGGGCGTCTAGCTTCAGCTCGAATCTCTTCTTCGCCGTCTCAATCGGGACTTCTGCTACAATGTCCTCCTGCCGTACTTTGTATGTTCGCTCTAGCTCGTCTTCCGGCTCTAAGAACCCCTCGGTATTTTCGTGAAGAATTTCCGCATCTTTTGCCCGCAGCGTCGCAGTTTTGTACTTGTTCTCAAGGGCTTTTAGGTTTCCTCGAAGCTTCTTGTCTTTAATGCTCTTCACTGCAAGCCGTCAATGTCCGAGCTCGCTGGGAATATTAGATTCGTGTACTCACCTGGGATCTTCCGGCCTCTACCATACGCTTTTTCTGCCTCTTTCCGCTTTCGAAGTTGAGTTGCGTCAGATGATGTGGTCGTCAAATCCATTCCAGCTCTCTTGATTGGAACTGCTCCATTGAAATGCTCCTTGAAGCTAGCAACATCATCTGGTGCATCGACCTCCATATTTGCTTCTAAGTCAAACCGCCGTCGACATGTTTCGCAGAAATATTGGGGTGCTGGTCAAACGTTTTAAGTTCGGTAGGACGCATACGGCGTGTCTTCGAAATTTTGAATGCCAAGACTTCCCGATAGGCGATGCCAGGACGTCCTTATCGCGATAAGCGCACAGAAAAAAAGTTTCATAGGTATCCCCCACATTTTCCTCCGACTTACGACTTATCACGATACAAGAATATTTGACAATAGTCCAATCGTGGCTTCGATACCCTTCAGATTCAAGGCCGGAGGCGACGGCAGCATGCCTTCTTCACTCTCATCTCACTCTCACAGGAGTACCACGAAAGTCTCGCACAAACCATTCAAGTCTCGGAAGACGACCAAGGGTGCATTGAAGGAAATCTCGAAAGGTACACATTACTTCTGCTTGATGAAAGCTTTATTTTAACAGTATGTAGGCAAAGTATCTGATTTAAGCCATCGAAGGACGCCTCATCAGCATCTTATGTCTAAATTCGAGCGCCGAAACCAAGCGCGACAGAAGCAACAGACTAAGCACAAGGAACATCTAAGGGAGACCAATGTTTTTGCAGGACGTGATGGAGCACCGAGAATAGTTGCAGTTGTGCCGCTATGCGAAGGAGGGGATGCTGCTGCGGCAGTGCGACTTCTAAGTGGTAGTCTGGACATCGACATGGAGATCCCAGAAGCAGGCTTGGTCCGGACAGATATCGATAGATTCAAGCAAAAGATCCAATATGTGGTTCTCAAACGGGATTTGATCGCATGTTTAGATGCTGGGCGGGTGGCGGATTTTGTCATATTCGTACTATCCCCGGATCAAGAGGTGGATGCGTTGGGAGAACTGATCATACGAAGTGTTGAAAGTCAAGGCCTGTCAACCCTTTTGACTGTTGTCCAAGGACTAGATAAAGTTGAGCCTCCGAAGAGAAGGACACAGGTGCTTTCATCTCTCAAGTCATGGATCACCCATTTCCATCCGGATCAGGAGAAAGTACATAATTTGGATTCCCGACAAGAATGCGCCAATCTAATGAGATCATTATGTACCGCAACGCCCAAAGGGGTTCGATGGAGAGAGGAGAGAAGTTGGATGCTAGTCGATGAAGTCCAGTGGCCTGAAAATGAGCAAGGCAATGTTGTGTTCACAGGAGTTGTCAGAGGGAAAGGGTTAAAGGCGGACAGGTTGGTCCAAGTCGGAGACTGGGGAGATTTTCAAATCGAAAAAATCACTGCTGCTCCATTAGCTTCCAAGAAGAGAAAAGTGGAAGAGATGGCTGTCGATGAAAGTGGTGACGAGAAGGTCCTTGATTCTCCCACTGCAGAGCAAGATGATCTTGCAGAACTGGCTCCGGAAGAGATTATGATGGAGGATGATCTAGATATGGATGGAGCAATGTCAGTCGCTACAGTCGACAAGCGAGGAGTACTTCTGGACGATCATCATTACTTTTCAGACGACCAGACGCATATGCCAGCCACCCCAAAACGATTGCCCAAAGGAACATCGGCGTATCAAGCAGCATGGTTCTTGGGAGACAATTTCTCTGATTCAGGGTCGGATTTAGAAGATTATGACGAGCAAGGCGATGTGTCAATGGATGCACCGGCTCTTCCTCAGGATGGAATCGAAGGGTTTGCGCCACGAGAGCCGACTGAAGCAGCACCCACTGAATATCCACAATCCGAGATGTTTCTCGATCCAAAACCAGATGATGAAGCGGAAGCAGAACAGTTGGCTGCTTTCAGAGCACGAAAAGGAGATGAAGCCGAGGAGGATCGTGAATTTCCAGATGAGATTGAGCTTCATCCGCAAGTACTGGCACGAGAACGATTAGCTCGATTTCGAGGACTCAAGAGCCTTCGGACGAGCCACTGGGAAGAAGCCGAAGACAGAGCTCACGAACCAGAAGACTGGCGGCGAATGCTTCAAGTGCCCGACTACAAATCAGCGAGGAGTCAGGTCACTCGCGAGGCATTAGTTGGTGGTGTGCCTGCTGGAACTCGGGTTCACGTCCATCTTCGAAATGTCCCTACCTCATTCCGATCCTTATACAATTTTTCACGGCCCCTCAACCTCTTCTCCTTACTGCGCCACGAGCACAAGCGTGCAGTCCTCAATTTCAACATCACCCTCGCCTCCGACTACCCTTCTCCAGTCAAATCGAAAGAGGAAATCATCATGCAATGCGGTCCTCGCCGCTTTGTTATCAATCCGTTGTTCTCTGATGGAGCAAACACGCAGAACGATGTCCACAAGTTCGATCGATTCCTCTACCCTGGCCGATCAGCCATTGCGACCTTTGTGGCTCCTCTAACATGGGGCTCTGTGCCTACCCTCTTCTTCAAGCGTAATGTTCCAGACGATGGCATAAGCGGAGAAGAGTCTGCCAAGCTACCCCTGACTCTCATGGGAACAGGAACCTCACTTGCACCATCCTCCTCCCGTGTGATTGCCAAGCGAATCATTCTCACTGGACATCCATATAAGATTCACAAGAAGCTTGTTACCATTCGATACATGTTCTTCAACCGCGAGGATGTGGAGTGGTTCAAGGCCTTGCAGCTGTGGACCAAGAGAGGGAGAAGTGGCTTCATTAAGGAGAGTCTGGGTACACATGGATACTTCAAAGCGACTTTCGATGGGAAGATCAATCCGCAGGACTCTGTGGGTGTGAGTTTGTACAAGAGAATGTGGCCGAGGAATGCAAGGACTTGGAATTCTGCTGTAGAAATGGGAAGCGAGGCGAAAGATGTAGCCATGGAGGTGGATGAAGAGACTGGGGGTATTGCTCTTTAGGAGGGTTTTGATGATGATTTACGACCAAAATACAATGCGGGGACAGAAGACGAAATATGCCCTCTTTTCAATCGGATATTCAAAGCTTCCTGTGTCTCCGAATCCTTGTTAAGTCTGAAGGTGGATAGAAAAAAGATACACAATCTCAGGACGGCGTTGGCGGTTTCGTCGCGGGAGTACTTGTTGAAGTTGCGTTGACACGGAAGAGTCTACAGCGCAGCTGGTCATTTGTATGGACCCACCCACGTTGTAGAACTGGTTCCGAAAAGCTGAACTCGCGAATTGTAAAATCGATTTCCAGTCAAAAATCAGGCAGAAATAACCCAGTCGGTCCTTATTCGCACCCTTGTAAATAACCCGGTGGAGTCGCGGAGCACATAGGTTAATAACCCGGTGCGCTGCTTGCCGCCAGTCGGCGGCCTGTGTGGTTCCATCGAGCAGTTTGGCCGATGGGGGCAAGAGGAGCTAGCCCCATGCATGTTCTCATCCACCGGGTTCGTTGCAAATCGCACAAGACTTGCCCTTAAATCCAGGCACCCCGACATCTGTTCAACGCTATATCGGCCCCTGAAACAAAATGGTGTTGTGACATTTTGAGCCTGGATTTCCAAATGTGCCCCTGAGGCACAGTCGAATGACGTCTGTCTGAACCCCTGTTCCTTCCCGCAGAAAATAAATTGCTTGCTTCGAGACTTCTCACCGCGACACGTCCGCAACAACCACCTCTAGTCACCTTACGACTCCATAGTGCCTTCACCACCATGACAGAGCTTCGCCCTCCTCCAACCCCTTTAGCATTGTTAATCGGCACCGCGATAATCGCCGGTGTCAGCGGCTACATGATCGGAATCGCGTCTTCTCTCGGGCTTCTCCCAAACCCGTTCGCAGCCAAAGAACCAAGGCGGCGAGGCGTTGACAACTACGACGATGAAGAAGAGAGCGAGGCAGAGGATATCGACTCGTCGATTCTGGATCACGCGCCGAACTGGGCGAATGGGGTAGAGGCGGATAAGAGGGATGGGTTGAGGGCTACCGCTGCGAAGAAGGCGGAGGGGAAGAAGGAAGAGGTTGCGAAGACAGCTTGGGAGGGTAGCAATGAGGAGTGCAAGCTCGTGCTGGTTGTGCGGACTGATTTGGGGATGACTAAGGGTTCGTTTTCCTTCCCCCTCCACTATCCTCTAATCCTGACTGACTTTCATAGGCAAAATCGCAGCACAATGCGGCCACGCGACGTTAGCATGCTACAAGAACCTCCTCCGCGCCAAGTCGCCAATTTTGAAAAGGTGGGAGAGAACGGGTCAAGCGAAGGTTGCGCTGCAGGTTAAGAGTGAAGAGGATCTGGAGACATTGCAAGCTACGGCGATTAGTCTGGGGCTTGTGGCGGAGGTTATTGCGGATGCGGGGAGGACCCAGATTGCGAGTGGGAGCCATACGGTGCTGGGTATTGGACCCGCGCCCAAGAGTGTGATTGATAAGGTTACGGGGCATTTGAAACTGTTATAGGTATAGAGGGAAGACCGTGGGAGGAGCATTGCTGGCGTTTCAAGGGCTGATGAGCATATACACTGGCGTTTGGTGGACCAAATGGGAAATACAATGGAACATACGGCATCTTGCAATTGACAGCCTGGGGGGGATGGTCTTCGAATCGGGTCTCCTGCGTTCTCAACTTTTGATTTCGGAGTGCTCGGTATCCATCCTACTGTCTTTCCACCGAAGTGGGACACATCACAGCAAACTCTTTCGATGTGCGTCCTTATAGATGTAGAGACGGCTTAGAGGCAGTTCTGGGTGGCTCACCTAGAAGGGCAGCATCGTGTCGTACAGCATGTCAGATCAATTGACCTCATTGCGTAAGACGAATCTATTCATTTGAGACAGCCCAAAGTCAAGTGATGTATAAAGCTATTGCGAATTCCACCCTTTTGTAACGACTACAAGAAGGTTGTATAGCTCTCTCAAGACTGGCTATCCTGCAGCGATATTCTAGTACACCCTCGTTGACATCCACAAGCCAGCCGCTCCCAGAAACTACCTTTACTGACCTCTAACAGCAACAACTTATTCAACGACCCACAAGAGATGGCTTCTCTACAGAATGAAGCAACTGGCAAGCAACCTTACATCGTCAACCGAGACTTCAACGTCTCTGTCCGGTATCTTCTCCCCTCTCTATCCCCCCTTCTCGCAATGGACGAAAAAGGCCGCACTTTATTTTCAATATCCCGAGTCAAAGTCGGACAGTTTGACTAGACTCGGAGAGGGACGGATATTCCACGCCGGGAATTCCGAGATAGCCGAAGAGGGAGACCTTTGGTTCCAGGAGGAACCTGGGCAACGGCGTAAGAGGGAGATATGTTCTGCCACAGACAGACTGAGCGAAAGCCAAGTTTCTGGGTCCGCAAGGATTTCTTTTGCTATTTTCTACATCGCTCTTATGGAGCCGTTTTCGTTTTATGCAAGTTTCTCCAGAGTGGTGAGAGAGAAAAAATTGCATCCAAAACGTCTTGAGCTCTCGCTTAGGGGGAAGCTTACCTCTCTGGCCATGCCTCGGCCCTCGACGGCTGAATCTTCAGCTCCTGATCATACATGACGGATTGTTTCAGAGACGATCGGAGCTTGTTAATTTAAGTCTTGCATTTGTTTTCTCGATTTCTGTTACACACCAACTATCCTACTCTCACGCAACATCACAAGGCCGTGTCAGCCAACCTGCCACACGATCACCACAAATTCCCTTCAGTGCATAACAACAGCAACATGATCATCCATATACTTCCCAATGTCCCCCAAGAAGCACGCCGCAAGAATGCTCACACTCCCAAACGCAATACTCGTAAAATAAACATACTTATAACTCGCCGCATAGGCCTCCTGTCCTACAAGCACAATCAAATCATACGCCGTCTGATTGCCCTTAATGCCGGGAATCTCATTCAGCAATGGGAGCAAACTAGCAGCCGTGAACTCAATTGCCATGCCAATGTACGTCTTGTTTAAAATGCCAAGCTCGTAGATCATAGCGCCGCCGATCATTTTGGTCGCATTTGGGACGAACTTGTTGACGAAGACGTTGTAGTAGACGCAGTAGCCGACCGAACCGCCGATAACGCGGATGGCGAGGGTTAAGGCGGTTACGGTCGCAATCAGGTCGTCGGGGCAGATGATTGTAGTGATGATTGAGGCTGGCACCACGATGCCGCCGATCCCCAGGCCGGCGAGGACGAGGATGCCCCAGAGGGTATGCAGGTTGAAGCGGTTGGCGCAGGCGAGAGCACCGCAACCTAGAGAGCCAGCTGTTAGCGTGAAGGATCGCTATGAAGGGCAATGGAAGAGCGCACCAGCTGTCATCAAGACGGAAGAAGCGATCATCAACTCCTTGTTTCGACCTCGGAATACGGACAAGGACCAGAGAACGATCACGGCACCGGCAAGAATCGAAAATCCGACTGGGATACCACGGATTCCGACGCCGACTGGGTCATGGCCGTAGACATTAAAGGCTTGGGTCGGCCAGAACATGATGATGGAGAAGAAATTGGCACCGGAGATGAAGGTGATGACTAGAGTGAGGGCGAGAATGCGAGGTGCTTGCTTTAGACGAGCGGGGAACATCGGGTACTTGGCGCCGTATACTTCCCAGAAGCAGAAGGCGATGATGAGAACTGTTCCAAGCAGGAGAGGGACGAGGACATGGGCTGACTTCCATGAATACTAGAAAGAATTAGTGATTGACAGGAAAGCTGATTAGGGGAGATGTACTTGATAGCCGCCCCACTGCATGCCAGCCATGAAGAGGACCATTCCAGAAATGCTCAAGAAGCCTCCGATGAAGTCGATCTGAGAGATGATTTCGCGTCGACTAAGACCAACAGAATTGACTCGAGGAGGTGGGAAGTAGAAGATGAGGGTCAGGAAGAAGCCGATGGATACCCAGACGCCACAGAGCAGCCCGCACCAACGCCAACCGGCATGGGACGCAATAAGTTGACCCCATAACACTGAGGGGCAGAATGGGATGATAGTGAAGATCAAGACTGCAACATATTTGCCTCTCTTGGCCGTAGGTGCAAGTTCAGATGTTGCAGCCAGAGCCGTCAATTCCGCAATCCCGGCGCCAACACCAGCAATTGTCATGCCCCCTATTAACTAATCAGTCAAGTACTTGCAGCGGCTCGCGGATATGCAGACCGATGAAGATGTTCATTGTATGAGCCGTTGAGCAAACAATCATTCCTAGCATGACCAAGAAAGAGCCGACCAATGCTACGTATCTGCGGCCCAGAAGATCTGAGAGAGACCCTACAAATGGACAGATACCAGCAAGGGCGAGAAGGTTTGCTAGCACAAACCAAATCCAACTGCGCAGCGGGAGTCAGTACGGAGGTACCTCCGAGCAGGTTGGAGGGAATGAACACACCGATCAACACCACCAAGGTCAGCGTAGATGTAAGGCGGAATGCCACCAAAGATGTACACAGGAATTTGAGAACCAGTCCAGAGAAAGGCCATGGCGATCAAGGACATCAGCCTCCTGAATGACATCTGTCGGAACGTTAGAAACGGTCACGAGATGGAGTTTTGAAGACATTCTGGTGGTTCATGGTCATGGTCCTCCCCATCTCCGTAGGTTCTGAGGCCATCTTTCTCAAAGTAGTTCTCATGCCCTGGTACTTTGTCGTGCGTGGCAATATGCTCGATGTGCTGTGGTGTGAGGGCGGGTGATGTTTTCTCGCCCACCGCTGCCTCTGGCGGGGTTGAAACGGCACTCATGGCTGGTCAATTGCAGCAAGAAATGGAGTAGAATGAGTTATCTTGAAAAGAGAATGAGGATTGCAGGGTTTGAACTGTCAAGAGGAGAGACGCGTCCGTCAATATAACTTTATGGCTCGCGGAAAGAATCAGATAACTTCAACCACTCACTTTTGGCAAAACACCGCGGCAGGCGTTAACACAGACCGAGCTGTAATTGACCATGGACCTGGTATCCCGAGGACAGGGACCAGGTCGACTACTGTCCACACCCCTCAGAGCTGTGCACTATCTTGAATGTAGATCTTGGTCCGTTCGACCTTGCCCGCGCAGCTGCCGTGATTGGAGGATGGAATCGGGTTGGCCGAACGTGGCGAGGAGGAGAGTTCGGGAAAGGAGGGTTGCAGCGGCTCCCCATGCTTCTCCCGCAGTGTGGCCAGCCACTCAGGTCCACAGCCGAACAGCTCGGAATTGCCTTGCGGCGGCCTACCGCCATGGGGAAGGATCTCCCGCAGAGCGAGATGCCCAATTGGAGGTTAAGAGATGCAAGGTCATCCATCCTCTCCGAGAAGGTTCCAAACTCCAAACCCGTGAGCAGTTGCCGCCACGCCATAAAACACTTCTCGTCTGATGAGTTGGGGATTTTGGAGGGGTTGAGTCGTGGGGTCGTCGAGTCGTGGAGTTGATATGTCGTGGCTCCCGCCTGGCGCCACACGGCCTGAATGAGCCCAGCGCTAAGATTTGACATACATTTGCCATGCCGGCCTTTCCCCGCATTTTCTCCCCGCTACCACGCTCTCCTCTCTTCTCCTTTCTCCTTTCTCCTTTGTCCTTTCTTTGGGGCCCCTATCAGCACTCGAACTGTCAGCGCACACCGATCTTCCCGTGGCGTCGTGGGTGCAAGCATTTGCCAAGTACGTACCCATATGGGGACAATAGGACCGAGTGTGGCCTAGTGAACCTTCTTCCCACTTCATCCTCACCACCGCCAGTCATCTTATCGCTGTGCTGAATTATGCGAGCGCATGTGAGACCTGGACGCTGAGAGCTCAAGTGACCTCGGTCCATTACGAATTCGAAAGAGAATGGGGGAGAGATGTCTAAGCTGACTCTCGTAAATACGGTCAGTAGTTCTCCTGGATGTGAGGTGGGGCCTTTGTTGAAGTTGTGGTTGAGAATTTGTCACATCGGACACATGGATGTCGTACGGCATCCTTTATCAATTGTTTTAGGGACCGTTTCCTCGACTTCATAACCCAGCCAGTGTTAAAATTAATTTGCAGCGATCCATAGCGGCCAAAAACCGTTGTTCCTATATTGTCACGTGATTTACAATTATGTGCCTTTTCCGCCTCCCAAAAGATGGCACTGCGCCACATCTGACTGCTACAGTGACGCAACAAATGTGCCCGCTTTTCTTTTCTAGCTACAATAAGCTATGTGGTAGTATGCGAGTGTTTTGCAGCCTCTCAGAACCTTAAAACCACGCCTCACTACATAAGTTTCTCACCAATGAAATCATGGAATTTCACGGCTGAAGATGTTTTGCATCAAGTATATCCTTGCTGTCGCTCGACATGAACGGAGAGGGACAATTGTTGAGTCCACTCGCACAGGCATGTAACAGCCAACAATTTAGAAACGAGGATATCATCGCAGGAACCCTTGACAGCTTAACGATCATACCGTTGCTGGGCAACAGTGAAACACCGCTCAAGCACGAGAACTTTCGATGTCCTTCGAGGCTGGAATTTAACGCTCCAACAGTTGAAGTCTCATCACCGACCCCATGGACCTACTTCCGGTCCCCAAAGGCAAGTCTTGTCAAGCTTAAAACAGAAACGATGTCTGGTGCCAACGGCGCCTCTGATTGGGTCTCGACGAACGACGCTCTAACCGCCTTCATCTGGCAAAGAGTAGCTATTGCGCGTGCGTGCCGATTCGGTCCAGAAACCTCAATGTTCTGCGATCGCTTTGTGAACATTCGCAGACGGCTGCAACCTCCTGTGCCAGCAGGCTATATGGGCCATATGCTACTCCTAGACCAAATTGAACTAAGCTTTGGTCAGCTGGCTAAGGCATCCTTATCTGATCTTGCTGTTCAGCTTCGACGATCATTGAATTCGATTGATGATTACCATATCCGGAGTGCTGCCACAGTTATCAAGAACGAGAAAGACAAGTCTGCCTTTCAGTATGGAGCAAACGCAGTCACAGGTCGGGATTTCACGATCTCTTCCAGGGCGGGGCTGAACCTGGCGTCTGTCTCAATTGGACCTGCTCTTGGGAGAGCGAAGTTCATAAGACGTGCAGCTCAGGCCGATTATGAGGGACTTGCGTATCTCATGCCTACCACAAGCGATGGTGATATTGATATGACTATCAGCTTGAGTGGAGAGTATTGTGATATCACAGATCAAGATCTAATCTGGAATTTTTTTGCGGAAAGGCTTGGGTGAGGAGAAAGACGCTACAAGTCAAGTCAGTTCGTGCTCGCCAAGGTGGCGATTACGTCTCCCAAATGGCCCAATCCATGCCAATGCAAGCTCGCGGATGGACACACGAAATTTAGCACAAGTGCCGCGCCACGAAAAACGCACAGGCTCGCGGCATCTGATCCGACTCTTCTTAGGCGGCATGGTTCCGTAAGCTTTTTCTCCGCGATTGACCAGTCAATCTCAGTGTCCTTGAACGTTTTTTTGGAGGTCTTGCTCTGTATTATTGATACTGCTTGTCGATGATAGTCACTTTCTACTCAATAGAATAGTGAATACAGCAGGGTAGCTTCTCGTCGTATATCCTTTCTCGATCTCAATCCTCTAGCTGCAGCAGGCGAAGCGTCTCCGGTGGGGGGAATACCATTGCTGATTGGGCGAGGACATGGTTGCCCCGATGAGGGTCTCGGTCGGTATTGTAATGAGTTCATCAGATTCGGGAAGGGCGACGCATCAGCTCCGAATACAGCCCCTATAACTTAACAGAATGCTATACATATCATGAATTTTGCCATTGCCATATTACCAAACCCCGTCTCGAACTCCTCAACTGCTTTATACTAGCAGCTCAAGAATCTTTTGACATGCATCATTACTCCGGTCGCTTGTCTCGCTTACCGTAAACCGCCCACAAACCCCCCCCCTTTCTTCTTCAATCGCTTACGAGAACCACGTGACATCGGAAGCCATCAAACGGCCCCACCCTTCAATATACTGTAGGTATGCAGAAACGTCAGAGCTCCGGGGACCGTTTCGAAGGCAGGCAGATAAAATCTCGACAGAAATACTTTGCATTTGTCAGCTCCCTAAGTCTCGTTAGAACCCGCTCATGTCTGTCCAAAGGGATCTACTCCCATTAAACGTACTCTACAGGTAGACGTTTTACGACGAGAGAGAAGGCGCATTCGCACTCGCTCACCCAGCTCAACCTTTCAAAATCCGACATCAGCCTCGAGTCAAAGTCCCACAATAAAGCTGGCTGCCCCACCACGACCATCAAGAAAATGCGATTAACCGCAGCGGGGTATCGGCTCAATCAATTGTTCTCACGAAACAGTGGGGCATCGGCTCGATGAATTGTTCTCACGAAACAGCCAACCAACATCTAGCCATTCAACCCTCCCTCCTTTCAATCAGGCACTAGCAACAAACAAACTCTCACCTGCCGATATACCATTTTGCATGCCAAGCAGTTGCCACAGAAGCACTTTTATATAAAGCAGCCACGGCCTTGACAATGGAGGAAAGACCCTACTTCAATTCCTCACCACCAAGGGCGACCTTCGAGGACAGCAAGCAAGATGGTGATCGCCGACACGGAAACAATTATCGCCAATCGACGAGTGTTCTTCGCGTGTGGAGTCGTGATCTTGGGGTCCTTCCAGTATGGAGTTGATTTTGGGTTGATTGGTGGCTTGCAGGCCATGAAAGGCTTTCTCGAGGTATATTTCTCGGCGACACCTAAAAATTGATGGCAACCTGAAAACTGTAATAGGTTTTCGGCTTTAGAGCCCCAAAGACACCAATTGGATGGAACATCAATACCGAGCGCCAGCAACTGATCTCCTCACTCATGACCCTCGGTGCGTTCATCAGCTCCGGCGGCGCAGGATTCATGGCCATCAAGCTCGGTCGGAGGCAATGCCTGTGGCTTGCTTGTGCGCTGTGCTGTATTTCCAACATCATCATGATGGCTACGGATAAGATTGGGCCATTATATGCTGGACGATTCATCAATGGTCTAGCTAATGGCTGCTTTATGACTTTTAGCCAACTGTACATTCAGGAGTCCAGCCCAGCCAAGTACCGCGGTCTTTTCCTGACGATCTTCTCAGTCGGCACATCGTTCGTAAGTTATGCAGCTCAATCTTGCAGTAGAGCAGTTTAATCTGACATGTCCAGGGAACGCTCATCGGCACTATTGTCGATTTCGGAACTTCCAAGAAGCCGGGCAAGGCAGCTTATCTTATTCCCCTCGGCATCATCTTCATCGTTCCCGCTTTCATGACAGTAGCATTATTCTTCATTCCCGAGTCTCCACGTTGGTTGCTGTTGCAAGGCCGCCGCGAGGAAGGCATCAAGTCGCTTGCGGTACTGAGACCTGATGGCACCGATGTCGAAGACGAAGCTGCTGTCATCGCTGCTGCCATAGAACATGAGATGGAACTCAGTAGTGGCGTTGGGATCCGTGATGTCTTCGCCAACTCAATTGATCGACGCAGAACTATCATTGCTGTGTGTGGTCTGACCTCGCAGGCAGCTTCGGGCTCCATGTTTGTGATCGGTGAGTGTTCTCGATGAGCTAGAGCAAGGAAATTTTACTGACTATGTGATAGCTTATAAAGCGTACTTCTTCACTATGGCTCACGTTAGTAATCCATTCGCCATGAGCTGTGTCCTCAGCACCGTTGGTTTGGCTGCTCTGATCATCAACTCCCTCATCGTGATCCACTGGGGTCGCCGCCGAGTGATCCTCACATCTGGTCTCATCACCTGTGGCGTCCTCCAGTTAATCATCGCTGTCGTCTACAATCAAAATCCAGGAACCCCCCAGACCGGGAAGGTCATCGTGGGAATCACCAGCTTATACATGTTTGCTTATAACGTAAGCGTTTTCAAAACCCAGCTGCAAGAGATGAGATTATTAAGGAAACTCTGAAAAATAGGGCGCCGTTGCACCTTACGCCTGGCTCACCGGCGGCGAAATCCCCTCCCAGCGCCTCCGAAGCTACACCTTCGGTCTTGCGACCGCAATGGGTTTCCTGATGGCATGGCTCACCCAATACACAGCACCCTACTTCATCAACCCCTCGGCCCTCGACTGGGGCCCACGCTACGGCTTCATCTGGTTCCCATCCGCCTGTATTGCCGCGCTCTGGGTATTCCTCTTCTTGCCAGAAGTCAAGGGCAGGAGATTGGAGGAGATTGACGAGATGGTAGCTTAACCCCAACACTGCCTTGCTGGACCACTAGCTAATATCAAACCTTCTCTTAGTTCGAGGCCAGACTCCCAGCCAGAAAGTTCCGCAAATACGTGTGCGTTGGCCCGCTTCGGCTTACGGAGGAGAAACTTAGCAGGACTGGCAGCAAGGAGAATGCTGAGCACGATGAGAAGGTATGAACAATCGAATCCTAGCTTTGAGGTGATGGTGGACTGAATTCGTGCTCTGATAGGCTATAACGACGGAAGCTGTTGAGCCTGTTCATGAACCTGGATTCAAGCGAGAGTGATGTCGTGCATGACTTTAACTGCCGAAGGTTGTTTGAGGAGAGACTTGAGTGGTTTCCATGTGCCCTGTAGCAGCAATCGAATTGATGTATCTCTTTGCCTAGGGTTCCCTTTCCCAGCACGTGCGTCTTTCCTCAATGCAAGCCTTCCGGTGCTTCTCAAGAGAACGGGTCTAAATGACCGTGTCCCACGTAATCAGCAACGACTACTTGACTTCCATCTCCAGCTGTACACATTCTTGCCTCAAAGTGGTCTCCATATGTTATCTTTGGATGCTAGCCCCCCATGGAACAAGACCGAGAAAATCCTAATGTACCACCACTTGATGATCGGCCACAGGATTCGATTCTTCAACAACTCGCTAAACATCCAGAGGGACCGTAGCAAAGAAAGCCCCATCATATACAGAGGGGACTTAGGTCAAACAAGATGGCTCGTGAATGTTCCAACGGCTGCCGGGAGAATGGCGGATCCGCTTTAGAAAATAATAGTCATTAAATTGTTACTTTAAATTTGGCTTGCCTTCCCCCAGCTTCGATACCTGAAAGCTTGATTTCCGTCCAATTTGCCTCAGTTCTTTGGTTGTCTCTCACAACCCAAGCGCGTTGAAATCCGGCTCACACTCAAGACTCCCAATCTTCTTGTCCCAATTGTTATCCGTTTTCAGGTCCGCGATGCCGGGGAACTGGACAATCATGTCGCAGCCTGAGGGAGACGTGCAGATGTCGCTGCAGTTTGCGCTTCTGTTTCTTGTCAGCTTCTCCATTCCTCAATCCACTCATTGCTCCCAAGAAAGTGTATCGAATTTAGGACAGTAGTCGATTGTTCAGAAACACAGAGGACATTTGAAAAGGATGGGACTTGAATGTCCAAAGTCTCCTGGAACATTGGGGACAGGGACGCGGCTTGAAAGGTCAAAGACTCGGAAGGAGAGGGGTCTGGAGTTTCCCAGGACTTGCGCAACATTGCTGGATGAGAGGTTGTACGTACGTATAGCGCCAGCACACTGTGCCGAATGCAGGCTCAATTGCCGAGACGTTGTAAAGAAATGGAGCTTGAAGCTGAACGCAGGTGTCGTCTGTTGGGACGGAGAGGGTGATGCATTCTCCTTTCCAGTTGGCTTCCGTGCACATTATGACCTGTAAGATAAAGTTAGTCCTGGAACAAGATTAATTAAACGGAGGGAGAGAGCTCACAATCCCATTTGTGTTCTTGAAGCTTGGGCTTTGACGGGGTGGTAGAGCGGCTGAGAGGGCTTGCACAGGCCCTGCGTGAGTGAGGGAGATGAGAACGGAGAGGAGGGTGAGTTTTGTGAGGAGCATGGCGGTTGAATTGCTCTCTTTGTTTTAGTTTTCAGCGCGGGACTTGATAATTATATTGCAAATGTTCCGAAATTTGTTAGAGAAGATGGAGCTACAGAGAAGTTGGTAGATATATCCAAGGACGTCAAGTCAGACGGCGTGGAAGCACTCTCGTATTTATTAGGCCGACCCTGACGTAGTGCTCGCACAACTCGTACAATGGCTGAGCCACTCTGTACATCCAGTCATTTGTGGAACCCACGCACGTTGTTGTGTTGCCATACTGCCATGCAAACATTGCTGATGGCGCCGAGGCTCAGCCTCCTGCAACTGGACGCGGGTAGTAAGCTCTGCGTTGGCCTGGTTGAAAAATACGAGGATGATGGTATACGGATGCCTGGACTCATGCATGGTCACTTTTAAAGTTGCTGTGCTGTGTACTGTGTACAACGTATCAGGCTATTAAATGTAGCGAGACAAGGGGGTCCAGGGCTGGCACAGACCAGAAAGTCAACAGCACGAGCTTTTCATTGGCCTTCACTCCCTGTCTGTGGCTGGCTGGCTCGCTACATTTAATTCCCATAATACGTTGTACTGTCGTCGCTCTGGTGATGAGCAATCATTTAGCCTTAACAAGTAGAAAAGTTTGCAATATAAGTAGCGAATACGGGGCACAAACGGGTAACAAAAGGATTGCTTATGTGAGAAAATAGTGTAAATGCGCCGATATAGATTGTACGAGTCGACGAAAAACAGAGTATCTCCATGCCACGAATCATGTGACAAGAATTCGACGAAGAGGTATTATCTCAAATATCAAGAACAGCTTCAGATACTCCAAGTAACGGCGAGTATAATTATTATAAATACCTTGAATGATATCACCATCTAGTAAGAAGTTGCAACTGGCAGCATCGAGATACAAGCTCACTCCACGCGTTCTAGTAGGGACAACTTCCTCCTTCAGAACCAAATACTTGAACTCCTTCGTCGGCCAATCGCGCAACCTCACATTGAACCCCTTCCATCTTACATACCATAGTGCGGCTCACAAAGGATTATTCTTCTCCTCGGGGACGGATAATGGCTGCAGCATCGTAATTCATGGCGTGACACGTGATATTCCTATTCTGGCTTCGGCAGTCGCGATTCGTGAGGAAGTGTTGGAGTTCTTGAGAAGACCAGATAGTGAGGCTATAGCTTTTGGCGAGTTTGCCTAGGAATTTCGTTTGATCGGCAGTGCCGAAGGTTTATCTCGCTCTTGTAAGGTTACACCAGAGGCTCGGGGTGTCACGAGCACAAATCTAAGGCTTGGAAAGCAAGGTTAGACTTTCTCTATTTCGACGATTCGAAGCTAAAGAAGAGAGGAGGTTCTCGAACGAGTCTCGGAACTACCGGTAAATAAACGCAGGACTCACGGGCTCACGTGTCACCACTTACTAAGCGAAATCTGTCCACGTGATACGACTTCGACTTCGCACGTTCATCCAATTACAGTCTAGCTATTACAAGACTTACCATAAGCCTGTAACAACCGTGAGACACTGTAGTCTTTTGGCTCAGTTGGCCTGTGCGTAAAGCATGTCCTCAGATTTCTGTGATGGGCACACGTGACAAGCAAGAGCAGGCGTTAGGCGTCACCGGATGGGATTTCCTAATCGGGGGCATAGTGCTTACCCAGGATCACATTTCCTGATTAGGGCTAAGTGCTTTCGTATACCCCAGCTGAGCACTGGGGGATAGAGGCACGCATAATTTTGGAAGGAGGTTTCTTGCTGGAGTCTCTTCTTGGAATCAGTTAGTAATTGTAAGCGTCACTCTACCTTGTCTACTACCTTGCTGTTTGAGCCTCTCACAATTACTCACAAATACTAACATTTTAACTTCTTTAATCTAAAGAATTATTACTAATGAATATTTTATAGAAAGTTTATATTTAAATAGCCCTTGATTAGCCCTATAATAAAATAATAAAAGTATTAGATTCTATTAATTCCTTATAAATTAAATTATATTTAAAAAGAAAGCTACAATTTTGGTGTTCCTGTCCGAGCGCCTCTACTTTGGATTATTAGGCTAGTCCGGCCCCCAATCGATACACCCAATCGACACCTAGGGGGTTGGTTTTGCTTTTTCCCGATGCAAGGACAATGTTAGCTGATGATTAATCATGAACTTCACCACTTATTGTCGCACCGGCTCGCTGGGCTCTAGAGTCTAGAATACAACCTCACTCGGTTGATAATAACGTTATACCAAGCTATTAGCTGCAAGACCGCCTTCTTTCTTTTGCCAAAACGCCGACAACGCCGCCAAGCACTTGAGAGCCAACAGAATTTGCGACCACACAGAGTCCGAGTGATACCGGACATCTAACATACTGCGTTGCAAGCATCTACTGGCTTAAGATGAGTAACGCAGCTATCTCAGGGACTTCAAACGAAGAAGAGGTTATCTCACCACCACTCCATACATCTGAGCCATCTAGTTCTACCTTCTTCTTTGTAAATGAGACAGGTGAGGCAGCATCGTATAAGCAAGGACACCGGCCCGATATCCGTTCTCATGTTCGAAAACTCTCAATGAAGCAATTCAGAAAAACCCACAAATCTCCTCCAAAACGAAATACAAAACTACCGAAATATGTTCCATTGACATCTCAAAGTCTGGATTTTGAGTCGTCAGAAGATTTGGAACACGATGAAGACTATCCATCAAAATTTTCGCCCACAACTCAACTAGGGATCTCAACTCGGGATTTAATCCCGGTGAAGCTGAATCCCATCGGGACTCTCGGTGCTGGTAGACTTGATCCCTTCTCGAGTTTGCCTATGGATGAGCCAAACCTTTACTCGCAGGAATTGATGGACCACGGTGGGTACAACTTTTCACTGAAGCAGATCATATCGCTCCCTTCTTAAACTAAGAACTCACTAGCTGTCACTTACCTATTACCCGGGCTTATACCTGATAAGGCACCGCCTAGCGAATCCAACCCTCTATCAAAAGAATATTTTTCATTCGGCCTACGAACTCCTATAGTATTCCATTCATTGGTCTACTCAGGCTCTAACCACCTCGACTTCCTCCGCTCGTCTAACATTTTCCCTAACGCTCCAACGCCTCTTGCCCACAAAATTGTCGTTATCCAAAAGCTGAAGGAGGCTCTATCCGATCCTAGCCAAGCTTTACGAGACGAAACCATCCTCGCGATCTTAGTCCTCGCTACTCAAGAAGTCTTTATGAGCCAGGGAAATAGGAACCCTTTCAACTCTCCCCTTCCAAAGCTTGGGTGGTTGAACATATATGGGAATTTCAGACTTGTTCCACGACACATTAAGGCAATCGCAGATATCGTCGCATTGAGAGGTGGACTTGAAAACATCCAACTGTATAAATTGGCAGAGATTATTGTCGCGTGTGTAAAATTTCTCCTGAACTTAACATACTGGTTTCTAATTCGGCGCTAGGGGGGATGTTACTATGACGACCAATACTCTCGGGAAGCCAGATTTCCCTGCGCTTAGAATCCACACAGCCTCTATCGCTGCTCTTAGAGCCTGGGCAATATGTCCTCCTCGTCCGCTTGTTCAGACACAGGCTACAGCTTTCTGGAGACTTCGAGACTACGGAATAACAGACTCTATGCTTCAAGTCTTGGATTCAATGGGTGCTTACACCCTTGCGATTACCTATTACTTTCAAGGCAAGCCGTTTAGTCTGGGGCTCGGAGAGATAAATAGAACGCGACTGGCGGTTCAGCATAGGCTAGTATTACTACCAGCTTCGGAAGAACTCAGCTTTATACCTTCATCGAAACCCAATATTTATGAGTGCTGCCGTTTAGCAGCACTAGTCTTCGGCGTGGCTGTGGTCTATCCAATCCCAAATCCTCACAATGTGTTGCTTGAGTTAGTTCGGCGTCTCAAAACAGCGATTGAGTGTTTGGATGTTGGAACTTTCGGAACCAATTTGTCTGGAGTGCTGTTATGGATGCTGGTACTAGGAGGGATAGCTGCCTCGGACAAGCCGGAAAGACCTTGGTTTGTTTCCCAATTGGCTTTGATTGTTCGGAGGCTGGATATAACTGAATGGGGCAGTATCGAGGATACCTTGGAATCTTTTTTGTGGCTTGAAAGTGCTTGTGGTCAAGGGGGACGAGAGTTGTGGGATGAAGCGGGCTGCGTCTTATAGTGTACCATCGGAATTATCGACAATCCGAATTTCAGTAAATGATTTGAATTATGGTTCATCTGCTCGACAGAGTATAGGTTGTACGAGTGGCTCGATGAAGAATGCAGCGTCCGCTGAGCACAACTCTAAAATAGGATCCCAAACTCTCCGCCTTCATATGACCAAACATAGCAATGCATAACAGAACATGACTTTACTCAACTAAAACAACCCATAAACTTCTCCTCTCCCCTCTTCACAAATCTGACAGGATACTTTCCCCTCATTTTCAAGAAGATCTCCGACTGACTTGCCGCGATCAGGTTCCTTGCCTTGTTTATTCCTTTCTGGTATACCGCCCTCCGTTCCTCTTTGCTCATCTTCTCAACTTGTGCATCACTTGCCCATTCGCTGACATCTAGCTCCAAGCTATATGTTTTGAAGATCACAGCTAGTACGGCCGTGATCTCAATCTGAGAAAAGCGTCTTCCAGGACAAGCCCGAGCACCTTCAGCGAAGGGGATGAATACTCCTTTTGGTAATACGAGAAGGCCATCGCTAGTATCGAAGGAGGTTGTGTTCTCACTATCCTCGCTTCCAGAATCGGTGGAGCTCGGTTTCTCCGTTGTTTTCTTGGTTGAGGAGAACCAGCGTTCAGGCACCCAGTCATCTAAATCGTGCGTTTTGTTCGACAGCTTGCTGGGACTGGAAGGCCAATACCTGGGATTTCGTTGGACACCGACCGTGCTGACGTGGATCATTGTAGAAGTAGGCACCGAGACTGTTTTTCCGTCGAAAGTCAGGGGTTGTGGGGCACCTCTTACGATCTTGGGAAAATCGATGAGGGGGGGCATCAGGCGAAGGGTTTCGTTAATTGTTGCCCCAAGCATTGTGTTCCAGAGACGACCGAGATCAGTGTCGTAGGACCATTCTTCGGAAGATCGAGATCCAACGATTGAATCAATGTCTTCTTGCATGCGGGCCTGCTTTTCAAGCTCGATCGCGAGAAACAGAAAACACAAGTGTGCAATGTTGGCTGAAGTTTCGTGCCCAGCGAAGAGGATGATCCATGAATTGGAGATGACTTCTTGCTTTGTCAGGTATGGTCCTTTGGAATCTTCCGGACTTCTCTCTGAAGCCTTGACGAGTGGTCCTTGAACACGTTAGAATCCGCAGCTAATGAAGTAAGACGGGACTAACCCATCACATCCATAGTTCCCTGCTCCGTCATCTCTCCACGCTCAAGTTGCCTAACCTTGAACTCAGACAATTCAGAAAAGTAATCGCTGCATTCAACATATGATCGTAATAACTTTTTGTGGAGTTCAAAAGGCGATATTTCTATCATGCAGTTAGAATGGTGACTCGACTTTCTTGGCTTGACCTACGTAGTAACGACACCGGAAATATTGCCAACCAAATGATGCTGTGAAGTAATGTTTTGAGAGATTCCTTGAAAGTCATGGCATGACTTTCAACTAGCTTGGACGTGTTGAAACCAGGAATTGCGTTGGACCCTAACTTTTCCTCATTTTCGCCTGCCCATAGTTGCCTTACTCCAAATCCAGCTGCAGAAATCACATGCAGAGCCATGGTAGCAGTGTACGGAGCGGTATCTTGGACCTTCATTGACCCAGAGGTATTTCCCTCTATTTTTGACCAAACGTCGACCATTGCTAATCCTTGTCGCAAACTCTCTTTCCAAACCAGGGAATTACTCTTCTCAGAGAAGGCTGGTGCAACGATCTTGCGATGTCGTTTCCAGTCGTCCCCCTCCGTGGTCAAGAGGCTCGGTCCAAAGATATCGACTATGGCGTACAACTCCACAGGCTTTACGAAGTCCCTTCTTCGGGTTGTGAGCTGTACGTTCGCCTCTGGATTGCTACTGCTCATGAATATTTGCCCAGGGCTAACTATCAGGTAGACCTCTCCAAGAGCTTCTCGCATTTCTTGAGGGTAATACCAGGAGCGATGGACATGAGCAAGTCTAAGGGTATAAGCTTGGTAGGTGGATAGCTGGAAGAGGCCCTAACTTCGGCCATAGCCATCTCCGTGACGGGGTGAACTTGTGAAGCGGGCCAAGGAAAAGGTTGTGAGTTGCTATCCAGAGATATCCCGGCACGCCATCGATAACTAAATGGTTAGAAATATTCAAACAAGTAGCAGAATTACGGTCTTACTGGATATACGATATGGAAGACCAGATTGTTTTGCCGCAGCAATATTGCGACTGAGTGCGGCAAGTTTCGTTGATAACCAGAACACCACCAGGCCAACGAGGCCAACCAGTCCAATCGCAACGTAACTCAACATTGTCACAATGATGCTCGTCACTTGAGCAAATAGTAACAACACTCGGACTCTTGAGACCGAAAAGAAAAGCGTCTGATTTAGAGGAGGATCTGAGTTAAGTACAGCATGGCAGATGTCGCATGTGAAACTGACAGCTTGGGATGCGGAGCAGGGGTCCAATTCCCAGCCTTGGAATCACAAAGAGGCGTCAAGCTCGAGTGTGGCTATCCTTGCTCACGGATACGCCGAACGAGTAATGCGACGGAGAATTCCTAGGGTCGCCAAGCCTCAGCGTGAAGATATTCTGACGGATTGTAAGCAAAGTGTTCCCGGCGGAGCTGAACTTTTGGAACGGCCATTCTTGAGGTGGGCGGCGTTCCTTCCAAATTTGCTTCTTCGAGCCATGAATGAAGGTGGCAGGGAAGGAAATGCTTTTCAAAGTCAAGTTGAAGGCTTGTACCACACAATTCTCTCAACAACTTGTGTGAGAGCCGTGACGGCCCTTTGGAAGGAAATCTGAGAAGCACATGTACGGCGGATGAAAAGATGGCGTTTTCGTTTCGTCGCTTCATGCGTTGGCGTGTCACTTCCCACGAAACAGTTCACAGGCCGTCCAAAGGTGTGGAGACACAACGTCGAGCTTCGCTCCAGCTGTAAATATATCATCGGCCCTAACACTCGTACTTTATGCCCTATTTTGGTCCCCGAGCCGCGACTTCGCGTGTGGGCTAAATGCGTGCAGGGCCGAGGTTGGATTGACTTTACCCTCAGTCTCACCTGGAGCTTGCTCTGTAAAACAACCCATCAATCGTATACGATGAGCGACAGCTCATAAAGTGAAGCTTACGATGAAGTTATCGATGAGAAGAAAGAGAATGAACAGAAGAATGGAAAGTGACAAGGTCCGGCATTACCCGAGAAGACCCCAGACCCATTAAAAGTTCAAGAAAGTGCGCTAAGAATTCCCCGGGCAAGAAACAGCTTAAGTCTCCTCCGGATTTAATTTTTGGAAGATCAAGCTTCGATTCTCTCACTTCAGGGCTGCTCTCTTTCGCCTATTATCCATATTTTGCGCCAACATGCTTTCAACAGTCAGAGTAGCCGGCAGGCAAGCTGTTGCTCGTGCTGCAGCCCCAAGAAGCTCTGTCGCGCTGCGCAAAGCCTCGACGTGGGCAAATGTGCCTCAAGGACCTCCCGTGAGTTTTCTAACCTGCACTCTTTTAGAGAAGACATTGGCTAATAGTAATTCAGGATGTAAGTAATTGAGGAACCATGAAGTGTGCCATTTACTAATTCCAATGCTTCTTCAAAGGCTATCTTGGGTATGACTCAACAGTGGAGAGCTTCGGATTGCTTTTTCTGACGAGATTTTAGGTATCACTGAGGCTTTCAAGGCCGATAGCTTCAAGGAGAAGATCAATCTAGGTGTGCTGAAGCAATTGGATGTAATTGCGCGTTGCTGATAGCTGTTTTAAGGTGTTGGCGCATACCGCGACGATCAAGGCAAACCCTACGTCCTCCCCTCCGTCCGAACCGCCGAAGACAAGGTCGTTACTGCAAAACTTAACAAAGAATACGCTGGAATTACTGGTGTCCCCGAGTTCACCAAGGCTGCAGCTGTTCTGGCGTATGGTCCTGGCTCCAGTGCTCTCGACCGTCTCGTCATCACACAATCGATTTCCGGCACAGGGGCTCTCCGAATCGGTGGTGCATTCCTCGAACGCTTCTACCCAGGTGCAAAGAAGATCTATATTCCAACGCCATCATGGGCCAACCATGCTGCTGTCTTCAAGGACTCAGGTCTGGCTGTTGAGAAGTACAGATACTACAACAAGGACACAATTGGTCTGGACTTCGAGGGCATGATTGCGGATATCAAGGGCGCTCCCAAGGGAAGCATGTTCTTGCTCCACGCTTGTGCCCACAACCCTACCGGTGTCGACCCCACACCCGAGCAATGGAAGGAGATCAGCGAGGCTGTCAAGTCTGGTGAACACTACGCGTTCTTCGACATGGCTTACCAAGGCTTTGCTTCAGGAGACACAGATAAGGATGCTTTCCCAGTCCGATACTTCGTTGAGCAAGGCCACAACCCTTGCCTCGCCCAATCTTTCGCCAAGAACATGGGTTTGTACGGTGAGCGTGTTGGAGCCTTTTCCGTTGTGTGCGTGGATGCCGAGGAAAAGAAGCGCGTGGACTCACAAATCAAGATCCTTGTCCGGCCCCTCTACTCCAACCCTCCAGTTCACGGTGCTCGTATTGCCTCCGAAATTCTCAACGACCCGGCCCTGAATAAGCAATGGCTCGGCGAAGTCAAGGGAATGGCTGACCGTATCATCACCATGCGTGCCCTGTTGAAGAAGGAGCTTGAGAACTTAGGTTCAAAGCATGATTGGAGCCATATTACCAGCCAGATTGGCATGTTTGCTTATACAGGATTGACCCCCGAGCAGATGGATAAGTTGGCTAAGGAGGTGAGCTGTGTCTGCTATTAGGGAAGGAATTCACTACTAACATGTATCTCAGCACTCTGTTTATGCTACCAAGGACGGCAGAATATCAGTCGCAGGCATCACATCCGGAAACGTCAAGAGACTCGCAGCTGCCATCCATGCAGTCAAGCCATAGAAGTGTGATAGAGGCGTCTGGATACGATAGTGTCCCAGGTTCAATGGTTGGCTAACCCATAGACAAGCTATCGCACCACATTGTACAAATACTTCCACATTCTTCACTTCCCTCATAAAAACGTTAATCGTAAAGCACACTCAAACACAAACCACCCTACCTCCCCTTCAACTTCTCAACATCCCGCCCCACCTCCCTCAGCTCCGTGATCATCTCCTCATAAACCCTCGCAATCTCCCTCATAACCTTTTCCTTCTCGGCCCCTCCTTCCTCCTCTGTGCGTCCGACTCCATACCCCCACAGCACCCTCTCAGCCTCTTTCTTCCGCTCCCTCAACCGCTCCCTCCCATCCCGCAAATTCCTAACATATTCCTGCAGCGCACTCTTGACTTGCTCCGTGTACACCATTTTCTCACCCCTCATCGCTTTCTCCTTGACTTGATACTGCAAAGACTGAGCCGATATCGAAAGTAACTCAGCATGCGCCTTCACATGCCGGGAGACGGAGCCATGCACGCTTTGCTCCAAAATCAAAATCACCAGCGTCGTAGCGAGATGATATAATCCCAGCAGTGTTGTAGTCTTCGACACCAAGCCCGCGCGTCTAGCCGTCAAATCTCGCTTCTTGGCAGCATTGTCAGCTTGTAAGGTTTTGATACTGTCATGTAGTTTCGGTATGGTTCGGTGCAGGAACGATGGATTGGTTGTTGGTGTTAGTATTCGTGCTAGGGCGAGAGCTTGTGTTTGTAGGTGCGTTGAAATCAGGGAACCGATTTGCGGGAGGTAGGAAGGGAGGGATGTCCATTGGGAGGTTGATTCTAAAAGCTTGATCGAGGATTGGGGGAGGGGGGCGGATGTGAGGCGTGCGGACAGGAGGAGGATGAGTTCGAGGAGCTCGGTGGGGAGAGTCGCGGGCGTTTTCGCGGAGGGTTTGGATTTTGACGTTGTGCTGGTAGTGGGTGCGGCGAGGTCGAGATGGCTGAGGGCATTACGTAGGAGATGGACCTTTGCTGCGCGGATTCGGGCCGTTTTGAGGGACTGTGATCTTGTTAGAAGAGATAAAAGCGCGGGCGTGGGGTTGCACTTCTGTCACGGCTTCCAGCTCCTTTTGTGCGTGGTGGTTCTTGGTTGAGCCGTTTGGGTTTAAGATGTTGTTTGCCAGTGTGGCATGAAGAGCTGCGAATTTAGGATTGCTTTGCAGCACGGAATCTTCAATTGGTGGTAGCATTTTGGCATTGTATTGAAGGAGGGAGGTTGTGTTTGGTGAGGCTGTTTACGAATTGTGGGAGACGCGGCTGAGGCGCGCTTTCGAACCTCATCTCTCTTCTCCACAATTTCGACTTTCACATCATATTGGGCCGATGGCCGCTTCTTTTTAGCACCCCACAAAGCATTGATCAATGTACATTCGCACTTGTTCAATCAATGAGCCTCCTCTTTTGATCCAGCACGACGAAACCCGACCTTGGAGATTCACCCGGCGCCAGGACCGGCTTCTGCATTACTGGCAACAACAAGGACTTTCATCACAGCTAAAATCATCGTCTGCAAGCCGATTTGGGTGAGTGGGATGAGTCTATTGAGCAACAGGCCGAGAAAATCGAAAAATATGAGTGAAAACTCGGGGGCCTGAGACCGAGGATCAAGCATCTCGAAAAGTGGCTCGAATGGTCCCGTCCTTACGTACCTTCCTCCGCAGCCACACTGGTAATTCAAATGGGAATCCCACTGTGAAGCCCCAGAGAGAATCATTCCATTTTTCCTGTGCTAGCCACTACATTTCGACTTCAGCATTCTACCCTCAGCAGCTACATCTACACCGTCCAACCTATCATCCGTCCCTCCCCAATTCCAGGTTATCTTCGGTAAGAAATCTCCGAGAAATTCATTATCCAAATCTATCTCTTACGGAGTCTGATCAGAAAAGTGTGAAAGTGTGGAGGTACAGTAATTGGGCTCAATTTGAAGGTTCGCAAATGGATGTCTGGGAACCCGAGGATTACACGGGAATACTGCAAAAAGAACGACAAGGTTAAGAACTTGAAGACAGATCTCGGAACGGCAATTGCTGTTGGGGGCTATTGGCAGAGAACTCTGGCTCATTAGAAATCCAACATCTCTGTGAAAACCGTGGAGCCCGAGTCAAGGAGAAGGCCTCCCTCTCATTTATCAAGCCGCGTCAAATATAAGATCACAAAGAGAGGATTCAACAGAAGTCTCTGATCGCAAGATAGGCAAGCGTTGAGTCAAGGGATGGAAAGGTATCTCATTCGATATACTACTTCCCAACGCATCGCATCCTCCGTTCACACTCCCCTTCATAGAAACCCATCCACAAGCTTATCGACCACTCTGACCCAGGTACATCGCCACTCACACCCTTCCTCTCACGCAAGTGCGCCGAAACATTTAAAGGGAATGGCCAAACAACCCAGCACAGCGAGGGCGCCGACGCTGATTAGGATGATACACAAAATTGGGCATCCAGTGCCGCCGTAGGGATCGCGCCTTGAGAGGAGGCTTGGCAGTGTGCAAGTAGGCTGAGGAATTCCTGAGGTTGTTGTAAGGGGGTCTGACCTGCTACTTCTTTTTCAACAGAGCCATAAACCAGGCTATAATGCCTAGCAGGACGACTGACCCGACGATGATTCCTATGATACCACCGGTTCCCAGGGAGGTGCCGCTAGAGCCATCACTGCGTGCTGAGAGCACGTTTGTTGAATCCGAAGTTGTTGTGTTAAGGGAGGAGCTTGGTGGCAAGCTCTCTTTAGGCGGAGGGAGAGACAGCGCAAGATGCGAGAGTCCCAGGATGAGGAGAACGAGGGAAAGAATGAGCTGGGAGCGCATTTTAGATTCGATCTCAGGTGAGTCTGTATTCGGTCGTTTTGGTTGTTTTGTTTGATTTCTCGTCGAGTATGAAGTCTGAAGTTGGATTTATGTTTGTTTGAGGAGAGTATTTTCGTGAAAGTCCCATCCCAGCGGACAAGATATACTCGTCTCTGAACAGATAACCAGGCAGTGTGAATACAATAGGCGCAACTTTTCTAATTTCTTCTCTATGATTGTACTACCGGCACAAGGGTGAATCGACGATTAAGTCATTCCAAGGAGGACTATGAGCCCGGAGTGGACGAGTGATGTCTATTAGGATGACTCCGTCTGAAGGGTCGGCTTCCCACCAAAGGCCTTCATCTGCGGGACCTCACTCATCATCTGCGCTCCATTCTCATCGTCCGTTTATCCATTCTCATTTGTCTACTCTTCCTCATGATCTGTGCCACATTATACCAAATTCTCCCCGTCTGTCTCTTCATCATCGCTATCGATGTTCTCCTATAACAATCTTCTTAGAGCACGAGTACCAACACCATCCTTACAAACAACTTCCTTATTTACCACCAATTCCCCTCCAAAGGCAAAATTAACTGCCATCATAGCCTCTTTAAACCTTCGTTTCAGCTCCGCGGGCATAAAAAGCCTCCCATGCTGCACTTCGAAATCGTCAGTCCCAATGAGAATCTTCCTCTCCAATTTCGAAATTGTTCCCTTTTGTTCACCAGCGTCACTCAATATGTCAAGCACTCGATAGTATTCCTCATGATGATGAATCGTGTAGTAGAGCAGAAACATGAAAGGGCGCGACACCATGTCATCGTGGGCTCTGCTCTCATGCGGCACACCCACCAACGTAATATCTTTCAGACCCTCCTTTTCAGCGAGGCATCCCAAGACCTTCAATATACGGGCCGTGGTAGACAGCGCGTTCGACCATTCATGGTTGTGAAAGTCGAGAATAACGCGGGGGACATGGCACAGAAACTTCGCATTCGGAAAAGGAACGAATATGTGTCCAGTTTTTGGATCAGGAATAAAGGCAAGTCCGTTCTCTTTCCAGAAGACGGGCTTCCCCTCGTTGAAAATCTATTGGCAGGTCCGCAGGAGCGCGGTCATAGGCTGCGCCATAGATGCAGATCGATTTGCATTAGCTGCCATAGCAAGCTCGGTTTCTCCCCACGGTATTTAGGCTTGACACACTCTTCAAAGCGTGGAGTGAAAGTTCCTCCTCGCTTTGCCGGAATATATATTGGACATAACGTGATTCCGAGTGAAGACGTATTCGTAGATCATAACGCGCAGTTCGAGCGGGAGGTACGAAGAGTTATTTTTGTTTGCCTCCTTTGATGATTCTTGTAGTTGCAAGTACGCGGTGTTGAGGTCGCAGCGATCTCAGTTCTTGGTACTTTTGCCTTGCTGCAAGGCTCGCCATTTTGTTTGAGGCTGCTGCGATATTCGAGCACGAAGGTTGCGGTGTCAGGTGGAGACCTGAGAGAAACATCGTGGGAGTGTTGTGAGATACAACAATGTGGAATGGTTGTTGGTGTTCGTTCTTGGCGGAGAAAGGCTTCTCTTTGCTGATGAAAATTTTGTGAAGAATATATGAAAACTCGAGGACGAGTGGAAGTTCTTTTAAGCAAAACATTTCCATTTGAACAGAGCTGATTGGCAACTTGATCCTCTGATAATTGACTGTTTTTTTTGTATCTTTTTGGTTAGCCTTCCCGTTCTGCACCAAGGATCCATAGTACGGCTCCATCTAAGCCCCGCTAAATCAAAATGTGATGATATCGACTGATTGGACCTTAAGATTTAAAAGTTATCTTAATTTATACCACGAAACTCGAACCCCTGATACTCCGTACACGAGACACATCTATCTCCTTCTCTCGCAGTGTACTCACCCATGGGAATCGCAACCCCTTCCATTGCCTTGCTTAATTCTTAACTCCTCTAAGTCCTGACGTACACTTACTCTCACCACCACACCTACTTCCCCTCCTTCCATTCCGCACTGGTTTCGGACCAAAATTGGCAATCTAAACTTCTTGTGAGCATGGGTGTCAGAGAACTTGGTAGGGATCAATCACGTGAAAAGGTTTTGAATTGGGATATGAACCTTGCTTTCCATGTATGAATTGAATTGAAATGTTTTGTTTATTTATTTTATGCATCTGTGGGTATCGTAAAATATTCCTATCTCAGCCGCGATCCCGCCAGCTTTCAAAAAAACGCCCAATTTCACAGAAGCTCCAAGGTCCCAAAATCCAATATATTCTACCAGCCCCACAGTTCCTCCGAAGGATCTGTCATGGGAACGCAATCCTGAGACTCCTCCTGTCTGACCCCCAACTTCATCAAATTTATAAGCATCTCTGCGGAAAGAGACTGGCCATGGTTCGGCATGATCGCGATAGCCCCCGAGAACTCCTCGCGAGAAAATATCCCTTCCATCTTCGCCTTCAGCCGTTGTTTCTGAAGAGCCATTAGGTACTCAAGTACCTCAATGTTTATCCCTCTCACGGCGAGATCTAAAGCGGATAGGCCGCCAGAAGTCCTTGCTTTCAAAGAGGCTCCGCCTTTAACTAGGGCGTGAAATGTTGCCAGTTTTCCGTTTTCCGCTGCAAGGAGTAGACTCGTCCGACGGTCTTCAAATTCGACGTCCTCGACTCCCTTCTTTGCGACACATAATGCTTCAATAACCTTTGGCTCATTCATAATCGTCGCAATCATCAGAGCAGTTGAACCCCTAGGAATCTTCTTCCCATGGTGGTCAATGGCTTGTCCAGTCCTAGCATGTAGGTTGGCTCCGTAGCCCAACAGGAGTTTGACCATGGCATGATCTCCAGCCAAAGTCGCTTCTAACAAAGGCGTCTGTCTGACCAGGTTCGGTGAGTTTGCGGGGGCTCCATTGGATAATAGTAAATGGGCGATCTGAGCGTTTCCGCTGACAGATGTCCAGGATAGGGCTGAATTGCCAGACCGGTCTGTAGCTGAGAGGTTTGCTCCTGAGGTCGTCAAGATCCATGCTGCTCTATAATTTTGGCTGTTGCAGGCTCTCATGAGTGGTGTCTGCCCCAGGTCTGAGAAGTCTTTGGTCAGTATAACTTGATCATGAACTGAAAATATTGATACATACTGTCTTGGGCATTGACATCCACCCCGACCTTGATAAGGAACTTCATGATATCAGGCAAGCCCGCCGTCGTCGCAATATGAAGGCTAGATTCTCCCAAGAAGTTGGTGCATTTTGGTGATACGCCATATTCGATCAAAAGTTGCAGAGCCCTCGTTCCGTCTGGGCACATTGAGCAAGCAAGCAGGGCCTGTTCAGCCATCTCTGTGTTCCTGATTTCCGCTCCTTTCGAACTCAATAGATCGGCCACGTCGGAATGACCACCAACGAGGGCGAGCAACAGGGGAGAGTTTTCAGACAGATTCGAGGGGTTCACAAGGGCTTGGGCTCCGAGGAGTAGCTGGACGATCCAAAAGTGACCGTTCAAAGCTGCGCCGCAAAGAGGTCGTTGATATGGATGGATAACACCAAGTGCCGCAAGAGGTTCCTTTTCCGGTGCGTAGAACCTTTGACGAGCACTTTCGGCTCCATCAACAGGTTGCACCACGTCCTTTGTGCTGATGACATCTGCACCAGCGCCGGCAGCCAGAAGACGCTCGACAATATCGTAGTGTCCATTAGCGGCAGCCGCATAGAGCGGTGTCGGACCTGGCATTTTTGACTTCTGATCGAGTCCTTGAGTTCGATAAGCCAGACCTTCAGTCTGGAAAACATTGGCACCTTTGTAAATAAGGTATTCGACAATCTCGGTACGACCATGTGCGGCGGCCAGGGCCAAAGGAAAGCCTGTGCTGTTTCCTTCACTCCCGCATCCCGGCAACGGAAACAGTAAGTCAAATATGTTCATATGTCCCTCCTTGATGGCTTGCATGTATGCATTCATCCCACTCTCATCAGCTGCAACTGGGCTTGCCCCATCCTGGAGAAAAGTTTTCACAGCTGCAACATGGCCGGCCCAGGCAGCCTTGCAAAATGCGTGTGCTTTGATGCTAAGTCTTGGGTCCTTTTGTGACGTAGGGTCCTTAGGATCATAAATGGTAAGCTCCAAAGCCGCGAGTAGAGCCTTTATCACATCAGAGTTGTTGCCAAGAATGGCGTTGTTCAAAGCGAGGATACCGGCTGACGTTCTGTTGCCAAAAATGTTCGAGGCACTCCAACCTGCTCGCCCTAGCCTTCGAACCATATCGGCATGTCCATTCAGTGCAGCTCGTTCGAGAGCATTGCAAAGCTGACCAGCATACTCGGTGGTGAACGACCTGCTCTGTTCGATTATTGGCCCCTGTGCCAGTTTGAAAGAATCGATGACAGCATGCTGGTTAGCAGCAGCGGCTTCAAGAATCAGATGAGCTCGAAATTGATTCCAAGGACGCTCTGGCTTGTCCAGATCCGGTCTGCAAAGATCGAGGATCGATAGGTTGCCTTTTCGGGCTGCAATTAACATCTTGGAATAGGCCCATCCATGCATAGGCAAGCTCTCATTCCAAGCATCCTGGAAATAAGCGATCGATTGCAGCTGCTCGCCCGATAGGCAGTTATTGACAACATTCTTGAACACCCAGGTAATTGAATCTCTGATATAGTTCTTAAAATCGAACCATTGATCAAATCCTGATAAGCTTTTGATGATGCTGGGGTTGTTGTGAGTGATCGCCCAGCCCATCTGATCTGGGTACGGATTGCCGAGGAAAAGATCTGCAGACCATGGTCTGAATTCGAAGGGCAACTGCTTTTGAGTCACCAGACTCTGGAAGAGATTGTCTCGTTTCTCGGACTTCTCACTTTGCGCGAACCTTGCTGCGTGCCACAGCCAATTCTTCTTTGCATAGCGATGAAGGCCGAAGTTTTCAAAGGTTCGTTGGCTCTGCTGTGGAGCTATTGATGGCATAGACATAGATTGACGGAAGCCAATTGTGATAGACGCAATGTCGATTGCGGGTGGGAATTCTTGTGGTTGGTCCACAGGCGAAATTGGACTTAACATTTCCTCGATGGCCATCCTGTTGTTGATGGGGCTGTTTTGCTCTTCGAAGTCTTCAAAGCAGAGATAGGCTATGCAGACTTCTCCAAGGTGTTTGTTGGCGTCCTTTAAGTTGAACTGGTAGCAGCTCTTTGGGCGCTCCCGAAGAAGATATTGCTGAACTGTATAATTGGCAAGACGGATGATTCTAGTCTTCTCGTCGAACACCACTAGGCCCCCATATGTCCCCAAAACATTTAAATCATTGATGGGAATCTTCTCATCATCCCAGCGGCGATCTTCAAGGGTGAAAGCCATGCCTTCACAAAGTTCCTCCATTGTCAAAGGGCGGCGAGCAGCGATCATGCACTCGAACATTCGTGAAATAAGTACATGGCTTGAAGACTGGGCCAATCTTTGTAAAAGGAGGTCGTATGTTTCGTCCAAATCCTTTGGCAAGTCCTGTAGGATGGGCTTGATGTGATCTTCATGGCTCGCGAGGCGTAGAGTTTCAAGCTGTAGCTTCACCCACAGAAATCTGCAACAAAGAGTCAGCGGATCACTCTAGAGAGCAAATAGGGGCGATATGTGGGTTATTTTATTACTTACATTCCCTTGGCCCCAGTGATTAATGTCTGAATAACTTCATCTTTTAAGTTTGCGTTGCCGAGGACCACTGGTAACATCAACTCTACCGAGTCACGAACGTAGCTTTCAATGTTGTTGGATGTGGCCGACTCGAGAAGACTGACACGGAAGCTGGCTTCTGGAAGAGGCGACAGTATGCTCAGGACATTTTGATCCTCTCTGCTTGTGATAAGGACTTTCGCTGACAGGCCCGGACACGAGATCAAAGTCTTCAAGCACCGGAGAATCGTATTTCTATCCGCTTCATCAACCTCGTCGATGCCATCGACGACCAAGATGACATTTTGAAACCAGCAGACCGTTTGCATGAGCACTCGAAAGACGTCGCTCGTTTCCGGAGTACGCTTGCCATCGAAATATTGTTGCTCGATAAGCTGTCCGACTTCTTCTGGGATATTATAATTTCGCAGGAGGCCTCGCACAAGGGCTCCTAAAACGAATGCGGGCTCGAGGGATGCCTTATCGGCATAATCGCAATAATAGTATGTGACTTCCACGTCATCTAAATCGGATGAGTTCAAGGCTTCGACGACGCCAGACGCGAGTACGGTTTTACCACAGCCAGCTAAATACAGGTGAGTTGGTGACCGAGAGAGCAAAGAAAGCAGAACTCACGAGGCCCGTAGCAGCATAGCACGGCAGAATATTCATGACCCAACCATTCTTTAAACTGTGGGGTGCTAAACATCCAACTGCAGCTCTCAGGATATCCGATTCTTCGGAGGCTGTCGTGCTTTTGTTTCGTACGAACGGGCGACAATAATCTAAGCTGCCGTATATCCTTCTGTTCTGTACCGAAGTAAGTATACATAAGATTACACTGGTCACACGAGCGAGGACCACCTTTGGCTTTCTCATCGTCTGGCTCCGTAGTGGCCGGGACTGACTCCGAAATCTGGCTTCCCTCGACCGAAATATTCTTCTCCTGAGGATTAGAATGCCGGACTGGCCCGAAGTTCTTGATGAGACGGGGACTCAGAGGCCACTGAGTCCAAATCTTCGGTACGAGTCTGCCGGACGGTGGAGGGGTGAGGTGCTCCATGGTGATGAGGCTGGGATAATGGGAAATTAAGTCTCCTCAGGCGGGATCTCAGAAGGACGGAAAGGAGTGCAGCAAACAATTCAAAGTATTGATACTCCGACAGCATACTAGCTGAGGTTTCATGAGGAGGAAGGAAAGAGATATTGAATGAAATTGCTGGCCAAGGAAGGTACTACCCCTGCATTGTTGGCCTGCACCTTGCTATCTACACAGCTAAGACAGGTGAGTTTGCCGCGCTGTTGCTCCATTGGGCGTGCAGCTTTGCCGCGATACTTAATTTCGTTGTCCAGTTACTTCCAGTCAGTGCGACTTTCAGGTACAGGATTAGGAGGATCCCTGAGTACAGCGGGAAAGGTCCCGGCGCGATTGGCGATGGTTACGCTGTACCAGGTCAAGCTGGTCAACGAAAGCGCGTGAGCGCATGCTCTAAAAATAGACCAGCCTCTCACGATTGCTTGCCAGCGCTTACAATGTTCGGCTCCCAACTTTCAAAAACGCTACTGCTAAAAGCGGTAATCAGATCACCCGAAAACTGACTCAATCTCCGCGACATCCAAAATTCCGGTCTGACATGAAGCGCGTAGTTAGTATTGTTTATTATCACGTGATACACAACTCACGTGATGGACCCCTTTCTCCTCCTAACACTCATCAGTAGCACTCCCTCCCGAACGCGACGCTCCCTAACAATTGAACCCCACCGCCCCCACCAAATTGCTACACTTCCACCCACTCGCCACTTTCCCATTAACTAAATCCAACTCCACACCCAGCATACTAATATCCCTACAAGGCGCCGCGCCGCTACACCGAAAACTCGCAACCGGATCCGCATTAATCGTTCCCCGTATATCCTCGATCAAGATATCTTCGAGCTGGAATTCGGAGCTGTTGCAATCGCCTGCTGTGTCGCTGAAGGTGGTGCATTGAGAGATGGCGAATGGTGAGCCGCGGAGAGCGGAGACGGTGAAATTGGAGAAGGTTATGTTTTTCGCATCTGAGAATGTGAGATTAGCTTGAGTTTGACTGGGGATGTGGGAGGCCTTACAACCTAAACCTCCACCGCCTCCGTTCGGTGGGTATCCAACTCTCTCTCCAGTCCATGTTTTTACATACCCTGCATGAAGTGTCTTCACACATATGATATCTCTCGCTGTGACATTCTCTAGAATCTCATACACACCCTCATACTGCCCGATACTCTCCAGCGCCACACCCAGTCCATTGATGAATGTAGAGTTTGTGATGAGGATATTTGTGCTATTAGCTTTCGCCGAGATGCTATCATCGCCATTAATGATCGTCATACGATCGAAATGAATATTGTTGCTATATATCGTGTCCACGCCATCGGTGTTACGAGCTGGGCTTCCACTGTGGGACGTGCTATTAATATAAACATCCTGCATCAGGATGTTCTCGCTTTTGAAGACGGTCATCGCCCACATCTGGCTTTGCACAAACTTCAGCCCGGTGAAAACCGAGTCACGAGCGTTCCAGATCGTGAGAGCATGCGGTCGGTGAGGATAATTTGATACCCCTTTGACGAAGTCATATCAGACTTGTCCGTTGCCATCGAGGGTTCCGGAGCCGTGTCCATTGAAGCAGATGTTGCTGCCTCCTAGCCACCATGCTGAGGATTGATTTTGATAGCCGAAGAAGAGAGAGGCGTTGAACCAGTAGGTGATGTTCGCTGACCACTTATACAGTTTAGCCAATCGTAGGAGAAGACGAAGCTGAAGGATGTGACTTTACCAAGAGAGTTCCATACAAATCGATATCAACGTTCTCTAGACCTGTCGTATTCATGACCGTGTCGACATGGTAGGTCTCGTTGATGAAGACAACTCGTCCATTCTTGCCACAAGAATCGAATGCTTTGAGGATAGCAGGTGTGTCATCGGAGCCGTCGAGACTTGGCTTGATGGTACAGGTCTTCTTGTCTTTGACGCCAGGATTGGGGCCCTGCGGCTTTGAATCATTGCAAGTGACAGACGAGACGCTCAGAGCAAACAGGACTGAGGTAAAGAAACGCATGTTGAAACAAACTGGGTGTTCTAATAAGACAAGTTATTCACAGTTCTTATAAATTCATCGAGAACAAAGAATGTGGGCAGGTGCAGTTATGCAGCCCCAGATTCCTCACAACAAGGATTCCCCGCGCGGGGTGAGACTGGGGAACTTGAGAACCGGGACAAGTCTGACAACGCCTTTTTAAATTATTCCGGGGAAACGCAGTCCGGGGAATAGGCTGGGTATTCTTTCCAGTCAGCCAATGAAATTATCCGGATGGGAGCTGTATTGAGGGTGCTGTAGACTCGGTGTAACTACAGCCGATATCAGGAATTGGGAAAAGTGTACTCTGCAACGAGAAGCACTAGCGACTAAGCTTAGCTGAATATGTAGCTCATAGGTAGCCTTTCACCCCTGGAAAACCCTGGTGTATAATTCAAACCTCGTTCGTCTGGACGTTCGCTTGGGACAAGCGAAGGCATTCCCCTGAAAGTATGGTTGACTGTACCAATATGCTGCACGAATAGGTACATTTATCTCCCCCTGCAGCCAAGAAGTAACAACCGTTATTATTCTCCGCGTCATGATACCTTCGGAGGATCATTAGGTGGAATCTCAGGAGGCCGTTGAAAGTTGCCATTCCCACCGTCCAGCTCAGCAATGAAGGGCGCAGCCAGACCTGGCAGCTCCTGTACCATCTCCACCTGCTGCCCACCGAGCTGGGTCGGTTGTTGATTTCCCCAAGTTTGTTGCGGAGGCGTCATATACGGTTTCGTAGGCGGACCTGGCAACTCCTGCACCATGGGATTTCCACCATGTCCAACCGCTTGTTGATTACCCCAACCTGCGTGGTTATGCTGCACAGGCGCTGGATACGGTTTCACAGGCACTTGTTCCGCGCCCCAGCCCTCCCCTTGATGTCCACTCCCCAGCGAAACAGGACTCTGCCCACTCCCCCAACTCCCCTGTCCCAACGGCGCGCTCCTCGGATCATACGGCTGTACCACGATCCTAAACCTCCTTGCCAACCTCTTCGCCTCCTTCTCCACATCCTTCCTACTCATACCCGGCTGCACATCAACCGCCGCCTCTTCACTCGGCGCCTCTAACCAAACCTGTACTCCCCTCTCCAGAAAACTGCCCTCATTCCAGCTCCTCAACACATTCCTTAACTCTCCATCTTGTGTCAACTTCTCTTTCACTTTCTTAATAACTGTTTTCTTATGTACTGCTTTCCCGGTGTAGTATCCAACTGCGGGGCCGAAAACGAGCAGGAAGGCAGAAGATGCTGCGCCTGTGCCAACGCCAGTCGCCCACGCCGCTGCATCTTCACGGAAAGTGAGCTTCGCTGCGTTAACGGCTTCGAGACTGAATTGGTGCCATTGATCGCGTGTTATTCGGAGTTGGGAGAGGCGTTGTGTATATGGGAAACCCGAGGAGAGGGAGTCGGTGTCTGTCGGGATGGAGAAGGGAGGGAAGGAGAGTGGGGTATATTGCGATATTTGCTGGGCGATTTGAGGGGTTGTTTGTTCTGCGAGTTCGTGCCGGCTGCATTTGTTAGTGGTATACGGAATTGGGGATTGAGGGGAAGTACAAGCCAGTATTTGTAGGTCCGTTGGGGTTTCCTGCGCCTTGGTATTGGCTTGGAAGCTCGACGGGCGCATATTTGGTTGGGTAGTGTGGGTTTGGCCCACGGCCAGGAGCGGATGCTTGCATTGATTGGTGATCTGGTGGGGTTCAAACACACTTCAGGCCATCAGCGGACAATTCCTACTGATATGTGATCTGCTGCACAATTCACTGTTGACAAGTGAAGGTGTAAAGTAGCATTCGGTCGTCGATTTTACCCCCATGGCTGATCTACCCCCCAAACCACGCCGGAAGTTGAGGGGTTGGGAGGCCATAATTTTGGTGCTGCAGCCCCTGCAGTTACGCTCCGAGCCACCAAACCAAGGCCGTGTTTTTACGTATTTTGCACCAAATAAATTCTAAAATATTGTAAACTTTTAAATGTCTTCTAATCGAAACCTTCACTACCTTCCAAAATCTCAGCTCATGAAATATTTAGTTCTAATTATTCCTTGTTCTCTCAAAACTGGGAAGCATTCGCGATAACTTGGAGAATGGGCCTGAAAACACAGACTAATGTCCGCAGGCTCGTTACATTATTCTTCCACTCTCAACTGATAGGCTCTTCAGGCCCCCCGTTGTTTCAGATTAGCAGTGACAGGCTGAAGCTATCCCCGAAAACGCAGGCCGGCGCCGCAACTTGCCCCTATCTTCACTAGCTTCCTCCTGACCTCCCAGGGGTTCGTTTATCGCCTGAAATTTCGACAATCTGAGAATCGACAGGATACCAATTGGGAAAGCCGTTGCAGAGTGCTGTTCGGCGGCTTTGAAACTGGAAGGGACGAGGATGCCTCTAGGTTTCAGGGCACGATTCAATGGCAACTTGAAGTGATTCGAGGTCCTAAGAGCTGGCTAGCCTAGGTCAACTGCTTGAGACCACTCCAGGTTCCTGGTTCTGCTTCTGCTTCTGAACTCTCTGGATTTATGAGGCGATTCCTGAGTTCAGACCACGAGAAATCTGCAACTCCGATGTACTCTTTCTTTTCTCTCCTACAGCAAACCCTGGTGGTCAGCAATCTCCACTCAAGGAAGGTAAGATTGCCTTCGGAAAGGGACTTCAAAAACAGCATTCACTCCGCCATCTACTTACCAGTGTTCCCCCTTCCCACCCATCTTTCGTTTGAAAGTAACCAGCTCTGATCGATGGCCATCAATCGTTGCCGGTTCAGTCTTAATCTCATGAATTCGAGCCCATTCCGACGGCACCACATCCCCTTTCGCATCTATTAAATCCTCCAACCCCTCCTCTTCAAGTTCCACGACTCTCTCAGCCACAATGATCGCACTATCGATGTTCCACAATCGCTGCCCAGTGAACGACCCTTTCAACAACGCCAACGCCTTGCGTCGAATGGTCGGATTCCGGCATTTAGTGGCAGTCAAATGTAAATGGGGGATATTGTGTGCCTGGAAGTTGACATTGGCCCAGCGTTGAGTCCAAGACGTCACACATTCAGTGTCGACGGCAGACTCAGCGAGGTTTACCACTTCTTCGAAATTAGTAAGAAAGGCGTCGAAGCTTGTTTCGTCAGCGGGTTTGGCGTTTGAGATGGCAATCCAGACGACATTGTGTCGAACGCGAAGAAGAGCGATTGCTCTTCGATCCCTGGTGCTGATGTGCGCCATGCTTGGGCGGGCCAGAAGCTCTTTGAGGGCTGCCTCCCATCGTTGAAGTCGGAACAGGAGACGGTGTTTTTGGAACACCTCGGCATGTTTCTGGGCAATGTCCACATCTTCATCGGAACGTCCAAAGGTGATTGTGAATTGCTGTGCATTTCTGATGACCCTGAGCAAAGACGCATTGGCTTCGAGAATGTTGGCAAACCATTCAGACTCTGGCTCATCCAAGGCCAATTCCACTTCCGAGATTGGCGGTGCAGCTCGGCCATGAGTGAATGTGGTTTGGTTCCAGTGTTCGAAAATGGGAATGAGATTGTTTTCAATGAACTTTGAACTTGAGCATGATGATCCCGGTTTGGCTCTCTCTTTCTTCCACAATCGAACAATCTGGATGCCACCAGACATGTGATTCACAGCTCCTGGAACGTTTCCCATAACTGATTCGATAGCCATAAAGAGCACACAGCTCGCAAGTACTACCTCTGTTGGGACCTTGCCGGTCGAACCCTGGCCCCTGAGAAGACTGATAGCTTTGTTATACTGTAGCAGGGCATATCTCCGATGAACCAAATCGGCCTTTTGCATAGGTCGATCCTCGTGGAGCAAACGCTGTTCATGAAAGGCGCTCAAAGCAAGCACTGAATGCCAGATTGCAGGTTTATGATGGCTGAACTGGAGCAGGAAATGGCTCCAGAAATCTGCCTCGAAGTAACCAGCCATCATGGGACCGGTCTCTGAACGGAAGAACTCAAATGCTCTCCTGTCTTCATCGCTGGCTCCCACGAGTTGGTTCGGTTGATGTGTGACGGTCAATCTCTCAGCTACTCTTGGGATCAATGGAAGTTTTTCCGGCTTGGAGAATTGTAGTTGAGCATTAGGAGCTGCAGTGGTGACATAGCCGCTGCATTCCCCGCTATAATCAATACATCTCTTGCAAGCTGGTCTGGCTTCATCGCATTTGACACGTCGTTTCCTACATATAATATGTCAGTCAGGTAGCCTTATATGGAGTGTGTGAAGGTCCCTCTGGGCAGAGATCAAGCGCGGTTTCTTGCTTACTTGCAGGTAAAACACCCAAATCGACTCTTACGATGGTTCTGGCGTTTGGCAGCGTCTGCTTTGGAGGGAGCGTTGGATTGTGAAGTCCTGGGATCCTTTTTGACGATATGCATCACGTAGTTCCAACCTTCGGGCTTGTACACTGTCTTCTCTCTTCTCTCTCCTGTACCGAGGACACTCAATGCGACGTGGACATAATACCTTCAATAGGTATGCTGGGGCAGCAGGAACATTCTGGCGCGGTTATCGCGGATCTTGATGGCGATTTCCTTCTTTGGAATTACCCGAAAGCCTTGCTGTCTCGCGGCTCAGTTGCTTTGTGGCTTAAAGGAGAGCGAATAACCGTTAAACACACCTAATGTCACGAGGCTTGGCTCTAGGCTTGGGGAGCGGGTGAGAGTGGCCCCTATTCTGTGAATACTAAACTAAGGAGAGAAGTCTGTACAGGTGCGCACGGTAGGTAAGAATACGAAACAGCCCAACTCAATATAGCCTAGCGTATCACGTGGATAATACACGTGACAATCTTAGAGCGTATAACTGATAACAATTAACTTAGTGATTTTATATAAACTTAAAGCTAAAGAAATACTTAATTACTAGCTTAATTATACTTTATATTCTCTTTAAATTAAGAAATATAAGTAAAATATTGGTTAAGGTGCTAGACATGTAACCTGGGATTTCTTGGGCAAGCTGAGGTGGAGGTTGCTAAAATTTCTGTATCACGTGATGCAAACGAAGCTCCCGGCTTACTTAAGGAGCTCCTCTCTCTTCCTCTGCTTAGCTCTTTACCTTAATATTCTCATATTAAGCTTTTACCTCTCTTAATTCCTTAATTCGTTGGGTTTGCCATAATATACAAGTAAAATCTAAAAAATTATATTTATATAACTTATACTAGAAACTTTAATATTATTAGGAAAAAATTTAATATTAAAAAAGTTCTTACTATTATATATCTTTTCTTCATAAGTGGTTAATTTGATCGAGCTCTTGTATTTTACGCGTTCTCACAAGTGTCACGTGAAACATCAACGTGACTATGCGCAGCCCCATAAGCGTGATAGGCGGATTCACCTCTACAGTACCCCCCCCCTGTTCATATGTTAGTTTGCCACTGGTGGTACCGATCTTACTAGCTAAATAAGGGTGATTTATCTGGCTGCTTTAGTACATCCAGAACATAGGGGTGCCCCACTAAAATCAAATGACAATTTGCAGCCAGACCATTCAAAATTGAAGCTATATAGAGTACATAAAAACCAGTGATATAATTGAAGCCCAAATGAGTGTATATATATATATCGCAACCCAAGCGAGAGTGAAGCATGAAAACAGTACAAAAAAGGAGAGCTAAAAGAGTGTTTCTAGCTAGTCAATTAACCACCTAATACCGTGTATTCCCTCCCTGAGCATCAATTACCCTCTGCATTCGATCGGGCATACTTTTGATCAATTTCAGGAGGAATTTCTCCGGTACTGCCTCCCAAGCCTCCCTTACAGCTGTTTTTAGCTCCTGCTTAGTAGCCAAAGGACGCTCCTTTTCCAACCAGTCCTTCATCCACTTCCACACATGCTCAATAGGATTGAGATCTGGTGAGAGGGCAGGCCAGGCTAGTGGAATTATACCCATATCAGCGAATGCTGCCTTCGTTTGACGAGCATTATGGGCAGGAGCGTTGTCTTGCATGAACGTCCACTCCAGGTGAGAGTTCTGCTCTATCCACTGCCCAATAACTGGGAGTATATGAGCCCTATAGGATGACTAGGTTGATTAGTATAGCCTCAAGTCAAAATCAGAAGTACGTACGGCATTGATTGTGCCCCATTCCTTCTCCCATATTACGAGTGGCCCTTTCAGTATCCCAGTAAAGCACCCCCAAGCCATCCACCCAGGCTTCTTCCTATGCCTTTATATAATCGTATCGCAATGCCACTCCTCGTTCTGACCAATAAGACGAGTAACCCATACCCTTCCGTATAATCCTCCAGTTACCCAGGTCTCATCGCTCCAAAGATAGCGAAACCAATTAATCCAAGTCTATGTAATATGTGCCCAAGCAAATGCGAGTCGATCGCGGCGAACCTTATCAGAAATAAGAGGACGAATTCGTGAGACTCTCCTCCCATACCCCTCTGTATCCATCGCAGCTTTGATAGCCTTCACACCGTATGGTATCCCCAAGTCCAAACGTCCAGGTATATCCTCCCATTTGACAAGCCGGTGCAATAGCAATTCCTGTATCCAACGGACAAGCTTCTTGCGATGCTCTGTGCAAAGGACAGGGCCTCGGAAATTACATCGAGAACGAGGGGTATGTGGTTGTACTCGTACATGTTGAACTTGACGAATCGTCCACTTCTTCTCCTTAAACTCTTTTACAATCTCGCTGTCTGTAAACCCCAGCTTGTATATCAAATCGACCCTAATTCGGTCATCGCGATCGAGAGGATTAGCCCTTGCCCACTCCTCATTTCGTCGTTGAATGCCCTGGAGTCGAGGACCAGGAGCACGAGTGTAGGGAAGAGGATTATCGAGCGATTCAAGGTCTTGTACTACCTGGCGAAGGCGTGCGGCAAGCACTGTCTCTTCTAGAGGTTCGTATGGAGTAAAAGGACGTGGAATCTCCTCGATTTCGTCTTCAGAGTCTGAGGAAATCTCCCCAAAGGGGAGTGTAAGCGTTTGAGAAGGAGGCTCTTGAGAGGAAGGACCTTCACCACCATTGGATTCAATATCCTCGTCTTCTTCGATAATCGGAAGACCGTACAATGGAGTAAGCACCGACCAGTATCCGCTATGAGGGCGTACGGCAAGATTCAAGTCGATTTCGCGCTCTATATCAAAGATCTGAGCAGGAGGGGTTAAGGGTGGAGGGGTTGGAGTGGGTGGAGGGGTTAGAGAGGGAGAGGTAGGAGAACTAGCGGATAAATCCACTAGTTCTACGTCTTCCTTAATCGCATGGAAGACAGTTTCAGGAACTGTATTATCGAGAATGTCCTGCAAGTCCATTTTTGAAGGTAAATAGAATGGATAATTAGTAGGAAAATGAGCTGTGGACGTACCATTTATATAGACGATTCTATAGGTGTCAAAAATCACCTGATTTTTACTCCGTATACACTTCTCCGTCATAACTGAGGGGATTCAGAGATTGCTTACCTATTAAGAGGGAATATCACATTATTGACGTAGTTATTACTGTCGATTATACTCTCTTTTACTTCTATTACATCATTTAAGAAGCCACATAGCTATGGTAGAGCGGGGAAGCAAGCAGTGATGTTAATAAAGCTGGCCCAACCGCCATTGTTTTGATAATCTTACCGCTTTTAGCTTATTATTTATATCCTCTAGTCCTAGGCAACCGGAAGGAATCACATAGCAACGATAAAGCGGCTGCCAAGGCGCCAGTGGCAAACTAACATATGAACAGGGGGGGGTACTGTAGGAGTGATTACTGCAGTCTTTTGGTTCAGTTGGCTACTATCCCCCCCCTTGAATACTTACAGTGGGTCCTGGGATAACACCACTCCTGCACTGACTAACTCAAGGGTGTATGGCCAATAGCGATTCTGGAGAGCACCTGATATTTCCTAGTTGGGGGTTATAAACGAGGTTTCAGGGTGGCGTTACTAAAGGACCCACTGTAAGTATTCAAGGGGGGGATAGTAGTGGGTAAAGCCTATCCTCACATGTCGCAAACAGGGTGCCGTTTTAGAAAATAGAAAACAAAATGCCAGGGATGCGGCGTGATTGTCTTTCATTGGTGCAGTGATGCATGCCGCCGCATGCTGGGGTTCGGAGAAAACAAATCACCACGGCTTTCCCCATATCCAGGAAATTATCCATCTCCTGCTGTGCCTCACCGCTCCTCTCCGTGTTTTGCTTTTGATTCGGGATTGTGTCGGAGCTTTTGCCCGCCTCAGCCCTGCAGACCTGGGAAGAAAGCAGTTGCCTTCACTCCTCATATCACGGCCAAAAGCTCGAGGTGTTTAAGGTGGACAGCTGCCTCCCCCTGCTTGAGCTTCACGGTATCATGAAGGATGACTCATCAAATCCTTCCTCCTAAAATTCACTCAGCCAGCAATACTAGCTCCAATCCATTTGGCCTGGTCCGTCTGTACAATCATCTCAACCTCAAGCCTGATTCTCCCAGCCGAGTTCATTACACAAATGTATAGTGAGAGGGAGCTTGACATGATACCCACCAAGGCACAAGAGAGCTCTTCTCCACCATCCTCGTCCACCTTCCCATCCTCGACCTCCTCCTCCGCGCTCCACTAGTAAGCCATCCCTGGAACAATCTCATAGCCCCACTTCCCCTTCTCTTCAAGCCACCCTCTTCTTTCATCTACAACAACATCATCCCCGTCGCAAAGCAGAAATCAATCCCCTCCGAGCGGCTTTTCCACCCTGGTTCCAAAACCGGCTCATAGACTACGACTGCCTCGCCCTTTTCAAATCCTTGGACTGGAGTCGAAGCTACGCAAAGCGAGACACATATTCAAGGAAAGAAGCAGACTGGCGAGGGATGCTGCCTGTGCAACCACCTCCCAAGACACTCGAGGTTGTGCAGCTCACCGATTGCGACGATGTACAGCTTGAGCAACGAGGAGAGTTGTTGTTCGAGGATGGAGTGAGGACGGGGACTTCATACAATTCAGGATATCAGACTGTGATGGAGCCGGTGTCCTTATTCTGGATTCCTCGGCCCATGTTTCCGGATATTGATTGTCAGGACCATGGATGGGCTTGTTGTTGTCAGGATGAGAATGACGAATTTGGATATGATGTTACGAGTAAGAGTGAGAGTATCATTTTTACTGTATCGCGGGAGAAATAAGAGAATGTCGAAATGAGACGTGTTCCGAGTTCAGGAGTAAGAGGCATGAGGAACTTGACATCGATTTGTGGAAAGCCAGGCTTCTGGCGTGGGACCGACGTTCTGATGCGGTGTGGAATTATGATCCCAATAATATTGTTATAGGATGGAAGTAAGAATCAATCGACGCGCACAGATGTAGCTTTGTAGACCTGATTGTACAACTTCATTTTGTTTATTATGACCAGTACTTGGACGCAGGATCAATTGTACCGCCCATAGGAGAAGAATTGAAAGAAAGCTAAGCAAGTAAAAGTGAGATGAAGTACCAGTGAACATACGGGGATGGATTGGGCCAACCGATCGTCATAAATGTATGGCCAGAAAGCTCGGATGTTCTAAACAGGCCGGAACAATCATATATACTGCACACTCACAACAAGAACGCCGCGGAGAAGCAAAACCCGCCTTTGCAAGTACCGTACTTGGCACTCGCCAATAGTTGTGTCTGGACACTAGTGCTGACCCAAAAATGCGGACAGAGCATCCGCTCCCTGTCAAAAGAATAGACGAGTTCAGCTTACAAAACTTGATGATTGCCACCAAGTGTGCTCTACAAGAAGTTCGACATAACCACTTGTTGCACCTTCCTCCAGATTTTAGCAAATAATTACCTACATTATTGTTCAACCAAATTTCCAGATTGGTAATCGAAAAAGAATAAATTTGAAAATCAGACACACTACAATGTCGACGTCTTTCCAAGAGCACTATCCATGGACCGGCCGTCCGCTAATAGCCAGCGCTGCTATGGGAGGCTATGCTGGACCTGCTCTAGCAACCGCAGTTAGTCGAGCTGGAGGCATTGGGTTTATCGGAGCTCTAAGGGATGTGGCAATACTGGACCAGCAGCTTACTTCCGCAAAAGCCTCATTGCAAAACGACGACCTCAAAGTTGCGAGTGAATCGACGCTGCCTATTGGTGTAGGATTTCTGTTGTTCGCAACGCCGCTTGACGATGCCTCTGTGGTGATCGGTCGACACAAACCAGCCATCATATGGCTTGCCTGTCCTGCTCAAGAGCAAGATTTTGGGACCTGGAGTAAAGCCATGAAGAAGGTATCTCCGTCTTCTCGGATCTGGATCCAGGTTGCAAGTGTTTCTGTCGCGCTCCGCGTGGTTTCAACGTGTTCGCCGGATGTTCTGGTCATGCAGAGTTCCGACGCTGGAGGTCATGGACCATTCCCAGGAGCCGGGATTGTGAGTCTTGTCCCGGAGACTCGGGATGCGCTCAACAGAGGAGGTTTCTCAGAAATTGGAGTCTTCGCTGCTGGAGGAATGAGTGATGGCCGAGGAGTGGCTGCCGCACTTGCCTGTGGTGCTGACGGAGTGGTGATGGGGACTCTCTTTTTGGCTAGCAAGGAGGTTGAGCTTCCTGCCAAGGAGTTCCGTGAGGCCATCCTAAAGACGAATGATGGCGGTATTTCCACAGCTAGATCAGCGGTGTTCGATCAGCTGGCAGGGAAAAGCTTTTGGCCCTCGGAGTACGACGGAAGGGCAATTGCCGGGGCGAGTTATAAAGACTTCAGGAGTGGTGTTGGTATTGAAGAAGTTCAGAACAGATATGCCATTGCGGCAAAAGAAGCTCATAAAGGCTTTGGTGAAGAAGTGAGAGCAGCAATTTGGGCGGGATCTGGCATTGGACTTGTGACAGAGGTGAAAACAGCAGGCGAGATTGTGACGGAGTGCAGAGATTTGGCGAGACTGTGCCTTCAAAAGGCTATCAAATGCTTGTAACGTGGTTCTTAGCTGAGACTATCAGCTCAAATTCTCAAGATGAGAATATGAAGGATGAGATCCCCTGACCACAATTGGGCAATCGTGCACCGAAGTCCGACGTCCGACGGACTAGCCAACATGGTGAGAGGCAACGCAGTACCGAAGATTCGTTGAAAGGACATGGTATGATTTTCGGTGAGATGTAGGAAGGAAGTGGGAGAAATGAAACGAAGAAACTAAGCTCTAAGCTACTGTAAGACGGGACGGGAGGCAGGGGGGTTTTGATGCCTGAGGACCCAGAATATGCCGCTAAAATAAATCTTGACGCTCGACGTCAAGAACATCTCGAAGCTCTTATCAACCGTCAACTCTGCGACAGCGATAAATCAGTGCCGTAGGCGACGTGATTTCGGTCCGGACTTCATTTTGATATACCCATAGCAGCAGCGACAATCTTCGCTTGCTCAATTGACGCCCGCGTCACCACCTTACAATGCCTCTCCTTCCGCCCTCCCACCCATCCTTCACACAGCTTCGAAGCTTCACCTGCACAGCGCGAACACTCGCAAAATCAACCAAACAACGACTAAAATTTGAGCATTCAGCGGTCCCAGAATACCCATACGGGCCTTCACAAGTCTACAAGCAATCGAATTTCGGTCTCTATGGCACGCAAAAGATCCGCTTCGGGAACATGGTATCCGAGAAGAATGAAATCAAGACGAGGAGATACTGGCGGCCGAACGTGCACTCGAAACGGCTGTGGAGCGAGGCGCTGCAGGCTTATATACGGCTGAGGATCACGACGAGAGTTTTGAGGACACTGGATAAAGTGGGCGGTTTGGATGAGTATCTACTAGGAGAGAAAGCTGGCAGGATAAAGGAGCTGGGAATGGGGGGTTGGAAGCTGAGATGGAGGATTATGCAGACGGAGGCTGTGAAGGAGAGGTTCAGGAAACAGAGGGAATTGATGGGACTACCGCCGAAAGAGGAGGTACTTCAGGGCTCGGATGGGATGTTGGCTACTGCAGAGCAGGTTGAGGATGAGATAAAGCAGTTCGATGAGGATTTGCAGAAGGGGCAAGATGTGGATATTGGGGAAGAGGTAGAGGAACAAATATCTGTCGATGAGGGGTTCATGAGCGAAGAACCGCCGAGCCGGGAGAAGGTCTTGTTATAGGGAAGTGGGACCATGTATTATCACACAGCATTACTGTCCATACTCAATTGTATCTCTGTACAATCCGAGTAGAATATCCCGGGCGATGTTGTAGCTTGGAATATCCGCCGGGTGGCTTCACAGTCTCTCCGGATCTCATCTTCACCTCGCTGAGTGGCAGGACCAGATTGCAATATTTGGCATGGAAAACACACGTGGCACGGATAGCGCAAGCCGGGTGTCACTGGTAAGTCCTTTCCTAACCAGGAGAGTATGGAAAATGCTTCTAATATCAACATCACGCTGCCGAGCTTCGAATCGCGCCTTCCTCTCGAGTCCAATTCCGATATGTTTCGTGCTGAATGCCAAAGTGTCTTAGTCTTGACAACCTCATCAATATCTCTAGGATTGGGGGGCCAAATGCAAGTGCTTCATCCCCAGGAGAGCTTTAATATTCTAAATGTTCTAATACTTTCTCAGTATTATTGAATGTATAAGAACTTGAGGGAACAATAGGAGCGGGGGCAGTTTAAATGACCCGCTTGAGTTAGTTCATTAACTGCCGCTTTTTATGTCCACCACAAGCCACCCGATCTGGGGTCAAAATTTATATCCACTAGTAAACGAGTTTTACTCTCTTGGATACATTTCGGTAGCATGAAATGGCATTCAAGCACAGTTTGTATTTTGACAATATTTCTGCAATTTTTTACATTCCCGCAACACATGCTGGAAGAGGATGGAAAGGCTCCCCAAAAATGTTAAACTAGCCAAGACTCCCCGTTTCTCGACGGAAACGGTCACAACAAACTTCAACTTAAGATTGCCAGACACAAACCGCAACTAAAAATCAAGAACCACAAACTCTGGTCATACGCGCATAACTCTAAACCCTCCACCCTAAACCGACACAGCATACACGATCTCCGCCGTATCCTAATCTCCAACTCCCTAGCCCGAGGCAACGTTCTCTCTCCCTGTCAAAAAATCGAGCTCACCTCGTTCCACATAGACACAATCTACGACCTCCAAGATAGCCTACGGAACATCGTCGCCCCCACTATACTGAAAGCCTATTTCCACCTCTGCGTCGGGAGTGGGCCCTGACATCAAAAAAATCGGGGAAGAGCTTGAGGAGCGGAGGGGCATAATTGTTTTGAGGTATAGAGAGGAACGGCGAAGAAAACAGTTGATAAAGGCAAATCGATGCATGAAGAACAATTGGATCGGAGACATGAGAGCGAGAATTACGGACCCAGAAAATGCCTAGTGACGATGATGATAGCGTGAATAGCTGCGAGGCCGACGTCTATGATGAATAGCTCAAAGAGCGTGTGGCTTAAGATGTATTGTGCAACATTTAAACCAGAAAAGTTAATCAAATGCACAAAGTTTTAAAACCATCTCGCTCGTGCAGTGTCTGTGAATCGTCGCCATAAACTAGAGTAACTCGATGATTCACAGCTTCCAAGCAAGAGACTTCCTTTCTCACGACGTCTATATAAAATCGATACACTTTGATCAACCATTTTGAATAAACATCCACGTCCGTTACTCCAGCCACAACCCAAAAGTACACCAAGTCAGCGCGATGGATACTCAAAAGCACACACACATCACACCACTTATTACTCGGGAAGACTTCCAGGCTGGTTACATGAAGCCAGGCGGGTACAGTCTTGAGGACATCGCAGCGGCTATCATCGATAATGTCACCCGGCCGAAGGAAGAATTGACACCAAGGCAAATGGAAGGACTAAGGAAGTTTAAATACCATGGATCGTGGAATCTCGCACAACCAGAAGACCTTGCGAATCTTCACAAATTCTTTGACATCTTCAACGACGTCTATTTCAATGGCGTTTTGACAGGCCACTGCAAATTGGAGTGGTTTGATTCCACGGCTAGAGGAGTCAGAAGAGTGGCCTGGGGCATCTGCGAATTAGAGCTTCCCCGAAGAGCACGGGACCCGAGATTCAAGTTTGAGAAACCATGGGCTCCAATCGGCATCAGAAAAGTCGACGGCCGGTACAACAAGGCTGGTCCATCATACAGGGTCGAGCGATATCTCAACTGCCTAGCCCACGAGATGCTGCACGCTGTTTTCGTGGTTTATGCTTGCGGTTGCATTAACGGATGCAGGCAGAAGGCCGACGTTGCCTGGGGCATTCACGGCGGCCATGACGACTCTTTTCTTTCGGCAGCCTACGCGATAGAGAAAGTGGAGAAAGTCAACAGAGACGCTGGATATTTCGGCCTTCTAGGCCTAAATCTCGATCTCTACAGGATCAATGGGGTTATATACAAGGTGCAGGAGGGGGTTAACTTGCCACCAGACTCTGAACTTCGTCGGCTGGGATTGGATATCAAGGAACTCTTGGAAGACCTTGCAGTCCATAGGAAATACAATGCCAAAGAGTACAGGGTGAAACAGCATGCAAGACAGTTGATGAAATCAAACCGATGTTTGATTAGGAATTGGAGTGTAGGAGAAGAGTGTGAGATCTGCCACTCGGTGCTGGCGACAATGAGAGCATGAGCAACAACGTCGGCCTTCTGCCGTTGCAGACAAGATAGTGCTCATTGAAACTCTACTGGTGTTGTTGGAGAGAAGATGTATGTTGTAATCCTTCGTCGTAGACGAAGATGGAAGCGTGGAATAAATCGATCCTTTCTTATTCTGATGGAGTTCGTGACCGTAAATTCGAAGCAAGGTAAGATTAGCGGTATCCCAGTGAGTGGGGGTGACCCGCTCTCAATGGTGGCAACCGTCATCATCTTTCCATGCCTAAGAAGTCCAACCTGCTCCAAGTCCAGGTGATGGTCCAAATGTGACTCGGGACGATGAAAATCAGTGTCGCTTTTATTGTCCATCGCAGGGTGGATACGACCAAGAGACACGATGGGACGATGAATAATTTTCAAAGCTATGAGAATGTCGGCCAAAAGGCTACGACAAAATAGTAATGAATGAAGCTGAAGATGATGTTTGGCAAGAGAGGCTACTCTCGAATGTATCAGCATTCACAACAAGCATGATCCCTGAAACGTTCCATCTAACTCTTGCAACCTGACCGCATACATAAACTCGTTTCTTACCTCCATCTCACCAAATACCGGCCAAACAGACAAATCTAATAATGGCCACGAAGCACTCGCACCGCCGCATCAACGAAAATGAAGTCCACCCGAAATCTTATCCCTCCCTCGCCGATCTGGTGATATTCTTCCCGAGACACCACGACTCTATTCTCAGCGACTTTCAGAAAGTCGCTCTGTATGGCTTCCGCAATGATCCTAAATTCGACCTCCGAGAGCATGTCACAATTTCAACTGCGGAGTTAGTGGAGCCGTATTTCGGTTTGTTTGAGAATTTTACTTCCTCGCGAGTTTAAAGGATTGTTGTGAATTGTCGATCGATGGAGATGACACTCATAGGAGAGGAGAGGTGATTGAGAAGGAATTAAAACGTAAAATCGTTCTAGGGTTCTTGTCGCGGGAACAGGAAGAGAAATGTATCATTGTGGTGAGCTCACAACCAGACGAGTTTGAGGGGCGGTACGAGAAGATGAAAGCTTATGTGGCGATGCTGTTGCATGTGACGATCCATGCGTTCCAGGAGCTTTGGACGTTTGGGCATTCGAGTTGTAGGGATGGGTTTGAGAAGCTGGGGAGAACAGGGCATGGGAGGGTGTGGCAGGATGTTGCGCTTGCGGAAGGAGGCGGCGAGGGATGGAGGGGCTTTGAATTTGTATTTGAGGTTGGAGAGGGAGTTTGCTGTGGTGGTGGCAATGAAGGGGTCTGTAAAAAGGGAGGATTTGGAGTGATGGGGCATGCGACCTGAGGTTGTGAAGGACGCAATCAAAGCAGTTAGGGAACAGCAGCGAGGAGATGATGGTCTATCAAGGTAGCTAAAAGCGCAAAGGCCAGAAAAGTAAGTGTGCTCCAGACGATCTTAGTGGGTGCGGAAGTGACGGGCGCAGCCTGGTACGCCTACTACCGCTCGAAGCAAAGCCCCTCACTCTGGCAGTGATATCTTCTAAAGAGGACTAACGCTTTTTGCAAGATGGGTAACGTAAATAAGCACACAGGTACAACTAAGATTAAATTTGCATTCCCTTTAACCGCTTGGCCAGAGTTTAGGCGCACGATGGAAAAGAAATCATCATCTATAGGTTGCTTGCCGTATATGGTCAGGATAGACTTGACTCACCTAAAGGACAATTGCATAGCATAAGTGCGATGCTTTTGAAGGTCTTTTGTCAGCATTCAATAAGGCTGATTACAAGTGTAGGAGGCTGCACCTTTTCGGCCATCAAAAGTCTCCAACGCTGTTCCCGGCGATTCAGGAACACTCTGACTCATGCTAATCGGACGCCAGCCTGTCTCTGCTTCTTTCGCTGCTGTGCTGTCGCGTTACTCATGCCGCCAATCTGACTTCCATCCAAGCTGCTCTGAGCCTCCTTGCGTTTCTCGTCCTCGATTTTCTTGAGCATCTTCTCAGTCTTCTGCTTGCCGCTGCCTTTGCCATGGAACTGATGTGACAAATGCTTGAACGCCTCCTTCTGGTTCATGCTTCGTCCGAAGTCGTCGATATACTTGAGCTCCACGTTTGGCTTGTACTCTTTGTTGAAATGCTCTGCGAGTTGACGAGATTCCACTTGATCACGGAAAGTGTTTTGCGAGCGAGCATAGTCTTCTTTCTCACGTGCAGACATCCGATCCAGACGGCCAGTTGCACGATCCCGTTCTCGTTGTGTTCTCGCCTTCCGCTCAGCTTCGGCCTCCCGGCGTTGCTTCTCTGCTAGGAACAATTGTTTCTGCCTGAAGACAGCATTGAGATCTCCAGACTCTGCAGTCTTGAGGATGCCTCTCTCCTTGAGAAGCTTCAAAGTAGATCCGATACCGTGGTCTAAGGTTGCCTCTTTCTCCAAGCCAGTATTTGTAATATCCTCGTTTGCAGACTCCTCGCGGTTCATCCGAGCCAGACGGTCTTCCTCATCCTCTATATTGGCATATGATTCGTCCATATCAACGTCGCCCTCTTCATCAGAGTCGGCGGTCATCGTGGTGACAGGCTCTGGTTGTTGCGAAGTGGATGTTCTCTTTCGCTCTGGCACAATGGGTTTTTGTAGGTTCGCAACAAACTCAGATGTCTCATCAATCACTAAGCCAGCTTCACCTTCGGCAACCTCGTCAGCGGCAGGGGTTGCTGATTCTTCCCGAAGCTGTTCTACAATGTCCTCGGGTCTGAATGATCTCGCAGTTAGTACCAATGTACTGCAATTCCACGGACAATGAAAGGAAGGCAATTATGAATAACCCACAACTTATGGGTCATTGACTATCAATGTGCCAAAAGTGATGAGATATCTAGGAAGATAGACCTGAGAATCTGCGTACCTTAGTTTTTGCTGCTTCTTCAAAGCATTTCTTCTTTGGGCAGCCAGAGAGGCCTGGAGGTCCTCGTCATCTACGAATGACATATCATCAAAGGTCCGCTTCTTGGTAGCGACAGCTGGCTGGTCAACATCCATAGCGCCTCTATTTGCGTGTGAGGTATCTGCGGCCGCGACTTCTGGAAATATATCATCTTCGTCGACCGCTTTTTGTCGAGTAGATTTTGCCTTCTTCTTCTTTGGCTTCTTCATTTTGATCTCCGAAATGTCGAGGTAGTCGGAGTTTGGCTCGTTTTCTGAACAAGCAGTTAGTGACAGATCAAGGAAGGGGGTTATCACTTTACACTCACTGAGGATATCAAGGCTGAAGACCTTAGGCTTCATCTTCTGAGAAGAAACACCCTCGCGACTGGCCTCGGCAGTACTCCCCATGCCATCCAACGTAAATCGCTTGCCCTTCTTTCCATCAATCTCCTCATCATAATGTGCCAATATGCTCTTCTCGCCAGTCTCGTCGACATCGTTCGGATTATATACTGGCTTCTTCTTCTTGAGCTCAAGCTTCTCGTTTAGTTTTTCCCTCTCACGTAAATCCAGATTCTCTAATTCGTCCCCTTCTTCTTCGTTCTCTTCGATAGTGGTATCCTTCAGGGTCAAAACCTGGACCTCGCCCTCCTGGAAGGTATCGATTTCGTGGCCAACTTTGACTCCTGCAAGATCCTTGGCAGTATATTCGGCAGCGGTCTCGGCTTCGGCCAATTCTTGCTCCTTCTTCCTCGCCTTTTCAATTTCCTTTTGTCGTTTCTTTTGCTTGCTCAGCCAGCTCCGGGTATCCACATCATCCTCATCGGCGTCACCCAGGCCTTTGCCTTCAAGCTTCGAGAATCTCTTCGCCGCATCTCGGGCCTTTTTGATGGCTTCTGCTTTGGCTTCGCGCTTCCTCTTTGCTTCCTCGGCTTCTTGTATTTTGCGATAGTTATCATATCCCTCGGCTTGTCGAGACTCGAGCGTGCTGCCAACCTCCTCGGAAGGAGCAGCAGGCGCATCTTTGAAAACTGGTCCTACGGCTCCTGGGACAGGAAGTGGTTTCATGCCCAGAGACGCGCGAATCCGGTTCGTCTCCTCGATGGAAATTGCGTCCGCCATGGTGCTAGAGGTTGTTGGAGGAGTGGTTTGGTGATGGGTGTTTGTGCAAGGGGAGTCACCAACTTTGAAGAGGACCGCGCTAGTGGAAACCATGCTAGCGGCCGCCGCGCTCTACAAAAATTATTTTGCCTTTTCGTGAAGCTCTTCTTTTCTTTCACAACAACAGATTTGTGCCCAGCGGTCCCTTCAACCTTCTGCTTGCAGTCGCGTTGTAAGGTCGACTGCTGAGGCAGCTCGATCGTACTATGGAGCCATCATTTTCACTGGTGTCAATCATCCGATCGACAAATCTCAGAGGAATCGGTCCTTCGAAGCCTGAATTCGCTGTAAAAGGCTCGAGCTCGGTGGAGGAGTGTACTGAAGGAGTCAGATTCCACCTCTCTTTGCCGATGACCGTTGGTCTGTGAGGCTAGGGAAAAATCCTGACAACTACATTTCGAACTTGGGGAATCAATCTCTTGAAGCACACCTTTCGTGGGCGAGGTTTTGCGACGGCATTATCGTGGACACTTGGGACATGTCTTGACGTGGCGGGCGGGCCGTGTATCTGGAGAGGGAGGGCACACAATCTGGGGCCGTGGTTGCAGGTGTTGGGTGGCCGACGAGCTGTATTGTTAGAGGTGGGTTAAATGTTATCCGTCTTCCTTCGAAACGAATGGCTTTCACCTTGCAATCTATCATAAGTGACGAGCGTTCACTGGCAGACGGCCCGATGCGAAAGGTATCGTGACGTAGAGGCGCTTCCCTTGTTCTTTGAGCTATGCTGTTTTTCCTGCAGATCTTCAACGAGTCTGTTTTCTACGTACGATTTCCTCCTCTCCAATGGTGGATTACCGGCAACGACCTTTTCCCTCTTCAACCTATTCAGTATCCACTGTGCATTACCCGCATGTTGTTGTTTCCATGCCACTACTTTTGCCTCTTCGGGAACAGTCTCACAAGACCAAGAGCTATTCCCTAAGCTCCAAGTGGCTTGAGCTCCCACGTCGGTTAGTCTCTTTTTAAGAATGTGTCCCTTCTGCACCATGGAAAAAGATGGGCCGATCAGGTGGATCTCACAGCTAGGCTATTGGAATTTGGAGGGCGTATGACGTGTTGTAAGATAGGCCAAGAGGTCTCTTTGCATTGATCGAATGACGGCGGCAACTCCTATGTATGATCTCCTTGGTAGCGAATTAAGCAACCTGGAATGCACCTGTGGACAGGAATGGGAGCATTGGGAGGAATATCTCTGCCGTGCTCTATCTTTGGAAGGTAGCGGACGTTCTTCGGTGGAAACCTGTCCCGTAGACTTGATCAACCTGTCAAAAGAGGCCCAAATAGATCTGTTCAACGCTTCGAGTAGTCTTCCTTTGTGGAGCATGAGCAGCTGAGGGGGGGGTCTCCAGCTGTTGGTTGGTTTGGTAGCTCGGTCAGATAGCCATATACCAGATCTTGAGAATTTGCCGAGTAACAAGGTGGTGGATTCAGGGGGGCTGTATACACAGTAAGACTTGAAGGGGACGGACCGATAGGGAGAAGCTTTGTGGGGTCTCCACACTCTCCACGAGCCTGCAATCTTGCGGGGTCGTGGCCCCAAATGGACTGAGACAGCTATATGTTCTGCAGCTATTCCTTGCTCTAAGCAAGGTCTTCTCTCGACCCCGCGACGATCACATGCACCACCAATCACGCTTCATAGAAATTTCCTCCCATGCGGCTTCGAATGGTTAACGAGTAACAGGCGGGCCATACTTGCGCCTCTTTGGGGCTGCCTACCGAATGCGACCTGAGACCAGCCTCCTCAACGTGTTCCCCGGAAAGACTCTCTGCACCGCCGAATCATCATGCCGCGCTTGCCTCGTTCGTGCCTTACAGAAAGCTCGACCTCACGGAGTACCTACTGAATCCAGCTGGTGGACAATATCTTCGTCATCGCCCATGCAGGCGCGGCTCACCATTCACGGACGGAAATTTGTGAAATCTTTCATGCAGACATGCGAATATCGACGGCGAAGTCGGCCATACTCCCAAGTCGCAAGTTCAGCCAGGCCGACGGGCTAGCTCTTGGAGCTTGAGAAAAGGCCTCTAGATATAAAGTCATGATGGAAGCCATGACTTCAGCTTTCTTTTCGTCTCTCATCCCCTACGCCTCCTTCAATCTCACCTCTGCCGCGGCTCACTCCATAATGTATCCCTTCAGTTCTCTGCTGGTGATGGGCAGTCTTGCCATCCAAGCTGTCCTTTCTCTACCTGACCCAAGCAGGGTTAAGGAACGGGAAGCGGAGATCTTGAAACGCTCCGTTGACTCTTTCATTGCCACGGAAAGCCCGATTGCTTTAGCTGTATGTTCTCTTCGTTGAAATGCCCCCCTCCCCCAAAAAGATCCTATACATTGGCTTCATCCAAATTTCCCAGAACACTGGCACATTCAAATTCCTGAATTATAAATACTGACCCTGGAATTTTCAGGATATGTTGTGTAACATTGGATCTTCAGGGGCTTGCGCTTCCGGAGCAAGCTCGGGAATTGTCGTTGCTTCCCCAGACAAAGTTAACCCGAACTGTGGGTTCCTCATATCTTTTCAAGAGACCTCCCTGACTTTGAGCAGATTTCTATACATGGACACGTGACTCCGCTCTCACTTTCAAGTGTATAGTAGATACATTCGTCAACAGCTATTCTGCGTCCCTTCAGACTGAGATTGAGAACTATATCAGCTCGCAAGCCTATCTTCAGACTGTCTCGAACCCGTCAGGAGGTCTTTCCAGTGGTGGTCTGGGAGAGCCGAAGTTCAACGCTGATGAAACGGCCTTTACCGGATCCTGGGGTCGACCGCAGAGAGATGGACCTGCTCTTCGTGCTACTGCTTTGATCACATACTCCAAATGGCTGATCAATAATGGATATACGTCTACAGCCAGCTCCTTGGTTTGGCCAATCATTCAAAATGTGAGTCGGAATGTTGCCATGATTCTTGACCGATCAACCACCAATGTTCTTGTTCTTTAGGATCTGTCCTATGTGACACAATACTGGTGAGAGGCCTTCTCCTAGATGTACCAGGAATTCCGGCAGTCTCAATTTCCACTTATTTTGAATCTTTTGAGAAACTTCCAGAAAAATGAAGATCTATCTATTTAAATGCTGATGATTTTGCAGGAATAATACGGGCTATGACTTGTGGGAGGAAGTCTCCGGTTCAAGCTTTTTCACAGTTGCCGCTCAACACCGTGCTCTTGTTGAAGGCAGTGCTCTTGCAGCACTTCTTGGAAAGTCTTGCACATACTGCGATTCTCAAGCTCCTCAAGTGCTTTGCTTTCTACAAACTTTCTGGGGTTCTTCTCAGGGATACATTCTTGCCAACATCAATCAGAACAATGGACGGACTGGGAAGGATGCGAATACTCTCCTTGGAGCTATTCATCAATTCGATCCTGCTGCTGGCTGCGATGCAACCACTTTTCAACCGTGAGTCATTGTTTCTTCATTGTCTGTCCATTGATTTTCCTCAATACTCTTCTCTTGTTAATGTAATGATTCTGACATTTCTTAAAGATGCTCTGATCGTGCTTTGGCAAACCACAAGGTAGTCACCGACTCGTTCCGGTCTATTTACACAATCAACTCTGGTATTGCTGAAGGAACAGCTGTAGCAGTCGGCCGTTATCCAGAAGATAGCTACCAAGGTGGAAACCCATGGTATTTGAACACTTTGGCGGCTGCCGAGCAGCTCTATGATGCCTTGTACACCTGGAATAAGCAGGGGTATATCACGGTGACATCAACCTCGCTGGCTTTCTTCAAGGATCTCAGCTCTTCTGTTACTGCAGGTAAGCACGACCACCTTCTCCAAATATTCCTCGTTTTTGGCACTTTGAAAGCCTCTCTCCACCTCTCTCCACATATCACCAATTATGCAATTCTCAAATTCATCATCCAAACAATGCTGACCAGAGGTTATCCAGGCACATACGCATCCTCAACTTCGACCTATACAACTTTGTACAATGCAGTGAAGACTTACGCCGATGGCTATGTGAATATCGTGGCGACATATGCTCAATCCAATGGCTCCCTTGCTGAACAGTTCTCCCGGTCAAATGGAGCACCGCTTTCAGCTTACGACTTGACTTGGTCATATGCCGCCTTTTTGACTGCCGCGGCTCGCCGAGCAGGCGTTGTTCCGTATTCGGTAAGCACATTCTCATTTTGATTGCCCCAGTGAGCTGTGGAATATTCAAAAATACTGACTCGGCCAGTGGGGAGAACCAACCGCCTCTAGCGTCCCTTCCGTTTGCTCTTCAACCTCAGCCACTGGCACCTATTCGACAGCTTCTACTGGATCCTGGCCGGCCAATCAGACACCAATTTCAGGCGGAAGTAGCACAACGACCACTACTACTACAACCGGGACTGGGTCGAGCACATCAACCAGCACCACCACCAGTTCTTGCGCAGCCGCAACCTCCGTTGCCGTGACCTTCGACGAAATCGTCACTACAACGTACGGCCAAACAATCAAAGTTGCTGGAAATGTCGACATTCTTGGGAACTGGAATACCGCAAACGCATATGCTCTGTCTGCTAGTTCGTACACCTCGAGCAATCATCTGTGGGATGGTACAATCAACTTTGCTGCCGGAGCTGTCATCCAGTAAGCTTGTCTCCCTATCTAGATGTCCCGCGAGTTATGGGACAATCAAATTTCCTCGAGCAATGCTGACTGAACGTTCTCCAGGTACAAGTACATCAACGTGGCGAGTGATGGTACTGTGACTTGGGAAGCCGATCCCAACCATACTTACACCGTCCCTGCAACGTGTGCCACTGCCGCTACGATTAATAACACCTGGCAATAGCTCGCACGGGGTGTAGAGAGAGAGCAAGGCTCCTTGATAACATAAATGAGGACGAGACAAGCGAGGCAATGAGGGAAATTGAGGCAAGATTGTTTATGCAAATGAAAATGAAGATGAAGATGGAAATGAGCGTGAAGGCTGGAAAGTGATGGGATTCGGACTTGCATAATTTTGGCCCCTTACTTCTTGTACAAAATTATCATTCTCTTCAAGTCGTGAGGAACTGAGTTCAGATTTTCGACTCTTCTACAGTACCCCTACTAAACCGCGATTTACATCCTCTCTACAAGTCGGTGTGGAGAGGAACATGATTGAGCCCAGAGCGTGAACCTCTATAACCTTTGCGGGAAGCAACGTCATACTGTACGAAACGTTGTTTGGATCTGCTCTGAACCTCCATGGCCCCCTCTCCGTGAAAGCTGGGTATCGACCCCTCTCCCAGTGGGCAGCCTGTCATGAGAGGAAGACAGGGCCTTCCAGCAGGTGAAAGTCACAAGAACGCCCTTGCGCCCTTGCACTCGAGTTGTCGGAATGATATAAAACTTCCTGTCTCGTTGCGGTGCGGCGAAGCACCGGCCCATCAACAAGGACGGTGAGGTGAAGATCACCAACGAGAAGCAAATGCTGCGGACTTAAGAGGAGAGAGCATAACGGGCACAGGGACAAGGGTATGAGGAAGGATACGACAAGGAAGGCACCGGGCTTGGCACCTTCGTCTGAATTTGACTATTGAATTTTGAAACAATGATCGCAGCTGCAGGGCAAATGCGTAAACGATCCCTGTATATGTCATATTCAATACTAATTAATCAGAAAAGGTGTGAAGATTGACGGTTGCCTTGTCAAAGCTCCCCTCGCTCAATCTCTCGGGCAATTGGTCAAAAATGTCTTAGGGAATAACCAAACTTGAGTATCCAAAGACGCCTCGCCACTCCCAAGGGCACTTACGTTCAGCTTTAATATGGGTCGCAGATTCAAAGTCGTCACGGCTCTGGTCATCACCAGTGGGGCTTTGACGTTCTATCTTTTCAGAAGGGAAGGAAAATAGGGTTGAAAAGCTTCTTATTATCAAATACTCGGGCATGCTTATTGTTATGGCACTGGCTTTGTGAAGTATCAACTTCTGCTGAAAACTGCAAGGATCACGGTACGCAACCCCCACTCACGTGCTGTTTTGCCGCTTTTAAGGCCCCCCCACTACATCACCACCACGACTTGCAAAATTCCCCCGGTTTACGCGCAAGCCGCAAATAACGACTCAACGAAACCACACAATTTATTTTATTTTAACAAACAGCGCTATCACCGCAAGCCTTAGGCTTAAAAGAGTTAGTGGTTTAAGTTTAAATTGAATTGGGTGGAACAGGGGTATCCAAATAGGTGTTTGAAATGCTGCAAACTTAAAATTCGTTTCTTAAAAGGGCAAGCATTCTCGCTTATTTCCCTTAGAAAAGGGAATATTTCCCTCGCCACGAAACGAACGCCCTCACCATCACACCCAAGGGCTCTGATTCACCGCGAACTCTCCGAGACACTCTTCCCTGCCCGGAAGCCGAGGGAAGGCCCGTGACAGGAGGAACAATCGTTATGTGTTGCTCATGCTCCGCTTTTCCACCCTGATGTGAGTCGTTTGTTGGCCAATTCAGGCACGTGCGATATACGAGCCCGAAAGGCCAGTTCTGAAACCCAAGTCCTTGGGCTCTTGTGACGCTTGGAATCCGCAATAGTACTCCCCCCGAGAGATTGCTTGGCGTACTTTCCCAGGCTAACGCAAAGATGATGATATTGATGCTTCATCTACAGTAGTTTATATCCCAGTCAGAGCGACGTAATGTGGATGAGTGATATGTGCTAATCGCCAGGTGTTCCACCGCTATTTCCCTTTAAATAGGCGAAAGGTAAATAGGCGAAAAACGGTGGGAAACGTCTCGCGATTAGCTCGTGAGACTGAAAGCAGCAAATGTTCATCGGCCGAGGCATGACTTCTGAGTGGTAGATAGATAAGCCACGTCCCTTGACTCCTGGAATTCTGACCACTTAAACATGTTTGCGGCTGAAACGAAGAAGACCTGACCTTGAGGCTGAAATTTCCGCCCGAAGAACCGGTAGTCGAAGAAAATGGAATACGCATGTCTTTGGCTTTTGAAATATTGAAGAGACGATGTCCTTCCTATGATATAAGAGCAAGTCAATATCCCTTTCTTGACAGGAGGGAAGTTGTCTGATTCTCATTTGGTCTGGACGCACCTGATCTCGAGTCCTGGCACAATTGCCAACAAGCATCTCAGGCACTCGTATTGGTACTGTCTCTCGACGCCCCATCGTACTACGCAGCGAAACACATTATTCTCAAGATAATTGCATTTAAATGGTAACGTGGTTCCAAAAGCAAAAACGGAACAAGCGGGAGCGATTGACTAATGGCATGTAATAGGCGCCTAAACCGAAGAAGAAGAAGGTTGTGGTGTGGGTCTGGGTTTGCGTGAGTTGTCATCCACTTGAACTCTCGGAACGCAGATGAAGACGAGGCAATGACTAACAAACGCTTCTCAGTGTCACTGCAATGCTGCTGGAATGATGTTGCTAGTGGAGTACTGCCCTGCCTGCCGGACCCCGAGGTGTCCTGCGTGCGATGTATACAAGCAAACGCGATGACCGTTACCTACCCATATATACCTTCGAGTTTCACGACTACAAAAGACTCAGCAGAGATCCCATGGACTTCCTAACCTATGCACTTATTTATTCTTCCTCGCGCACACCCCAACCAACGAGCGGGAGCGAGGCCGGTTCTTGCTATCAAGCGGCAAGTTTTCCCAATCCACATCGACCACGACTGGCGCACAACAGCCACTTTCAATCGTCCTACTACCAGTTCGATCTCTCCGAAGAGATATCCTTCTCGTTCGATCTTCGAAATGACGCGTCGCACATGAGGCATACTCTCAATCCTCCTGTTTTGTTGAATTGCAGGGGCGCTCGAGGATAACCTTACCTATGGTTCACATGTACCCATACTGTACAATTACCTGAATGAGGAAAGCGGAGGACTTGGTTATATGCAGCGCAGTTACGGAGCAGGGGTTTGCACTTATGTGAATTAGAGGAGTCGAAAGGGATCACGTACTCATAGAAAGGCGGGAATGGATCTTTGCTTCAATGAAACAAAACTTCGGTGAATTCTTGCAACGTTAGATAATGCCGGATGCACGTGAAAGAGAACGAATCAGGTACATCTCAGAGCTAATTGCCTTGAGAAGCTGAAGAGATAGGATAAAAGCAACCGACATGGAGGGAAGAGAGGAAGAAAGACGAAGCGAAAGCGCTGTTTGTACCCCTTTTTGCGGATGAGTGTAGAAACTGTCATTACATATACACTCAAGCTGCATTTGTAAACCCTTTTTCGGGGGGAGGGATTGGAATGTTTGTTTTGTTGCCTGTGAAGGCCTGGGGCCAGTTGGTGGGTTGATCATCGAGCGTGAGGTGCCAGGTTGTAGGAGCGCTTGTGTCGTGCACACTTGTGCCTTAAAATTCGATTCTCCTTGCCTTGTACTCGAGGCTGATCAGAAGCCGTGGGGTAGCCTTGATGAGAGAAGGGTGGTACCATGGCAGGCCAGAGGCCCTCCGATAACTTCGACGTGAGAAGTGTAGTGTCCGGATTGAGAAATGGGCATAAACAAATGCTGGGTGTAGCTTGTTGTCCATGACCTTGATGGACTTCCTCCCCAAGTCTTCCATTTCCTTTGGTTGAGTCTTCTGAGCATCTGCGGAGGTATACCTTGCACAAATTTCGTGATTGTGGAGTGCGTATCCTTATAGAGCGGCAGCATTGGTCCAAATCCTCTCCTCCTGAAGCCAACCTTTGTTATGCGATGATTTGACCAGAGAAGTGTCGTGTTTTTGTTGGAGGGATGGCCATGGTGAGTTGTGGTGCAAAGCTCGTAGTGTCCTAACTTGAAGAACTTCCTTTCCAAGTCTCCAAATTGCTCTAACGGGCCGTTTCTGAGCCTCCGCAGAGCTGCCTTGTATGTGCCATTAATGTGTGGCATGTATCCATTGAGTAGCCACAATGTTGGCCCATTATGTTCTCTTCTCCTAGAGCCAACCATTATGTGTGGGGACTGTTGGCAGTCGTTGTAGAGATGTCGAAGCTTCTAGTATTAGTTTCGAAGATTCGTCGGTAGCATGAGGCGCTGGAAGCTGCTAATGATTGTGCGAGCAGAGAGAAGAAGGTGAAGAGGGTCCAGTACAGATATGGATCATGCTTTTAGCTCGAAGCATAGGAGAGGCTCGACGGGCGCGGCATGTTGCATGACCGTGTAAAATCGTCCCCTTTGGAGTTTGGGTGTAGTAATGAGAGACAAGTCGTCGAACAGAGGGTGGTGCGTGGTTCTGCGAGGGGCTGCTGTTGTGATGGAAGCTCGAGATACTTTGAAACTTGAGCGCGAACCTGATGATTTCAAAGACTGATATCACGTGATACGGAATTGTTCGCTGGCCAACCCACTGTAAACACTTAATGAACGAATCATTCGTCCCAACCCCGCCTTCCAAAATTTGGAAACAGAAGATCAGATACAAGGTGCACAGTTTTGAAAATCTCCATTTCGCTAAGCGAGGTTCTTAAAAATCGTCCCCTCGTCTTTGAAAAATCGCAATAAAACTCCCAAATTTTTTAGAATCACTAAAACACGGGTGAAAGATACTTGAGTTTCTTCTCTTTCGCCTAGAGCTTAGTTTAAAGTATTTAGACATGGTCGCGTTGCGATGCGCAATGTTTAAAAGTATGAGATTTTAGTGTTCCTCAACCCACTAAAAATAGACTGTGCGCCTTCGTGACATCACCCGAAGCTTGTCAATCAACCAAAGCAGCCGAAACACAAATACTCGTACACTAATTATACACTTTAACACTTATCGTACACCGCCAGAACTGCTGAAAATGAAACTCTACACGTACAATAAATGAATAACATATGGTCTCGCTTGAAACCCAATCTCCCCTCGTTCGCGCCTGCGAAACTCCCTCCTTCATACCAACCAAGCAAGGGCAGGCAAAATCATCCTTCACGAACTCTGCCCACGCAATGTCCAGAAAGAATAGTCGTTGATCTCCGTACTTGGGCCGATGTTACGTTTCTGCAAACACGGCCGAGGACGGAAAGAAATTCGACTGCAACCTGTCGCGAAAGTCATTTTCATCCTATCTATCCAATCGAGATCACTTCTCCAGCTAGAATAATCGTTGTCGTAAACAGCGGTGCCCGAAAGCCAGTGTTTGCGTCTGAGAGTGGAATTTAACATGAATCATGACTCCTGTTTCCTGAACGTATGCTTATGGAGTAGCCGGTAGCAGGGTTGCTCGATATCTGCTGAATGGCCCGGGATTGTTGATCTTGAAGGAAATGTGAAGGACTGGATACTCGAACCACCGACAAGCAGTGATTTATGAGCCGACATTACTCTCGTTCGTGCTCGAAGTTTGATCGAAACTTGGTTAGAGAGCGAGGCAACGTGAATGAGTGTGGAAAGAGAATCCCGTCAGACAAAGTTTTTCGAAGGATTCTGATGCCATTGCATATTGCAAAACGGTGTGACTGTCTAGCAGCAATCATTTGGCCTGCTTGTGGACTACACAGAGGATTAGTCCTGAAATAATTAATTGCCGTGGAGCTCAGATGGTTGGAACTGTTTGCCCGAAAGCAAACCTAAGGCTCCCAGAGGCATTTTTGGGGGGGAACAGGAAAGCATTATAAAATCAAGGCTTACCATCGCACGCTGCGCATCGCGGTGTCCCACAAGAAGGACAGGGATCGGCTAATAAACTCATGCCGCTGGCATTGCAGTAGCACTTGGTAGGCAATCAGCTTTTTACTCGTCCTGCTTTTAAGCTCTGCCGTGGGATCAGAACATACGCAAATCCATATCCACACTACCACCTTCTTCTTTTTGAGCTTCTTGGATGAAGGCTGCACACCAATTAGCACTCGGATACTTTCGATGACTATCGGGCCGGGCCATGGAAGAATCTTACCATCCGATAAGCAGCCGTCTGGCGGGGAAACCAGGGTCTTGGAAACATTCACGTTTTTAATTGGCTGACAGAACGAATGAAAGAACGACTCAGCCAATTCCGCAGAAAAGAAAGAGAAGAAAGAGAACAGAAGAGAAGAGAAGGAGAGGAGTGCAGAGTTACCTCTTCCTGTCAAGACAAAGAGCAGTCTTAAATAATTTTCAAGGACGGTGAGCAGGAGGACGTAGTATCCTTTCCCGCTTTCCCGGTCAATAATTCGTGAACGGAATCCTTCTCCTACATTCCTTGACTCGGCGTCAACTTCGGCAGAGCAAGGTGCCGCCGCGCTGGAGGTGCCAGCAGCAGAACCCGACCCTGACTCAACCGATCAAGAGGGTGGGGGGCCAGGGAGTGAGATCGACGGTCCGATCTGAGGTGGCCTACGCTCGCGGGCGCTACACGCGAGGACGTGGGCGTTCCAGATGACGCTGTGTCGGTAAGAATGGGAATCCGGGTGGGGCTACAACGTTCTCATGGGAATTGGGTCTGGCCAGACAGGGGGCTACAAGGTTCTCATGGGAAATTGGATCTGACCAGACAGGGGGTCACAGACCAGAAAGAAAAGCACGAGCCTTCATTGGCATGACTCCCCTGTCTGTGGCGCTCATTACTCCGTACATTCAATTGCCCCGGTATTTACGTCTTTAAGTGCTTACTGGCTACCGTGCCACGCACCTCTGGTCTGTCACGACTTGAGATACACCGACACCTGGGCCGAAAAACAACGTTTTCTGCAACAGCTCCCGCAATAACTGCTATCAAAATCCCGAAATTTTGTGGGAAGTAACTTCGTAGAAGTAACCTCGTAGACTGCGTACTGTTTTGTATTATTGTGAAAGGGAAGACACGGCTCGGCAAACAAATGTGGCGGGTGTTACTCCCCTCCTACCCCCCTGAATAAAACGTAATGCGGCCAGGGTATGATCTACGCCAAAATGGCCGTACCAGCCTGGCAACGCTGCGTTTTATCGAGGGGGGAAAGTAGCGCGACTTCCCCGGAGCTGTTTGCTCGTGCTCAAATACCTTGCCTTGCAAAATGAATGGGTAGGGTAGTCGCCGAGAACGCATCAATACAGTACTCCCCCCCCCCCCTAATTAAATGTTACAGTGGGTCAAAGTGCAGGGGCTTTTTGGTATGGCAACTGGACCGTGCCAGGCTGGTTTTGCGGGGACCCACTATTACATTTATTTTGGGGGAGGGGAGTAAGTGAGCAATGCGTCAATTATGCGTGGATGTTAAAATCTGCCGTTTTCAGGAGAAGTGTGGCCTCGCTTAGTAGACCAGGGGCGACGATTGGCCGTGAAATTGCTGGAGATCAGCAAGCGAGGGAAGAAGGTTCAGCCAATCATCTCAGCTTGACCCCTGGAGGGGCAGCACTACGGAGCGTAATTTACAGTAACATCACTTAGGTTGCGTGCTCTTTCGCGATCCCGATCTCGAAACGATCAAGCCGCACGAGTCACCTCCAAAAGTGGTCCTCACGAGAGCCTCCTCCCCCTTCCTTCACTGCTCCCGCAACTCCAATATCTAGGAAGGTGCGCTTGCCTCGTCTGCTAGGCTCGCATTTGCGGCCGTTACGAGTGAGTTGTTGGGCTATCTCTGAGTCGAAGACTCGGCTCAAACTTCCTGAATAGTCCGGAGCACGAACTTCAAACTCCGAGGCACATCCTGCGCGACAGTAGGCAACGTCCAGAAGGACTTTCCCTCACTCGACTCCTGCTAACCCAACCGGGCAGCGGACCACTCAGCCACTAGGAATTGAACATTGCCCCACCAAACCTCTCTGCCTTCACAGAATATCAAAATTGGGCGCGAGCGTTCACTCCGGAGGCCACCTGCACTCTCTAGACCGCTGCGCTGGCTAACTAAAATTCTCCTCTCTTTTCCAGGTATTGCGTCGGGCGTGGGTGTTATGAGTGAGTGTTGCACCGCCCGATTGAGTTAGCAGCAGTCGACTTTAGGATTCTGAGGGAAAGTCTCCAGAAGATACTCTTCCCCCCCCTAATTAAATGTAACAGTGGGTCCCCGCAAAACCAGCCTGGCACGCGTCCAGTTGCCATACCAAAGAACCCCTGCACTTGGACCCACTGTTACATTTATTTAGGGGGGGGGGAGAGTACTCGAGTCCGTTTCTTCGGCCCTGCCCGCACGCGATCGACGCCTTGCCGAACCGGGGAAGGGAAATTGATGTCAGCATCCTAGCTACCGTAGCGAGGACCTTTCCATTCCTCTGTGCGCCAGCCTTCCGTGCTTGCATGGGCTGGAGGTGATCCCTGACCCCTCAGAGAACTATGGGCCTACTGCAGGCTCTAGCCAGCAATGAAACCACCGAATCTCCTTCACCAATTCGGCAAGCCGTTGGCCGGTATCAGAGTCTCCTCGAATCAGGTCATCCGCATTTATGCGGCCGCTAGCGTCGGAATGCCTCACCAGATAAGGAACACAATTTGAGCCGGGACACTTACTTTCCCCGATTGTGAGCGAAGCGAGAAAAGGAGGACGAACCGATTATCAGAAGTATTGATCGACCACTCACCGCCCACTCTTACCCCTGTCGGAATATAAAAATTTGAGAAGCTTTTAAAGCAATTTACTTAGAAAATTCCCAAAACTTGTAGGATTAGTCTCCCGAGCTCCAAATATCTACTCAAAATCAAAAGTTATCTTTTATGCTGCTGTTGTGGTGAAATAAAATTTGGGCGGTTGAGTGGCCTGGGTGGTTGGCCAATGAACACTTCTGCCGCTGCTCGCTTAAAAATCGATTTTCGCACTAGTTTCGCATACTGTTGTAAGATTTATTTTCGCAAGGCGCTGTAAATCAAAACTTTCCAACAGAAGCCACCTCTTCCTCATCCATCAACGGGAGCAGGACAGCAACATATTGGACACAGGCGCGGTGGCGAAAGGATCGAGTCTCAATCACGGATTGAAGGCAGCAATTAATCACCAAACAGTTGATGGTTTGGCCAAGTGGAAGCACAATTTTGTCGAGGATTGTTGACCATTTCATGCACGGATTTTTTCTTGCAAGTCCAAGCACAACGTTTATCTGATATTTATGTTTGTGTCACTTTGTTCTGCTGTCAAAGAGACGGGGAACGATCCCCAACCTCTCGGAGGGGTCCCATCATTGAGCCGAGATGTCATCATATACAGCTCTGTATTTTCCTTTCCCTGACGGCTCCGCCTCAGGATGTGAGAGGCTGAGTCGATGTCGGATTGTATTGATACGCTGTGATACTGATTATGTTATGCACTCGGGGGCTGGCGTCTTTCTGCGCCAAAATAAGTTAGTGTGATTCCACAAAGTTGAAGGGGGTGTATATCCAGTTTATGGCTATGTCTTGCGGCTGTGCATGGGTGGAGAAGAGGATCGAGATCCCCTAATATTAGGGATTTCCCAAGTGGGGCCGTAGTTTTCGAAATGAGGGGGATTTGCGTCAAGGCCGCGCTTGGGAGTTCCTTTCTCCGAGTGGAAACACCCCATCGTGTTTCGAAACGGTCAGCTGCGCTAATCCGGACCACTATAAGGTGGGACTGATTGACTTTGCCTTTTGTACACATAAGGCGTTCCGTTGATCTTGGTATACGGGGCTGGTGAACTCTTATCGGCAGCCAGGATGTATTGTAGGTACAACTTGGTTGTTTAACATACGGCTTCCACCAGTGAGGAGCCTTCCAGCCATTCTTGGCGGCGGATGATCGCTTTATCTTGCGGGGTTTATGAATGGAAGATCAAAACAGAAGGCATGATATTTCTGGCGTCTTGGCTCGCTCGAAGTATGACTTGGAGCCGATCTATGGTGTAAATATCTCTCGCAAGGTTGGGTCCTCAGCCGTAGCCTCTCTTTCTTCTTTACTCATTCTGTTATTGTTTGGGTGGTGTCGAGCCTGGTAGCCTGCGTCAGAATATTCTCCTATGATCAGTCCTTAAGTCATATCACCATTCACTCTCCTCAGCCAATGTTGCAGTTCTCGGCCATCATTTGCATACTCTTCGCAGGCACTCTATTTGCAGCAACTAATCAGGGGACGCAGAACAACCCTGAAACCAAAACAAAGCTGGCCGCTGCTATTGTCTTCGCGAAAGACAAGCCTCTGCAGCTAGTAACTTTAATGACGTTGGCTGCGCTCCCTAAAACAGGTGCCAACGCTGGCACGTCTTGATGGGCAACTTTCCAAGCATCGTCAGCAACTTGCAGAGTGTTCAGAGTGGAGACATGACAACCCAGGACACAACTGCCGCAGTCAATTTCAATCGATGTTGTAAAGTTCTGCCGGCGATCGGAGTACTGTGGACCGCAGCAGCAAATCAGACAAAAGCAGGAGCTGTATCGATGCCAAGTCTCGAGGCTCAGTGTAGCCAGATGAGCTGCGCGAGTGGTGTCAGCGCGAGTGTTACCAATGGAACGACACTGGGCGCTGTCCGGGTTTAGGTTGCAATTGTGGCTCTGTTAGCGTTCTTGACACGCAGTTTGATGTCGAACTCTTAGCCAATGGGGTGGTCTTTCACTGTACAAAATTATGCACCACCTTGAGCAAGGCCAAAATTTCTTGGTCTAAGCCACACTCATTTCAAATCAGCAAAGTTGCTCTTCGTTCCGTCTCGTGCATGTATGATGGGCCGTCGTGGAATCCATTCCATGGGCTATGAGCCATTCTTCCGTTAGAATTATCGTGGTGCTCAAAATGGCTTCGTGCACATGCAAAGTTTCGTGCAATTGGTAGCAGCGAGTTATTGACCGCCATTTAAAAGAGCCTTGTGGGAAGCCCGTTGGGCTCTGAGAGCCATCTCTGTCTCTGTGTGCTTTCCAATCCAATGCGACTTGGGTCTCCGGGTAAACACAGTGGCGGTATTTGGGAGTTCAGACTATTCTGACTGCCAGTGGATGGAGATATTGGAAGGCTCGCGAGCTCTTTATACCCTTCAAAGCTGCCCGGAACGTTTTGACTGGCCCTACGTTGCAAATATATAAGGTTTTAAAAGTAGATTCACCTAATCCCGAGATCTGACTCGCTTGGATATAGTTACTGCTTTAATCATTAAGGGTTGGCTGATATCGCTTCGGGTTGCCACGTATGGGCGCCCGACTTATCGCGTTGGGCACACGAGACAGGATGCCGCACTATCATTGGGTGTCAGTATGTAAGGCTTTACTCCGAAGTTTGAGCTAGTCAGCCTTAAATCTGGAGAACATTGCGGATGTCGTGCATCCACGTCATCTGTGCATTCGTGAAGGAGGTCAAAGCTTCGCTCAGCCCCGTCTGATAGCTCTTCCTACTTGAAAAAGACTGTGGTTTGACGCGGCTCAGCATGGCAGTGGATCTCAAGTAACTTTCGGGCAGTTCCGCTTCGGTTACGCTGCCTGCAGTCAAGGCAGGTGTGAGCTGAAGCCTTGTCAAAAGTCGAGGAGAGTTGCTCTTTGGCATCCAGCAAAGCATTCGAGCACCCCTCCATATGCCATGTGGAATTATCCCGATTGAGGCTGTGAAATAGATGCATATCGACTCACCGCACAGCCTCATAAGTTGCAAGTTACGATTTGCCGGCGAAGGGGGAATAACCATGTCCACCCAATAGCTCTTCGGCGCAAAAAACACCCGGGTTTCTCTGCCGCCGAACAAATATAATAAAGTCCCAGTATTGGATTGTGTCCCTGCACTATCTATGAGCGTCAAGTCGTTTATCCCTTTCACCCACAGCGGGCGGTGACAGAGGGGGGCGCGTTGGGCTTCCTTCATCGGGCTTGACTTGGTATGGCAGGTAGCTACTGGACTGCACAGTTCCGTATGATCTATGTTACAGCACTCTGATTGACGAGGCAACCAAGGCGCTCTTTGACTTTGGATATTATTTACCGGGGCTGCCTCTTTCGGAGCAACCATCTGACATGCCCGAGTTGTTCCCACATTACCTTGCTTTGATAAGTACTAGGCATATTTCCCACTTCCTGCTGAATGCCTTGTGATATTTATTGCTTGCCCCACCTCGCTTATTTCATAAACACTGCCATCTATAGATTGAAGATGACTGGCTGCAGTCACGTGTTGAAATGACACCGGTGACAAGCGACGAAGTTCCTCGCAGATCATTGCGCTGCTCCTGGCCCTTGAGGTTCTTTGAGAGGCGTCAATATTTCAATCGTGAGGCCGAGAACCAACCATACATTAAATGGTTGCGAGATGCTTTTAGAGATGCTTTTAGAGATGCTAGTGGAGAGGAGTGGAAGGAAAACGAAGAGGATGAGGACGACGAAGATGAGGACGACGATGATGAGGACGACGACGACGAGGATGGTGGTGCTTCAGTATGTATATCTCGACTTTGTCCCCTTATCTGATCGCTTTGGGGAACCCAACTACCTTTGAAAGGCCCCCCACCTTCCAACAACATCAAGAATTCCGTGATTTTCCACTGTTATTATCAAGTGGGGCTAAGTTGAGTTCGCTTAGATTGAACAAGATGCGGAGAAGAACATGATTGATGGTCAGCAAGAGAAGAGCCGAACCGAGGCCGAGGACCGAATCTACCCTGATTGGTTGCCAGCCTATCCATACTACTTTGATAGCTTCAACAACGGGGATGAGAAGGATGGCAAACAACTTGAAGAAAGTGGGCCTGGAAGGTGGGAGCGTGACGAAAATGAAGAATCTTGCGGCAGGCGTGGGACAGCCAGAGTCTTTATGGAAGGAATGACTGGAGACGAAGAGAATTTGCCATATCGAGATCAAGTTGATGTGGTTGCGGGTTTTGTTGAGCAAGCGATGTATAAGGGATGTGAGAAACCCGTTGCATTACTTGATGACAGGAAATCTGGCGGTCGGATGCCTTTAAAACAAAAAGACTTCAGGCCACGCCGTTGGACTTTGACCATAAAGGAACTACGAGCAGAATTGAGCAAACCGGTAACCGATATCTTACATTTATTCACATTTCGAAGCTGTACTGACGTATTGAATAGCGCTTCAAAATTAGTTCGACCCAAGAAAATTATGCTCAAAGCGCTCAAGATGCAGCATGCGATGCGGAGAGGAGGGTTTTGTAAGTTGTATCACAACGCCTTGTAATATGTCCTTTCTAATAGGTCGAACTCGGACAGGTTTCTTCCTGATTTGATTCCGTCGACCATGGAAGTAGTTCTAGCAACGGCTCCGCGAAACCATGCATTGACTCTGAAGAATTTCTTTTATAAGTACTTGACATCAAAGGCGGCTATTGGAGTGACGATTCCTGTAAGACTTGGAGCCAAGCATTCTACACATCTGCCAAAAACTAATCACACCATGTTCGATATAGTCTCGAGGATTCAAGGTCTTTACTTTCGAACTGCACATCCCTTTCTACGTGTTGACCGAGAGCAAGGAGTTATTCCAGGACCATCGGAAAGGATCCGACCACAAGCCTTTGAGACGTTCGTGGCGTCTGCCTTTCCTGTCCGGGTCTAATAGTTCGCTACGACCTTTATGTCTGTATGAATCACAAGTATCAGTCACTGTAACCGGGATTGATCACCAAGTCTGGACAGCCTACGGCTCCTTCGACACTTACTATGGATCGAGTGATAGTGTGCAAGCCTACCAGGCAACGAATGCACTCACTGGTCGACCAGACCCTCTTGCAGCTGGCCAGCTTACTGCTCACAATCTTATTTGGACGCCAAGGGAGTATTACTTCAAGGTTTTTGAAATTCGGATACAGCAAGTAGGACGGGAGTGGAGGGCAATACTTGGTCAGGTGGAAGTGGATGTTGACCAGTAAGTGTTGGTTGGGATAATGACTTCGTGACTGGTGTGCAAACAATAGTTACTCAACCATGTCCATCTATCGATCCTACTCGCAGCGTGGCAACGATTGGCTGACTTCATAGCTCCAGAAACAATCAGAACTTGCCTTTGAATATCGACTATTCTACTACGAGGGGAGTGAGGGAAATCGGTGCATGGAACGGAGAAATGGTAACGTTGCTGAGAAAATTAATAAGGAGCCTCGGGGACACTGTCGAAGCCTGGGACAGATTCCAGAGAAAGGATATCGCATACTTTCTGTTCGACGACGACCTTCCAACCACCTCTTCGCTTTTGAAATCCTCGATCAATGAGGTCGATAATGTGTTTCTGGACTTGAAGGATATTCTCAGAAAGCTCGTAAAGCTGGAAAAGGGGCTCTGCCAGGACAGCCCCCAAGGCGTAAGTACTCTATCTTTTGTATTTGCAACCTTATCGCTCTACCCGCTTTGATATGTAGATGTTGATCCAAGCAGCTTAACGCCATTTATGACCATGGGAATCACGAAGCGCAGATATTCCAGCAGAAGTCTGCCCACCATATTCAAATACTTACTTTCATTACCATTGTAAGTTTTTAGTGACAAGGTGTATATTTATAGTTCTAACTCTCCTCATTAACCAGGCATATCTCCCGCTGACCCTTGCTGCAAACATGTTCAGTACAACAGAGGGGGTTTTGCCTTTTACTCCGAATTTTGAACGATTCATACTCTGCTTTTTAATTTTAGCAGTTCTTGTACTTATGAGCATTGCAGCGTCATTTAGGTGGCGCTCATGGGCCCAGATGATTCTCCGATATCTTTGTCGGATATGTCGAAAGGCTGATGTCCCTAAGGATCTTGAGCAGGGGCTGGACAGCTGATTTTGCAGGGGAATTCCATTTTGCATTTATATGGTGTCTTCGAAAGGAGCTTGCTCTTGCTCTGGGCTATATCTTTGTTTATTTCCACTTATGATAATGATACCCTTTCTACGCCATATTATCCAGAGCACTTAATGCTTAGCGTTGGTAAATGTCGCCCAGAAAGGCTTAGCCGCCCAAGCGTAACTTTGCAACCAACTGCAGCTAACCATGGATGGTCACATTTCACCAACCTATCAACATGATCACGGTATCAACCTTCTGACAATGACTGGAATATGACTGGAAGCTGCTTCTGCCCTAACTTCGAAGGCCACGATGTGGTCGTCCAAGCCCTGTGCCCGCCAGCACATCAGCGTTGGATGCTACCTCGACCATCACCCTCTTCATGAGCCTTGAGCACACGAGGCACGACGAGGCACACCGCAAGCAGAATCTCGCGCCAATTTTCTTTTTAAGCAACCTCAGATACGAGCCTAAATGGCCACCACCTCACTTCCCAGCCTCCAGGCCTTTGTGGCGGAGCTTGGGCTCGGACCTGTGCCTTTCTTTGCATCAGCTGACGTCCTCACCGACCCCATGGATCTGTGTCACTCTTATCTTGCGGAACATTTTCAGCGGCTTGTGGAAGCTGATCCAGAATCTGTTTACAAGGCTATCCAGCCTCCAAGCACAATTCAGGACGGTGACTTAGACATCGTCTTGCCTCGCCTGAAACTACCTGGTGGCCGCCCAAAAGAGTTAGCTGGCGAACTTCTCATACAGGTCTGTCAAACTTCTCCAGCCTCTTCGGATGGTCGCCCAAATCTAACTTGTGTATGCCGTCCAGATCCAACCTCATGCCCTCTTCGGAGTTCCCTTCCAGGATGGCATCCATATTCGATTCTTTCTCTCCCCCAAAATCATCCCGCGACTCTTCCTTCCCTATATCAGCGACCGCAAACCTACATACGGCATTGAAAAACCTCGGAGCTTGCGAGATGATCCCGAGTCTAGACGCAAGAAGGTTGTCGTCGAGTTTTCCTCTCCAAACATAGCACAAGATTTCACGGCTGGTCACCTACGAAGCACAATACTTGGCGCTTTCGTGGCAAATATGTACGAGGCAGTGGGTTGGGATGTGGTCAGGATAAACTTCTTGGGAGATTGGGGCAAACATCTTGGCCTGCTCGGTTTGGGCTGGCAGAAATACGACTCCGCACATAAGGTCGACGACCAGACAAATCTCTTCAGATATATCCATGACTTGTACAACAAGATGGAAGAGGAGCTACGGCCTGAACTAGAAGCTAGAAAGAACGCGCGAGATACTGGGCAAGATGCAACGATTCTTGAGCTCGAGGGATTATTCGCAGAAAGAGATGCCACTTTCAAAGGGATGGAGGACGGTGAGCCGGGTGCAATTGCCTTGTGGAAGAAACTTCGAGACATCACCGTCGAATATTATGTAGAGACGTACGGGCGACTGAACCTCAAGTTTGACGAATACTCGGGCGAATCCGAAGTGAGTCTGAACCCGGAAGCTGTGGTCGAAGTCGCGGCCATATTGGAATCCAGAGGCATTTATGAGGAGCAAGATGGGGCTTGGGTTATCGATTACGAGAAATACGGCACAAAACTGGACAAGGGTATCGTTCGAGGTCGGAATGGTTCTACGACTTATTTGCTAAGAGACATTGCTACGGTATTTGATCGACTCAAACGACACTCATTTGACAAGATGATCTACGTAGTCTGTGAACAGGATGTGCACTTTCGACAAGTTTTCAGAGCCGTTGAGCTCATGGGCCATCCTGATATCGCGGACAAGTTAGAACACATCACTTTTGCAAAGGCTAGCCGACGATCATCCCACCTAGGTGATGCCCAACTCCTGGGTGATATTCTCGACCAGCGTGAGGACTTCATGCGAGAAGTTGTGGGCACTGGCCCCGATGAGTATCACATCGAAGGCGGCGACGCCGTTGCAAAAGCAATGGGAGTGAGCTCCTTGGTCGTGCAAGAGCTACGTTCCAAAAAAGGCCATGGTAACAATACCGATCTCAGCCTCTTGGCATTGGAAGGCGAGACGGGGCCGGACTTGCTGCGCTGCCATGCAAGGCTGTGCTCAGCGCTTGCTGGTATTGGAGTGAACTTGAAGCTGGAAGAAATTCCCCACATCGATTACTCATCATTGTGGGCACCTCCGTGGTGTGATCTGCTCCGATTGATGGCTCGGTACCCAGGAATTATCAAGTCCGCCTTTCATACCATGGATCCCGCAACGATTCTTACATACCTTTTCCAGATGGTGGAGGAGATCACTTCCTGTCTCGAGGAGGCCGAAGAAGACGAGTCTGGGGGAGAGGGATCCAGTGTAGGATCGAAGTATGCCGCTCGATCTGTGCTGTATGATAGTGCCAGACAGACACTGGAAAACGGGATGAAGCTGCTTGGGATCACTCCGATTATCAATTGAACCAGTCATTTCCTTCGAGATTTTGTTTCGTCTGAAGTCGGTTCGGTATTGGGAAGTTTCCTTCTTATGCTTTTTGTGTCCTATGCAATGCACCTTTAGTTCACGGCCTGGTTCTGCGAGGGGCATGGATTGGAGATCACATTAGCATGTGTCTCTTCAGCGTGAAAAAAAGCGATTGACAGTCAGCACTATTAGCTGATATCTCATGGAAAGTTGTCCATTAAGCTTGGGATTCTTATGTCGAGAATTATCCGTTGCATTTCGTTTTCAATCTACGAGAAATTTGCGGAAGCTTTTCTTGGGTACCATGTGGTTATCTTCTAGCGAATCGAGGCTCGTCGGGCAAGGTTCTTCTTCTAAATGAGCGCAACACAAAACAAGAATGTATAACTAGATACCCACCACCCTTTAAGAAATACAGTCCATGACGCTTTTGAACTCCTCTATTTTTAACAATTGCGAATTTCCACCTTATCTATTGACCAACAGTCCAACTTGTTATTCGTACGGAGTTGTGGGGTTGGGAAGGAGATTGAATAGAGGAGCGTATGTGCGCATCTGAATGGTCAAGGGATGTGTTATCGAGGAGGTCGACGTAAGTGTATGGGACGGAAAGTCGCAGAGGAGAGGCTCGATCGAGTCGTGATATCTGTTTGGGAAACAGAAAGGTCGGTGTGTTCTTTCCAGTCATCTCGTTTGCTTGAAAACGTCGCAAGCGGCGCATCGAGGAGTCAAGCAAGAAGGGCAAATCTCGATGCAGAGAGTCATTCCACTCGCATTGCAGTAACACTTGGGAAGATTAGCGGACGTATATGTATGGTGTGGAAGGCAGTGTCAGGACTTACACACACCCAGAACCAAACCGCCACCTTCTTTTTCTTCGGTTTCGGTGCCTGTTGGACCGTTAATTACCTATTGCTGGCTGAAATTGTGTGGATTTACCCACCATGGTACGAAGGGCACGGCGTTGAAAACCGTCCAGCTGCCAGCAGCCGGAATACCAAAATGGCTATGTTTTGGAAATTATACCAAACCTCAATGGAAAGCACGAAACTTTTTAAAAGTCCTTTGCGTAATAGAAAAGAAGCAGATCTATCTTCTGCAAACTTTTTGCGATGATTAAAGATAAGGGGGAATTGTGAGAATTTCTGTATTTGCGAAGGTCAAAATTGCGCCCGTTCTCGCTTAGGATATTGGACGAGTTTCAATGCCGCTCGCCTTTGTATGGACTCGAAAAGGAAGTTTCTCCGGTGTCGTAGAGAAGAAAGAGAAACTGTTTGGAATGGTGGGGAAATACTTCTGATGATCGATCGGTTCGTCCACCAGTTCCACGAGCAAAAGCCCAGGCTGAGTCTCCTTTAGCTGATTGGCCGCCAGCGGCTGCAATGTCTCACCAGACGAAGGAAAAGATCGTAAGAAACGCCACTAAAAGACACTGGAATTTATGGCAAATCGGGCTTAAATCAATAATTAAATTCACACAACTACTTTAAATTTTAATCTAACTTTATGCAAATACTTATCTATATATAGATTTATAGACAAAACTTTACCAGGTCATATACCCGTTCATACCTTCCACAAGTCATCACTGGTGGTTCGTGAAAGCGACTGGGCCTAATCACGTGCGTACTATTTTAACCTTATCTAGTATTCACTGGCCAAACACTCAACCGCCGCCCACTTTTACCCCTGTTAGAATACAAAATATTTTGAGATTTTTTCAAAGTGCTCAAGAAATTATAAAAGGTTTACAGTTTATAAAGAATACTCTAGAAAGTACGAATATAATAATAGTATTGAAATTGTGGTATTATTAGTCAAATATGGTTTTGAGCGGTTCAGAGATTGGGCATTTTGCTGTGAATCCTTGAAATAGTGTGCACGTGATTTGGCCCAGTCGCTTTCATGAACCCGCCAGTGGTAACTTGTGGAAGGTACGAACGGGTACCGTAAGAAGGGTGGAGTTGTTCCTACCTTTGGAGCGTTTTTGCGATTGGAAAGTAGCCCTTGTTATCTGTTCAGCTGCGGCCAGGTGCGCACATTCCATGATCAATTGTACCACAAATTAGAGCGAATCAGAAGTCTCAGATCGAGAATTAGACTGTATCATTCGCTGCATAGACCTCGCTTAAACTTGCACGGACCCAAAGCGCACCCTGCCGCAGCTGCACGGGTAGGGTGGAATATACTTACTTTCGTGGGATACTTGCTCTCGTGGGACACTTGCTTTCCCTGACTGTGAGCGAAGCGGCGAGCAAAGGAGGACGAACTGGCTATTAGAACACGAAAGTGCGCATGGCGCTGTAGCGACGCAGATCACGTGATATGGACATTAACAATGGGTAGGTATTCGGCTCTCGGATTCGACATATCTCCAACTCCCATCACAATCGCAACATCCCCACAGAAACATGGACAAACCCGCACTCCAATCGACCCCTCAATATTCCAGCTCTCGGGACGACCAAAGACAGCTTTCTCCCACGCGATTATGCACAACATGCTATGAGCAACTCTATTGTAAGTACGTTACGTGAGTGCGTATCCAGTGTGGGAAAAAGGACGGAAAGTGTCATTTCGTATAAGGCTGGAGAAAGTGGCTGGCTGCTCCTGTTTGCTGGATTGTGTGTAGGAAAGGAGCGTGTGTGAGCGAGCTTGTTCAAAAGGAACAGCGAAGAGAATCTCTTATTTGGTGGGTCATGGCAGAAAATGTGGACAGTTGTCCATGACCATCCAGTCTCCTATTTGCCGCCGTGTTCCTCTATCCATTCTGTTAGACCGGTTCTGAGCATTTTGCCTGTCATTTCTTTCATCGGTCTTGTCTAAAAGACAAACTCCCCTGTCTACCAACGAGTTATATGGCCAACTTTCAAGGCCTTACCCGCGGCTTCGCCGCCCCTCACGACAATGTCGAGGGCACAAATATTGTTATCTCCGAAGGGCGGAGTCAGTTGGAGAATTATTGAGAAGCCATTTCCGTCTATTGTCTATGGGGTATATCTTTTCAGGCTTTTGTTTTCCAATTCCCGCCGTAATTTTTCTCTCCTCTCTTGCCCTCTGCCACCTGGCGGCTCTCCCGGAATCCATCTCCATCTCGCCCGCCCCTTCTATCCCTCCCTCTCCATCCTGATACGACAAATGTGCCGTCTTTCCTTATTAATTGGCGAATTTGTTGTGAAAGATAGCCGAGCCCGTTGATGGAAAGGAATTTTGACGCAGGCCTCTCTCTCTGTCATGGTTGAGCTCGAAGGTAGAGGCATGAGTATCAGGTCATCGTGTCTGCTTGTGTACGTCGCACGCAGCACATCTGGGGGTTTGGCACGCAGGGCAGTACTCCACTAGCAATGTCATTCCTGAAGCGTTGCAATGGCACTAAAGAAGCGTTTCGTGAGCTGCTGCTTCGTCTTGATCAGGCCAGCGACCTACGCATACCCAAACCCACACGACCACCTTCTTCTTTTTCGGCTTCGGGCCCTGCAATTGCACTCGTCAATTGCTCAACGTTCTGGTTTTGATAGGGGGGGGCGGAGGGTAGTCAAATCATACCATTGCGCCTGGAATTCAATGGATCAACCCCTACAAACTCGGGGAAACTTCCTGATAAGATCGAATTGACAAATTAACAATTCTTTAAAGGATTGAGCCTGGCGGTGTGTGCCGAAAAGGCAAAGAGGGATTGTTGAGACGGGACACTACTGTACAACCCTGATCTTGCAGCGCAGCGCGCCGGGGCCACTGGGAGCACGCGCTCAGACGATGGATCTCGGGTGCATAGAAGACGCGCTGATTGGCTCGATCGTTTTCGCTTACAGTTATATGCGAAAACTCCCTGTTTTAGCGAGTTTTTGACGAAAAGCGGTACACTTAAAAATGGGTGCACCAAAAGTTACCTAAATTATCTTCAACCACCAATTGCTTCACCAAACCACGTCCGAATTAGATGAGAAGTGGATCAATTTACTCCCCTAAAGTAGCTCTTGCTAATGATAAGAGCAGATTATGGCTCCTCACCTAAGCCCGCGCGAAATCGCGGCCATCGACGCTATCGTCGCACAACCTTATCACCCCGATTTGCACGAGATCGCAACCCGATTCAATACTACTTACGAAACCATACGATATCGGAGGTATTAGATACGGGTTCGGAAAGCTCTTGGCTAGGATCCCCGGAAAAAACCAGGCCGTCGATCGATAATTATACCAGAAATAGAAGAAGCGGTAATGAAGCATGTTCTGAGATATGTCAACGTTTACCAGGAGGAAATTATCGACTTTCTTAATGAGGAATTCGGCATTAAACCTCACCAAACGACGATCTCGCGTCTTTTGAAGAGATTAGAGATTATACATAAGAAAATCAAGGCGGTGGCGGCGGAGCAAAACCAGGAGCTTCTTGAGTAGTGGTATGACGATTCTCGATTTTGGAGAGCAGATCAGATCGTTACCGTGGACGAATTAGCTTTTAATGAGCATACGGGGCATAGGAAATATGGATGGGTACCTCAGGGCTTACCTGCGGAGATAAAGATACTCTTGAAGCGATCTCCTAAGTAGTCCCTTTTACCAGCATATATGATTAATGGGTACCTTGATCCTTTGGTTTATTAAGGCAATATTATAGCCGAGATTTTTGAAGATTAGATGGAAAATAGGGTGCTCTCGCAGTATAATCCATGGCCGGGCAAAAATTCGATTATTATAATGGATAACTGTGGTATATACCGGAGTCAGAGGATACTTGATATGTGCCGGGTACGGGGTATTTGGATATGCTAGTTGCCTCCTTATTACCCAATTTTGAACCTAATCAAGGAGAGCTTTCACGATATTAAGTCTAATATGCGGAAGAACTATAGGAAAGTCTATGGGGAGTATCCAGACTTTGGAAATTATCTGATTAATACTATTCGGAGGCTTGGACGGGGGCCGGAGGCAGCTAGGAAGGCTAGGGGGCATTTCTATAATTCAGGATATCGGAATTTCCCTATAGAATTAGTATAAAATTAATGGAATCGCCATACTTAATATTACTTAAAGTTCTGGTGATTTTAATATTATAAAAGGTAGTTCCAAAATCACTTGTTACTTTACTAGAGAGCCAATATTAACGCTAATTAAAAAACACTACGGTTCTTAATAACCACAACTACTATTAAAAAAACGAAAGCATATTTAGAATTATAGGAAATAGCTCTTTTAATTATTCTAATATATAAAAATCCTATAGTGTAGTTACAAAAATATTTAGTATAAGGGAAAAACTTCAAATATTAATAATCTCGACTAAAAACAATGACCATAACGCCAGTAATAAATCTCTTTAAAAAAGCCTAAAATCCTGTAATCTAATTAGTCTATTCCTCGCCTTCCTAGTCCCGTAATATATGGAAATCAAGGCTCGATTCTAAATATTATCCTCCATCTAACCCCCAATCGATTCGCAATCGTTATTAAATATCCCAGGAGTCATAAACTCTTCCTAATCCTGCTTCTGTGAGTTGCCTATGCCCTGGTAAAAGCTAATCTCGTCTTCAGGATACGTACTAAAGACGATATCTGGTCAAATCGAGTCTCCTGCTTGGGTATCCGGAATAGTGCTTTGGGAGGGGGCTACTATATTAGTAATTAGTACCGGAGCACCCATATTTGATATAGAAGATTAATTAACCTCCGAATTCCATATAGTACGCCAAGGGGAAACCTGATCCTTTATGACAAGGAGAAATCCCCATGGAATGCCATGCTCTTTAGCCTCCGATTTCTCCATCGCCTTTAGCTATTTCGGGTTAATCTGCTCCTCTGACGCCATAGCTATTAAATTACTAATATCAGCTCGTTAATTTCGAGGTAAGTGAGCATCTAGCCATGCCCTAAATAACGCTAATTCCTCCCCAATATTAGTATCTCCACGAATTAGGCTAGACTCTCGCAAAGCACGCAAATTAAAGACGCTAGAGAAGTACTCAGCTTGACAATCGCGATCTTAATACCGGGAACGTGGAAGAGTAGGAGGAGAAGGTCGTCGATATTAAAAATAAGGCGAATTAGCTCGTGGACGGGGAAGAAGCTGGTTTTACTAGAGGAGTTTAGCTCGACGACGTGAAGCTTGCTCAATAGCCACGAACTCAGGGGGGGGAATTAGATCGTAATCAGCGGGATATACAGGTGAACGACGGGGTAGTAGTACCCGTGGGACGCTATATAAGCTAGTGGAGGGCTCTTCTCCCTTGAATTTATCGCCATAGTAGTTATAGTTAATAATAGGTTAAGATGAGCCCTCTCTTGGTTTATCCTTCACTCTCTCCTTCTCCTTCACCTTTCCTTTGCTCTCATTTCGTTATCCACTAATCCTCTATTAATTTTCGCCATATAGTATCCATTTAATAATCAAATCAGTAGGAATAGTAGTGGTATTAGCCTTATTAGGAAGCTCATCTCTCCATTAATCTATCCATTTATAGAAGTCGTCTAATTTAATCCTGAAATGGTTCCCTTCATGGATAAAATACTATTAATTCCTATTTAGGCACCCTCCCCTTTCTCCCCTATTATATCTCCAATACCGCAAAAGTAGGCTCAATCTCTCCTGATATCTCGATTGTGTCTTCCTATCCTCGACTAAAGACGCAATAGCAATAGTAGTAGCTGTTTTCCTAGCCTTCTTAATGGGGGGAATGCTCTTTTTAGCGTCACTGTCGTTATCTGAATAGACTAGCTTGGGAGGATCTGGTGTTTTTCTTCTCTTTCCTGACGCTTTCTCTGGTTCCGGTAACGATTCGGGGTCTCCTTTGGTGACGAATCGAGCTTTAATAACGCAATTAACGCCTTTTGAGCCCCTAGAAACCATTATTTTTTCGAACCTCTCAAAGCTCTCCCTATCTTGGATATGGAAGATCTATCGATTACTCAAAGCTCCATATATTTCCTTCCATTTTCTCCTAGCTTTAATCTCCTTATCCGTCTTCGCCGCTTCGTTGACCCTCATCTGAACCCAGCCCTGCCAAAATCGGTATCCATTATGTAGAATCAATAAAAAATCCTCCTGAAAAGACTCCGAATGAACTAGCTTATGGTTCAGGTAAACCTGCCAGTTCACGGTAACCACGTGGGTCTTAGCTTCGGGCTCTGGAGACTCGCTGGACGACGACGACGATATTTCGATAGTACGCTCCCTTTGGGGATTAGCTCCGCTAGCACCAGTATCAGGAGAAGGCTCTTTTAGGGGCCTGCTAGCAGTCGTGAGCTTGATTTTAGGCTATTTGGGAGCTACTAGAGCGGAGGAGGCCTTAGCCGTAGGTTTTCTCTGTCGTTTTTTGCCTACTAAAGGCAGTGGTTTCTCGATTTTTTTGCTCTTTGAACGTGCCATGGTAGGAGCTTGCGAATAAAGTCGAAATTGCCTAATTGGGATGGTGCTGGAGGTGGTAGTGCGATTGTTGGGTGAGTTTTGTCAATTATCATTAATTTTTGGTGGGGTGCGCACCAAAAGTGCATGATGCGGCTAAAATTCGCTAAAACAGGGAGTTTTCGCATATAACTGTAAGTGACAAGTGTTGCGAGAGCTTGACAACGTATGCGGGTTGTCCCCAGAAAAGTAGCTTGCTTTCGATCAACCCCGTCGAAACCGCGAAAAGTCCCAGACCTAAGCCTGCAAGATGTCTCAGAAGATATATGCAAGGAGAGACAAGCTTCGTCCCACACAATCGGATCGAGACGGATTTCAACACGAGTTCGCGGCAGATGCTCCTTTGTAGCCTTGCAAACAAAGCGCCTCCACGAGCAGTCATATTGCAACGGCAAAGCCTCGAGTTGCACTCAGCCCTGTTTGGATACAACATTGCAGAACATAAAGATTACGCACGGAGGATACAAGCGATCACTGGTAGAAGGCACAAGACAGACGGCGAGAAGAGGGCAAACGAATCCAGTCTGGCCTTTGATGGTCAGCTGCAGGGTTTCCCTCGAGGTGGAAAGACTGCGTTGGCCCCAGACAAACGGGAATTGGCATGGCAAACATTGCCAGGTCGTCAAATATTGCAAAGCTCCGTGCCAAGCAATACTTGAGGAAGGACAACACGCGGTGCGCGTTTGTCCTGAAGAGTGCTTCCCAGATCTGTAAGGCTGTCTCTGTAGAACCACTGCTAACAAGTGTACTGAAGGCCGTCTCCCCAGATTCACGGACCCTACTCCGGCTCCTTTGCTGGATCGTTCCATTGTGCTACTCGTGAAGTATATACACGATTCAACCACTAGGTGGAATGTGACGAAATACAAGTGCTGAAATTAATTGCGATATGACAACAGCTTCGAGTCCCTTCCAACCGGTTTTGTTACCCCGTTGTTCTATGGAACTATATGCAAGACGTCTGCAAAAAGCCATGTGCCAGTTTTTCGAAGTGACGCCAGGCTGCCTCAATCGCAGCCTGCTTCAGCTTCGCACCATACTTGACACCTACATCATGCAAAGGATCGAATCCGCACCTGAAGACGGCTGCTGGAGGAACATTATTGGAAAGTGATCGATTTATTGATGGAAAATCGATATATTGGAGGTTGACAATCTGTAAAAAATGACTAGATACAGGAGAGTGAAGTGTAAAAACAGAGGAAAAGTGTCTAAAGTAAGGGATTTATTCCCATTACCCTTCGGCGATACCGGTGATGCCGAGCCCGCTTTCTCCGATACATTATCAATCAGCTAATAAATCAAAAGTAATCAAAATAACGATATACTAGTAAGCTTGGTAAGCTCAGCGAGTGACGCATGACAAATGAGAGTGGAGAACCCTAAATTAGTGGTTAAACCTGGTGCTGGAAGGACTAGTGAGCTAGCTATGGTAGCGTACCAATTTCAACACGCCTCCTCCTTACAGTCGAGGTTCGACGTCAGTGAGGCTAATAAGCCCTAATTTCGATCGTAGCAGTTCAAAAGCCGGTCTAGGGAGTGGTTTGGTGAGAATATCGGCCGTCATTTCCCCCGTAGGAACGTGCTTGAGATCGATTTCCTTGGTGTTAATGTGGTCCCTGATAAAATGGTGTCTAATATCGATATGCTTGGTTTTTTGCGAAAATCGGGCGTTCGTAGCTAGATCCATAGCTCCCTGAGCGTCCGTTTTTACCTCGATTAAGCCTATAGGAATCGATATTTCCTCAAACAGTTGCTTTAGCCATAAAGCTTCTTTGATTGCCGGCGTCAGGGCGACATATTTAGCTATAATAGTGGCTGTAGTGATAGTTTTTTGCTTGGTACTAGCCCAGCTAATGGAACCACCAAATAGGGTAAAAACCATGCCGGAGGTTGATTTGCGATCCTGTAAATCGCCTCCATAATCGGCATCTGAGTACCCTATAAGCCCTTTATTAGACGAAGCGTTATATAGAATGCCCATATCAGGTGACCCCTTAATATATCGCATTATACGCTTCTGTGCGGTACCATGCGATGCTTTAGGACACGAATTAGAACGTCCTAAGTACCCTGCGGCAAAGCAGAAATCGGGTCGTGAAGCTAATGATGGCCACATAAGTGATCCAGTTCGACTTTGATATTTAGTAATATCGATATTAATTCCATCAGGTGCCGTAGGTTCGGCCATTAGAGTGGTAATGGGCATGTAACCTTCTATTTAATACCTTAGGAGCATGTTCATAAGATATCGATTTTGGTATAAAAACACCGAACCGTCCCGCAAACGTACGATTTCCATACCCAGAAGCGTTTTGATTTCTCCCATATTGGTCATATCAAACTTCTGATATAATTGAGCTTTGATTCTATTAATATGGTTCATGTTTTTTCCTATAATAATCATATCGTCCACGTAAATAGCAATTAGAATTAGTAGCTAATCAACCTCGTGTTCCCGGTAGATATAGAGCGCTGGATCACTAAGTAATTACTGGAACCCAATAGAGTGGAAAAAACGATTAATTACCTGATACCAAACCCTAGGGGCTTGTTTCAGGCCATAAATGCTCTTCCGTAAGCGGCAAATAAGGTTCATTCCTTCGGTAAAACCAGGAGGTTATTCCATATAGCACTCTTCTTCTAATTCTCTATATAGAAACGCTGTCTGAATGTCTATTTGTTGGATATATAGCCCATATTTAGCTGCTAGGGCTAACATGATTCGAATGGTAGAAAGTCTAGTAACTAGTGCAAACGTTTCAAAGTAATCTACGCCATATTCTTGCGTATAGCCTTGTGCTATAAGCCTAGATTTGTGGCGTCTATTAGACTTGATTTTGAAGATCCAGCGGTATCCGATGGTTTTTTGGTATTTTCGTACCACTAGATCCCAGGTATAATTCCGCAAATAGGAGTCCAGTTCTTTCTTAATCGAAGGTCTCCAAAGATAGGCATCTGGACCAGAGAGAGCTTCTTTAATTAATAATGGAATTTTGGAAGCTTCTGTATTCTGGTTACTGACTATTAAAGCTCGGTGATCCACTGTTTCCCCGGTAATTCTAGTCGATTTCGGACGTCTAGGGAGTAGTTTACCCCTAAAACTGACCATTTTAGGCGCCTCCTGATTTGTAGAACCCTGTTCAGAAGCACCTGTGGGTGCTATAGGTTCTTGGTTGTTCTCAAATAGGGGCTCAGGGGGCTCGCTTAGGTCAGGAGCACCCCTAATTGCGTTACGTGACGCGTTTTTAGTAGTACCCCCTTTGGTATCGGAGTAATTTTCTCTATTATTTTCTAATAGATTATTAAGCTATTAATTTCCAGTATTGATAATAATGGTATCTCCGTAATCTGTATCGGGGTTATCCGAATTATCGGTGGAACCATCGTCAGATTCTGTAGTAGTTCCTACTAGTCTTCTATATAGCTAGGACGCTGGGTTTAGGAGTAAAACTCCCTTAACGTGTTCTTTAATGGTATAATGGTTGGAAACGACGAATATACGCTTGCGTGGGTTCCAAATTCGATATCCGGAACTACCATAGCCAGTGAAAATGCCCCTAAAGGCCTTGGCCATATGCTTGTGCCATGAAGCTATTTCCTTAGGTATATGGATATATGCTAAGGAACCAAATATGCGTAAATTGGAAACGTCCGGTTTAGCCCTATAGAACGCTTTATACGGAGTTATACCGATTTTGGGTAGGTGGCACCGATTATAGGCATAAATCCCATGTGTAGCTGCTTCCTCCCAAAACTCGTATAGCAAGCCTAATTATTCTAGCTCCGTACGCTCTGATTCGATAATTGTACGTATACTGCGTTCAGAAATACCATTCTATTCAGGTATATAGGTAGTGGTTAGTTCCAAGCGAATACTCTTTGATTTACACTATTCCTTGACTTGGCCCGATACAAATTCCGGAGCATTATCAAGATGTAGGCGTTTGACTTTATTCCCAGTTTGGGTTTCAGAGAAGGTAACCTGGTCTTGGAGATCGGTAAAATAGCTCTTTCTGTCCGAATTATATACTGCCATGTGATATTTAGATCCCTTATAAGTAATAGATAGTATATAAGTATTTCCGCTAAGGGAGGCTACCCTTGATAGCCCCCACATGTCGATTGCGATATACTTCCCTGGAAGCAGTTTTTCAGGGTATAAATCGCTTATACTAGCCCTAGTGATTTTGCTCATATTACAGGGATCGTAGTCAAATGGGTTTTGATTTTTGAATTGGAGTTCATTAACATGATTTACCGATTCCAGAATATACTTCGTATTCAGGTAGCCATATCTCTGGTGCCAGATTTCCAGGGAGGCTAGCGCGTCCGATTTTGACGATTTTAGGGCACGCCCTGAACTAAATTGGTCAAGCTGATATAACCCAGTAGATGGTTTATATATACCGGTTACTATAGTCATTCCATTATTAATAATATAAGCTTTCCCAGTAGAAAAATTAACGCTTCCTCTAGCTTGGGTAATTTTGGGAATCGATAATAATAACGTGTTTCGGAATTGGGGGCTATATAGTATATTGTTTAGCTATACTTTTAGCTCAGGAGTGGTTGACAAAATAATGGTTCCCTTACCCTTAATGAGAATTGTAGATTCGTTACCAAGGGTAATAGGGAACGGTTCCATATCTTCGTAGGTAATGAAGGAGCTTTTACTTCCCGTAAAATGGTCCGTAGCGCCCGAATCAATATACCAGATATTCGTAAAATCGTCGTCGAGTAATTAGCTACTAAACAGGGCACTGAATGTCGATTTTCCAGTAGTTGATTTTTTGGCAGTATAAGCTTTTTTATAGATAGTTAATAGAGCTGATAGCGCCTCCTAATTAGTGGAATTAGAGTCCTTTCCATTGGAATTGAAGTAATCCTAGGCCAATTTATACATAGTATAGTCTTTAATATCATGTCCTTTGAATTTATGGAACATATAATAGGCATTTAGATCCCTTCCCCGCTTCGGCTTATTCGACTGATTTTCTCCACTCCCTTGGACAGCTAGTGCCTTTGGAGTGGTATCTGGGTTGAAAGCGGGAGGTTTAGCCCTAAGCTTCTCTTTCTTGGTAGAAGCGTCCGCTTTGAGTAATTCCAGCTTCAATTTATCGACGTTAGCTCTGATGGAATTCAGGAGGGGCTTATATAAGTCGTATTCCTTTAGGAGGCCACGAATCAGGTATCCGGACACAGAAACATTCGAAATCGACCCATTTACCCCCTTGATTTCAGCTACTTTGCGACTAATGCGGTTAATGAAGTCATCCATTCCCTTGGTACTATCAAATATAATAGTTTCCATTTATTAAAGGTATAGGGCTTCCTTTTGAGCTTTTAGCTATTCAGCTTTGACTTAAATCTCGCTCCAAACCAGGTGTGCGAGCTTAATTTCCTTGAATTGTTACCAGGTATCGTGGGTAATAAGTAAACTTAGTACCGCTCTGGCGATTGCTAATTAACGAGCAATCGATTTATCGTCCTTTTAGGACGAAATAAGGGCAGGAGCTTGATCAGGATCGACAAATTACCATAGATCTTCGACTATAAAGAGATTCATAGCGTCGTCCATCCAGGAGTAGATATTATCGTCCGAGAGAGGCTCGATTTTGGTATCTTTATAGGTGACATGGGTTGATTTTTTGGAATCCGGCATATTGGATTTTGCGGAGAATTTCTAACCGAAAATGGCTGTGTTTTTGGCGAATTCTGCTGACGCAAAGCCAAACTAATAGGTATAATTCACCAAAATTAACGATTTTGATAAATTTTGGTAATAGTTTTTGGAATAGACAAGTAAGTACTAAGGTCAAGTGACGCTTGGATCGCTTAGTAAAGCACTAGCCGGGCTCAGAACCTATTGGAAAGTGATCGATTTATTGATGGAAAATCGATATATTAGAGGTTAACAATCTGTAAAAAATAACTAGATACAGGAGAGTGAAGTATAAAAACAGAGGAAAAGTGTCTAAAGTAAGGGATTTATTCCCATTACCCTTCGGCGATACCGGTAATGCCGAGCCCGCTTTCTCCGATACATTATCAATCAGCTGATAAATCAAAAGTAATCAAAATGACGATATACTAGTAAGCTTGGTAAGCTCAGCGAGTGACGCATGACAAATGAGAGTGGAGAACCCTAAATTAGTGGTTGAACCTGGTGCTGGAAGGACTGGTGAGCTAGCTATGGTAGCGTACCAATTTCAACAAACATTCCCCAGATCGCTGAGATATGGAATCCCACGAGGGATATACTTGCGAGTCGGAGCCGGGAAGCCAATAGGCTGCGAATGAGAAATGCCGTTGTGTATACACCTGTTAGCAATGCACCGTTGGCATAAGGACGCTACTTTCCAGTCCGAGTAGCGGCCAATGATCTTCTGTGCAGCGGCCAGCATGCCGAATGGCAGCCTCGCCTCAGGATAGAGCAATAGCTGAGCTGCGAGAGATTTTCTTATCTGTCTCAACCTCAAATTCAAAGTCGCTGTTCATATTTCCACCAGCCCTATCACCATCTTCCATCACTCGAACCTTAATTATGCCTCGCGCCTTATCCCCCTCGCCCGGCAACCACTCGACGACAGCCTCATACTCATCCAGCTGCGCTGGCGATCACGCCATTCGGGAGGTAGTCGATACTCGACAGCATAGACGTGCACATCGGACTCCTCCGCTAGGATCCTTAACCCATTCCCAACCTCATCCACGGTACGAACAGTGTATCCGCCACCGTGAAGATATAGGAGCGTTGCTACGTCCACAACTTTACGCTTTTCTACTCTGAATTTCGGGTAGAAGACTCCAATTGGGATGTTGCCATGAGGACCACAAATTGCGGTGAACTCGCGGATTGGCGCTTGCGGTGTGCGGGGGTAGGGCCGGGAGGCAGAACACTTTGTGTAATGCGCGCTCTCGTCGTGGAAGTCCCCCGAGCCTCCCAAGTGGAGCTCGGTGTTCTTGGAGAGGAAGACTCTGAATTCGGGATCAAGAGTAGTTCGTGGGCCGACGCTCGAGAGGTTGAATGAAGACATCGTAGGGAGAGAACAGCTGTTCGACAAAGGATATGATGGACAATCCAATAGCTAGACATATGCTGCAACGTTATAGCAGGAACTACCTGCATTTATTCTGTGATATCAGATTCCACCATGCAATCAACGAACTTAGAGAACAGACCCGGAAAATGACCCGCGACCAAAACTGCATTATTCCAGGGACTCGCTCAGATTGTTGAAAACAGAGGCTGGAGCTGTGAGAGGGGAAGAGATCACAGTTGCTTTATTGGCTCGGGTGGGGCGTGGTGAGGCGAAGGAAGCCATGACTAGCACTGGGGATGGTTTCCTCGGGTTTGTGTGTGTGAAAGAATTCTACTACTGCTTTAGCGATGGACCGGGTAACCCCGGCCTCCTCCTAGAATAGGCGAACCCCTGCTAGTTTCAACCTTCTGAATGAATTTCCGTGGCAATAACTGGGGCTACTGGAAGCAGGAACGCGGCTCTTCTTCCATTGCCACTGGCACAACAGTACGAAGAGTTGCAGTTGGTCGGAGCAGCATGCAGCCTGACGATATGTGAACGCGAAACAGAACAGCCGGTATCGGTTATTGTTTAAGCGGGTAGACTCGGGGTGCTGTCGACTCGTTGGGCTCTCTCTTAGGGGGGGAAGCATCCTCTTGTTCAAGCCAGCGGCTCCCGAGGACCTCTTTTTTTGACTTAAGCGCCGTACACGCAAGGGTAGTGGAATTAAGTGGAGTTGATGAGAGAACTCACGTGACATCTATTTTGGGAACGATGGGGAGGACACTGCCTGGTCGAACTGCACACATGGTTTTCGGCTCATATAGCATGTGGTCCTCTTACTCTTTCGAGACCGACGCATAACAAGATCTGATTGCAAAATCTTTAAGCTGGGATGTGTGGTGGAAAGAAGGAGCAAAGGAAAGGTACAAAGCAACTTGCAGGGGCTGGGCGCTAAGCCCAAAATGATTAGCCTATTAGAGCGCAGCTTTTATCTCAACCTCACAACTCTTCCAACACTTCTCCAAACCACCACGGCTTTGATCAATACCCTCAAACCATGTCCATTTGGTAGGTCGCGCGCTGTTCTGTTGTATTGCGATGCGGTGTCGCAGATTCCACTTGTTGCGAGACCCGAGTGGGTCTCTAACCGCCATTCGTCGAAACACGAGGTGGAATATGCACGCGAAGATGCACGCCAGCAAAGCCCAGCTCTGAGCCCATAGTGGGCAGCCTGGCAGGCAAAACTGGGAATGGCCCCAATCCGCTCAACCTTTAAACTTCAAGTGTGAGTCGTGGGAAATTGGCGTTGGTGGATGTGGATGTGGATTCCTCTCGACTATCATGGTCTAGCTGCTTTCTAGGTCACCGCCTCCACAGCCTGCGAAGAATGCTCAGCTATGGTTTTCGGATCACCAGTCGGAGGCGACTGCGTCATGCTAGCTCAACTCGCGTGGGACTGCTTGCAAGGCTCGAAGGATGCCGTTGGAGAGAATGACGGGCTCACGCGTGAGCTTCTGGGCCTTTACAAGAGCCTCAGTCGACTCCGGGACGAACTTGCAAACCCCACTTCCTTGGTGAACCGAGCGAACGACGAGCGACGACAGGAATTGGAGGAGCACGCGGCGGATTGTGAGGGCATACTGAAGGTCATGAATACGGTGTTGGCCAGGTACAATGCTTTAGGAAGAGAACAGCGAAAGAGTAGGAGGTTATGGCAGAAGATACAGTTTGGCAATGGGGAGACGAAAGACTTAAGGGAAGTCCGGAACGAGCTATCTGCGCATGCCTCGGCGATCACAATGGGCTTCAACCTCTGCGCGTTACACTCCCCAGGCAGGGTTGAGACAACGTTGGAGATGGCAGAGGAGCAATCACGCAGGCATGGTAGATCATTGCGAGGGCTTCGGACATCGTTACACTGGGTGATAGCGAACTTGTCGTCCGTGGTCGGGGAGGGCTCTGTTCGATCGAGTTACGCCAACGACGATAAAATCTTCTGGAGGACACTTCGCAATGAACTTGTGAAGGAGGGTTATGACAATTACGAACTTCAGAAGCACAGAAGACTGATCAAGGATTACGTCGATGAGCTTGTCAACCGAGGTGTATTGGATGATCAGGGAACAGACAGCGCAAGACACATCCCAAGACCTAGGCTGCATAAAGTCAGATCGAACTTCTACCTACAAGGCCCCTCTCGAATAGATACTTGGTCGCCACCTCTACCCGAACAGTATCAGCTCCTTCCTGGCCCCACAATATCTCCAAGTGTCTCGGAAGAGGAAGATGTTGAGATGGCTGATGTATCAGCTAACGAGGACGAGTTCGAAGACGAGATTATCGAGGAGGCACCCGATTCACCAATATTCGATAACATTCAAGAAGTTGTTTTACAGGTTGAGAATTCCGAAGAATCCGACCTTTCCTCGTCGACACTTATCGAAGAAGTCGACGACCATCCAGATTCCCCTCCTTCCAAACTAAACCTATACGCGAACATTTTCGCCGTCCAGGTCGAAGAAATTACTGATGAAGAGTTTGTTCGCCACCGAAAGGATACATTCGGCGAGGAGCCAGGAGCCGAACTCTCCAAACCTGCCTTTGATATGGACCAAGTCGAAGAGCATCAAATCGAGTCATCAGAGTCCTCAGACGATGAAGAGGTTATTCACCAGCGAAAGGATGTGTTCGATGAGGAGCTAAGGGCTGAATTCTCGAAACCTGCCTTTAGTATGGATGAAGTTGAGGAGAATCCAATCAAGTCATCAGAGTCCTCAGACGATGAAGGGGTGCAAGATGCAATTGAGTCGGCACAAGAGGCCGTCGATGGCAAGCCGCCTACGATAGACGAGGACGAACTAGCCCCCGAGAGACCTGTTTCGAACCGCCCTCCTCCCGTTCAAATCGAAGACGTCCTTGACGACGACTTTGTTTCGGGTGCACACCCCAACGTCTTCCTTTACGAAGATACCGCAAGAGCCTTGGATACCGAACGAATCCCGATATTGGAAAAGCTACCTCAGGACCCCTCCACACACGTCTCTGGTGGCTCGACGACTTCCCAAAAAGGGCCGCCAAAGCGAGTGCGGTGGGCTGAGGACGACGCGCTCAGCGATGAACAGCGAAGCAGTCCCTGTAAATACAACCCCGAAGATCTCCCTTTTATCTTCCATCGAGAATTCCGCGACTTCGATAAATATCAAGAACTACAGGAGAGTTCACAAGCCTTAACAAAGGAACAAGGAGCAAGGAGATCCAGAAGGAAGAGATCCAATCAATCTTCACGTACCCCTTCCTTTGTTACTCAGAAAGAATATATACCACCGGCGACGCTCTGCGATTTGCAATACTACCGTATTCCTGCAAGCTACTTTCACAAGTTTTGGCACCCGGCTCGAGTTCCAATGTATCTTCATGGCAATGTCTTCGATGGGATCTCATTCACGCATTGGATCTACGGCTGGACGGCATATACATTCCGAGACGAGTCATTCGAGATGAGCACCATCAAGAGATTCGGAAAGCAAGTTATGAAGCTTGGTTCAGCGATGACTGATATCGAAAATGCCGACGATTCAGTCAAGCGAAAACTCCCCCGACCTCTCTACGATGAGAGCGGCAGACTTTGGGAAAATTTAGAAAATATAGTCAACGATATCATGGCGGAATCAGAAGACCGCCTCGCTACGAAACGACGGGGTACAAGGTTGGAGGTAGAGTTTGTGACAAAGTTCTGCCGAGAGATGATTGCTGGGGACAAATACTATCGCCCGATTGAAACGTGGCTCAAGCAGACGGATGACTGGTGCAAAAGGGTCAGGTTGCACAAGGATTTTGTGATGCTGTGGGACCTGTGGGCTGTTTGATGCCTGGAGGAGAGGACCATCCACTCATTTCGATTTCACGAATTTTGTATTTAATTTTTCCGATTTGTTTTATGACGTGACGAAGCCATGAATGATGAAGCGACGAATTTCTTTGAAATATTATTATCATTGTGGCCTTTAGCATAGGCAAGGTTCAAATTGATATAGGGTGAGGCATGGAAGCATGGAACCTGGGACATGAACTCATGAAGGTCAGACACGCATAAAGATACCCCTACGGAGGCGGACATTGGGAATAAATTGATGAATGAATGCTTCACTGCTTGAAAGGATCCACTTGCTCTTGCTGTGCTGTTTACCGTATGACTCACCCAAGTGTCTCTTGAGAAAAGGGGGGCTGCCTCGGGCTAAGCTTGCGCTAACATTAAGCGAAGCTACGATCTTGAAACTCTATCCCAACATCATCAAACTCACCATCGTTCTCGTCCCAAATATCCGCAACAGCTACGTATCATGGCAAACCCTCGCAAAGCGGTGGTAGTCGGAATCAGTGGGTGCTCATCGAGTGGAAAGACCAGCATTAGCCGTCTGTTACGAGATATTTTCCCGAACACGTTCGTGCTTCATGAGGATGATTTCTATCTGCCGGAGACTGAGTGAGTCTTGCTCTCATGTCTCTATAATCCTATTTCTATCATTCTCGGTGCTTTCCATCGGGAGCCTGTCCCTCTCCCTAGCAAGCAACTGCCTGAAGGTGATGCGGCGGCTCAGACGGGAGCACAGAAAATATGGTCACGTGCCGAGGCTTCTGAAGCAGCTGAATACTTCTCCTTTGTTCGAGAACCCCAGGCGCTCACTTACTGATATATTTGCAGGCTACCGAAGAAATATGATCTGCTAGATTGGGATTGCGCGGAATCACTATCAATTCCTGACATGCTGAAATCCCTCAAACACATCCACGCCGAAGGCACATTTCCAGTCAGTCAGCACAATATCTGAGCTTTGATGATCAATCCTCACACCACGTCAGCCATTCATAGACTCAAAAGAAGATCAGAACACAGTGGGTGATATCCCAGTATCACAAACCACCATTGATAAGCTCAAAGCACGAGTAAAAGCCTGGACGAGCTTCGGAAATCGTGGCTTCGGAATATTGGAGAACTCGCCGAATGCAATTCGACTTTGCCTCTTTGACGGCTTCCTTCTGTACTCAAAATCAATGGCCCCGATTCAGTCGCAGATCGATGTCAAGCTCTTCCTCCGCGTCAGCTATGCCAAGGCGAAGGTAAGACGGGAAGCACGGAGTGGATATGTCACGCTTGAAGGATTCTGGGAGGACCCACCTGGATATGTAGACAAGATTGTTTGGCCGAACTATGTGGAAGACCACAAGTGGATGTTTGAGAGTGGAGATGTGGAGGGAGCGTTGAGGGAGGATGTGGTGAAGGAGACGGGTATCAAGTCTCAAGTCGATGGGGTGGACAGGGATATGGAGACGACGTTGAGGTGGGCTGTGCACACTCTGATGGACCAACTGCCGTTACTCGCCAAGGCTGAGCAGTAGCCCTTTCTCAGTAGGGTTTTGAGCATCGCCAGATCTCTCTTGCATGATTTTGGTTGATCGTTTTTTGTTCTAGGCTTCATTCCCACTGGCAGTTAGCTCCAGTCAACGTGTACCGAACCCGTCATTCGCTCATTCGTCCTTTTGTCTCAGAAAAATATCTTATTCCTTTGACAACCAAACTTGACAACAGTAGAGTTGTCAATGCACAGAGTTTGGGGTTTCAATTGCCTGCAACGTTTCCTTTCATGGTTGCGTCAAAGAGAAGAGCTCTTTCTCTTTCTTGGCTAATTCCTTAGTCCTAGCTAGCATATCTATTTGTGGATGACATTGTTTATTAGTTTTGTTATAATCCACAGTGGCATTGTGGCTAACAATCTCATTCAATACCTTGGCGATCTTTCAATCACGAACAGCCACCCCGAGCCATCCATAAGATGAAACCTGTAGTCCTTTCGTCGACCTTCTTCTCAGTGTCACTCCAGATAGTTAATTCTACAGAACATCACTGCAGGATTCAGCTTTCTATTTCCAAGTATTACTCGATCCAACACACGTACCTTCCCACAGATCTTTCAATCGCAATCAACCATGTCTTCCTCCAATCCTTGCACTCCCCACTCCAAGAGACCATCAACCTTGAACACAAGCTTCGAAAGCGCTACAACCACAACCAGCTGCGGCATGCCCGGTTGCTTCACCTATGCCAACGGCGAAAAGCATGCACCGCTCCTCACCGCATTCGAAGAGTTCCTCTCCATCATGCAAAACCACAAGGATAATCTCATCCGAGGCTCCGTCAAGATCAAGCGCCGGATTATGGAAATTCGTGTTAGACACTCAGACCTTGAGTCTGGTGACGCGGACTTAGCAGAGCTGCTACAAGTCGAGCATAGCTATGTCGAGGCTTTGGAGGCTCATGAAGACGAAGTTGCTCATGTGAAGAGGGAGGGTATGTATGGGGATTCTGATGGCGAGGAGGAGTTTAATGAAGTTGAAGAGAAGGTCGAGCTTGCCAAAAGCATGGAGGACGTCGCAAGTAATCTTCTTTCTTTGGCCGAGAAAGTTTTTGATGCTTCAAAAGACCAGCAAGTGGACGCCTACTATGTTTTTCATTTGTTTTTAGATGAGGTGGTGGCAAAGGCTAAAATGGAGAAGGCAAAGCCTAAGGGAAATGTTGGACAATATGAACTCACTGGCGCCGAACCTTACTCGCTAGACGAGGAGGCAAAATTTGAAAATGCGGAGGAGGAACAGGAAGAACAAGGCGTGGAGGAAGGAGAGAAGGGGGTGAGGAGTTGAAGGAGAAGGATTCGGCGGTCTCTCAGGACTGAGCTGGCTCAGCTGGACTCTGGTGAGTTTACCACTTCATCTTCATCACTTTATCTCTTTGCTTCCACCTTAATGAGTGTGGGACATTACCGTTGTCGACATGATTTAATGGAAGATCTTTCTCAAATTTATATTCCTATGTGCAAACCAGATTGTTAAGTGGTATCTTCGCTGCCCATGTTCCACGCTTGCTCTCAGTTTTATACAGAAAAGACCAAAATATGATATGTCTAATTTCTCCATCCAAAGGTAATGTTGGTGAATCTTGAATTGAACCTGATCAAACCCACACCTCTCCATCAATTCCTTCTTCCTAACTTGTGTGGGTCAAGAATTATAGTCCGTGTGTGGATGAGATGAGGTGGGATAGGGAAGAGCTCAAGAGGTTGAAGGAGAAGATTAATTGGACGTTGGGAGGCCAGATGCCGATGGCGAGGTTTTTTTTTAGTAATGTGGTGCTGGCAACTGAGGTGGGGATTCCAATTAAGGTGTTGGATTATAAACATTTTCTCCATGTGAGTATTCCGGAGGTGTTGGCGGAGTATGTTTGAGAGTGTTGTAAGTGATGGAGCAGTCACATGAGCTCATTGAGCCAGATGGAGTTTGGAATGCAAAGGATGGACAATAGAGCACATTTTGGAGTCTGGAAGTCTTGGGTGAACTGGTTTGGGGTTAGGTTTGCAGTGATGCACTTGAATGCAAGGAAATATGGCTGGGTTTTCGAACGGTTTTCTGTGCTCAAAGCCGAAATGATTCATATTTTCGGCATTCTGTAAATGAACAAAGACTTCCTACCTACTATCAATTGATCCACAAATCTCTTGATGCTATGCCAACCTATTTCTTTTGAGGTTTCGTCAAGTTAAGAAGCCACGAAGAATGCCGCTACATTCGCTAAGCCGAGACTTCCTCGTCGTGCCTCCCACATCATTCTCCCCCCCACAACCATTGTCAAGGAACACAATGTATTTCAGAAAACCTTCTTTAGAGTATCCGCGCGTTTTTGAGGCAATGGTTCACAGGAATGCCCCTGCAAGGAAGAAGACCTTGCACGTGACCGACATCCACTCTCTGCCACTGCAGCCAATGAAAGCCGCTGATTTGACGATGTCATGCTGATATGTTGTGCGTCGTAATTTGGAGTCATTTTCCTATTTCTGCTGAGAAGAATTTGTGCTGGGTGTTACTGCTACTGGGCGGAAACAGTGATGGACGTTATTTCTGTTCAGCAGAAATAGTTCTGGGCGCTATGTTCTCTCAGCACAAATAAGGGTGTGTGTAAACATGGTAAGCGAGCCGGAATAGGAGGTGAAGAGAAAGTGATGGAAACCATCGAATTCTCAGAGCTGAATAGGAGGAGGCAGAGAGTTGCAAAAGGACTCTCCTGTCCACTCTAAATGGATGAGTGAATATCTTCACTCAATTGTCCGCATCTCGGGATACTACGGAAATGAGCATAAAGAAAGATCATTCTGCTATTTTCAAAATTTACATTGAGAGAGCAATTTGAAAGCCATCCAAGACAAAGGCCCTGCTCCCAAGAAATTATTCTGAGAGAGAGGTTCTAAAGTTATCCAAGACAAGCTCTCTACTTCCAAAGTGTCCACCACCATCAACCACAACGATCCCCCCCCTTTCTCCCTGAGATGCCGCCATTTCCATATTCCAGACAAGAAGGTTGCAAGAACTACCCCTTCCCTCAATATTCTCCACGAATTCTTGCCCGATCGCCAATATAGAACAACTGAGCTTGTGTCCGGTCAAACTCCTCCGATTCCTCTTCAGTTCTCTCCTCTCCATACATGTTGAAATTTCGCTTAGCCGCTCTTCTCAAAAGTCTCAACACTGCCATCCACTCCAAATCTTCCAAGTCGCTCGCATCCTGGTCCTCAGGAATCCACCAGCCAATAGAGATCTCAACACGCAATAGCTTTCTTCCCTCAGCGAGAATTCCATCTGTACGAGAGCAGCAGGATGCAAAAGCTTCGATACGGTAGTGATTCTCGTGGTTCTCGATTGCCTTCCAAACGCGGATCGAGATCTTGATGTTGGCAAGACCTGGGATGAAGAGACCAACTAACCACCGAATTAGAATATGTAATCCTAAATGGTAGCTTGCAGTTCAGGAGTAGAGCCAAGCTCGCAAGTCAATGCCATACTGGCCCCCCTCAAGCTCCCTAGCTCCGAGGCCTCAAGCGGAGCGCCAGCAACTAGGTATATAAATAAGCCTACCTGTCGTAACAGCCCAAGAGGTAGGGAGAAGACGCGTGGCGAAGAGCTCGTAGCCATTCGTGCTGTGGACTTTGAAGAAGTTTGGAGTGAAACCGCAAGGTTCGGGAATGTCGGCTTGAAGGAAGTTCAGGAGGCAACAGACGAGACGTGTGTGGTTGCTGACTTCGGGGCGAGGGACTCGGACTTGATTTGTGTATTCTCGAGGACTGTTGGGGGGTGTCGTGGAACGGGTTGCTGATGCCATGCTTGGTGCCTTGCTAGGTGCTCTTGGCTTGACGGAGGAGGACTCCATGGTGTTGGATAGTTGGATGGGCTATTGCCGCTATGCAGGGTACTTGTTTCGAAACCTCTTCATGTCCTTTGATCACAGGAAAATTTAGTTGAATAGCGAGTAAGTGGGGTCTGGACAGGGGTGTATAGCTAGCTTACTTCTGTAAATTTAGAGCAGAGTGCTTTTAAATTTACTACATCCCAACTAGTTCTTATTTTCTAGAAGTTAATACGTGAATTAAACACAAGTACAAAGCCGTTCTGCTTTATAAATGGCAAAGAACCAACACCCTTCAAAGTGACCACGAAGTTCTTAACCTGGAGTCTTTTATTCGAGACAGGAAATAAGAAAGGACAACTATTCCGTCCTGTGGAAATTTCCGCACTTTACATCCGAGCCGGCGTCGTCGTCATCTGCGGCCAAAATAAGGGAGTGGCTTTGGCACTCTTCTCAAAAAATATAATCATAAAGAGCAACTATCAGCTTCTCTCAAAGTACCGGTACTTTCGCCTTTTAATGTCTGAATCGGTGTCGCCCTCGCCTCGGAGCCAAAAAGCTGCGTCGCGTCGGTGAATTCCTCAAAGCTCTACTGATTTGTTGATCTATCGATAAGATAGAAGAACTTTCTTCCTCAAACCCTCGACTCCTCTTCTCACCAACTCCATCTCCGCAAGCTACACTAGAGATGGCAACGTGGAGCAACACCGGTACACCGACAGAGAGTCAGTCTCTTGTACCTGACATGTCGGGGACAATTCAATACACAACTCCATACCCAAACCAATACTCAAACCCACACTCAACTCCACAGATTCCGATCTCGGGTAAGACTCCCAGCTTCCTGAAGCGTTCATTTCTCTTGCAACAACGTCCAGCAACTCTTGGGACATCTACTTGCAATATCCAACAGTTACTAGAATATTCTACTCCCTATAACATCTGAAAGAAGTATGCTAACAATGATATGTTAGAAACAGGAGGAAAGGACATTCAGCCACCGGTCGGCAACGCTCCCCAGGTCAATAGGGATGCCACTCAACAGGAGGTCAACTTCCAAGCTGAGAATCCTTTCATTCAAGCGCCGGTCGGCAACGCGTCAACAGTGAACAAAGATGCTGCTCAACAGCAGGTCAACTTCCAAGCTGGAAACCCTCTTGTTCACCCACCGGGCGGTACCGCTTCACAGGTCAACAGTGATGCTGCTCAACAACAAGCCAACTCGCAAGCCGTCAATCCTTTCTTTCGCAAGACCGCACCTGCAAAGCAATCATACTACACCCCACGACTCCAGTGTCTCCTGATGAACCATCTACAAGAGGCTCTGCAAGACGATCCGCTCTGTCCCAAAAATTTCTTTATGCACGCTCGTGTCATAGAGGAACTCATCTACCACAAGGAACTCGCCATGGACAACCCCATCCTCTATGAATTCGGCTTGACTTCACTCCCAGGCGTTAACCACGTAGACATATCTATTTACGTGTACAAAGTTCCCGCTGGTCTAAGTGTCCGTGGCCGAAATCACTACCGCGTTGATGCATTCGCAGTCGGCTTTGACGAAACCGGCTGGATGATCAACGGTGCGTACGGCGATCTGTGCAGAGGTTTCTTGAGCATGGAATGGTATAATGACAAGAGCCTGTATACCTTTGATTGGGATCGCATGGAGTTCAAGGACTTGCTGAGGCTGCTAAGACGTTCAGCAATGCGGAATTTCGATGATCGTGGAAACTTGAGGTCAGCGGTGGAACAAGTGAGGGTGGAAGCGGAACTGGGAGATTTATATCCTGGCCGTATTGGACAGCCTCCTGCTCTGGCACCGAATGCGATGCATACCTTTCCAAACTGGAGCCTGCCCTTGAACAACCCATTCGTCAATGTCCCAACAGTCAACTCTCCATCGGTACAGTGATTGTCTCGCCTTAGAGGGCCATGTGGTGGATGGCTGCAGCTTAGGACAAGGAACTTTGACATACTGTGAAGGATAACTGCAGCTTGGCACAACGGAATCGAGCAAAGCATATCGAAATAGCAGAGTCTTAGACGCTGTGAGTGGATAGCTAGTGCTTGAGGAAAATGAAAGGGAGATCCATTCCATGTCTAATTTTCGGAAATAAATCTTGACAGGCAATATGATCGTGGCCGCCACGTAGTTCCGACTACAAGTGTGGAACGACTCCGACCCGACCCAAGGGCCGAATTCTCTTGCTTAGATACCAGTCGAGCAAGTGCATGTTCTGTTTATCTCAGTCAGCTCAACATTCTCTCTTCAGATAGTGGAAACTTACTCATCAGCAGAGCAGAGACCGCCTCGAAGGCTTCCTGCGGAAATAGATGAAGTTGAGCATGTCTCCCAACATTGCGTTCCAGTGCTTTGAGGTACTGGAGCTGCCTCTCTTCTCTGATGCCTCCTAGTCAAGTGCAAGTAATTTTCTCTTGTCAGCTAACATTCAAGTTTCCGGTATGCCGATTTCCTCCCCATCGGCAGAGTAGAAGCCGCCTTGAAGACTTCCGGAGAAAACACGATCCAAGGAACAGTTGGACCTGAAGCATGAGACAATTTAGCACGAAATGGGAAGTATGTCCTGGAATGGAGGCTTATCAGAGGTCCGCTTCTGGGCTTTGTGTTCCAAACCCGTAAGCACTGTGCATTGTAGAAAGGCTAACCTTTCGAGTCGTTTGAGGCTTTCAATCGCGGAAACTTGTGCTGATTATGCTAAAGTTTGAGGGCGACATGGAGAATAAACGCCGTTTTGAGTGTACCAGTACTAGTCTGGCCAATGACGGATTGAGAATTGAGAGGTCCTGCCGACTTGAGTGAGTTCCAGACAGAGTCCGCTGCGTTGAAAAACGAGGAAGGAACGAACCATCAGTCCTCTCGCTCTTTCCTCTCCTGTCGTCAGCCCACGCCTTCTTGAATTGACGAAGGAAATTCTCTAACAATTCACAATCATTCAATCCCAAGGCCACCACCCACACAGGGTCATACTCATTGCCATCTCATCATGGGAGATCACGCTCCAGCAAAGTCCCTGAACCCAAAGGACCTAGCTCCTTCAATGTCCCAGGATATGGACGGACAAGCCGTTCTAGTGTCCGAGATCGCAAAAGGTCGAGAGTCTCCATCATTATCCCAGAGCATCAAAGGACAACAGTCGCAGCCTCGGTCAGCACGAGCTGGAAACCGCCCTGCTGCGCTGGAGGAGAGAGCAGACAAGCACTCACACTCAACCTCTCAAGCACCAATGGTTCCGGCCACCTGTCGACAGCCCCACTGTACCGAAACTGGTAAGTACTTCTTCACATGAGGATGACTGCGTACAATACTAACGGCACTCGTAGCGACAGCAGCTCCTCGATGGCACCCATGATCCAGTATTTACTTATCGGATTGCTTTCCGCTACCCAGACTCTGTCCGATGTCATCTCGACCATTCAACACGAAGTCCCGAACTCTGCGTTCCTGGCCAATGAACCACAAATTGTGGTATAACGAGTCGATAACATCGGAGTTGCCTGGCTCCAAGGCCAGCATATTGGACGCAATTTACTGCTGGATGATCGTACACTGAAGAGATCTCCGTTCTTGATGCGCGAGCGCGGCTGGAAGGACAATCTCGTCGTGGTTGTCAATAACCATCATGCTGAGGTTGACGAACCGGATATATCAAAGGGAACTCAGACCAAGAAAGACGATGAAGATGAGGAGACGGATCGTACGCAACTCGAGTACCTGCGTGGGCAACTTGATCCGACTTTCACGGAGCATCACTTTGAACGAAGGAAGCGTTTCGACCTAGACATTGTACCAAGTGGGCTGGAAGAATAGCAAGATTGAGGGTGAGACAGGATGGTTGAGGTAAACTTCCCGTTTTATACAGGCGAGAGACATTGTTATCACAGAGGTGGGTTGATGGGTTAGCAGGAACAGGTTAATTCAGGCATGGCCGACGCACTGCTGTATTATTTTCGTAGCAAGGATCCACAAAAATCGCTTTTTCTTCTTCAAACTAAAGCTCAACGGCCGCCAACACTTAGCAAAGCGCTCTTCTGCTCTGGAATGATCTTGGCTTCTGATAGGCTCTTCTTTCCCTGGCCGATTGGCAATTGCAAGAACCCAATGGGGGAAGATATGACAAGTATCGACCCATGATCTCTTCATCCACAAAGCCACCAGCTGAAAGGTCTTCCTCCTGAACTTTGTGTCAGCCTATAGCGATGTAGCAGCGTTGATATCTGACATCTAGGGAGCGATGGTATCTCTCGGGAGATCTGTGGTTGCGAAATGTACAATGGCATCCTATCCATCGTCAGAACAAGCTTCACCACACTTCAAAAACGAGGCTTTTCTGAACCCATAGCGTCTGAAAGGCGGCGCTTGGAAAGCCTCTTCAAGCGGATATATGACCAATCTATATTGTAGATCTCAATTAACTGGTTTCAAGCAGTGTCCAAGACCTGAGATTGGGAAGTTATGAGATGCAACGTTTGACCCGGTGATGTCAATCTCCGAAAAAATCATAAATAAATGACTGTGCAAAGTCGGAGGGCTTAGTATCAACCAAGCCAAAGATCATAACTCGACTTGAGTTTTCTCGCTCGGAAGAGGAATGTGATTTAAAAAAAGATACTTTCACCGCAAAGCAGAGTCGTCTCATACAAGGCTGTGAAATTTTCCGAAACATTGTGCGATGACGGAGAATGCACGTGACTGCTACCCCTGTCAAGTGCGCGCAGCCCCTGTCCGAGATTGGGAGACATTTCAGAGCTGGACAGCCGAATGAGGCTCTCAACTTGCCAATGACCACGTACTTCTCAGTCCTTTCCTCTTTCTTGACCAGCCTTCACTTCCTTCTCATCATCCTGTTTTCACCCATTCTCCTTTACTTTCTTTAGAGACATTTCTTGATACGCAGCGAGAATACCCTGTTAATAGCGATCAACCGCGTCACCCTCACGAGGAGGCAAACTCCCAGCATCCAAAAATCTACATCCAGGGTCTGCAGAATCCGCAATCTGATCAATCGATGCGGGGCTGAGTAATTCGTAGCATACGGATGACTTACGAAGAAGAGGGACTTGAACCTCCCGCAAGATGCCAGTTCAACGAAGTATATTAGGCAAGCCACTGCCGCCGATGCCCCCCAAACGAATTGCTGTTCTCCTCAGTACAATCGCTGTATTCGCCATCTTCACACTCGTTTTCACACTGCCGAACTCAATACCAGCGGGGCCATCGCTAGGTAGATTTACAGACCACAAAATACCTATACCCAAGCTTCCGAAGACACTTTCACCCAGCATTCTAAATCCTTTTCGACAAGCAGCACACGCACCACCAGTTCAGAAGAATAGCACAAGTGGGGAGGCATCCTGGTACAGCAATTGGAACTGGATGAGTCCGTTTTCCTCATCAGTAACGCTGGACGAGAATCGATCGCTGCTACCTCCTCTCATCGATCGACCACCGATTTACGCATATTACGACTACACACTGCAAAAGGGGAAAAGCCATAAGGAAGCTGAGAATGCCGTTCTGGTTACATGGAGGAGGGCGTGGTGGGCACAGGGATTCAAGCCAATAATTCTCAGCCCCGCGGAAGCAATGAACAACCCACTTTATGCAGAGCTTCAAGTGCTGGAAGTCGAACCACTCCTCAAGACTGAAATATCTCGATGGTTGGCATGGGAGAATATGGGGACTGGAATGCTGTGCCATTATCTACTGCTTCCAATGGGATCTCACGAGGATCCCCTTCTAGCCTTCTTACGGCGTGGGGAATATCCTCGATTGACGAGATTCGACAGGCTTGGGAGTGGGTTGTTTGCTGGTTCGAAAGCTGATATCACGGCTGCTGTAAAGGAAGCTCTGTCGAATAAAGCTTTGAACGAGTCCACCGACTTTATCACGGCAGTCTCACCGGAGACTTTCGAGATTGAACCAAAGAACGGAGTTCTGGCATACTACGACACCAGGACAGTGAAAGAGAAATACTCAAAAGTGGCAGATGAAATCGAGGCCGATGGGCCACGAGGATTGATGGTTCTGAACAAGCTCACAGTATCCCATCTCCACACAACCTGGCAAAACACCTTCTCCAAAGGCATCGCAGTCATCAAACCGCAACCAGAACACATGACAACAGCCATCCTCCCCGCCCGCAAGCTCGCTGAATTCCTCATCCAATGTCCCTCATCGCCCCTCCCCTCCTCCTGCCCGCCAAATAACCCAAAATGCAACCCCTGCATCTCCTCCCACCCCCTACAAATCACATACCCCTCGGTCTACCGCAACACCTCAGACCTCTACACCATCGGCACCGTCCCGCACCCCTTCACCACAGCTCTCATGTCCTCCTCCCTAAACTCCGAATCCGAGCTCACCATCCCCTGGATCCGGCGTAAATCGAAGCGCGACCCGTGGCTGACAACCATCACGGCCGAACTCCTCGGGACAGGCGTCTCTGGCGCGCCACGAGTCGTGAAGTTCAAAGACGTAGTCGCAAGCCAATACGGCACCTCTCACTCTTTGTGGACAACGGCAGAAAGAGACATGCCCGAGGATCTAGACTGGTATTTCGGCTTCACGATCCCACGCAACGCTACAGATAAAGGCGAATCCGAGACGCCTGTCCCAGGGCCCGAGCGCAAACCCCAAGTCTCTTCCGGTCCCCGTAACTCCCCAGAATCAGCACCTACAGATGAAGAAGTGGCGATGACGAAGGAGAAGAGCCTGCTGAAAAGCGCAGTTGAGTTTGGGAAAGCTAGGAAGCCGGATGAAGAGAAGGTCCGCAAGGCGATCGAGGCGTGGAACCTGGCGGATACGGAGGCGTGGCGGTTCGCGAGGGCATTTTTGGAGAGGAACAGGGTTGAGCGGTTGAAGTGGGAGGAAGAGGAGAGGAAATATGCTGGGGGGAAGGCGGGCGCGGAGAGGGGGAAGAACGAGGGGTGGGGACGCTGGTTTGATGATCGTTAGATTGTACAAAAATGTAGTTTTAATGGTGTGAGATATTTGTGTTTTGCTTGGGATGCGTGCATAGCTGAGCTGGTATGGTACTGTATATATTATAGATTGGATGGGAGTTATAGGGGTGGGGGTTGCTTGATTGGTTTTGGTTGTATGTAGGGACTGTAATAACAGAAGGAAAAGCTATGAAATGTGTCGGGTGTTGAATCCCGGGTTGAGAGCCAAGGAAAATACAAGGTACTTGGATGTTGAAGTCGACGAGTGCTTCCCATTCATAAAGTCACGTCCGGAAGAAACCTTCAAGTGACCGGTGTTGAATCCAGGTCAGGGGAACATGAAATGGGAATACTCTGGATGTTGAAATCCCTCCTCCCCTCAAGTTCACGCGTAAGGAAACCAACGCAAAACAAAGCAAACAAAGGAAACCCTTTAATACTCCCCTGACCTTCTAAGCCTCAACCTGAGTATCACCACCCATCTCCCCACTCAATTCCCTACTACCAACGCCATTCTGTCTCACCGCTCCTTTGCCCCCAGTACCTGCCAAATCATCGACGCTGGAGCGGCCGTGGAGAGATTTGTAGGTGTCTAGTGCCTTTTGGGCTGCGTCGACCATCTTCCTAGCCTGGTCCAAGGCGGACTTCAATGCTTCCTCTGTCAGATCATTCTCTCCTGCAGTACCATTCTCAACCTCCTTTGTGCCGTTCACAGCCAAACCTTTCCCCTTTTCCGAACTTCCAGGAGCAAGAGTAAGGTTACTCAGAGAAGTAGAAGGGACGCCGTCGCGTTCCTCGAGAAGGGATCGGATATGTGCATTCAACCACATGCCGTCAAGCTGCTCGGGCTTCATGTTCTTCGCACCGGAGACGAATCCTCGACAGGTTGCTGCTCTGCAGAAACAGGAGAAGCCTTGTGCCATGTCCCATTCGGTGCTGGGGTAGAAGAAAGTCAGCTCGTCGCCTGCTTTGAGACCGTGGGGACCGGCGAGGATCGAGAGGGAGGTGGTGTCGAAGATCTGTTACTGGTTACATTTGTGTCGGTATCAGTTTGTGTTTGTTTGGTGCAATAAGGGGAAGGGAATGGGAGTGTGAGAGACGCGAAACAGGAGAGCAGAGCAAGGGGATGGAAGGGGTACTAACGACACTCGGCTCACAGCTGTGGTTTATATACACCAGATCGCTGTTCAAGTCGACGTGCTCATCGCGCCCTACTTGCACCGTTGCATAGGTAGGCTCGGAGGCTTTGGCGCAGGGCGGGAAGGAGAGCTTTGCGAAGAGGGCGTAAGGAGGTAGGGTGACCTTGGAGATGGACTTTGTGGTGAAGTCGCTGGGGTCCGAAGGGATGATGACCTGTTGAATGGAAGGATGAGAGGGCTGAGACCAGTGAGGAGTAAGAGGTGCCATTGCGAATTTCGTTGTTGGTTTTGTTGATGTTCTGCTTGTTGCAGTGGTGATGGTGGGGTTGCCTTAGCGGGGTAATTGATGTGAGGTGACGTTTGTTGGAATTGGGGATTCCGTTTCGTCTTCGACGGACGCTGAATTGGTAGTCGATTCGATTCAATTCGGAGCTCTGAATATCCTTGAAGATGAGGTTTGGGGAGGACTCAATGGGGATCAGATGTTGTCGGGTGGACGGAGAAATATTCGTCATGTGCAACTCTTATGCAGGAACCAACACATCCCCGCTGCGAAGGAGCAACCTCGGCTGGTGGGGTCGACATCGCTTGAGATGGGTTGAACTCTTGGCACCTTGAGGATGAATAGGGGGCCCCTTTTCCCAATCGTGTGTGCTGTTCGAGATCGCATGAAATCTCCAGCCTCAAAATGTTTGTGCAAGGTTATATTTTATGAAGTGTGGTTTAGTCCCTGCAGCACCGTTCCAGGGTCCTTGGCCGTAACACGTGTTTCCCATTCCACCCCTTTTCATCCAATTGCCAGTCGCCATCTTATCTCCAATTCTTGCATCCCAAAACAGGAAAATATCAACCTCGCGTACAATGGCTCTCCGGGGTAAGCAAAAGGGGGGAGGGATAGCTCCAATCTAGCCCCGCGATTGGTCGACACGCGCGTGAAGGAGGAAGGAGGACGCGAAATCCTGGTCGACGTCACCAGAGTGACGACACCGACACACTTCAGCGACTCAAGTTTTCAACCGCCAGCTACCGCGAAAGGCAGCAAGCTTTTGAACATCAGACGATAGGTGTATTTCCCTTCTAGAGTCCCTATTTATTCTTGGCATTCCCCTGAATCTTTCCTTGGCTTGTCGTTTTTGCATAAAGTATTGAAGTTAGAGTGGAAGAATCTCTACCGCACGGCAATCATGGCAATCGAGAAGGTACGGGAGCTTCCCCCGACTGGGAATTTTTATACTGAACAAATGAAAGGTAGCAATGATCGGGGCCGGCGCCATGGGAGGAGGCATGACCCTCCTCATGGCTGAAAACGGCATCTCAGTCTCGATCCAAGACCCCTCCTCCAAAACAGTCGACGCCCTGATGAAATCCGCCAAAGAACAGGGAATCCACTCCAAGCTCTCCAAATACGAGAACTACAAAGACCTCGCTGCCTCCCTCGGCTCCCCAAAAGTAATTTTCTTCTCGCTGCCGCATGGAACAGTAGGAGACACGGTCGTGGAAGGACTGTATAAGTATCTTGATAGGGGGGATATTATTGTCGATTGCAGTAATGAGGAGTGGGTGAATACGCAGAGACGGCAAGGCAAGTTGGTGGCGCAGGGAGTATATTATATTGGCTGTGGCGTGAGTGGTGGGTATCAGGCTGCGAGAAGGGGACCGAGTATGTGTCCTGGGGGCCAGGAGGCAGCGCTCGATATCATGCTGCCGCTTTTTGAGAAGATGGCTGCGAAGGCTGCCGATGGGACGCTTTGCGTGGCGAAGATTGGGATGGGAGGGGCGGGGCATTATGTCAAGATGATTCATAATGGGGTTGAGCAGTAAGTCTTTCTCACAGGAAGAGGAGAGTGGTGCTGAAGGAAGCAGTGGCATGATGAGTTGTATCAGTGAGGCGTGGGAGATTATGAACAAGCATATGGGTATGAAATATGATGATATCGGAAAAGTCTTCGAAAAGTGGTCAACGGAGGGAGAACTCGTATGCCTGTCGCCCTCATTTTCAATCACCCGCTTACAGGGACTCTAGAAAAACACCTTCCTCGTCAAAATCGGCGCAGAAATATGCGAGAAAAAAGACAAATCCGGATACCACGTCCTCGGCGACGTGCAAGACAAAGTCGTGCAAGACATCGACGGTTCAGAAGGGACAGGAATCTGGTCCAACATGCAAGCTACCTCTCTCCACGTCCCCGCCCCAACGTTGTCAACGGCTCATTGCCTACGAGTCGTGTCCGCTTTCCGCGGGCAACGGAAACACGTCGCTGAAACATTCCACGGTTCCTTCTTGCCCTCAAAGTTCACGTTCTCCTCCTCGTCAGAACAAGATGCTTTCATCGAGGACCTCCGTCTTGCTGTGTACAGCACGTGTCTAGCAGCGTATGTGCAAGGGATCAGCATCATCGACGTAGCAGACAAGCAAAACAAATGGTGCATCGACTTCGGCAACGTCGTGCAGATCTGGCGCGCCGGCTGCATTATCCAAGCGGACCATATCTCCTCTCTCCTCGCGGAGATCTTCCACCCTTCCTCTACCTCGATCTATAAAAACCACAACCTCTTGTTTGAGCCAAGCATTGTTGCGGCTCTGAAGAAAGGCTTTGAGAGCTTGAAGCGAGTGGTGGCGAAGGGTGTGCAGGAGAATGCTGTTGTGCCGAGTATGAGTGCTACGTTGGAGTGGTTGAAGTACATGGGGAATTTGGAGCTGCCGACGCAGTTTTATGAGGCGGAGTTGGATTATTTTGGGAAGGTATGGCCATGCTCGTTCGTCTTTGGCAGTTCCTGAATGCTGAGAGATATGAAAATTTCAATGCTAATGAGATGGCAGCATATGTATGATAGTAAGGAGATGGATGGGAAGCTGGATACGGATTACCAGGTGCCGGTGACGGGGAAGAGGCATTTTGAGTGGAAGCCTGCATAAGTTTCACTCCTCGGCGAGGCTGCGAGGTATGCCGGGAGTGAGGGTAGAGAGGATTCCTTTCAACCTTTTGAGTGTATGGCACCTTGGAGGAGTTACGTTTCTTTGCATAATCAATTGTGTGGATCGATGCACACGGTAGAGGGAGGATGTTTCTTGATTTGCTCTCCTATTCCTGATCACTGATAAGAGCATCCTATCAGCAAGTGCTATAATGCCCAAATGGCGTTTTGTGCTCGATATCGTATTCATTGAGGAAGCTTGGTCTTCCGCCATGCATATGAGGGTTGAATAAGTGTGAAGTATACGAGCTGGTGGTTGTGTGGGGTGGTGTTGTTGGGTTGAGGGCTCTGAAGCGAGGACCTTTTTAACTGTAGGAGGAAGGAGTAGAGTTTTCTGGTTATGGAATTAATTTTTCATTACGTTTGAGAAGTGGTAAATGTATTCCTGTTTCTTCATGTACGAAAGATCGCCATGTTTGCCAAGTTGTTCCTCATTTTCGGACATGAAAGGTGAATCTCACTTGGCATTTCCGGGAGGTCCGGAGGAGCAGAAAGTTCTCGACGAAGGAGAGTTGTGCCGTTGCTGAGCTGCAAGACGTCGTATTAGAACGGGCTTAGACCGGTTGAATGCCTATTGAAGCATCTTACCGTGTCTTACAGGATCCAGTAACACCTTCTCTTCGCAATCTTGCTCGCCTATTGCGGCAATTTGCAGACTGCGGATCCTTGAACATTTCCAGATTCATCTGTCCCATGGTATTGTAGTGGAGAAGAGAGTTTCCGAGGCTGAAATTTAGATGAACCCCAGACTCTAGCTGTCAGCTTTGTAATCGAATTGCTTCCTGTCAGCTTACACTCATTGTCGCACATTGCTGCCTCTTCAAACGCCGGTTCGGTGGGGTAAATTAGTAGTCGACTCAGCCCTGCTGTGCCGCTGTGTGGTTACATCACAGCCAGCAAATCGTCTTCCACGGGTCCATCCCTTGTGAGAGGGCAAGGCTAGGATAATAAACAAATCAAAACTGGAACATGCTATAAAGGTGAATTCCAAAAGGGATTTCTTAAAAATAAAAGGAGAAGTTGCTCGAATATTCTGGGAGAGCTTCGTTAGGTTCAGCTCTAATTTGAAGATCACTTTATGGTTTGAGATCGTGGAGAGTATCCGGAGAATATTGATCCCCGTTGATTGGAATCAAGTACGCCACCTCGGGTGGGAGTGGAACGGGGATAAAATTGCTTGCAGCATGCACGCACAGGGGCGCGAGATCTTCGAGGACCCACCTCTTTTACGTACCTGTAATCGGAATATACCTCTCATCAGTTCTACCGGGGACGTGTCATCTTTAAGTAACACCACATCCTGTTCAGCTTGAAGCGCCTAATGCATTCGTGTTCATTAGCCAGGAACACGGCATAGGACCCTACAGGTCAGCGTGGGGTCCACATTTCCCCTGTTTGACTCGAACACACCGCTTAAGAACGAGATCTTGGCCTTCTGCGCACCTTGCTCGCCAGCACAGGCTTCCAACTTTACAGCCCCGTAAGCCTTGTTAATTACCAGTAAGAGCGGTAGCAAGCGTTTGCCGAGTGTCATTCAGCTGCACATATCGCGAATTTTCCAGATTGGGATCGTGCTGAGTTTCTTCATTTGTAACATTCGGCCGAATCTCAAGTCGAATCTCAAGACCCAGTTGAGGTTAGATTACTGAAACGTTCCGAGGGATTCGGACCCGTGCTCGGCGGAGAAGTGGCGCAAGATACAAACAATGAACTCACGATGCATTCTAGATCCTCAGCTGCGCGGCCGACTGTAACTCTAATTCGTCTAAAACTTCCTCGCAGTGAGTGCTGAAGCTATCTTTGGATGGAGAGTTCAGAATATTCTCTGCAACCGACTTCCTTTCATCCATCACTTGATCAGACTGGACGAGAAGGGATCTTTGAGGCGACCACCCATCCGATTACGAGGCAATGCGAGAAGTCAGATTGGAAAAGGAGGTCATAAGTTTGTCAGGAGCTGTTGATGTCGTGTAAGGTATGAGCTGGCCCCATGCCTGAAGGAAATCTATAAAGTCCAGACGAAATCACCTCTCAAATCTTTCATCATCAAGCTCAAGCCAAACAAACTTCACCTCCCAACATTTCTCAATAGAAACCCTCATAGCTACCACCTTTACCCCGATTTTCCATTCTTCCTCCTCTCATAGAACATTATCAACCTTCCTCAAAATGGTTCAACTCACAACCGTCTTCTCCCTCTTCCTTGCCGCATCCGGCCTCGTCTCTGCACTCCCAAGCCCAGCAACTGAGACCAAAGGCACTCTTGCCGGTCCATCAGATGACACCGCTCACGGAATCTACATCGTTGATCTCGCAGACGATGGCTCCACAACCTGGACTTTCGTTGCACCTATCAACGAGACGCTGAAAGCGAACCCTCTTACTACCCGTGATGTCGATAGCCTCGACAAGCGCGACAGCACGAACTGCAACGGTTTCGGCACTCCTGCTGACGAGTAAGTCCCACCCTTCCCCTTCCGCCCCTTCTACCCCTTCTACCTTAATCTTTAATCATAGCTAACCTTTCTTCCTACAGTGTTAACGTAGCCCAAGGCAACCTCGCCAACCAATGCGGCAACGGCTACTTCTTCAGCGGGCGCTCCATCGCCGCTTACTACGGCACCGGCGTGGCGTTCGGCTGCAACTACGGGAAGGGCCAGACGTGCCATTACAATGACCTGTGGAGCGACTTCGGGAATATTAATGCTAAGTGTGGGTTCACTCACGGTGCGCAGGCTGGTGCAGGCTGGTATTCGCATAGCTCGTGGAAGGCGAGTTATGGACGGACTTCGAGTGCGAGCGGATTCTGCTAAATTGAATGAGAGGGTGAGAATTTGGCGATGAACGTGACTGTTGTGGGGAAGAGGGGGAGAAGGTGGAGAGTGGGTGTGTTTTCATTCTTGAGTTATTCAACATAAATATTTTAAAGAGAAGGCACGGAACATTTTGTGTCTTCCTTACATCCATTCTTTAAAAAATAGAGCTTTTTTATTTTAGAAATCGGTCTTTCTTTCATTTTCCGGCGAATTTTGAGACAAAACTTTGGAAGTGGCGAGACCTCGCTTACGAGTTCCCTCATGCGGAAACACTTGAAGAGATCCAGCCATTCTTTTGATTCTTTTAATAGACAACGCTCATAATTATAACACTTTGCTTCCGAATATCTGGTCATTTGTTAGTCAAGCAATCTTTATTTTGGGGAGGGGTTGAACCTTTGAAGTGTTGGGAGTGACATAAGCGGACCGTCCGGTTTCAGATAGCGAACCCAGGCAACGACGAGCCTTAGACCATGAAAATTCAGCAAAATTGCTTTGAGTATCGAATAGAATTTGCCTTATTAGCTATCTTGGATATTTCTGAAGACTTGTTTCATCAAATCGTACGCTTGACCCGCGGCGATTCGGTCCTTGTAGCAGCATCAAGCGCCTTTGCAGACGTTAACGGTGAAGATGAAGATGCGGTGTGAGGGTTATTGAAATTTCTCCATTCCTCCATGTCCTCTTCGACGTATCCGGGCAAGCCTTTGACTGGGAAAAGATGGAGTGACTTCGCCCCGTAGCTGATTAGCAAGTTCTCTAGTGTATCAATTTGCTCTAGAGCTGGAAGGTATTCTGGAGATGTTGGATCTGATTGTGCTGTTTTGCTCCTCATGTTCTTCACCATTCGAAGAGGTGTATCGTAGAATACGGACATCCCTCGGTCCTGTAGAGCCGATTCTATATACTCGGACTCATCTTGCCAAACACAAGAATGTTCTTCATATGTTTTGAAGAATAATTTGCAAGTGTGATGAATTCTTTTCACGTTAGTTTCGTCATGGGCGACACGATTGGGTGCAGCACCGCTGTCCAGGATTGTTCGTGACATCCTGGATGTGACCTCAAGATCACAATGTAGAACGGGAAGCCCACATAGTGCGTCCAATATTGTAGACTGAAGTGGTGTGATCGTACATCGTTCGGGATCTGGTTGAGCTCCATTATCAAGGAGAAAGTCAAGGCAGCATTGGCGGTGGGGATCGTCGATCGACCACCCTAAACGACTAAATTTGCAATTTAATACTGTGTTCAGCGGATGGAAGCCGCTAAGTGAGCAGATATTAACATCTGCTCCCTTCGGAATCATCAATTCAAGAATGTGCGGCGGCTGTGGTCCATCCCTAGTCGTGCGCATCACAGCGACTTGAGGAACTGTTAAGATTTCGTGCCCTGAACACTCATCCTGTAACAGTCCGAGAAAGATCTGTTTCACCTCGTCCGGCGAAACTGCGTACGAGAAATCAACTCGAGTATAATCAATATTACCGAGCCAATAGAGGGGCGCTTGGAACATAAATGGGTCCTTCCACATGTCGAGGAGAACTTGAACAACGTCGATTAAACCTAGCCAACATATTGAAGCGAGGATAACACTGCACTCTGCGCCGGTTTCGGCTGACCAGAGCTGGCATGAGTTCCCTGATTCTAGCTCTGAAACCTTATTTCTCCAAGCTGGATAATGTGATTCTCTTGGGTCGAGTAATTGAATCACTAAAGGGGTAATCGATTCTTTAATCGACTTCGACTTTATGCTGCGAATTCCATCAGGCCAATTCCGGGTAGCATCAGCCATGAGAGGTTTGTGCTTCATAGAGTAGTCCTCGTAGAGCATATAAATAATATAGCAAGATGTAGCTAAGGCATACATTGAGTCATTCGTCAACTGAAACATGCTTGCTGGTCCATCGCCAATGCGGGAAGAAATCAGGTATTCCTTGACGGTGTAGTGGGCGAGGTGCAAGTTGCCAGTACCCGGTTCGCTGTGATCATATGCCAGGAGACATGTAGATGCCTCGACTGGGGCGTGAAGATCGAAGGGGCGGTTTTTTCGATCGAACGACGGATTCTCGACATCGACTGCAAGAAGGTCCGCCAGCTTATGCAGATTTATCTTATAGCCACAAGAAACGAGGCTCAAAGTTCTATAAACCATGTTTTGACTCTCTGGTGGTATGTTACAGAGTATCCTCTCGTAGGTTTCATCTAGAGTTTTGGGTAGCTGCGTCAAAGCAAGCCGGATTTCGGGCAAGGTGTGCAGTCGTTTCAAGATGTCAAGTTGACAGAATGCCCAGCGAAACCTAGGATATATCAGCCCCGCTAAGTAAGATATTTGAGCTCGAGAGAAGTCTTACATTCCCTTTGCACCTTTCACAAGAGCTGCCTCTGTCTCGCTTTTGAGGCTCTCGGGCCATCTGCCAAATTTGGGATCCTCCCGAAGGCGCCCTTTAACATATGTCGTGATATCTTTATCTACATACGGATTCGAAAGAGATAACCCAGTGGCAATTGGTGAGAGCGCACTTTCGATGTCCAATTCTTTTCTACTCGTGGCCAGAAGCTGGATATTTCCCAGTTTTGTATGCCTGACAATTTTGTGCAATAACTTCAAGAGATGCTCACGATTGGCAGACTCATCGAGTGCATCGATCGTAATGTAGACTCGGGAAAAGTTCTCGGCCGCGGCTTCAAGCATTGAAAGCAGAGTACCCTCCACCAAGTGGCCTAGTCCAGCTTTATATTGAGTATGGATTCTGGCTGGAATCCCACCAATCTTTCGGCAAAGCTCACTAATGACCCATCGCAGAAAGTGTGTGGTCTCACCTTGGTTCCGCGCAAAATAGCAATAGTAGAACGCGCAAGACGAGCCTTCAATACCTCTACAATGTCTTTTAACGTCTTCCGCGATGAACGAATGGAGGACGGTCTTTCCAGCACCGGGAATCCCGTGGAGCCAGATAAATCGAGAGCGTCCGGATTTCCAGTCAACATATTCAGGAGAATTGGTAAGCCATTGGCCAGTATGATCTTCATGAAGCTCGCAAGCATTGTTGTGGTTTGGTGAGGGATCGGTTGTCACAAGCCATTTCAGAACTTTCGTCATCTCTGCCTCTGGAAAGATATCAGCATTAGCGAACTCGACCATCACTGTAGCTTGGGTCTCTCACCGGTCATCGCTTCGCCAATCTTCTCGACATTTTTTCGAATATGCTTTATATCTTGACTAAATACGATTACAATCAGTTGAGTCTCTTGAAAACGGCACCTGTTTTTACTCACGCAGCCTCGGTCGTCAAACCAAGTGCTATTGTTGACTTGTGTCGTCCTATCTCCTCGAGGAGCTTGAAGGCCTTCTCTCTCTTGAATGGCCATGCCAGAGTAGTCAGAGAGATTGCAAGTCTTTTCCTTTTCCTAGTCGCCGCATTTTCTGACTGGGGTGGAAACAGACCCTCAAGAGAGTTCAAGGCCTCTTTGCATCCCTCGAGCGGACCCTGTAGCTTTTCCAAAATCTCCACGCCCTGGAAGGCAATCTCCGCCTCGCCAGAAGTGTCCAACAGCTCGATGACTTCGAGAACACATTTCACGCTCCCAACTTCGATCAAGATTGCTCTCAGCTCAGCAGGTGCATCCTTGACTCCCGTGATATATGCCCTGCACAAGTCTATGATCCTGTCGGCGATCTGAACCACTGCAATGACGCTCGCAGCTGCGCTCAGGGGATCCATATTCCTGAAAGAACGCTGAGGAAATTATGGTTAATGACTGAAATCACAAGGCTGCAGCTCGAGAATGGGAAACAATTGCGAAGGTGTTGGTTGCTACCTGACGAGGCTCCGGCTCCGGCTGACTCCGAGTTGTCATGGCTTTGGTGGTGGCTGTGCAGCGAGGCTGTCTTGAGGCAATGCACATGCAAGAAATCCTCAAGGAAGATGGCAGTGTGGTTTGCACGAGATACGAGACGAGAAACCCATCAATGTACTATTTATATGGGAACAACTTGTCTCCTCGTCAAGGCCAGCAGCGAACGGGATTTATTTGAAAACGGCGTTCGCTTGAGAAAGAGAGTTTGCTTGGTTGGTGAGAAGCGATTCAGGGTTAATGTTTCCCGGTGAACAATCTGGGTTCGAAATGGAGGTGAGCACTGCAGTTAACCATAATTCTTGCATCAAAGTGCGCTCTCGAGTTTTACCCGAAGGATCATTAATTATATTCTCTATACATCGACTTCGTCAACCCTTGAAAAATACATGATTCCGCCTTGCTATTATCTCCCTCGGCTCATTTACGCTGTTGATCTCCGAAGCAGGTACTTCGCGAGCTGGCAACTCATAAATGGGCCGCTCCCCTTCCCCGATCTCCACTGGTGGAGTGTGTTTCGTTCCTTCTGCCTCGCACAATATAGGAGATGCAACGCTCGTGTCTCCCATCTCAGCTTTCAGGACTTGGACTTGATCTAAGGCAGGCGGCGGGGTGTTCGTTGGAAGTTCTGCCACACGTTGGCGTCGGGGTTTAAAGTGGAACAGATACAAGAGTAAAATCGAGATCACAACGATGGCTGCGCCTCCTACGGAGATACCTGCTATCGCGGCTGTTGGAAGGCTGTTCGAGGTGGTCGCGGTGCCCGTGCTATTTGTCGAATTTGGTGGAAGGATTGTGACAATGTTTTGTAAGAGTGGTTTGTCCCATTTGCATTGGGAAATTGAAAAGCTCTTGGCTTCGTAATCTGCAATAACGTATGCTTCTTGGAAGAATGTCCTTCCAAGCACGTATGTATCGTTCACCGCCCGCCGCAGTGGAAAATATGGCGTCGTAGAAGAGACGAGAGGCCAGGATGCGTTTAGGTCGAAAGCTGCGTATGGCAGAGTGATATTAACCGTGTATGGAGGGGTTCCCAACGCGAATGTGATGCTAGGATTTTGGGATCGCAACGCTGAGTGCTGGGAATCAGTAAGTAAATACAGCTGGGCTGTATCATTCCAGGTCAAGCCAAAAACGCTCTCGAATTGAGTGCATGCTTCGATTGGTAGGTAAATGTATGGCAGAGTTGAATCCAGAGATATTGCTGTGATGGGTGAAGGAAGAAGAGACTGGCCGGTGCCAGTTGTGATAGCTTGCAATCCGACAGCGATTTCAGTGTCGACATCGAGGGCAAAGCTGAGATTATTCTTGACAAACCGTGAAGAATCATACCCCCCCAGAATGAGACTTCCGAGCACATTCCCGAGTCCTGGGCCATTGATATTAGCTGATGTATCCTAGACTAAATAGGATTTACGCTATGGAAGAGGACGGTTGGAGTCAAACATACGATATTGGTTTCCTGCAGTGTAGCTCCAGCTGAGACTTGGGATCGTGGATTGACTCTGCAAACTTTGCATAAAACTTGGGATAGGATTGTTGAAACTTGTGAAGTTTTTGGACCGAGGTGTCAATCCAAAGAGTCCCATAAAATAACTCTTCGTAGCAATACCCGCAATTGACTGGTTCTTGACCAGCAGACCTCCACTCCCTATGTATCCAAAAGTAACATCATCAAATCCATAGCGCCCTTTGCCGGTATAGCCCAACGGCACTTCAAGTTCGAGTGGATACACTTGCGATGATGTATTGGTAAGATTCGGATCCCAAGTCGATGAGGTATTGTAATTGTACAGCTCGCCTCTCAATGTGTGGCAATTGGAAGGGTCTCCTGGTTGACATCCCTCGGGTGCAATCGCCCATGTCTCGTAGGAGGCCGTTGATGGAAGAAGTTTGACTGTCTGCGGGGGTGTTCCAATCTGGAAGACAAAAGTTGACCAGGGGCCATCATTGCCGTCCCTAGTTGTGTCAGCAAAAGCTATGGCACAATTGAGGTTGGAGAGAACAACCAACTCTCAGATGATGGCACAACAATCGGCGCGGGATAAGTAGATCTCGACTGTACCTGGCCCAATGCAGACTGGACATTTGGCAAGAAGAGGAACGCAATCAGGACTCTTAAATCCTGCCATGGAGGAAGATCCCATCTTCGAGGCATCATTTCAAGCGTCGCAGAGTGATATATGCATTGGGCAGAGCACGAGGAGTCGAAAAAGCTTGAGGATTGTAGATGGCTCGGCTTGTGGGAACATTAATTGATGAAGCAGCTAGCGTAATCGCGACAATCGAGATTCGAGAGATTCATAGGGAAAACCCTACCTGCGGGCAATCTGGACAAGGCTGTTCAAAGTGCTCGGTTGCGGAGTTAGCTCACTCAGCCTCCGGATTCTGGGCTGATCACCAGAATGCGAGATACGCACACTTGGCGTGCAGTGCTCCAGCAGGACATGGGAGGTGCACCCTTTACCATTGGAGCAGGCAAAGCCGAATGACTATTTTCAGCACGAATTTCAGGGAAGTGCCGTGCAAGTCGTCGGATTTGGCGTTTGGTGGCAGTGGCTGAGCTCCCTTCGGGTAAGACAGTGGCTTGATATTCCTGAGACCACACCACACATAGCCTATCAGAATTCAAGAGCAATCGGAAATGCTGTCGTCCTCCCAGCCAACAAAAAGTTCCATGTGCAAGTGGTCGCAGTTAAAAATGGGCATTTCTCAGCCCCGTTGCCCAGCTCCGGCAAGCAAAACCAGTGGGAACACTCTAAAGAAGGCGGAGGCTGGGGTTCTCTTTCTGAATCATCCTGCTTCACGGGCGAACATGATCGGCCTTTTTAACTCTGGACGTCTAGGACTTGGCTCCTGAAGCAATATCTCCCGCCCGTTCGCTTTGCCCCACTCTTGGAAGAATTCGATGGTTTCTTGACCATTTCACGATGTTTCTGTGCTATCTCCTTTTCCTTTTTAGTACATTCATTTTGAACACCAGCGCAAACTTTGTTCCGCGAGGTAAGAAAGGATCCGCAGAGAGATATCATTACCAGCAGTGAGTTGCTAACTAGGTTCATCTGTAGCTCCTCCGCAAACCAATACCACTAGTACATCGAGCACATCGATCGCCATCAACAAGACACCTTCTGCTTCGGTGCCTCATTTACAAACGGCGGAATCTCCGAATCCTGATCATATTTGTTGCTTTGTCGTCCAAGATGTCGTCAGCGAGGAATGGTGGGGTGTTGTGGCAACAAGCTCGATCTTCCAGGTGGTTACCCGGACGCAAATCACGGCCTATCTCACACCTTATCCTTCAACAACAATAACCAGCTACGAGTTCCATTTTCAGACGACCAATGCTTCAATCCCAGTCACAGCTCAGATTGGGGTTAATCCAATTTCTCTGTTTGGCAATGGAGCCCCACATCCTACGGAGGTGGCTCAACTTAACAATGGCACTGCTTTGACAACTGGAGGAGTCACGATGTAAGTCCTTGAATTAATGATGTTTCAAGCACTTTTCTAACCAGAAGTCTTTGTAGTCAATCCCCAGCTGCCTTTTACATCTATTCTACTGTCAAAGTCATTACCGCAGCAGCCATCACAGACGGTTCCGGAAACCTGGCATGCGGAACATCAATCGGGGGATTTCCAAACATGAATCCAAATGCCCAGGCTTACTTTGGCGGGCCAGGGATTGATCAGTCTGCTGCAAGCTCAAGTATACCCGGCCCTAAACCTCGAGCTCCTGCAGGTACACCTGTTGTCATTTCGTTGACAACTCCTTTCATCTACCAGCCAGCAAGGGGAGAATCTGGGGCAACGGGGATAGACACCTGTTTCATGTCACCTATGGCTGGCACAGAAGACTACGGATACGTTCCACAGACAGTTCTCAACTTTCTGATAGCTGATGAAGCGTATTCGTCCCAGTACCCGGGCTTGGCGGCATGCTTACCTGCTGGTCCATCTATTGTACCTTCGGGATGTTCAACAGTCGAAACTTTCATTACGACATTTACTACCACCCTTCCAGCATCAACAATTATTAGTACAATTACCGCCAGCTTTTCGTTCTTCGATGTGACCACCACTCAACCAGATTCAATAATAACCAGCCTTAATACCATTTTTATCACATCGACACTCATCTCTATCATTCCAGGATCGACCATCTCTGGAGGGGAAAGCATTTCCAAATCTATCTTCACAACGACGCGTAACAACTTGACGATCACTAGGACCTCTCCTGTTACGTTTACTCTCACAGAGCAGACTGTGGCCGAATCGACTTCCTTTAGCACGTTTGTAGAGGCGACTACCACTGCTTTTATAGAGACCATACCGGGGACAACAGGCATTACCGTCGAGTCAACTCCAGTGCTTGAATTTGAGAATGTCGTATTTCCGCCCTCGCCCTCTGTGGGCACCAGTACCAACTTTGTCACTGTTGCTGCCGTTCAAACCCAAGCTCCACCAACCTACGTCCCTGCCGACAGTGGGAATGATATCACGAATCCTGTAGTGACCGTTGTGACCCGTCCTGCTCCTGTCCAGCAACCTATTGTCCAGAATCCACCCGGTCAGAATCCACCCGGTCAGAATCCACCTGGTCAGAATCCACCTGGCCAGAATCCACCTGGCCAGAATCCTCCTACTGCTCCCAACCCAATTGCCAGTGCCATCTGCCAAATCATTGGATGTGCAACGGGCCCACCAGGGAATACGCCAGGATCCGGTGGGCAAACTTCAGCAGGTGTCGGTGTCATCGTGCAGCCAACTACGATTCCACTCTCCGCGGCTCCACCTGGTCTTTCGGGACAAATTTCGACGATTGGTGGGACCCCTGTGCTAGTTGTGACTGCCCCTGTGACATTTGCTCCCTTTACCCCTACACCCGATTCCATCCCGGGAGCCAGTGTTACAATAATAAATGGCTCTCCCTCGATCGTTATCTCCTCTTCGACGTTGATTCCGGTAGTAAACGCTCCTCCTCAGCTCTCTAATGTACCTACGACTATAATTAATAATACACCTTTCTTGGTAGTCGGCCCTACTACCATTGCAGCACCATCTCCACAACCCAATGGACCTAGCACAACTAACATTGGAGGAACTAACTTTATTGTTTTCTCGTCTGCTACAAATATTCCTCTTTCAAATGCTCCACCAGGTAAGCTTATTTCTCATCCTGATTTACTATAGTTTGGCGTGAGAGTACAGACCGTGGGAGTTTCTCGGAATTCTGTCATACCCCTTTATCTTGGTGCTTCGCTCCCTAGCTCTCAGCTCTCCTCTCAATATCAGAAGGCTTCCTTACTAACTCGGGGCTCAGGCTTGACCGGAAGCTTGACAATTATCAACAACACTCCATTTATTGCCGTTCCTGGTTCAACGAATATTCCAGTACAAGCCACTCAGACCGGCGTGTTATCGACAACAATCATCAACGGCACTCCCTTCGCGGTCGTGGGAAGCCCGACTCAAATACCACTTGCCAACGCTCCTCCTGGTCTTAACGGTGTGACCACTACCATCAGTGGAACTCCTTTCTTGATCATACCTTCCGCCACAGCCCTCCAGCTCTCAACATCAATCCCAGGCTTGGTAACCGTTATCAATGGCATAACAGAAGTTATCTTTACAGGGCTAGCCACAGTCCCTGTAAACTCAGCATTTTCGCTATCGGGCTTCACGACGGTCATTTCTGGAATTACAGAAGTGATTTTGAGCACACCTACGACGATATCTCTGAAGACAAGCCCAAGTTCAGCTTCTGCGAGTACTTTGTCGACGATATCTTTAACTTCAAGTTCCAAGAGCAGTACTAGGAGTAGCACAAGTTCAAGCTCAAGCAGCTCAAGCAGAACATCATCATCAATATCCTCCACGTCGGCCTCTCAATCGCCAACCGCGACTTCTGCTACACCCTCAAAGTCCGGCAAAGGTGGTCTCTCGACAGGTGCGAAAGTGGGGATTGCTTTTGCAGTAATCCTTTTTGCATTGCTGGCTCTTGGGCTGATCTTGTTTTTGAGACGGAGAAGGCAGGATAGGGAGGAGGAGTACGAACCTGTAGCAGCGAGTGGGGACGCAGCCAGTGGGGATGCAGCCAGTGGGGACGGCGCACCACCGGTCATCGAGCGGCTTCGGACGTCGACGCAAATTGGAGCAGACAGTTATACTCCGGCTGTGCGAACTCGAGGGGGATACGTGCAAACCCCACAAGACGAATGGATGTCTGCAATGCAACGCCAAAGATCTGTAGCGCGACGTCCAGTTGGGGCGGGATGAGAGAATAGTTGTTTTCGATGCAGCAGAATTCCAAATGATATTGGGCGATTAGGTGAATGAGATATGACAAATACATAGACAAGATACCCATGAAGTTGAGATGAAAATACAAGAGGGTCGGATCAGAGGATGGCGAGTCTTACCCCTCGAACAAGAACAAGTGATGGTCAAAGGGAACAGCGAGGCCTTGTCACGTACAGGCACCTTTCTGAGTCGCTGAATCGTAACAACGTTGACGTCAGAGCTGTGTGTGGGAGGGTATGTCGAGTTTAAAACTTATAGAATAATTTTCTGCCGAGCAGGTTCATAGTTTCTGGTGCTCGATACAACTTGGTCCAATTACTCAAATCCTAATCTTCTCACTCTCAAATCCTTACTCCCCCCGTTCTATTCATCTCATGGGGTTTAGATTCCCGAGCAAGCAGCTCTACGACTCGGGCCGATTGCAAATAAGAGGTATGAAGATTTCACCTGGTTATTCAGATTGCGACATCCTTGATACCTCAATATGTGCCCGATAAGCGACGGATAAAGGAGGAAGGATCCAGTTTTGGCTAAAATTAGTCGAGAAATTTCAAGGGAAGAGGCGCTTTTGTGGTCCATGCAAGAAATCTTCCTGAAAGATATTTTCTTCCTACACAAACCTTCGAATATCTCAAGTTTCTTAAAATCAATCAACAACTTGGTTTCTATTACGATGCCAATTATTTATCTAGAGCTTTTGAAGACTTTGATGGATATTCGAATGACAATCTGGAAAATGGTGGCAGAGTAGACAGCCAGTTTTGGGACAACCGCGTGACTGACATCCTCCTCTCGCTCTCGATCTTGTTGTGAGAAACCAGTAATCCTTGGAAAGTGAAACGCTTCATCGATTATTGGGCTTTCTTCACTGCGTGCTTGTTGTTGGTATTGGCATGAGGATGATGATAATCAGCACTTGGTTTTTCTCCCTAGAATTCACGTATGGGTAATAAATGATTTCAGAAAGAGGGGAAACGTATAGTAGTAACTGCTCCTCAAGTGGGAGCTATTTACAAATAATATCAGATTCTCGGTATCCATTCTCCCATATCATCATGTGACCTGAAAACATCCCGCGTAACCGCCAACTTCTTTCTGCCTTTGAATTGAAGGACTTAGAGTAATCTGCGTGGAGAATCATTTCTTCGGACCAGCTTTATACTTTCTGTCAAACGCCTTTTGACAGTTTCCAGAGTGAGTCAGAGAATATCCCTTATACTCGGGACAATTCTTCATTTGCATGATACCAGTCGGGTTCGTCTTTATATAGAGAGAGTAGAATATCTTGGTGGCCTTTTTATGACCGCAAGTGGAGTAGGTTGTCTCGAGGTAGAAGGAAAGGCATCTTGGTAGCTGTGCTTGAATACTGGTTTTGTATTTGGTTTGTTTGATGGTGGCGAAGTTGGTATCGGTATGCACAGTAGGATAGAAAGCCCTTGGAGTTGAAGGTTTCGTGTGCAGAGTTGAGGTTATGGACAACTTTTCTCGATGGAAGTTGGAGGCGCAAGAGGTTTTTCAAATACCTGGATGTCGGTGAGATAGGACAGAGCAGATTACGAAGTTCACATTAGGGTGAATTAATATCTCGAGTACGTATGTCAATGAGATAACGAAATTCATAGATGCTGTCGGCGTGAAATAGTTTCCCCAAATGTCATTAAAGATTCACCTGGTATAGTATTACCCTAAAACCTCACATCAATAATCACTCCTCATTATTCTCGTAAGATCTCACTTCAACCGTCGAGGCAATTCTTGCACCAAAAGTTGGCCGTTAGGCAGAGGATTGCAAAGATTTTCACTAGTTGGGAGTTTCTACTCTCCTGATCCCCACCATTCTCCTACAACCCCCACTACGCAAAGTTCAACGGTCACGACTTCGCAGACAGTAAGCATACTTCTTACCCATCACCATTTCTCAATATCTGTTCCTCAAAAGGCAACTGAAATTTCCCACCAGTCAATGGCACAAGAAATTTAATTCGCTTCGGCAACGATCACACCGGTCAATGTTCACTACGAACAGCTTTACGAACAGATCCATGAACTGCTCAGCATCTCACAAGGACAGAAAATTGCGTTCAGGTACAAAGATGACCCAAGCGGAACAGCCCCGAGCCTGATAAGCGGCAAGGATTGAGACAGCGCATTTGAAAGAAACAGTGAACTTACTACTGCCAGTGGGTGTCTGAATTAGCTAGGCACTGACTACTAAGTCAATAAAAGTCGCCTCCTTCCAAATGTTGTTAACGCTTCCACCTTTAACAATATTAGTTGGAATTTGAAAATATCGATCACTTAAAGCTTTTAAAATAAATAAATTAACTAGAATTCTATTTAGGCTTTTATTTATCAATAATATTAAAAATATTTACTCATAATATAAGCTAATTTTGGCCACTTGAAAAATGTAATTTAGAAAATATAATTAATGTAAACTATGAAAAGTTTGAATGTTTCTATTCAATATTGGAATTGCATTTTCATATTGAGGCTCAACGGTTTGGTTATTTCTTAAAGAGAGAGAGTTTCGTTGATTTTTGGTAGGGCTAAAACGCTAAAACGGGTGTGCGTAGCGAATTCGGACAACTACTGGTGCCTTCCCCATCGATTGCAAGCCACCACATTCACAACTTTTCCGCTAAAGATATCAGCTAGAAGTGAAGTACACAAGTGCTGTGGACTTCACCTTCGACTTGAAACTTGGTCACAATACACCTTATTCAACAATCTCGGCTCAGCTTTAAGCTCCTTTGCCTTGGTGTCCAAGGCTCTCCGACTTTAAAGACTACTTGACGAGAGCCACTTCACCCATCCTCGAAGATCTCCTGAATAAAAACATGAGAACGGTGAAGTTGGTAATCTTCCCGCCGTAACCTACTCAACATCTACTTCTTACAGCACCTCACTAATCTTTTCTGAACACCTCTTCCCTATTGAGCACAGAAAGCAGACACTACATCACCATGGCAAGCCGTCGTCCTCCTGGTGCTCGCAATTGGGGGTAAGTACAAGGCTGTCAGATTGAGCTCTCTATTTAACAACGTCCAGATCACCCTCGTTTCGCTTTGTCCCAAATCAATTCACGGACATCAAATTCAGAGCAGAGTAAGCAACGGAACGAGGTCAATATCTGCGGAGGCAATTATCCTAACTGTGAGCAGAGCCAAGAAAGGTCCACTTATCACATTCTATTGCGGTTATGATAATGACGAGCGAATTGAGAAGTTGCCAATCCACCAAGCACTCTTCTTCAAAGATTCCGTTTCCAAAGTTCCTCAGCTTCTCTTCGATCCTGATGATGATGAGGGCTCATACGATTTCCGGGAGCTCATTGGCGCCGAATCACGAAGAGATGTCGAAGCGGAGTGGGAGGCTTTTGCTGCTTTCAAATCGTGGCTCGAGGATGGAGTTTACTTGAATCGCCAGATTTTGTGTACACACATTGATGCATATCTGTTGGCCGAGAAGCTTGAGAGCCCAGGATTCAAGAACGCGGTCATGAGAGAAATGTTGAAGATGATGCCGGCAAGGAAGTATGATGCAGATCTGAAGGAAACCTACCGCACCATCTTCACCAGCTGTCCTATGTCATCGCGACTGAGAAAACTATACTTCGAAAGCGCATCTTTCTGGAAGTTTAGCTTTGACAAGGATGGTTACGTTGGGGGCTCAAATGGGGAACTTGGATTGGATTCAACTTCAGAAAAATGGCTCATGTTATCTCTCAGAGAGCACCGAGAAAGGTTCTGCCACTGTCCTCTCATCGGAGCACCACCAGCACCAAGGCTCCGGGAAAACCGTTATCCGCCACCTCCAGAATGCCGTGACGAAGAAGAGGAAAAGCTGTGGTGTTCTCAACAACATCGACCACCATCGCAAATACCAACTCCGCTACCTACGTTGAGACACCGGCCGAGACCTATTTGCAATTGCGAAAAGGCACCATGGGAAGACCCCGAGCGCTTCTATGTGGCTGGTTGATTTAGGGGATGAAAGGAAGGAATATGTGGAAGTTGGTGGGGTTGAGGCAACACTTTATGACGGTGTCCGACGAAAGGGATAATGGAAAGATGAGCCCGCTGCGGATTCAATCAGCAGGAGTTACTCGGGGGAATTTTGCGAAAGGAAAAGGACAGGAATAATTCGGCGGCCAATATTGGAAACTTGGAGACTGCATCAGTCTGCGTTATCTGGAGTCAGATCATTTCGTCCTGGCCCAATTAAAAGCTTTGTGAAACAGTTTGTGCTCCGGCTTGTGACTCGATTTGCTGCCTGAAACACCCCCATTGGCTTCGTTAGAGAAGTCATGTTCTTCATATCCATTCAACAGCCACAAGAAATTCTCCTTCAACGATTTTGGAGACAAGGGTCTCCTAATTTTGAAATTAATGAAGCATGTTCCAAAATATCCAGTTAAATGACTACAATCAAGGTCTTTTTTGCTCAGTATGCTCCTCCCAGCTTCTGCAAGGAAGCTTGAGTAACTTTGAAAGAGTCCCCTCAGTAGAACGAGCTCCTTGTCTCCACATTACTTATTATTTGGCAATTAGCCGAAGAATCCCGCCATTTTGTTTATTGGGAAGCCGTCTTTGGCGTTGGGCGAGTGTTTTCGGGAGAGATCACGCATGTTGTCATGCCGGTTGTTGAGAAAAGGGGCTCGCTTAATCCTGCTCGTGTAAAGGACTAGCTCTGGTTACGCAGCAAACTCTCTCTTCTCGGGTCCAGGTTTGCTTCGGTGTTGATTTAATCGCACATAGAGAGTTTTTGAAGCCGGCAGTACTAGAGTTGGTTTGACATGACCCGCCCAGAAGTAGAAACACTTTCATTTGTTCTGTTTTCCTGGGGGCATATCAAATCACGTGATAAAACACTGAGAGCTAGCTCCAATTCTGAAAAGCCAAAGGAGACTGTCTGGACCACCCCAGGGTGAGTATGACGAGCCATACCATATATCTAGAAGTTTTGAAAAAGAGAGCAGGAGGATTGCATATGTTGGAAACTTGGAACCGGAGGAGCCAAAAGCTGAAACAGTAGGAACGAAGACAGGGCGTGACCGGAATAAAAGATGATGGACCCCATTACGGTTCTAATTTGGACTTAGTAGGCGGTAGATTCAATTCTAGCGGAGCTCAGCAAATAGCTTTCCTCCTCTCTTCAAGCGGCCCTTCCTCCTCCTGTCGTTCTGTGGCAAAATGGCTCCTGGAGGACTTCAACCTGTCTAGACCGGGAGTGGGACTTGACCAGTAATAAGGCACGGCCAGCAAGAGCAGCGAATTTACGAGTATAAGCCGTCCAGCGTGGGGAGTGGTGCGTACGGGAGCAAAAGGTGATGAGCTTGAAGTAGCCATGCTTGCTGAAGAAAAAGGCTGATCTGAATAAATGAAAGCCCGAAGCTGGACAAAATAAGTCGCAGATTATATGCTGCTTGCCCGTGTCTGATACGAAGCACTCTTCATTCTTCTTTTCAGTCTTTCTACATACTCACGGTCTCTCATATACCGCTGCCAGCATATCCAGCCAACCTCTGGTAGCAATCAACTGCAGCATATTCCCGCAATTACTATCATCAATCACGGCATACCCCATCCCACCACCAGGTAACCTCCAAACTACGGCCACGCCCTCGAGCTTGACCTTCTCAACACTCGGACGACCGGGCAAAGCAACCATGCCAGATCTATCCTCCTTCTCTGGAATCTCTTCATCGATTTTCCTCTTCAGTTCCGCATAAGTCATTGACAATTTCACGTTAATGATTTGAGTAGTAGCGGGGCCTTGGGGCAGGGAACCAAGTAAGAGGGAGCGCCCTCTCAGCCATTCTTCTTCATCTGCTGGGTTGGGTCGGAATGCTATATACAGACCCTTTTCATCCCGAAAGACCCGCCGCTTATGACCGGACTTGTAGGTATGAATTAGGAGTGGGTGTGAGCTTTCTTCTTCAACTACTGCGTCTTCGGGAACCGACTCAGAGGATGGGGCAGCAGGCGGACCACCTCTTTGTTCCATGAAGAATCCAGAAGGTGAAGGGTCTGGTATCCATTGGAGACCTGGTGCCCCTGGACTTTCCATGAAGAAACCAGAAGGGAAGGGGTCTGCGATCCATTTGAGAACTGATGTTGGTGGGGTGTTCATGATTGACGAAAAGTCCTCGTCGTGTGTGGTGTAGAGCATGATTTGGGAAGGAAAGTGGTTGCACATATTTTAATATCGGAACAAAGAATCCTTTTATTCTTCGGGAACGGGTTGGTATTGTCTGGATTGTTTTCGTTTCATAAGATTCCTTTCAGGTGCTGAGTATTCCGCAATACAACAAATCTCACGTTCTTTGTTGATTACGTCGTGGGCCGAGCAGAGAAAGGCTCGACTCGCTTTTCGCTGGTTCGAGTTTCTACGAACCCCGCCATGAAACTTTTCTAACGTTGGCAAGTGCGAGGGCTAGCTTATATTATATGGGGTAGGCTATTACCTGACTATTTTACCTGCTTAGCTAGTGTTTCAGTTATTTTAGCTAGTACTTCTTCTCTTTTTACTCACACTCTCTCTCTCTTCATTTCCTTAGCTTTATATTTTACAAGACACGAAATAGAGATCTTTGCACCTCGTTCCGTTGCTCTAGCTCCGCCGTCACACTCTCTCGTAACTAATTTTAGTATGAAAAGTATACTTTATCTTAGGTAATAGAAGCAAGGCTTAGAACCCCCAAAATTAGCATAGTAGCTAGTTATTGCGACATAGCCTCAATGGCTTGAATGAGTCTGTTCTCAGGGGAGTGTAATGCCGAAGTTTTTTTTTTTTAATAAACATTTCCGTGTTAAAATTGGAAGATCGATTATAGAAGGAGACAACGTGATATTAAGGCTATGGGTTATTAACGTCGCGTAGCAAAGTAAGGAGATATGTTCATGTCAACGAAGCACATAAACTAGTCTGTAAAACGGAACACCGCTTAAGAGTGGTGTTTCTTATCCTCATTTCTCTCTTCTGGAGTTTTGGATGAAGTGGTTTCGTATCCTACACCCCCCAAGCTTTCCCCACCCTCCGCTGTCCGGTCACCACCTTCGTTAAGGTTGGCTGGCCCACCCTGGGCGGTTCCGCCCTTGGCCTTTTCCCCTCTTCGGAACCCCCCCCCCCTGGGAATCGTCTCCCTGAGCGCCGTCTTCATTGATCTCTCCTCCTGCGCCAAAGGCACCGCCAACCTGAGCAAACGGGGCCGTCGCCACACCACCCTCTGCTCAGCAACCCCCAGCGACAGAGACGGTGGTGTCGTACCGGAAAACGAGCGTCGTGGCATTGGGCTTGATGATATCGCCGAGATGCGCGTAGTCATTGGTGAGAAGCTCCCCGGTGTCGCCGCGTTCGACAGACACCTCGCCCAGAAGACTGTACTTTGCTTTGATTTTCCCCTTCAAGAACACTAGCATTGTCTTGCCTTTCTCCTTTTCGTCTTTGAGATGAATATCGCGTTCTGTCATTAATTAAAATAATTAAGCCTTCCTTGACCTATCGTTGTTGGCTATCAGTGTGTACCTGGCTTGTCCTTGATAATGCCTACATAGTGCACCTCCTTCTCCCCCATATAAACCATAATCACAAGGTATTTAGTTAAGCAGGTGGGTATTCGAGGAGGCAAGTTGTTGAAACAGTTGTAAGACAACTGGGAAGCTTCCGGGTTTGTCTAGCTGGTTCGAGGTCCTCAGAACATAAGCTTTATAGGCGTTGCATACTGCAGGCTACATTTGCGGCCCCAAAGTTAATCGGGTGTGTGGTAACACTAGCTAGTCTTTTCCCAGCAACTGAACGAATGGATGGGTATAAACCATTAGGGTTTTGATAACCAATCAATGTGTCTCTCTTGCGTGGGCTGCAGCCTACTTGAGAAGACCTCTTCCCGTGGCAGAGCCATTAGCTGCATCAATGTTGTCCCATTGGAAAGTGGCTAAACGCCGAGGCTTTGACACGGTATTAATACGTGACCCTCCTTGTAGCATTGGCGAATTGTTGGGGTTTCCACAGCACGGTAACACCTGCCATGCGGCCTACATCAACGTGCCAATTGGCCCCGGTACGATCCGAACCGCCCTTGGCTTCGCTCAATAATCACTCATCGCCCCCACGAATCTTCAGCCCTCTGTTTTTGCGACTGAGAGTCCCGCCCACCACCTCAAGTTCTGACATACCTCTCAAACCCAGCCTTACCTACAAAGCCCGACGACAAATTCGTTGTCGAGAGCCGATGCAATGCCAGGAAATGCAACAAGTAATGGTTCAGAAGGTCTAGGCACCTCGGATATCCGTTGCGCTGCGGCCAGGTGCGGACCTCGCTAAAAGTAAAGGAACGCCAAAACTCAAACGTTTCCAAATCCAATTGCTGTACTAAACCTTTATAGCAGTTCTAACAAATATGGTATTCTTGTAGTGTAGAGGGACAATCAACAGTCTGCAAGATAAATTCAACTTCTTGCTATTATATGGAACTTTATCTGAGTTCAGAACTGGGAGAAAATCTGTTAGCGAGGTCCGCAACTGGCCACAGCGCAACGGGTACAGGTGAAGAGTCTTTGGTTGAATACAGTGAGTGGCCACAAGTCTGCGCGGTTCGCGAAAAATCGCGAAAATCACACTAAAAATAGCCAAAATCGCGATTTCTAAATCAATGAATTCTAGCGTTTAAATATATATAACCATTATTCCTTTAGGCAAATGATAAATAACTATGTCTTATATTATATACTTAGATCTTAGTCTTCTAGAACGTTAGTTATAATTATTATATAACTTTTTAGATTCCACTTTTTGATTTTCTCGATTTTCTCGCTTATTTACATAGTAAATTTACAAATCTATAAATGTGCTCGCTATTATCCTACTTTATAGCTTAAAAGGGGATAAAACGTAAAATTCCCGAGTACGTAGAAGTACCCGCCGTGTAAATACGAAGGAAGTCCCTAAATCTAGGGTAAATCTTGGCCCGAGAACCCCTCTAAATCTCGAAGTGCTACAGGGGCATTTTGGTGTAAAACAGCCCAACGCGTAGACTTATGGCCACCCACTGTAAGAGCTTCGTGCTCAACTCAAATGGTACTCTTATACTTGTGACTGCGCAATACTTCAATACTTCACGTGTGATTTCCCTTGACTTATTGACTCACTATCTAGCCCCTAACCTAAGGTAAGAAGCTTGCTTCTATCCCTTGGCAACCTGAGCGGTACAATATGTTAGAAAAGGCATAAGGATGACTTTATTCTACAGCCCAGAGCACCACGCATATCCTTCTAGTAGGTCTGGCATAATTGGGCTATCCCAACTCGTAGAATCTCACCCTCAGTCAGCAGAATCTAGAAGACGAGGAGGTCAGGCGGTATGTCTACCTCTTCCATTTTTGCAGGATGCCTGGAAATGTATCTCTCCCCCACAATCTTCCTTACATAACAGCGCAGCAGCAGTAACGAGCGTGAGACGCTTCTCGATATGTTTGAGATGCTTTTCGATATCGTCGAGACGTTGCGGGAGACTCTGATAGCTTTGCAATCGATCTCGTCCATGTGCGTTTGCGATTGCAATTGCGTGTGCAATTGTGGTCGCGGTTGCATTGCCCCCAGCACCACCGACAGCGTCGCCGCCGATAGCGTCACCTCCTACAGCAGAAATATTGACGTCGAGACCCTTGAGTGTAGCATCAACAGTACCGACTTTTCCGTTGAGTTCAGAGAGTTGAATTTCGAGAATCGTCACGATTTTATAAAGCAGCTCCTGTGGGGAGGAAGAGGCATCAACTTCGGATTGTGAGTCCACGGATGCTGCTGTTCCAGGGAGGGGGAAATCAGGGCCAAGTCTAAGATTACTTGCCATACTGGATGATATTAGCGATTCTGTTCAGGTTTTGATCGACAGGGAGCAACTGAATAGCCTTCGCCAAGCAGGGTCGGCAGCGAGCAGTGGCCACTCACATCTCTTCCTTATGGCTTCTGCTTCATACTCCGTAGATCGCTGATGGTCAGCCCTTTCATGACGTGTTTCCTGTCCTGAGAAGGAGCATGCGGAATGGAGCGTCCGGCTTCCAGAAGCGCTGCGCCCACAAACGTGGGGGCTTCTCTTGCCGTTTCCCAATGATTCCACGATCATTAACGCGATCGGAACATGTCGCACGTTTGCGAATCTGCGACTTGGGAGCGTGCCCAATCTGCCTATCTCCCTAGCCAGTTGGTGACCTCGCGGGGTGTGTAAGTACATCTCCTCATGTACAGTAAGTACTGTTGGCCTGGTCTTCCGGATCTGTCGCCGCCGCACTGTGGGTCTTGAGGCTTGATATGCATGCCTCTGTCATTCCCCAGTTGATTCGGAGTCACCGTTCGCAGCCGAACAGGCGCCAGCCAAGGTTTTGTCTCTCTTCTCCCTATGATTTGTACGGAAGCACTTGCAGGTTTGGTGTACCTTTCATTGTTTCAAGAATAGCAGAATGTCGATATCGCGATATCCTTAGTAATATAATACAGCTGCAAGGTCCCACACTTTTTAGCCTTAGACTTACAATATCCTTGGCACTACAACTATTATAAGGTTCGTAGGTCCCAACCTCAATTTTTGGTAGTTAATTCTCTAATTTATTAATACTTCAGGGCCCTCTAATACTTGTAATATAACCTCTCAAGCTATTAATTTCATTGAAATTATAGCCTCTCGAGCTCATTACTAATTTTATAGCCCCTGAATAGCTTAAAAGAAATTAAAAAAAAAAGTAAAGTTAATTAAACTAATAATTATATTTAATTATTAAATCTTTATAGGAAGTAATAAGAGAATAAATAAAGTGAGGTTATATATAAGCTTAATACTTTGAAAATAATATTTACTTAAAGGAAAGCACTAAAGGTAAGGTAAGCTTATTTAAAGCTTTTAGAAAGTTCTTTACTAGTAATAAAATATTAAGGTTAAGTGGTTCTTTATATATCTTTAGTCCTCTCTTGTTTATTATACGTTTCCATAATCCTTGATTATAACGATACCTCGGTATATCCTTAGTAAAAGAGGCTAAAACCAATATCGCTAATATCGAGGTTCTATTGTACGCCACGGATGGTGCCCATCGCCAGGGCTGGTGGTGGCTTGCAGGCGCAGCACATGAATGGCGCCGGAAAGCCCAGTGGGCATCTCGCGAATTTGCACTGCCCCGGCGATCCTAGATAAAGGGAAAGTACGGCCTTCCGTACCTAGCCTTTTCAGTTCGAATCCAGTTTTCAAAGCTCCATGGAAGCAGTCGGGGCACTCGCAAGCATAATTGGAGTTGCCGGCGCCGGCGCCAAGCTATCCATCGTACTGTTTGAATTCGCTTCAACAGTCGGCTCAGCAGGGGAGGAAGTCAGACAAATCGGCATCGAGATATCCCTCTTCTGCTCTGTCTTGAAGCAATTGCAATCAACTCTCACCAAAGCTAAAGCCTATCGATACTCTCTGAGTGCTATCGAGACCACGCAAGAAATTTTGGACAGGTGTCAGGAGGTATTTAAGGAGATCGAGGGAATTGTCAATGGCTTGCGAAAACGAGGCGGGGAGCGCTCTCCTGAAGCGACGCGAGACTTGATAGCTCGTGTGAAATGGACATTCAAGCGCTCGCAGGTCCAGCTGTTGCGGTCCACTTTGGAATCATGCAAGGTTACTTTGCATATAATGTTATCGACGTTGGAGTTTGCTCAAAGAATCGCTAGCCGCAGGTCAGTAAATCATCCTCACTGGAAATGCATCCAACTTATACAAGATTAGGATCTCGACAATCGAAACCCAGGTCGAGGACGAGCACGAAGCCACCATGACTCGCAGTCTGATTATTGCGCATCAGTGCACTGTCGATACTCTCCAAAGACTAGAGGATGAAGAAGTCCAGCAATTACCTACCGAGAGCGATCCACTCTCTCCTCCATTGACTCCTGGACCATCTTCCATTAGCAGAGTTTTGAGAGCCCCAGTAGGACACAAACCGTCTCGATCAATAGATAAGAGAACCTTCCGATCCCCATTATATGCGGGAGACTCTGATAGGAAAAGAGTTTCCGTTTGGATCAACGACCTGATCTTTGACAAAAGTCCACTTCCCCTTGGATTTCGCCGGCAAACTTGGGGCGAGGCAGAATGTGCTATGTTTTTAGACCAGCAGCCTTATTACTTTCTTCGGAAGTGGACAGATCAAGGAGAGCATCTAGCTCATACCGTGACGTTCGAGCTGGGGAGATTGTATCCAAATACCAACGAGTATGGGAGAGACCTCGGAAGCGTCATGGACAACCGGCCACTCCTAGCCAACGATTCTGAAGCAACGGAGCCGAAGAGCATCAGTTCCAATGAGCATACACCAGCTATCCATGACATTCACAGCTCTGGATATCGACTACCAAATACAATCATAACAGAGTGGACAGCAGAAGAGTGCGCCGTTTTTGTCAACAATTTGGGGTTGCGACAATACAGAGATGAATTCCTAGAAAATGGGATTACCGGCGAAGCACTAGTAGTTTTGCAACATGACGATCTGAAGGAGATGGGCGTAACGAGTCTTGAAGATCGACTTACAATTTTGAAGAGGGTTTACGAGACCAAGGTCGAACAGGGTATTCCCATCGAGAGTGACGATTATGTTCCGTTCTCGGTACGGCTTAATAGCCCCTCTTCCCAAACAATCCCACCATCGACAACTCGTTCAAAGCAATCGGGCACCTCCAAACACCAAATTTCCAGCCAACAACTAAATACAGATTTATCATCTACTGAAAGTGGTGGAACGGTTGAAATCTTCAAAAGCTTTCGAGTTTCGATAGGAGACCCATGCTTTAAAGTCTTACCTGCGGCATTGAAGAAGTACAACATTTCTGGCGATCCGGAGAATTACGCTCTACATATTGTATACAGTGAAGGGGAGAGATGCCTAGGGACGGACGAGAAGCCACTTGCACTGTTCAAACAACTCAGCGAAGAAGGGAAGAATCCTGTGTTTATGTTAAGGAAGAAACCCGAGAAAGTTTTTTAAAGTCTTCAGAATTACGACCCTCAGGACGGGTTGTGTAACGGAGTTCGTGTGGGACGAAGTATATATATCACCAATCTCAATGTGCATGCCGAAGAAGTAGTCGGGTTGGTGGTGTTCCATTGGAAGCAAGAGGCAAGAAGACATGCAAGAAGATCAATCTCCTGCTGGAACCCGCCCGGGGTCCATCTTCCCCTTTCCCTCATCTATTCTCATCAATTATTTCAAACATACGACTCTGTTTCTGCTTCATTTTGAACGTAGAGTCGATAGAATGCAAGTCATCGGGTCGCATCCAGGGGTTCCCTGGTTGACTCCAATTACCGCTGGCCAGTGGCTGTGCACCCAACCCCCACCACATATATAAATCCCCGCCTCCGCCCTACAACATTCTTCCTCATGCTACAGCTTTCCGTCAAAATGTCACCAGCCAAACCTTTAAACTACCGCCAAGCCCTCCTCTCCAGCATTCATCAACCACCTCAACCCAAAACTACAGCCTCATCTCCCAAGCAAAGCAAGCTCCTCCTCCTCCCCACCGAGCTCCAAAACAACATAATTTCGCACCTCGACATCCCCTCAACCCTCATACTCCGGCTCACAAACCGCCATTTCTACACGTTGAACTCGTGTCCCACCCATACCACTCTCCTCCTCGCAGAACGCACACCATGGGCCGTCACCCTCAACTTGTACAGCTGCATGGATTGCCTGCGTCTCAGGCCCCAAGCAAAATTCGCTACTGCGATGTTAAATGGCCCAAAGGGGAGGAATGGCAAAGATCCACAGAAGCGGTTCTGCGTCGAGTGTGGACTCAAGGGGCCGCGGAGTCGGTACTCGCCTGGTGCCGAGATCGTGGTTGAGGGGAAGAGACACGTGTTGTGTAAAGAGTGTAAGGTGTATAGTGGAGAGGTAGGATGTGTTGGGAGCGGGATGTGTTGGGAGCGGGATGTGTGCGAGTTGTCATGGGAAGAAGGGGTGTGGGGAGATGTGTAGAAATAAGAAGGGGAGAGCGAGGCAGCAACGGAGGGAGCGGGAAAGGGACAGGGAAAGCCATATTCGGGGGAGTTTGGGGGACGCAATGATTGATTTGGCGGAGAACCCAGAGGATTGGATGTACAATGAGTATTGGTGGGAGACGCATGATTGATAGTTGGTCTCGCTTTTAAGTTTTAGGATGGGCTTATCCGGCTCTTCCTCCAGTCCTCCGATTTTTGATCCTCGAGTTGTGCCTTATTTGATTTCAAAGCAATAAAGATCTGTCTCTGACCTATCCCAATATCTATAGTATCGTCTAGGAGAAATTTTCGATGTGAATTAACTTAACGTGACCTTTTCGCGTTGTATATGAGAAGTGATATCGCAATGAATCTACAAAGCAGTCATGTGACTTGAAAATTGTCAAGTATTAAAAAGAAAATCAAGTACCTTATGGAGACTAGGACTGGTAGAAAGGACTGCGAAATCAGCGTAATCCCTTAAGATCTCTTTTAGAATACGCATGATTTCACTTTCATAAATCCCCTCCAAGTGAAAAAGGGGCATCTCGCTTAATCACAACATAAAAAAGGTGAACCAAAAGAAAAAAGAAAAAAGGCCCACCAGAAATATTTATAGAATTAAAAGACAAAACCATCACCCTGATCCTTTTGGACCAGGGCTTGGGTAAACCAGACGAACTGAGTTTTTAAATCCGTGAAACAGCATATTGACTGAAGCTTAATCGCTTTTTGGCGAGTTTACCCTCCACACCAGGAGTTTAGTTTAACGTCTATTGCGGACAGGGCATTGTTGAGATCAACCGAGCCATACAACCTTTTAATCGATTGTGAGGAAATTTCGCTTATTTTAGGTTATGAAGGCCAAGTCGAAGAATCGGAGCTCGATGAGAACTGCTTCATCGGCCCGAGATAGGAACGAGGGATTGATAGCAGCCTTGTTTACCGATATCAAAGAGCGCGTTTAGATTGGAGTTGAGTTAAGATCGCTTCAAAAGAGTTCACCATTAGAACTGTAGCGGTATCTACAAACTTGCATGGATCATCCTCCATTCGCATCCCAATTTCGCGCCGCAATAGAGAAAGCGCCTCTAATGTTTTTCCAGATCCCATGTCCTCGCGCCCAACAGGCACGACATAACACACCCATCTGGTCAACGTCAGTCCCACTTCCATTCCCATTCTTCCCTTTAAACTCCGTATTTCTCATGAGGTATTCATGCACCTCAGGCGAATACTCTTCGCCCGCAATATCCACATCTTCCTCCGAGTTCATCTTTTCTGTCCGCTCCTCTCTCAAATCCTGAATCTTGCTCTGATAATCCAGCTGCGGATCATAGTATTTGCCCGCACCGCGCATACGACCACACAGGGACAAATAGTGAGGATGGGACTGCGATGCCGCGGCAGTCTTGCAAGGGTCTCAAGCGCAGGTAGTGGAAGCGGCGCTCTTGTTCTTTGAGGTCTGGACCAGTAGTGTCAGGGAGTAAGAGCGTTGTTAGAACATCCCGAACAAGTCGAATCAGGGTATGCCGTAGAACTTTGGTTGGGTAGACATATAGGAGTATAGAACGGCGGCAGTGAGAGCACCGAGTTTTCCGAGAGCGGGAATTCGTATGGCTGTTGGGTACACCTCAGCAGCGGCGAGGAAAGTCGTGCTATTAGGACGGAACTGATTGAAGAATGAGGAGGGGAAGTACATGGTTGGAATGCTGCGATGTTGGCTTTCTCCTTTGCGTAATAGTTGTAATGGAAAGCCGGTACCACGAATAGGATAAAGTCCACCAAGAAGCCGAGTTGTTGCATTTGTTTACGACCCACGAACTTGGTATCAATGAGGAACGATGCCAAGTAGTAGCCGCAGAGCGATAGACCCGCATTGACAAGATTCCATAGCCATCCTGTCAAGACCAATTTGTTGCCTGGAGACAGGACAGTGATGAATTGTGACAGGAAGAGCTTGTTGCCGTAGAAAAAAAAACACCGCTGCAGAACCAAGCTCCAGCAGTAGCAATGAGGCGCCCACCAAAGTGCTCAAAAGTGCACTTGAGGGATTGAACGTCGTATCTAATGACAGTGGCTTCCTTCGCAGCGCTGAGAGCTCAGGAAGCAAATGGCATTTTCAATGTCCGGTAGTCAGAGAAGATTAGAATCCAAAGTCCTATTCATATGGGAAATTAAAGGTCTCAAAGGCTGCAGAATGTTTTTGTCTGCCGACTCGCTAGGTTCTGAGCTCGAAACATATGTAAAATGATGCTCACAAACGAAGCCAAGAGTGACAACAGCAGGAATCACGAACGAAACGCTGAAGGTCCACTGTGCGACTCTCTCCAAACATGGCGGTCCACCTTGCCCGTGGTGAAAGATCAAGAGGAGCACGATGAGGATAAACTGGCTGAAGCATTTGCCCAAGCTTTCCATAAGGAAAACCATTTAACTTTCGGTTCTCGGTGAAGACGGTCTTCTCTTCTGAAATCTTGCCTGCCCCTGTAGCGTTTCCCATAGCAGCTGCAGCCGTCATCGGATACTGGGGAGCAAGGAGTCAGCAGTTGGTGGATAAAAGAGAGAATCGAGGCAATAATGCAGGAGAGTATCACGAGGAATTTTAAAGAAGAATGATTTCTCGATGGGTCTTACCTCACTGCCGACACCAATGCCGTATAAGGCGAGTAACCAGGTGTAACAGTTGAGCCAGCCCTGAAGGGTAGTTACTGGTTTCCCAAGAAGCAACCAACATGCAACGTTCCAAGAACATAATAATGACATCCTGGGTCAGGCCTCAGCGACGGCCGATACTGTCACTAGCATTATCTTACTGGGGGATTACGGAGGCACAGCCCATAATGATAGTAATAGCGCTAGAAGGGTCCGAACTTTTCAACCTGGTATCACAACAACGATTCGCAATTTTTTTTAAAAAAAATGTAGCACTACTATACGGCACTGTAATGGATATTTACAGCGTTTAATTAAACTTTTTATGTTTTGTGTAGCTAAAGTTATCGAGTGTTGAAATCACGAGTTTTCTATTAACCCCTGCTAGCGCTATTACTATCATTCTGGTCTGTACCTCCGTAGGACTGCCGGTATTCATAACGTGGGTTGGGTTTGAGTTCATTCTTATAAAAGGGACCCCGTTGGACTTGGCGCAGTGGGCATGCGGGCCAATGGGAACTTTTCAAGATCTTATCAGCAAGCCCATTCAGCTACGTAGTCCTCTTGAATACTTTTGACAACGTGTTCCTCCAGAAACCGCGCTGGAGCCACTCCGAGCCAGTCTTTCTCCTCCATGCTCGCACGCCTTCTTTTGGACTTCTGCTTTTTGAGGCTGGAAACTCGAGTCAATTGAGAGTGCGAAGTAGCCACAAGTACTTTTAATCAACTCGGTATCGAATAAAAACCCACGTCAGCATGACTGCCCAATACCCGGAAAAGTGCAAGAGCTGCTCTTCCTGCGGCTGTGCTGTACCTTCGCGTTTCGTCCCCTGACCAGCCAAAGAGACCCTTGACGGCGTTCCTTCGTGTTTCTAACGAGCTCCCTGCTATACTACTTAAGACAACGATTTCAATGTAGTACTATCTCCACCACTCGGGTCCACTTCATTGCCACCAGATTACAGCAATCAAGTCCAGATTGCCAGATGCCAAGAGCAGATACGCGTCCCCTCCCGCACCTAAGAGAGCTGAAAGCCTGGGTGGTGGCAGCAAAAGCTTTTCCAAGACTTCCACAAGATGACCACTGTGAAACATAACTTAAAGGTTTTGGACTCTGTTGCAATGATTCGAATTAGAAGTCTGCCGGCTCGCACGTTGTGGTATGTCTCACTGTGGGGCGTTACTGGCGGGCGCCCCTACGGATCGGCCGCTGGGGCTAGGGTATTTTCATGGCCTGGGGCCGCTTCCTGAACCTTGCGTGCGGGCGTGGGGCGGGAACAGACAACGGAGCACAACGCTACGCCGGGATTGGCAATATCTGACGTGCGCCGTCTCGAGCAGCAACCTTTAATACGTGCAGCAGCACCGGATTGACATTGAAGCTCTAAACCACTGACAGATGCGACTTAAGAGCCATGCGCAACCTCCTCGTCGCGGGCGCGACGGGAAAGCTAGGCCAGGCTCTGATCCGGGCATTGCTGCTCCCCACAACAAACCCAGAGCAGGGCTGGCATATTTATGCGCTGACGAGAAAAGCATCGAGTCCAGCTGCGCAGCGCCTGGCAGAAAAGTACCCGTCCAACCTCACGGTCGTTGAAGGCAATCTCGAAAACCGTGAACTAATTGGTAAAATCTTTGAAGTTCTGAAGAAAGATGGCGGAATTTGGGGTGTCTTCTGCGTGTTGGCCTTTCCAGGTATGGGTGTAGATGCGAGTGGGGAGGAACTTCAGGGGAAGGTATTGTATATCCTCCTACTCTTGCGGTGTTTTCCCCATCCCTCTCTCATTGGTTTCTTGTGCTCAACTGCTGTTTTGCGTAGCTTGAGGTGATTCCGCTGTAATGTTTCCTGCCGGGGTATAGTGGCTCGCAGAAATTTGTTTGAGGAATTCATCCAAATCCTTTCCTCTCCGCTTCTCCCTAGTTGCTTCTGTATTTCCATCTCGAAATTGAATTCCGTGTTGACATTACTGCTCGTGTCAGAATCTTGCGGATATCTCCCTCGCATACGGCGTCCAAACATTGGTCTATTCGAGCGCGATGAGAATGGGGCCCAAGTACGAGGACACCCTAGAGCTATCGCACAAAGCAAAACGAAACATCGAGAACCACTGCATAGAGTTAGGTAAAAAGGGTTTGAATTGGACGTTAGTACTCCTGTGTGGTACAACTTGAGGAGTGGTCCTCTAATAGACCTCACTCGAGCCTTTTATTATTTAAAAATTGGAGACTAACGAGGTCATGCAAATAGGATTCTCCAGCCAGGCTTCTTCCTGGAGAATTTCGATGGCTTGATCGGCTCAATTGGTGTTGCGGTGCTGAAGAAGGGTCTGAAGCCGGAGACTGATGTTGCGTTCATCGTGAGTGTATCGTGATTTGAGAGCTTGACTATATGCTGACACGGTGGAAGGGATCGGAGGATATTGGCAATGTTGCAGCTGGTGTATTTGCGGTAAGTTCTTGCCTGCAGAGGTTAAAGATTAGCAGCTGATCATCTGCACAGAACCCGGAGAAGTACCGGCACAAGATTCTGGCAGTTGTTGGCGACTGCTGTACCATGAGCCAGCTTGAGGATGCCCACAGGCGTGCAACAAGCAAACCCATCCCCGCCATGCCAGCGCCATTTGCCTGGATGATCATCAAGGTCAACAAAGGCACTCAGTCTCTGTAAGTCGCTCCATGGCAATGACGTTCAATCTTTCTCATTCCATCGCAGCCTTGCTCACATTGAGCTGAACTATTATGCTCGCGCATCCGGGGAATATCCACTAGTTGCGGAGGAAATAGAGTTAGCGAACCAAGCATACAAGATGAAGAGCTGCTACGAATGGTTCAAGCAGGAGAAGGGAAAGGAAGCACATAGGGCCGAAAATTGGAATCAATTGTCGATTGGGGGGTTGTTGACAGGTCGCAGGTAGATTCTTTTCCTGAAGAGAATCAATCAAGATGCCCGCAGCTGTAGCAAATCACTTTCAAAGTTCTCTTTTTCTTCCCTACCTGGCATTTCATCGGAGAAAGGGACCTCCAAAGGAGTGAAATCGTTTCCTGGGCCGACTTCAGCTGGTATGCAACAAAGTGTGGGCTCAAAGTCCCGGGATTGAGTCCTGGGTTCAGTTTGAATCTTGGATCGAGGGGAAAGAAAAGAATTTGTTTGCGGTAAGTGGCGGGAACAGTTCCAAAAGCAGTCGGAGTGACTCGGGAAGGATCGGCACGTGATAGCGTGTCAGTCTCACCTATTTTAGCGCGTCTGTCGAAACCACGAACTTCATCATCTAAACCACGCTTCAGCTTGACGACGCTCAACTTCCAACGCTTTCTGTTGATTGTCTCAGTCCCGACAAGATGGGTATCGGCATGTAAGACATCAGCCTGCCCCTCCCCCACTGTTCGAAGCTAATTGAGTCGATTGATAGCCTCTGGAATGAGATTGGCGAAGGAGAGGTGACCAATATCGCCGATTATGCAGCTCGTCATTACGAAATGACAGGCAGGCCCCTTCGCATTGCCATTGACACTGCTTGCTGGGTTTTCAACAATGTCAACATAGCCCAGACGGTAGCGATCCGAGAATGTACTTCAATTCCCTACCTTCCCCTGGAAACACATGGGTACAACATGCTAATCATATGACTTGTAGCCTCCGGCAGGCCGTCAAACCCAATGGAGAAAGCGATCCTGCACCGAATTCTTCGCCTGCTCTTCCTCGGTATACAACTCCATTTTGTATTTGATGGTCCGAAGCGGCCCCCGAAACGCGGCCAGGTGTGGAGGTCCACGCATGACAAGTCGACCGATCTCCTCGTGAAAACACTGGATATGCTTGGGATATCTTACCACAAAGCATGTGCAGAAGCAGAAGCTGACTGTTCAGAATTGCAAAAGCGAGGCATTGTGGATGCTGTGTGGACCGAGGACGGTGACGCTTTCATGTTTGGATGCACCACTTTGATACGCTTCCATTACGAAAAGAAGAAAGGGAAGGAAAGCAAAAGTAACACTCATTTCCGGCTCTATCGATCTGAAGATATTCCGAAACGACTCCCAGGCCTTGATCCTCAAGGGTTTGTGTTATTTGCCATTCTCAATGGCGGGGACTACGATAAGGCTGGACTCAAGGGATTCGGCACTCAGAACTCGCTGGATGCTGTCAAGGCAGGGCTGGGCAAGTCTCTATGCAGAGCCGCAGAATCTGACCTGCTAGCGTGGAAGCAAGAGCTAGTAAAATACCTCAAAGACATCGGCAGCAAAATTATTGTACCACCAAATTTCCCAGTGTGGGAACACCTGCGTAATTACCGAGATCCTCTTATTACGCACTCGCTGTCCTCGAAATGGCAGCAGGAGAAACCGGTTATCGAAGCCAATCTTCAGCCCTTCGTTCAAGAGTTCTACAACTTTCAAGCGGAGAAGTGGGTGGAGTGGATCGTGCCTATGCTTCTTATTCGAACTTTGATAAAGACTGGTCCTGACCAAGAACGCAGTAACGATGGTTATGAGGTCAAAATTGGAAAGCAGAACAATTCGACAACCGTGAAAGCAACGTTCCTCCTCTCGGCAGTCACTTCTCTCGATATGAGGCACTATGCTAAAAACAAAGATGGAAGCTTCTACGAAAATGACTTCCGGGCGACTTGCGAAACACTGCCTTGGATTTTGCGGCGAGGGGTTCCACAAGCTATGGACGCGAGTGCAATTAAAAATTCGGCGAGACCTTCAAAGGTTACGAAATTCAAGGCAAGCAAAGCTGTGGCAGCTCAGTCAGGAGAGAGTCCACCTAGCACCCAAACGACCTCTGCACCTACGGGGAAGGAACACGGACGCCCGCGAAAGGACGCCAGCAAAGACGATAAAACACTGCCAAACTCGACGCCAAAAATTAAACGGGCTAGAAATTTGGGAGAGCTGGACCCTAATTCTCACCTCAATAGTCCCAACGAACCTTCTGCCAAGCGGTCTAAGCCATTTTCTCGAGTCAAGTCGCCAGCTCTGAAGAACTCTAGCCAGTCTGCCAAGTCATTCTTCACGAAGTCCCCAACAAACCCTCTTAAGGATCCAAAATCCTCAGTCGTTTCCACACCTTCACTTGCTAGCCGGCAGCAAGAAGTGGTAGACCTTATTTCAGATGGCGAGACAGAAGTTTCCAAGCCCGTCACGAGGTCGAAACAGCCAGCCTCAACGAAGCTACGTGCTAGCCAGAAAGAAGCGTTTAGCCTCATTTCCGACGATGAAACTGAAACCCTCCAACAAGCGAACAAACCCAGCCAGCCTGCGGCAACGCCACCACCCAGGCGGCTCATTAAATGGAATTACGAAGAAGGCTTCGGTGACTCGGACTGACTTCTTTCTCAACCCTGGAAGCCTCACCTCACAACTCTGCTCCTGTCTAAGTGTGTAACTCCCCTCTTCAGGCTGGGAGTTTGCCATTTGGACGAAGCTTGGTACATTACTTTCACGATTTGCTCGAATTTCTTTCCTTGACTTTGCCGCTATAAATATAGATACCCAGGCTCAATTGCCATGTATATATGATATTAAACCTTGTGTTCTCACGAATGGCGTTTGAAACGGATTGGCTTCATCGGCATCGCATTGCTTGACTGGGACGGGACACACCTGAAGCCTTGCTTGGAAGATGCCCACCCAAGGAGAAAGGCCACTGTAATTAGGAGAGATGCCAATTCCGGCCATTATAATAAATGGCAAAGAATGGCATTTTGTAGAACACTTCCACATTCTCACTTGGCCTGATCTCTGCTCCTTGGTTCACAAACGATTCTTGCAAGAAGATGGAATTCAAAAACGATCCACCTCTAACCTGACTAGATTAGGCACACCACGCAAGAAGTGGATTCACTCCTAACTCGGGTGGTATTTTCTTAGTGAGTCTAGCTGATACCCAGACTCGGAGGACCCAAAGCCCAGAAGGTCATGTCGGATGGCACCTGTCACTTTGGCGGAGACGATGTGGGGAAGATGACACACAAGGTTTCAATCGGAAAGGCAGAAGTGAAGAGGGAAAAGGGTATGTATGTATTAATGCATCCTATTCGCAACTTGCCAAAACTGCCATCCAAAACGCCATGCCGATGATGGGCGTACTCCTTCATTACGGTATGTCCGATTACCAATTACCCAGCTGCCCAGCTCGCCCCACATCGACCAAATTGGTATCAACTAGACCCACGATCCAATGATTTCGATCCAATGAAACGCCTTCCATGCTCATGCTTCACGATCGTACGCAAAGCTCACTTATGCCCCGAGTTCCGACGCTCCTACCCCGCATAACTCCCACAAGACCCTATAATCACTGGCCATGCTCCCCCGGAGCACTCTCTTTAACCCCTTGCCCCAAACTCAGAATCTTCTGCAGACTCCTTCGAATCGCGCCCTTCTCAGTAGGGCTCTTCTCGCCGCCACTTACGGCGATCTTCTCCTTCTCCTTCTCCTTCTCCTCATGCTTCTCTAACCCAAAAAGGCTCGCCACACTCAACTTCCGTCCTTTCTTCTTGGCTGGCTCCTGTACCGTGCCTTTCGGCGGCCACTCGCCGTCGCGTTTCCAGCCTTGCACGCAGGATCTGGTGACGTCTTTGAGGTTCATGGGGCAGGAGGGGGTAAGTGCTTGCACGACCACTTTGTCGTAGATGGTGTTGTATGCTGCGGGCAGGATGGAGGCGCGCATTGCGTTTTCTGGGGGCAGGATGGCGGGCGCGATGGGGATCTCGATATCCTCTTCCCAGTCGTCTTCGTCTGGTTCAATTGCGGTGGAACTGCCGCCGTCTTCACTTGAGAGGGAGGAGCGCTGGGCAGTGGCTGTATGTTTGAGGGGCGAGAAGCCCATCCCAGGTTTATGGACTCGTCGTGCACCGGTCCATGCGTCTCTTCTCCCGACGAAACAGCGGAGTCCTTCGTTCCAGGCCATTTCGTCCGCGAGATGTTTCTTTCGACGTCGTTTTCGCTCGTAGACTGTTCTTTTTATGGTCTCGCCAACTCCATCGGGGGTTTCGAAGCGGAAGGGGCTGTGCTTGCCGTTTTTGCTGTTGGGAGTTGGGGTGTCGTGACTCGAGATCGCGGTGGGCATGGGAGCGTCTTCCTCGTTCTCGCTGCCACCACTAAGCCATTCGTCTCTTTCTTTCCAATGCTCGTCTAGCGATGTTGATCGCTCGACATTGGGTGATACTTCACGGGAAGATTCCGAGTCTGGTGGGGGTCTGGGCCATTCCCATTTCCAATCGGTCCTGACCTTGTCAGTGAGGAATTTTTTGACAGCCTCTTTTTGCTTCGCACGGTCCTTGCTTGTGAGGTCTGCTTCGTAGTCGGTAATAGCATTTGTAGTCGCAAAATTGCGCCGTCGCTGGGCGTTGCTCGCAGAGGCCTGGTGTCCAAAGATCATCTTGCCCTCGTGCGACTCGTCCTTCTCTGCCGCCCCGCCGGCCGATTTGTGCAGAGCCGAAAAGACGTGCGGGAATGTATGATGGTGAGGACTCTTCGTGGCAGTGGGCGAGTCAGGGCCGAGGGTCGTCGTCGCGGTCGCGGTATTTAAGGATTGAGGGGTTGGGGGAGGGGTTGCGTCACGAGGCCGTGGTGGTTCGACTTCGACAGCCTCGACTGCAGGTGGAGGTGCGACTTTGGCAAAGAATCAGCGCCTCGACCTCTTGGACCACTGAAGCCCCCAATATGCCCCCCCAAGATACCGGACAGTAATTGATTGTCTTACCTTGATTCGGATCATCTCCTCCGTTCATGGTCGGAGGAGCAGACATGGGGATTGCCGTCGAGTCCTGTGCATCGCCTGTTCCGCAGGCCGCAGCCGGACTCTGAGTGTCGACGACATCGCAGAGAGCTTTATGAGGAGGAGCAGATCCCGCGCCCAGATCGCTAGAGGGCGTTTGTGCATGCGAGCGCTCTTGTGGTGATTCCAAATTCAAGCTAGCTTGCCGTACTCCCTGCTCTGCATGCATCTCAGGCGGCACCTGGGCCTGGTCGTGTGGACAAGAGACGGCCGCCAACGGGTCTGCAGCGCCCAGCTGGACGGCAGGCGGGGAGAGAGACATGTCGCATGGTCGAGGAGGAGCGAGTAGAGGGGAGTGAGAATCTAGGAACGAGAGTGTAGAAAAAGCATGGTTGGAGGAGCATGAGGCTGTTGTGAGGCTGTGGTGCTGAGCGTTTTTACTTCATCAGCGGCATTTTTGCGAATCCTTGCGCATGATCGCCTGCTGCACACTGCACAGCCGAATCGCGGGGAAGGAGCTACGGGAACGGGGCAGTGCCAGATTCTGGAAGACAGCTTCTGTGATTATGTATACCGACCGACCTTAAATATATTGTCGCTTGCAAAGTAGTACGGAGTATGGATCAAGAAGTATCCCACAAGTTTCAGACTGTTAACGAGGTTTATGAAAATCCTGGCTGCCTCAATACAGAACACGTGAACGGGATAACAGGATAACAGCGGAAAACATCGGATGAGGAAATTCCTTGGAAGTCTCGAGAGGGAGGAACGGGTGCCTTGAAGTGGCCTCGGGAGTGTCTTGCGTCTAATCACCACCAAAGGGCCGTTCTTTCTTCGTTTCATTGTCATCCACTTCCTGGTTGTCCTGGCAGGTGGTGCAGCGAGAGTTCACGGGCAAGAGGCACAAGAACGCATTGAAGCAACGAGCAAGTGTCATTCATTCATCAGATATCATCATCTTCATTATATATTGATATCGGCTATGATTTGTCTACAGCCTCTTTCACCGTGTAGCCACTTCTCTCCCGCAGCTCGAAACTCATTGTACTGTGCTTATGAATTCTATATATCTTCACGCCAACAAATTAGCATGATTGCTTTCGAAGCATGTTACATGTGACAAAGCAGTTGCGGCAACAGCAAATCAGACATCCAAGGAAGAATATACCCTCATCTGTCCCGGTTTAGGTTCTAAGTAAGGTGGGACTCGAGCGAAAACTGCGAATGTGGTATGTGTTTCATCATAAAAGCTGGGGGAGAACAGTAGGAGATGTGTAATGACTGACCTTGTGTGGAGGCATAGAAGGAGACGTGGAGGCCCTAGATATTAATCACTGGTGGAAGGTAGAGTAGAAAGGAGACATGGAGTCCCTAGACGTTAATCGGTTGTGGAAGGTATTGCGGTATTGATGTTTGCAGCCGACGACAATGCTTCGTGTGGAAGCCCCCATCTGAGCGCCAAACGCGTCTGCCACCAAAGTATGGATCCATTGCGAGGGCTTGACTCAACTCAAGCCTTACCAAGGCGAGGCGGAACCGCGAGCTAGAAAATCTTTGCGCGTCAGTAAAAGCTCTCTTGGATATTTGCACAACGACATTGGTGATTGATCTTTGTCTCAGACAACATGTACTGGCAAGTAACAAGCTTCCCACGTATGAGAAGCCCGAACAGCATAAACTTCATCATGGGCGATTAAGTTGGGAAAAGAAGGTATTTATGAATTGTCATCATAGTAGATCGCGCGCGCGGGGAGAGAAGAGAAAAGATGAGATGAGATGAAATGAGAGACATACCATTGCCAGTCGTGCTGAGATTTGGGGGGTATGGGCAACGTTGCGTCGTCCATTTCCATTAGGGGTTGTTGTTGTTGTTGTTGTTGCAAAGAGGAGGATGAAGATGTCTTGGAGCTCTTCGAGAAAATGAAAATAATTTTGTAGTCGGAGATCAAGCAAAAAGATTAGGTCAGCGGAGGTGTACTTAGCGACAAGCTAGCGCCGTCATCGCCTGACCAGAAGGCACGTGACGCGTCCGGGTGTCGGTCCCAGCCTCTTCCGACTCAGGCGGCCAGGCCCCTTCGAGCGCTGCATCGGCCCCAAAAGCCTATCCAAACCGCAACCGCAGAGGAAAGTCCCCCAGCAGAACATTCATCGCCCATCGAGCACAACACAGGCATGATAGGAGAAAAGCGCGCCTGACTCCCCTCCTCTCCTCTTCTTCTCTCCCCCCCCCTCTTCTCACCAGCGGATTCTCAATTCCTCCTCTCTCCCCACGACCGTCTGCTCAGCCTTCCTCCTGCTGCGTTGTTGCGCGCCGTGGTTGGTTCCAGCACCTGGTTTCTCCTTCATGTTGCATCAGCAGCAGCGCCAGCCGATTTCTGCATCGTGACAAGGGCTCACCTCGACCACCTCCGCGCCGCAAGGGGCCCGCAAGAATCCTCTGGGACGACGACTAAACGACCACGACCACGCTTTGATCGAGTTGACGGCTTCCGCATGTGCGTGGCAACGTAGGCTTTTTCAGATTTCGCCTTCGCCGTCGCCGGCTACTTAGCACTCCGCCAGGAATTTGCGACACGGGGTCTCGACGCTTTGGGGGAAATTCAGACGACTCTCTCGTCGCACCTGACTGTGCTACCACGGGACACAACTTGCTCGACGACGTCTGCGGAGTTGCACGACTGCTCTACAAGTCGCCCAGGACGAGGTTAGACGTTGTTGACAGTGGAGAAGAGGCCTCTGCCTTCGCGATTTAGCCTGTACCGTTCGCGACGACACAAAACTTCTCGACTCTCCCAACCTCCCACGACTTGGCTGCCGACCAAAGGGCCGCAATTGACACCGTTGTCGTTGAGTGCGACCTCATACGCCGTGAGAAAGCGGGAGGCATCTTCGGCCTGGAGGCTGGTGGAGGTGGACTCAATACTTCGAGGCGCATGTTCCCTGTAAGGTCTGGGTACTTCGATTTCCACGTCGTGGATCGTCGAATTTCTACACCATGATGACGAGTCTGGCCCAAGCCTACTCACCACACCCGGGTGGAATGCAGCAACATCCTATGGCCCCAGGCCATCCAGGAATGGCAGTACCGCATAATCCGGGCCAAGGTCAACCAGGTCCAGGAATGCCTCAGCAGATGCATATGGGAGTTTCTGGACCGGGACCTCAGGTTACTCAAGGCGGAGCTATGATGGGCGGAATTCCTCCTGGAGCTGGCGGGCCAAGTGCGCATGCCCTACAGCATCTCAATCCAAGTCAAGCTCAGCAAGCGCAACTTTTCCAGCAACAGCAGCAAATGGCCTGTAAGTGTTCCTATAATTTTTTTAGTCGAGGGCTGAGTTTGCTCGCTGGCCCATCATTTGTCTTGTTCTGACTGGTTACGGGCCGAACGCTTACCATTTCCAAATGTAGTCGCGAACAATCCTCAACTACAACAACAAATGCAGCAACAACAAATGATTCAACAGCAGAGGCAACAGCAGGCTGCCCGTCAAGCTATGCTGGCCCAACAGTACAGTGGACCACTTCCTATGGGCATGCCAAATGGCATGAATCAGATGGCGCAATTTAATGCGATGAGAGGACCGATGGCTCGGCCTGTTAATCTCCCGCAGCATCTTCAGCAGCAGCAGCAACAGGCGGAGCATACTCTGCAACAGCAGCAAGCTCAAGCTCAAGCCCAGGCTCAACACCAGGTATGGAACTCTGTCAAAAATTACCGATGTTTTGCGGCTTCTTCCGCCTAAATGGACTCTGGCTAACACCTCCAGCATCAACAACAGATAATGATGGCACAACAAGCAGCGATGCAACATCAGGCGAGTTCTCAAGGGCAAGGGGGGAACAACCAGCAGGGCCAACCAAACCAAATGAATCCGCAGCAAATCCAGAACATGCAAACGCAAGCCTTGATGGGCCAACAGGCCCACCAACAGCAGCAGCAACAAGCAACTGCTACCTCGCAGCAAGGCCAAGGACAAGTCCAGACTACAACTTCATCTGCGCAAGCACCTCCGAATACCCAAGCACCATCTCAACAAGCTCAGCAAGCTCCGCAACAACAAACTGGCATGCAGCAGCAACAACAGGCCCAACAACAGCAACAGCAGGCAACCGCTATGTTGCAACAACAAGCACAGCAAAGGCAAGGAGAAAAGTTCAAGGGACAGTATTTAATGAAGTTGATGCAATTCGGCGATCATTTAGCCAACTTTGGGGTGAGCTCGAAACCGCTACATGCATACATGGCCAATGGCGCTCAACGACTGGCTGCGCAGGCATCTAAACAGACGGACGATTTAAATTATTGGCTCAACTTCAGAGATCGGTTCTTTTCACCTAAGGGTGTCTTACGGCACTCCGTCTGGGTCGTGGACGACAGCTCGAATAAACAATATGAGATTGCGTTTCCGGCTCTGGCAAGATATTTCCATACTCATTTCGAGAGCGGTATCAAGAACATGCAGATGATCATGGAAAAGGGAACGGAGAAGGAACTGCCTAATAATGGTCACTACACCGAGAGCATGAAATCTAGTTTCGTTTATTGGTTTGATAACGGGTCGCAAGTAAGGTTCTCGACTCAACTTCGCTACACTGCTGACAAAAACAGTTGATTGCCAGCGGTACCCTTAAAGCACATTTTGATGCAGAGCAGAAGATTGAACTGCTCGAGTTCGTTACGACTGGACATGAAGAATACATTCCTCGGACTCGAATACTTGAGGCTGCTAGACCATTGCACGAATGGCAAAAGGAGTGGCACAAAGCCAATTCCCCTCCTGAAGGAAAGCAGTCTCCAGAAATGAACAAAAAGAAGGCAAAAGCATTGAAGTCGCCAAATCACCCACCACCTGAAATCGACCTTCCGGCGTCTAAGGTAAAACCAAGCATGGGAATAACTCCATCGGTGTTCCGATTTCTTGAGGTATAAGCTCCGTTCCTGGGCATGATGGCACACCTAACCATGATGTAGTGTTCCGAAGTCGTCGGTCAAATGTCTCCTCTCTTTGGGTATTCACACCAGAATCCTACATTATCACCCTATGCCGCCCTCGACCGGTATGTCGCGAGCGTGGCTGCAAATGGGGCTGGCAACCCTACTGGCCTACAAGGTGGACCCCGAACGCCTGGCGTGGGCAACTTTCCCATGGGCACCTCGCCCGCACAAGGCCATCTCAATCTTCCTGACGGTTCACCTCATCTCAGTGGCAGTCCAGCACAAGCTCCTGGAATGCAACTCCAACAGAGTCAGCATGGAACAAGTTCGAGCGGACCAAGTGCCAACACGAGTCCAAATGCCAGCAACAAGCGGAGAAGACCGAGTGCAGTGAAGGAGGAAGAGCCGCAGCAGGTCAACGGGACTCAATCAAAGACATCAGTGAAGCCAAGTCCAAGAATCGGCGGGAAGAGACAAAAGAATACATCATGATGGGGGAGATAAATTGTTTATTCTCTTTTAGACGGGAGGCGCCAAACAGTCGATTCGATACAAAATGGCATCCACGATTCGCTTCGACGCCGGAGCTCATCAACATCGCATCTCAACCTTTGGGTGCTTAGCACGGCGCTCACGATCCGGCCCGCAACAGGATGAAAGATTTGCGGTTGAAAAGCGGAGGAATAATCTTGTATCATATGTTTATCTTCTGGAATTACTTACACAGGCGTTGGGGGCACTTCTTCTTGTTCATCAAACGGTTCCAACTTGGAGCCCGTTGGCGGGGTGGATCTTGTTTACAGGCGTCGGTCGTGTGTTTGGGTACAGTTTTGTGAGAGGGCTGCTATACCCTTGTTTGGGATTTTTGTTTGACGGGTGGAGGGGGGCGCTTATTGTGGGGAAGAAAGAGGGGGTGATGAGTGTGAAGTGAGAGGGGAGGCGAGAATAGGGCAGTGCATGAATAAAAGTTGATATGAACCACTCAGCGCTTTCCTGTGCAACTTTGTTTTCTATGTCTGTCTTTGCCTGTAGTCAGGTGATTTGCGACCTTAGCGGACGCTAAAATTGCAGTGCAAATCGCCTTCTTGAAACTTGTAGTGGGAGCGGTGTGAGGGGGAAAATTCGCTTAAGCCTCAGGCACAAATTTCGCTTAATTATGGCGCTAAGGCGTATTTAGCCTCGCTCCTAAGCTTCTACGAGCTTCACGCTTCTCTTCTGGAATTAATCGTAATTCTAGAAATCTCTTGTGTTTGTACGTAACGTGAATTCAACGCAGTAAATCGTCAATCTGGTACATGGTTCACTTCTGCCTATCTGTCCTCTGGATCTTCAGCGGTGACGAAGAGAGGCAGCCGACAGAGCTAAAATTGCAGTGAAAATCGATTCTGACATGCGGGTACAAGAACAGAGGTTATTTCCCCTGTACCCTCATTCCTGCAAAGTGGGACTTCTCACCCAGGATGTCCACTCCAGCATTCCAAAATCCCTTTTTGAGGAGAGCATCGCCCTCGCTTACAATTTGGCTTGACGTCGATGAGGGAAAGTCCCGACCGAGGTCTGATTTTTCATTTTGTTTCCTAGAGTTGGCACAGGGGACCTTACCCGTCGGCAATTCCTCGCTTTGCTGGGGCCGACTTGCACGAGCAGAGCTGGCCCGAACCGGGTGCGGAAATGTCTGTGAGTAGTATGGAAGCAGTGTTAGTTCTTCTCAAGCGATTCTGTCGCTCGTGGAGGACGCTAAAATTGCAGTGCTAAATTGAATTTTAAACACACGTGCGCAAGCTGTTCCAATGGCGGTCGTGGGGGAAGGAATCCGTCCTTCGAGGCTAAAATTGCAGTGCACGGCGAATGTTGAACCCCCGAGAGAGCTAAAATTGGGAGTGCGGGTGTTATCCGGTCCCACTCAATACCCTGATTCTCTACAGGCATCGCACTTCCCCGAGCCTCTGACCGAGACACCGGTAGCTGGCCTTCCAAAATTCCGTTCTGAGGCTTCACTTCTTCCACTCGGATTTTTTAATCCGAGGAATGTAGGAAGCGCCTCAAGGGTTTCGTTCTTCTATTGCTAAATGAACGAGAGGCAGAGGCAGCAAGAAACTACTGAGTTCTTTCCAAATGATTTGGCGACCCTCCTCGAGGAGGCTAAAGTTGCAGTGCTTGCAATTTGCCATTGGTCACTTACCAATGGTGGCCACTGGTATCGAAAGAGAGCCGGCTCGAGTACGCTAAAATTGCAGTGCTATTGAGGCTATTCGCACTTGGAAACGGGAGAAGAGAACTACAGTAGGGTGCCATAAGTATTCGCACAGGGTCTGTGCTCATCAGCCAATCACTTCTCTTAGAAGTCTCAGTGTGATCTCAACGGCCCTCAAATTACAGTGCAATCGGGTTGCCTCGGTGGAAGGTCCTGCCCCGTCGGTGCCTGAAAGTCTCAGCCATGACTTTCGGGTAGCTTCCAGAATTCCATTTTGAGGTAGCTCATCTTCCTACCTTATAGTTTGACAAGACAGATTTGGGGAGCTTTCCAGGATTTTGTCATGTTTTACAAAATTCATTGAATCGGTATTCGAGCAGGGAAGAGGTTGTTGATTTCTTCTCAAGTAATGAGTGCCTCTCCTCGAAGACGCTAAAATTGCAGTGCGGCAAAGGGCAAAAATGTTTCCTTACCGACAAACGTGGGGGAAGAGTACCTCCTCTACAGAGCTAAAATTGCAGTGCAGATTGGGCAGGCATGAAGGCGGGAAAGAATTCCAGCGTGCCAGGCCCGCCAACCGAGCCACGATCCACGATTTCGCCTATCGATCCAGGCAAAAATCCTTAGCGAACCCCTACCCTACTTTACTCAAGGTAAAGTACAATTTTTATTATAAAAACAACATTTAAATAAGAAAAGAAGCCAAGGCTATAACCAAGGATATTACTTTGATAACTCTAAGTCTTTTTAGAATTTTTTAAGTACTTTTGGAAAAGTCTTAGTTTTTGGTGTAAATTTACTATGGAAGGTACTTTCGCAGGGTCGATTATGGATTGATCCTGGACCGATCCCGCACAGATCATCGCCGAGCCTGCAGTGTACTATTATTTGGCAAATTCCTTAAAGGCCAGAAAGGAATTACACTCCTCTAAACCTCCTGACTTAGCGGGGCAGGGTGAAAGTCTCAAGCAATTGAATTTCCTTTCACTAATTCGAATGGGGAAAGTAGAGAATGTTTTGATTTCTTCAATCTCGCTACTTCTCGACTCTCAACTCTCAACTCCCGCTTGATTACTTTCCCCCTTCTTTTCAGTATTAATAAATCTCACTCCTCTCAAGTCAATACAAATTACTCTTTCTGCTGCACTTATCCTCTGTGCAACTCTTCGCCAACAGCCAGGTGATTCTGTCCCTCCTCGACCACGCTAAAACTCCTGTGCCGGAAATTTCTCCGCTATCTGATAGCTTAGAGGAAACCTAGCCGAACTCACTTTCTCAAAAGACTTGAGTCACAGACGCTCCCGCATTGGCAGAGTTGCAAGGCAACTCGCAGAATGAAATCTCTAATAAAACGGAGTCGCTCTTGCGATACTTGCGGGTCGGAGCAGCGAAAACGAGTTACTTTTCATGAATTATGCTAGACGAGGGGAACCTTATCTTTACTTGTTTTGATTAGTTAGTTAGCTAGAGCTGGTTTAAGAGTTATCGAGGAAGTAGAGATGAGATGAAATAAAAAATTATTTATTTTATGTAATTGTCTTCTCCCAAATATTTCTATATAATCATGTAGTTCATGCCCTCCGTAAGGACGCTAAAATTGCAGTGCAATGGGCTAGTAGTGGGGTGGTGTAGAAGAGAGGCAGCCCGCCAGAGCTAAAACTGCAGCGAGAATCGATTCTGACGTGCAGATACACTAAATTTACTTCTCTTATAAAGTATATATTTATTAGCTACTAACTTCCTTTCTAATCTTATTAATATGCCGCGTGGAAGAAGGTACTAGCCTTATATAATTATAATAACTCCTTTTGAGGAGCTCTGGCGCTATTCTGCTTTTACTTCCTTGCGCTACGTCTTATATCTGGAACTAATACATATCTTGACTGAAACCCTCACACTGTGGCAAAATATGGTCACATGATTAAAGAAACCTGATACAGTTTATGTTCCCGAGAATTCGCTCCAATTTAATCACTCAGATCTGCCAGTTCAACAAATTCAACAACTTCCATACATTTCCTGCTAAGCCAACAACCACCAAACAATTTGATTTAAAGAGAGTCTGTATCCATAGCAAAAGCACAATTCAAATAAAGCCTCCATACATTGAAATCCAGCCCAAACCAACAACCACTTTAGACAATTAGGCAAGGAAGGAGCGCTTTGTGTCCACGGGTCATAGGCTATCCAACTTCTTTCTCACACATCATGCTAAAGGGCGACGCAAAAGTTGAGGATGCCATCTCCATTTTGCTCGCAACAGGCATTCGGCTGTACGCAAATCCCACCAACTATAGACGATGGCTAAGCTATACGAAATATGAGGGAACAATATAAAGTAACTTACCAACAAGGCAATTCAAAAAACCATCGCAGCACGCCTGCACCGGGTGGTTAACGTCGCAACCGTTGCGCTTCTCCATGGGATTTGCCGTGGCTGCAACGGTGAGAGTGAGGACGGCGATGACTTTCTTAGCGAGCATTTTTACTATATTGGGGCTGGAGGCTAGAGCGGAAGCTTGTTTGCCTTTGGTTTGGAATTGAGTTGTGGTTGTGACTAGTTGTGATTGAAAATAAAGGTGATTGAGGAAAGAGGGGTTTAATGGATGAGAACGCTCTCTTTATAGACGTTTGACTTACTGGAGGACACAACTTCACATGTCGTAGTGAGGACAGATCCTTCCCTCTTTGACTACTGAAGCTCGTCTTAATTATCACATGTTGCGATGAAAGTGCATTCCGTCAAAAATTGGATGACAGAATGAAGATCGAGGACTGTTTGCCTGGCAGACCTGGGAAATTCCGCCTGTTGGTATAGAATAACCAACAATGTGAGCGAGCTATCTCTTTGTGATGCCCGTTTGCAGATCTCCATTCTGTATTAAATTTAATTCCTTGCCGACATGTGAGAGGGTATGGAATTCGCCTTCTCTAGGGGTTTGCCCACTTCCCTCAAGAATTGAAAGGAGTGGTCCGGTTTCCAATCAGTCTTTGTGCTTTGCCATTTGTTTGCTTTTCCTTCCAATTTCAAGATTCGGTAAATATTGCTAGGTGAAAGAGAGGAAGGCATGTGATGGTCATGTAGATTTGAAGGGCCGGTAGGATAAGCCCAACTCAAGATATGAAGATTGTTGCACATGAAAAGGAGATGTGAGGCCTGTATGCTGTAATGCCTACGCAAACTCTGCCACTAGCCCTAGTAATTTGCGTTTGTGGTCTTTCTATCTCTTGATCTGTGGGGAAAGTCTTTCTTGGCCGCATAAGGGGAAACTCAATTAAACGCTGCACAGCGTAGCACAGTATAGCGACGGAACAGAGTTCCAGATATCCGCTGCATTGCAGATCATGGGGATTGCCGAAGCGATTTGCAGAGGTTCCGGTCGAGCAGAACAGCAATACCGAAGATTTTTCCTTGCAGAGGTTTCCGTCAAGCAGAACAGCAATCCCCAACGCTACGGAGCATGGAGAGTTCCGCTTTTCGTGCATCCTAAAGTCAGACATGGCCCGGGCCGCCTCCGACGTTAAAGGCGTTAATATGGTGAACCTCGCAAAGATACACGCTAAACGATGCCTCAGGGAAATAATGCAGCGGCCCTCGATTCAACAGTCCGACGTGACAGTGCTGGTCGAAGGGCCTATAGATGGCGCCGGGGACGGGATGCATGTGAGCTGTATCACCGCCTCGTTCCCGCTCCTTTTCTAGTACAGCGCCCTTGCTTTATCGAAATTCTGCGCTGTAACATCGAACCCAGCCTCTAGCAGCAACCACACCACAAGTGCCGGGGGTAACAGTTCTGCTTGGCGGAAAGCTGAATAATAATCTGCTTCACGGAGATTTCCGTGATCGGCAGTGTTGCAGTATTGTAATGGTTTAACTGAGTGTATACCCATGTAATCACAGAAGTCTTGAAAATAATATATCCTAACAGATCAAGGGGTGGAGGGCCACAAACGTAATCTCGCTGCAATAGTCTCCAACCTCATATTAACACAAAGAACTACAGGTAGGGAGTGGCGGATAGAAGCGCTAAGGCTTATGGGGATTTGGAATGATTTGCAGGTAGTTCATCTCTCGATCAAGTCTAGATGACCATCACATGCCTTCCTCTCTTTCGTATACCAAATTTTACTGAATCTTCGGAATCATCTCCGCAAAGATGCGCGGGGGCGGACCAGCTGGGGCACTACACGGTGACGCAATTAGGCGGTACTTAGCGGGGTTTTGGGATTGGGGCTAACTCGTAACATCCCTGTGTATGTTTGTGGGGCATCGCACCGCCACCTGCTCGGTAGCTTGTTGCCATTCCTACCAGAAGCCGACCCCGCAAATTCATTGTTGGTACATTGCTCGGCACCCTGGAGAATGGCCCACGCGGCGTGGGCTCTCCTCCATTGCCCTAGCGAGCCAATCACCCTAAATACGCTTCAAGTAGAGAGCATGCAAGTCTGGCAGATGAATAACGCCTTTAGCGCAGTATTGAACCGTCTTGACATCCATCGGCCCGGAGGCAAAGACGTTAGCTGGCATGAGGCTCTGGGCTTCCTGTTGGTCCGGATCCAACAATTGATCTCCATAAACCCGAGTTTTACATCGAACTGGACAGACTTATCTGGCCCACGTATATACGTCTTATCGCCGGCGCGAGACTCATTCTCGAGGAGTTGGATGTCAGTGACGCCACCGAGACCCCAGGCGCATTTGGGGATATTGGGGTCTCCAAAGATAGATTTAAGAGTCTTGCCGTTGTTTGATGCCGTGGTGAAAGCCGATTTTCCGAGGACTAAGATATCGATGAGTCGAACTACCCTCCTCTTTGGGCGAACGAGAATAGTGATGAGAAAGATGGTACCATGTCAGCTGAGACAATTCTCTCGATGGGACACCTTTATGCAAAATAGTCCCATGAAGCTGTGCATAGACGCGAAGCGTGTCAAATAACCATCAAACTTGTACGTGGCTTGGATCTCTTTGAACGGTTCGTCTCCTCGAGCCTAGACTTTGATATCCCTTGAGGTTTCGCGCCCTTGACTGCAATTGACTTCTTCCTGGGTGGTACCCGATTGCGAGGGCCTGAAGAATTCGGCTTGTTTGCATTCGAAGGATTGCGCAATGGGGGTTCATGAAGTGGTGGTGCTACACTTTGTTCTGCGAACATGCCAAATCGAGGGCGGTTTATGAGCGAGTCATTGACTTGCTAGTTGTCCTGTGTCATGATGCTTTGACTGTAGAACTTTGTTGTCGATGTCGTCGACTGCACCGGAAACTCTCTCCTTATGTACCTGGGGTTGTCTTTTGCGCGCCTGCCGTGGGACTTGTACAGAACTGTCCCCGGGTTCATCTACCGTATCGGACGCTTTTTGTCGTTTCGACCGACGAGTGGGCATGGGGGCTTCTGCGGGTGTCGGTGTGGTTTATCGGGATCCGGTGCTATGGTTGGCAACACTTTGGATCTGCGCGGTGCTCTTCGTGATTCTGCCACCGCGGGTCTTGCGAGAAGTGTCCTTCGGCGGCCGAGGTGACAATGCTCGTGGCTGCGATACACGCTCAGAGGCTGGAGCGTCGGCTATACCTGGCTCCGGCTCCGGCTCCGGCTTGAGACCAAACATTCGAACAAACTCAGCCTGTTCCTCCTTGCTGACTCCCCAAGCATCCCAGGTACGGTGTTGTGTGTCGAGTTCTTTTTGGGTCAGTGGCATTTTCATTGGTGGCTCATTCTTGCACCGTTTCTGAGCTACAGCTTCTTCTCGCACCGTAGCGTCGATCTGCTCTTGTGTTTTCCCCTCGATCCGTTCAAGAAAGTTGAGACTTCTTTGTGATGTCCTCTATAGGATGTATGGATCCGTTGAACAGATCAATGCCGCGGTACTCGACAAGTGTGCTAAGTATGTATGAAGATACTTTCTTTGGGTTAAGTATAAGGCTTAGAGTAGAATACTAGATATATTATTGAGTTTTACTTGAATCTTCTTGTACGGCAGGCAGTGACGTGCGATTTAGCCTCTTACAAGTATTATGGACGGGGAGGCGATGAGGGTACAGAGGAAGAATTTGAAGCAGAGTGATTAATAATTAGCGGGGTAACCTCTCAAAGTCTATCTCCAGCCCTTTGGAACCTCTTCCAGCTGAGGATGAAACAGTCTCAATGAGTCAGGATGGGGAAACTACGTAGGATGTTACATTTATCGAAACCGACGCCACTAGGGCTTGACTTAGAAACCGCAAGTCCCAAGACACCTAGCGCTTTCCTGTGCACTTGTTTGCTATGTCTGTCTTTACCTGCAGTCAGGTGATTTGCGGCCTTAGAGGACGCTAAAATTGTAATGCAAATCTCCATCACACTTGCTTGGTGAGGCTAAAGGAGGACATCAACGCCGACAGAGCTAAAATTGCAGTCTGTACCGTAAAAAGCTACTATTAGCTACAGAGATGAAGGGAAGAGCCACCTCGACAATGCTCAATTTGCGGTGCAAGTGGCACTAACGCTGGTAGTGAGGCGATAGTGAAGAGAGGCAGCCCAACAGAGCCAAAATTGCAGCTGAAAATCGATTCTGACTTGCGGATACAAGAACGGAGGTTGTTTTCCCTGTACCCTCATTCCTGCAAAGTGGAACTTCTCACCCAGGATGTCTGTCACGTGCTGCGCACAGGCGTATATATAGCTTCTTCACCGCCCTTAGGGCACCATCATTCATACATATTTACACCAAACACACACACACATTCCACATCCACAGCTTGTCCAGGCAGTGACAATGTCCACTGCCAGCATTCCAAAATCCCTTTTGGGGAGAGCATTGTCCCCGCTGACAATTTGACTTGACATCGATGAGAGGTAGTCCCGAGGTCTGATTTTTCATTTTGTTTCCTAGAGTAGGCACAGGGGACCTTAGTATGGAAGTCGTGTTAGTTCTTCTCAAGTGGTTCTGTCGCTCGTTGAGGACGCTAAAATTGCACTGTGGTAGCAATATTTGTCATTTTCATATTTTTTTGGCCAATGATAGGGAAAGAGAACTGCCTCGAGAGAGCTAAAATTGCAGTGCAATTACTCCTGCAACACTGCGCGTTATCCCCTGCCAATGGGGGAGAAGAGATCCGCTTCGAGAGAGCTAAAATTGCAGTGCTGATTGGGGGTGTCGATTGGGGGTGTCGATTGGGGGTGTCGATTGGGGGTGTCGATTGGGGCAGGGGTGTCGATAAACTTGTAATTGGCTACCTAAGCTCTTCAAAAATCTTAAGTTATATTTTTAATAAGTCTAAGCTAGCATATTATAACCCTAGTATTTTAATCACGTGCTTCCTAACTAATAATAAAAGGATTCCTTAAAATAGAATTTTAATTTAAAGGAGTTTATATGCTAATTAATTAAGTTCTAGTTTTTAGGCCCTATAAGGCCCTGTAAATTGAGTGCTTATAGGGCTCTCACATCAAGTTTTAGGGACTTACTCGCTAAATTTCTAGGCTTTCTCAAGCTTACCTTCGGGCTATAAAATATGAAATTTCTAACTTCATTAATTTAAAGAGCTATTACTAAACTAAATTTTATAAAAAGTTAATATTTGAATAGCGCTTAATTAGCGCTATAAGGAAATAAAACAAGTTTTACATTATATTAATTCCTTATAAATTTGAATTAAATTAAAGAAAAAGCCAGAGTTTTGGTGTTCCTGTCCGAGCGCCTAGCCTGCTCCCAATCGACACCCCTAATCGACATCCGGGGGTGTCGTTTTACATTTTCCCCCAGAGTGGAACACTAAAAAATTTGAGATTTTTTCAAAGTACTCCAAAAATTCTGAAAACTTCCAGGACTACTATGGTAAAGTCACCAATCGCGAATATTAACTTAGTCCTTTTATTTTGAGTCGTTGTTTTGGCGAAATCAAGGTTTTGGGCGATTGGCTAGTCTGGGCGGTTGGCCCTTGAATGCTTCTAGAGCAAACGATCGGTCGATAGGATAATTCTTGAGCCAGGGTCTTCCACCTCTCGCGTTCACAGAAATTGGGCGAAGGGCAGAGGGACTTTGGGAATTGTAGAGGTAACTCAGTAAATCGAGATGGAAACCGGGATTTGGGCAAAATATCATTTTCTATGCACTCACTTCATCTTCGGACGAAGGCAATGAGGTGACCCGATATTTCCTTTCCATTCTTATACAAAGCAGTCTCGCTTGTGGTATTCCATCTTGTAATCGTACATAGATATACATCCCATTCCATGACGTCCATACTCCAAAGCCCTTCTTTCCTTCCTTCCTTAACTCCAGAATTCGAACCCATAGAGTACACGCCTCTCTTTCACAAATTTTAACGCCTAAGAGGAACTCCCTCACGACCCACCAACACTAACCCCCACCCCTTGCACCAACGGCACCCTCGCGCCCACCAACCCCCTCCGATCCCTCCCCATCCTGCCTCGCCCAAGCCAATTCAACTTCAACCCCCTTGTCAACTCCTCCATACACTTCTGGCTCGCCTCATCGCCACCACCACCCACACCAACACCAGTAAGCACGCTCATACACTGCAGCATCCTGCCCACCGTCTCCGTCAACCTCTTCCCTTCACCCTCAACGTTCTTCTCCCTGCCTCTATCTCTCCCATATGGAAGTGGATACACACTGGCGTATCCAGAACTCGGGGTGAATGGTCTGCTCGGTGGAGGAGGCAAACTCGAAATCCCCAGCCCAGAGACAGAAGCAGAGGGGTCGGAGCCGTGACTCACGTTCGAGATTGCTCGTGATCGATTTCCCGACCCGTCTCCGGAAGAGCCACCTAGAAGGGTTGTAGTTTGGGAACCGTAGGATGCGTGGGAGGGGTCGAGACTCATCGCTGTGCCTGGTCTCCCAGTTGAGAACGAATCCGGACTCGTGCTCAAGATATCACTTGTCGGTATAGACAAACTTATCGAGTCGAGACTCAGCCGCGAGAATATCGTCTTCAGGGTGTCGAAACGAGGTAGGATGACAGTGTCGCGGTAAGAGGTTAAAACGATTCTGCGGACCTCGAGAGCTTGAGATGCGGGGATGTTGGTTGGTGAGTGGTTTGTAGATGGTAATGCGCCCCAGAAATCACGCGCTTGCTCGGGGGACATGAGGGGCCCGTGGCCGGAGAACTCGAGGTCGAGGGGGAGGAAGACGGCTTGCATGTATGGCAGGAGGGAGGTAAATGTGAAGAGCCACATCTCTACTAGATGTGGGATGAGGCGCTCATCGGGGGTGCGTTTGAGTGTTTGGTCGAGGGATGAGAAGCCTGTATGGAGGAGATCGCGCAGGTCTTCTACGATTAGGTTCGGGGCCCGCTTTTGAATGCAGCGTTGGAGGTGAAGTCTGTTCTCGTCAGTTGGAGATCGGATGATAGACGGGATATGAAATCAGACGCAAAGGGGGGACTTACGTTACGAGACGGTTGAAGTCTTCAACTGGCAACCGTAAATCTTCTCCCTCAAATATGATCAATAATTTGGCTTTCAAGAATGGCCAGGCATCGTCAGCTCCCATGTTATTTAGTCCGTACTTGGCCAAATCCTGAGTATCTCCACCATAGATACTAGATGGATACCCAAAACTCGCACCAGCTGATCCAAGATATGACGCTCCGCCAGCTGAACCTAGACTCGATGGACCAGGCCAGTCATTGCTATTTTGATACGACAACTCACTCTCCCTCAACGCATCCGACTTCTCTTCTTTCTTCTTCTCCCTCAACGCCCTCCCACCATGCCTTAAATCCAACCCACTCATGCTCTTTGCAAAACTTGTGCTCGTTGGTCCCGGACTAGGCGGTAAGTTGAAATTATACAGGCTACTCGGGGCACTCGGGTCCACAGGTTTAGAATTGCTCGCCGCCGATGACAACGGCAAGTGATGATCATCCTTACTACTCAATTTGTGCTTCTGCCTTGACAAGAAATGGTGCTTATGCTTCTCTTTCTCCTTATCCTTTTCCGGGGGTTGCGGCGGGGTCTGGGAATCGATGGCGCGAATGGTCGCCGAGGACGAGTTGGCCATGCTGTACATGCTCGCAGCGCTCGACATGCTATCTGTCAAACTATTGGTACTGAAGTTGCCGCGCTGCAGCGACGCAAAGGCCATCTTACTAGGACTTGGGAGGGCTCCCGCTCTGGCCTCCTTATCCTTCGAGATGCCAATCTTGCCGGGCCGCGAGAACAGCTTCACCTTAGACTTCTCGCTCTTTATGGGTTTGTCGGGGTGTGGTAGTTGCTGCTGGCGATGCTGTTCATATTCCATGGCGGGCAGGCCCGGCGATGATCCCGGCGACTTTGGAAACACGACGTTGGCTGCTGTTTGCGCGGCATTTCCATGCGATCCACCTAAAAGTCCATTCTGGTATACCTGCCCCCCAAAGCCGCTTTCCCTTGGCCCGGATGCCTCTGTCAAGCTTAACAGGGGAGGACTTGTCGGTCCTCGAGATGGTCTCCTTCCCCCGTTTGAGCCATTGTCCGTCTGAGGTGTTGGGACGGTCTGCGAGCGCTGGCGCATATGCATTGACTGATGCTGCATTGCAGCTTGCGCAGCAATTCTGCTCGCGCTCAAGCTGGTATTCGGATCCGCCATACTGCCCAAGTTCGACGTCGCTACCGTGGGGAGATGCGGCTCAAAGGAGCCTTGGGTCTGGGAATGTTTCCTTCCGTGGCCGCGGTGGAAGTCGCTGGTGTTCAGCTTCAACTGAGTAGGAAGAGCAGCTGGCGACGCACTTCTCAGTGGCAGATCAGAGCGAGCATGGACTGCTGTTGGGCGCGAGAAGTTCTGGAGGCTGCTGGTGCTGGAGTTGGCTTGCGACTGGACGTACAGAGGTCGTGGTGGTGGAGGGGTCGGCGCATTCTGCCACGGGACAACACTCCCAGATGCAGCTGCAGCGATGATGGCGGTGGAGGGTCGTGGCTTGCTGATCGTAAGGGGTGTGTCGTCGTCGTCCTCTTCAGAGGAGGATTCGACTCTTCGGAGAGCTGGGCGCGATGTTGTTGATTGCGCAGCCATCACCATCGGTGAAAAGCTGCCCGGCGCCCTTGATTGCGGTGTCCCTGTCGACTGCGACATGGTTGCTGGCTTGTGAAATGCATAAATGTTTCACATAATTTGCGTAGATCAGCGGAAATGACCGGGGAGACTCGAGGACGGTATTGGTGGGGGCGACTCGTTCGGGGCAAAGCCTAAATGCTTCGATAGCTTGAAATATGAAAGAGAGGCCAAGAGCAGCTCACCGTCCTTGAATAGGAAATAGTGAGGTTCAGACCCGGAGGAGGTTTGTAAGTATCAGTCTACCCACGGCTTGGAATCCCTCCGGCTTGGTTGACCCAATAATCGTTCAGCTCCCGACGTCTTGAAGCGGCAGCTCTAAAAATCGTAGTCCGGCACTACCGTACTTCGCGCCCTCCACCTCACTCAGCTTTTTCGTAGCACACGACCACGACCTACTCTCTTCTCCATAATTAGATCAATACAGAACCATGGCGGCACCAAAATCTACAGAAGCTTCACAGCTGAAATTCGAACTCCTCTCAGCAACCTATCAATCCCCCACCAACGAGCCGTTCACCCACACAACCAAGCTCCCCGCACCTCCCACCACGAAAACAACAGACCGAACTGCCTACCTCGCCAGCCTCCGAAAAGCCACCGCGGAGATGCAAGAAACGATAAACAAGGAGCTTACATCGCGGATGGAGGAAGACAAGGCGCGCGAAGCTGTTGCAAACGGTACCTCCAATCCAAAAGTGGTGGACGAAGCGAAAGAGGAAGATAATTACGGGGAAGAGGTTGTAGAGGAAGATTGATGGCACGAGGTTCCGAATGGATTTGATATGTACTCATGGTCCCAATATCTAGACGGGATATATACAACAAACACCTAGACACTACACCGAAGAACTCCTCGCTATGTTTCTATCCATTCGCTGCACCAAATCACGAACATCACCTCCATTGCGCCGCCTTCAAACTCTCCATCCCGCCCGGCGACCGCCCGTTCGCACGATTCAAACATCCGTAATGCACAACTCCGTTATCTGGCAACACGGCAAACACGGTTCCTCCTAGCCGTTTGTGACACACACCGCATACTCTCTCTTCCGACACAATTACTCTTCTATTTCGCCCTCCGTTGCTACCTGGTATCCCGTCGCCGAGTAGGAGCGCTGCTTGTGCAGAGACGACTTCGCTCTTGCGGAGCCCGGAAACGACTTTTGCTTCGTTGACGATGGAGTTCGCTGCTCGTATACGGCCACGGAAATAGGATTCCAACTCTGCGACTGGGAGGGTTGCCGGGATGAGGTTCAGTGTTGACGAGGCGGGGAGACGGGAACCGTGTTTGGAAAGGAGGTCGAGTGCGGGTGGCCAGTTTGGCTGGTGCGGTTGTGGGGGTGTGAGGTAAAGGGAGAGAAGTGTGTGATATATTGGGGGGACGGCATCTTCGTCGTCCTGGCTGGTTGAGCCACGGCGAGATTGGATGGGTGAAGCGACTGCTGAGTCTTGGGTGAGGTGGATGCGGTTGCAGTACCTGGAAGTGTTAGCTAGCTCCCAAATGGAGATGAATAGACGTACTCTTCTGCCTTTCTGTAGTCTCTGAGCTTGAAGACGTAGATCTCTAATGCCTGTTTATGCTGCCCCATATTACTTAAAACAACCGTTTGCGCCACATAAAAATAAGGATCTAGTTTCAGGTCAGCGAGAATTTCCTAGGAAATTGTCTGTAGAACCTACCATCCTTGGGTATCAATCCAAAAGCCTTGGACAACGAGTGACTTTTAGTCTCGTTACTCGTCTTTAAAAAGGAAGTCAATCTCTGCATCAGCCCTCTCCAGCTCTCCGAATCCCTGTCTTCTCTACTCCTCAACTCCTGAATATAAGCTTCAATCAGCCGGTTATGATACTCGGGGTTCAAATCGTTCAGTTCGTTGATCACGTGCTCCAAGTATTTCACTGCGAGCTTCGCATCAATCCCTTGCAAGAAATTGACCACCCTATCTCTTGGTAGAGTCTCAGCATTCTCTGTATCTGCCAGGAATATTTCCATCCCCAAGGTTGGATCTGCTCGTAATGGCCATTCTGCAAATTCTAGAATCAAGTCGATCATTTCTGGTGGGAGATTCTGTAGATATCCAACAGTCCTTTGCGGGCCTTGTAAGGTTGCTGGGGTCTCGTTCTCGTCCTTGGACATTCCGAATCTCTTCAATAATTCGAGTGCAGGCCGATGAAGTTTCTTGCCATGAAAGAAATCAACCAGTTCGCTGTATCTCCCAGTTTCCAGAAGCTTCTCATTGACCACATCAGGGTCACAGAAGTTGGGAATTCGGAACAGGGCACCAGCCAGTTGAGGCTTGGCCAACATGTAGGATCTGAAGAGGGTTGTATCAATGAGCTTTGCAGTATCTCGCAACTTTATCTCTCGATCTTTCTCGGCATCGGATGCTGGCGTGGTGAGAAGTGATGCGAAAGCATGTTCAAAATTCCCGTTATGGCCGTTTTGCGTTCGTGCTTTCATTTTCCCTGTGTCTGCATCCAGAAACTCTTTCATCCTGTTGCGTGCTTGAACCAAGAAATCATTGAGAGCAAGGGCCGCGGTAATGAGATCCTTGCCTTCAAGACGTGTATCATCTGGTCTGGCACGAGTGCTAGCCGTATCACTTGAGTCACCACCATCGAGTCGCATGAAGGACCGAATCGAAGAGGTGTCTGAGAGAGCTTTCTGGTGGGTCTTGAGCAGCTTGTTTATAGCGGCAGGTTTTGGAGACCCAACATCTTGCTTCGCTTCCCCCTGTTTCTCCTCTGTAATGGGTCCAGCATCCCCATTAGTACCCGCTTTTGAATCTTCGTTGTCCGTGTCGACATCTGGATGTTTCTCCTCAATTGTCGATAAGTCACCCGCAATGACTCTCGGATACAACTTGATGACTCGTTCTGGTGGTGCCTGGACATCCTGTTCCATAAAAATATCAACAGCATCCCGATATTTGCGTTCATCAAAGAGTGCTTGTGCCTTTTGAATCTTTATTTCGCGAAGGCGTTCCACCTTGTGCTTGAGGAGAGCGTCTTCAAGCATATTGAGCACGCTAATTGCTTCATCATATTTCCCCTTTTCCACAAGCTCATCGACTTGGGTGTCGTAATTCGTTGCTCCCATCCGCCAGATAACCCGTTCACTAGCTACGTGGAATCCCTTCCCAGCATGAGCTAAACTCACTGTTGGCGGAGGGAAATGTAGCTGCTTCGCATTCGGTAGGGCGATGGACTGCAGAAGTGACAGTGTATCCGGATTCCGAACCTCCAGTGTCCCTTGTGAGGGTGACTGCAGGGCCAAGATGTATGGGTAGGAATACCCTATAGCATCTGGTGCCTGTTGCCATGGGATTTGTCTCTTTTCCAAGGGCTTCCCTTCCGATGTGATGAACAGCGAATTAATGTCCTTTGCAAGAAGCATTTCTCCGTCTGCAAGTTTTGTCGCCAATGGATTCGGCATGTAACCCCCGAGGCCCATATACCCCATGCTTGCTGATCCAAGGCCTCCAAATCGACTCCCCTGGGCGCCTGCGGCGCCACCAATAGCTCCAGGGCCAACAATCTCCTCTGCCTCCTGCGTGATAACATCCACAATCACATACCCCGCGTTCATACCACATATGATCTTCGTCGCAGAAGCCCACGTCAATGTTTTGATTGATTCCGGTAGGGTGATCTCAACTGTGTCTTGCTCCAGCTCGGACTCGTGCCATGACCAGAGTATCAGACGCCTCTTAACAGCCACTGCCAACCTTGAAATGATTTCCGGTATCCCCGTAGCAGAGTCCTTGACAATGTTCGATGTAACAGCAAATGTTGTAGCGCTTTTGGTCTTCGCCAACTGCTCTTGAAGTGTGTATGATTGCAAATCATGGATCGAGACGTATGAATTCGACAAAGATATCAAAATATTCGCCTCCTTCAAAATGGCTAGCTGTTCGACAGCCCTAGTTGAGAATTTCTCCACCTCTCGCAGCAGATCGACCGGTTTCGGGGTAGAAGAGGAGCTCGGTCGTGAGGGAGGCTTGTCGTCTGGTTTTGTACTCCCATTCTGTTTCTCCTCTGGGATCTCGTTGACTCGGTATATGCGCAGACTCCCCGTGCTCAAACCAACTAGTAATCGATCGCCTATATCACCATCAGCTTTGGATCGAAGTCCCGTTAAGAAACCTACCATATGCAAGGATGGATTCAATCTTGAACTTGTCCCGTTGCCGGAGCTCAACAATCGGCCGAGCTGTGAAGGCGGAAAGCATGGCTACCGCGCGCCAGCTTCGATACAGGTTGTGCCAGAGCTGAAAATCGGTATCATCGAATCTTTAGAATCATCGAAGAGAGTGTTTGGGGCCTGTGAGGCGTGTTGCATTCATCGGCGCATCATGTTGTTGTACAACGGAGCTCAAGTTCTGGCGCTCCGCGAAATGACGATGTTTGCCGAAGCGCTAGCTTAGACCTGGGAATTCACTGCGGACAACCTCTCCTCTCTTTCTCCCTCTCTTTCTACATGATTTGTTTTATTCAGTACCCTGTCACCTACAGTGAACACAAATACTTGGCAATTATTCTCTCCTAGGGGATTCCCAGTCTTGTCAGTACACAGACTTCAAGATGGGGAAGCACGTGCCGAATGGCAATAAAGGCATCAATCAGCAAACTTGGTTGCCTCGAAGGAAGCTTGATGGGTGTCTGATTCCACGTCACTGGCTAACGACCAATGATATGTATTAGGACCCGTCCTTCACCGTTTGATTCTCAATTAGGCTTGAGTCTCGTGCCGTACTCTATGGGTTTCATGGTTTCAAGATGTTTTGAGGAATTGTGTATCACATGATCATGATTAAAGAGGTTTTGCTATTTCTAGCTTTCTCAGATCGATAACTTGCAACCATTGAAACGTAACCTATTTTTCTAGGCTTCAGCCTTGTACACATTTGAGTAAGTTCATACTCTGCCTTAACTTCTGTTGCAAAATGGCTGATTGGGACAAGGCTGGTGATTGACGCGCAAACGGCTGGCTTGCCTTCATTTGCACCCATTGCAAGTTTATCAGCCTCCAATCAAACTTTAAACTTGATATTCGTCACATTTTCTGGCCTTTATATGAACACCAGCGATGACCTATGGCTACCCGCCAACCAAAGACCACCCTTGGCACAAAGCTTCACGGCGATAGATTTACACAAACCGTATGCCCCCGACAATCCCATTTCAGTGCTATCATATATGGAACAGCACCAGTTTTGCAACCCGAACCGTGGACCAAACGACGTGAGAAGCACACCAATGCTTCCACTAGGTGTGCTTCTGGATGCCTGGACAGATGTCACCACCGGCTGCTTCGAACTGGTATTCGACAACTACATCTAGCTGGCGACTCTGGGCGTTATGGCGTACGGAGCCCAGGAAACCCAGCTGGCAATCCTAGCTCCCTCCTCTAGCCTCCGCCTACGCGATGGCATTCTCTCTCTAGGACTGCCCAACGATCAATGGATACAAAAATCAAACCGCTTTTTCGCAATGGGCATGAACGCCATGCAGCGATGGGCGACCGGAGTTTGCAACTGGCCCTCCTGGAGCGTAAGCAAGTCACACTACCACTGCCGGATATTCAGCGATTGGCCCTTCCACGGAGTGGATATGCAACAATCGGATTATAAGGGATGATAGATATACCTCTTTCAGCATTCTTTGGATCTCTCTTATCTTTGAATTGGGGGGTTTGCTCATACTTGTTACCCTGAATCTCGAGATGGTCGTCAACTACTTTCAGCGACGGTATAAACGGGGTTTTCACCAATAAGTGAGATGGCAGCTAGATTCGTCATTGCAATTGCAGCGTATGGCGTTTGAAGAGGCGGGATTTGGGGAGTGGGAGGGTGGAGTGAGTGAGGTTTCTACTACTGTAGTGAAAAATCAGCAGATTCAAGTGAGTAAATTCGCCATCCCAAAGCCTTGGGGATATTCCCACCTCTCTTGATTCCCGTCCAATATACTCCCGAGCTAAAGTTTCTCCAATGTCTATAACCTTTGCTTAGACAGTAATGGAATGGGGCGATATGTATCCCAGCATATGTGGAAAGGGAAGTAAGGGAAGGAAAGATTCAATCACGAAGGAAATGAGCGACGAGTGTAAAGGACTTGTCACCGACAGGAATTCGTTACTCTAAATCTACTTCCTATGAGGTAGCAGAGCAATCAAAATACAGCAAAATGAGAAGCGAGGTCCTTGTAGTACGTCCAAGAGTATAGCCTCCCATTGCATACTGCCTCATGTCCTGACACTGAAGAAGCCCAGCTTCTCCATTCCACCGAAATCCCGAACAAAGTAACAACAAGATCAAAACCAAAAGACCCAATACACCCGTACCGCCAACAGTAACCCCAAAATGAATGGACTCGCTCGCTCTGTCGATGTACCGCGCGTGCGGCCCAGAATATCCAAGTGCAAGGTACCACATATCCCTACTCCGCAGACGACGGTCAGTCCTCATCAAATGCTTCCACCGCTTTGTTCAGAAGCTCCATCTTCTTCTTCCACTTCTCGTACTCTGTCTTCGCTTCCTCAAACTTCTTTCGCGTCTCTTCCTCCTCACGAATCGGAACCTGGACAGCAAGAAGCTGTCTCCGCTTATCGAAGCCAAATCTCTGGAAAGCTTCCGCCTGAGTACGGAGACTGTCCCATGTCCAGTCTTCACCAGCTTTTGGATTGAGTGTCAAAATCTCTTCCAGTCCAGTCCGTGCCTTTGTTTCGAAGCCCGCCAGGGACATGTTTGCCTCGACAGCTTTTCCTTTTGCAGTTTCGAAGGTAGATTTGGCGCCAGCATGGGCTCTCTCAACTGCGCTGAACTTTTCCTCGAATCTGGGGAGACTTGCTGACAGACGTTGAACGGGTGTGCTTTCGCGGGGAGTTTCGTTAGCGGAAGAGGGAGATGAATGGACAGGTTCGGGACGACGGTGATTCTGCCAATTATCGCCATCATTGCTGTTGGATGCTGCTGTTTCTTCCGTTGTTTTCTGCTTTCTTGTCAGCGCCATTGCTATCTGGAGGACGCAAGCACTGAGAACATCTGCTGTACTGAGCCTCACCTCTTTGCCTACAGCTTTCCTCTCTGGAACGTCACTTTCGTCACCCGACACTTCCCAAATATCTCCCGTGAACTTTCTGGCAGGAGGTTCGGATTTTGAAGGTTGGAGAGGCTGGACTTTTGTTGTGTCACTGTCGTGTGGTCTCTTAAGGTTAGATGAGGTTGAGGTTTGTTGCAAGGGCTCTTCTGTCGTCTCGTATGGCCCGTCCTGAGAAATGTTCTCTTGGGATGGCCCTTTTAACTTTTGGACGAGATGTACATGCGTTGATTGTAAGTGCTTTTCAAATGCCACTTCCCGGGTCAAACGAAATGAAGCCAAGCGATCAGAAGAATTCTTGACCTTTCCGTCAATTGTGAGAGCGGGCTTTTTTCCAGCTAAATTTGTCATGGGTGGCTTGGTTGGCACGGAGCCCTCGCATTTTTCTTGTTCCTTTTGATATATTGGCTCCTTGGGAAGGTCGACAAAAGAATGTTGCAACTCCTTAGATGGCTGGTTGGGTCTCGGTGCAGGTTTGCGTAGATTTCCTAACCCGTTCGTGACTTGACCTACGACGTTGTTCGTTTCCTCCGTTTTTGCCTTTTTTGCCGGTGGACCTCCTGCTTCTCTATCAACCTGAGATGTACGCGCAAGTCCAGACCCAGGGAAGGGACTTACCAGCAGAATTTGCTTTGTGATTCCTATTCTTGAACCCCTCCACAGCTTCGTGGACGCTGAAGACCACCTGGCTCATATTATTATGTGTCCAAGCTTTGAATCCTCGCTTGGCTTTCAGCATATTCAGGAATGCTCGAAAGACCTCTGCAGCGGATCCGTTCGACTCATACACCATCTTGACATCTTTATGCTCAAGCAAGTGGCCGAGGGCTCCTTCCAAAGCTAAAAAAACCCAGAACTCCAACGCTGCCACCAGCTGCCTGAGCGTATCACAGTCCAGAACTTGGTTCTGCACGAAGTACTTGGACGTGTTGCCCATCATGCGATAGATTTGCATCTCTGCGCGAGCGTGAAGTCCATTCGACTCCGTCGATAGGTAGTTCGATAGGACTTGACGCTTGTCGTAATCTTGGTCTGAGTTGCGGAGCGATGCCTCGTAATGGACCGCATTCGCAATCTGTCGGGACTTCTCGAGCTTTCCCAGCAACTCTTTGAGGTGCTCTCTTTCCTTTCTGAACTCGAGCTTCTCGTGGTGGTTCATCTTGTGGTGGTGGTTGTCGCGTTGAGAGGGGAAGATCCTTCGAAACGCGTGGAACACTTTTGAATATTGGACGAGACGAGCTCGCATTCGATGTCGTGTTTGCATTTGGATTCACCTTTGTCGTGTAATTTATTTGGGTGGAGGACGCGAGGGTTCTTTGCTTGCTTGGGGTTGAGGAGTATTCACTTTCAACATACAAGGCATCGATTCCTAGAGAAGTCTCGTGTTAAAACTGGAAGGAAGAACCATTCTGCAAGGAAATTCACAGATCAAGCAATGAGATGACATTTCCTCACATATCTTGGAGCCTAGCAAAAGTATTCATTTCAATAATTTTACATTTTATCTACACAGCGTTGGAATTGAAATCAGAATCAGAACAAAAACAGTGTTGGTGCAAATGGATGCCTTTAACACCATCCCAAACCGCCTACAGAGCCACCTCCCTCTCCCCATGGTAGTGAAATATGATCAAGAAGGGACGTTCTCCGTTTCTTTGGTGGGCGCGCGGCATATATTCCATGACTCGGCACCTTCCTCAGACGCATTGCTAGTTGAATCCTCGCTGTTGACCATCGGATCTCCTTTGTCGTGTGGTGGTTTAGTGGCATAAGGCGAAACGTAATCCCTCTTCGATGAATTGCTTGTTAGGTCCTCCACATTGCTGCTAATATTCGGACCCTGAGACAGCACGTTTGCCTTGACGCCGCGGCTGCGGTGATGGAACATCGAACGATACTCTGGTTGGATAGCTGGGTGGAGTTGTTGAGTGTCCTTCTTCTCCCACGTAAATGAGGCAACATTGTTGATCGTTCGCTGCTGTGCTTGTTTTTGCGGGGTGGGAGTAACGTCTCTCTCCGTCGTATTGCTTGATTTACCTACCTCGAACAAGCTAGTGTGAGTGGGTATTTCGGAAGAATGCGACTGACGGCGAAGCTGCTCAGCTAACTCGTCCATCTCCTGCTGATACTCATGCACTAGATCCAGGCCGTAGAACAGGTCACAGCCAAGCATTTCTCTACCTCAATTCGAGCTTCTTGAAAGCAGCTGCCTGAGCTATAGCAGATACCGACGTCCAACTTTCTTGAGCTCCGCGAAGTCCTTCCAATAGCCTATCGAATTCCCCTATCACTATTTTGTCCATGTCACCTCATCGATTTTGCGTCTCTGTTGCGAATTCGCTGAAATTTTTGAGTTTGAGCCTTTGAGGCGAGCTAGGTCTTCATAAAATTCTTCGTCCTCTGATACTGGTGCGCTATCATCCTTTACTCTCTTCTGGGGCGTCATTTCTGGCACTAAGTCAGATTCTTCTATATGGTACATAAAACGAGAAAACAAACCCGCGGCCTCTGCAGCGCGTTCTCGTCGCCATCTGAGAGCATCATGACGCATTGTAAATTAAAAGTGGCGCGTTTCGTTCAACACTTTGGTGGACCGTACCTTAGTCCAAACTTCGATGCCATTGTGATCTTTGTAAATCTTACAAGCACAAGTATCTGCGAAGAATCTCTGCTCGAGAGGGAGGCGGCGATTACTTCCACTACTTGTGATTACTTACATGATACCAAAATATCTTTACTTCCACTCTTAAATCAAATAGACCGCTGTTGCTTATTAGTGGCTTCCACCTGGAAATGAAAGCCGCGAGCCTTCCCCGTACTCGGAGTGGCAATCTAAAGACCAAAGCATCAACAGTACCTTCCACTCTTGGTAGAAGCTATGTCACTTCAATCTGGCATCGCAAGTCCTCGGAATCGTCATTTTTTATTGTGATGCCTTCGTACTAACAAAAGTGCAGCGCCCATCCAATTTGCAATTGCCTGGATGAAGACGAGTAATCCAGGGCTTCTACGAACGAGTAGACCCCAGGAGGCAATGTATTGTGAACAGTTTTGTTTTGTTTGATGGGCTCATTGATGAGATGACACAGGATGTCTAGCAATAAGGGGTGGTTCTCCTGAAATCCTTCACAGAGACGCCGAAGCGAACGCTCATTGGCCAATAACCGAAGGAAGGGAACCCCCTTTCGCTGCAATATCCGTAAGCAACTGTTCTTCTGAAATCCTTCACCGCCGAGATCTGCAGTGTGAACCCTCACTTGCCTGCAGCGGAAGAAGCCCTTTCGGACGACACATGATATTGTTGACTTCAAAGCGGCTTAGATGAGATCTTTATTCTAGCAGTTGAACACAACTTTTTTCTTCTTCGTCCCAAGGTCGGTTAGTAGGTTCGCCGCTTCTACTCAGGCACTAATCACCCTCGGCTCACCCTCTCCACACCCAGCTCACCTGTGCAGCCTGAGCAGCCTGGGAAACCTGAGCGGTCCCTGAGCAGTCCCTGAGCAGCCCCTGAGCAGTACCCACTTCACGCATTTGATCTCCAATTAGGCTGGATATGGACAGTAGACTAGAGCCTTTTCATTTTAATTATGTCAAGTTTCGGCGATGATCCCTCTTTTGTTCCGCCATAGCAGGGCAGTTGCGGGTATATTTGAGCGCGAGTTCTTGTAGCATCGAAGTTAAAAGTGGTTAGCAAATTGAAGTCATATATGATGACGTTGAAGTGTGAGGCTTAATAACCTAGTCACATAGTGTAACCCAACCCTCATTGCATCTGAGCTGGATTGGAAGTTGTGCAAGGTTGAGAAGGAAAATGTTATCGTGGAATATTATGAAATAAGGTTGGCGTTAAAGTTGAAACGAAATTTAAGCACCACAGGGGAGGCGCGGCACTTCGCGTTTGCATGCTGGGGTCTCTACCAAATCACGTTCAATGAAAGTTATTTCGCTTCTAAATTTAGAAATCAGGCTTCGCTCCCCAACCTGCAAAGCCCATCTTCAGGCAGCCGCTACACATAGCTCTACATTCGTGGCACCCAGGAGAGAATCGACAATTAGAGCTTGGAAAAGTCCTCGGTATCAAAGTTGGCTGTCGTCTTGATCAGGTGGAGGAGATCAAGAAGATCTACCTGGAAAAGGCCCCAGTATTATCCCGCGTTGTAGGGATGGCGGCGGCAGAGATGATGGATAAATTGAACCTGGAAATCCAGGAAGATGGGTCGATTAGTTTGACTGAGTGGGCGAGTCCAGAGAAAAAGGTGGACAAACCAGGGGAAGACAACTCCAAAGCGATGTTCCCAAGCGCGGGAGGCTGTGGTGAGTGAGGAGGCGGCCCCGAGGGCGCAGTTGGAAGAGTGGTCGGGGGAGTTGACGGGGCTGAGGGATGAATGAGGGAAGGCTGGAATCATGGTTGTGGGAATACAGCTCTGCAACCCCCTACTCGAGCACTATTTCACCACAGACCCTTAGATCCGAGAGCGGATTCCAGTTAAGTCTATCCGCTTTCCTTAGTCAGCTGCCATAGCAACAGGGAACCGCGTTCTTGGACACGACCCAAGCCATGGCAGGAAAGTGATGTTTGACCAGGGTGAGCTTGGCCTTCTCCTCGACGGAGTTTGGGCACGCTTGCAGATAAACGGCGCTGCACAATCACTCTAGTCACAAACGCGAAGTCACTCAGAATTTTTATGTTATTAGACCTATCATATTTCCTGTACTACTCAGCCTCCAAATCCCATCTCTCAATCGCTTCTATTCTTGCAAATCGCCAGGCGTGGGTTCGGTGCCGATTTCTTGGAGCACCGTCAAATCAACAGCCTTCCCTTCAGCCATTCTAAGGACCTCAGTCAGCTGCGTCGCTGCTACAGGCCACTTAGTAACTCCATCCTGAGGTGCAACCTCGCCCTTCAAGATCTGTTCGCTGGTGATCTTTGAGCCGTAGAAATTGGCGTTGGTTTCTGGTCTCTCTTTGATGACGGTACCGTCCACTGTCAAACCACCAAAAAGACCTCGCGATTTTGTGTAGACCCAGACTGGCTTGTCATTCCTCGTGTTGGTGGTGACTCCTATGGGTCCTGCTGCAAGAGCAACTGCGCCGCCAAGGCTCACTTCTGTCTTTGCGTAGGCTTCCACAGCGGCTTGCGTATTAAGCACGCACACGCAGTCATACACATCCACACCATACACAATACCAAAGCTGCCGGATCGGACCGAGAAGGCTGATGGTGGCGACCAGCTCCCATCAGGAAGACGCGCGACAACGACACCTGAGCCTCCCGCGCCTGCCAGGTACATCCCAGCGCGGAAGCCAGTGAAGATAGCCACACCTTTTGCGTCCGCGATGGCTTGCTTGGGTATCTTGCCTTTGTCTAGAGTTAAGTGAGCCTCTCGGATTATTTGGAGGAGGGAGTTTGCTGATAAATGGAACAGTGCATACCAACAAAGCTTTTCAGAATTTGAGCTGCCTTGTCGCACTCTTTGCGAAGGCCGGATGCTTTGAAAAATCCCATTTTGATGAATTGGTTTTCGAAAAGGGACTGAGAATAATGGCGATAGGGTGCTTAACAATGGATTAACGAGGTAAGTGGCTGAGATTCGGGTTGTTTATTGCCCAGGTCCTGATCAAAATAAAAAAGGAATAAGAGTCGACAAATGTGTAGATACTTGTACTTTCTGAGCATTCTCTATAGATAGGCAGTACTGGTGCTTGTGGCTCGTCATCACCCCAAAGCATGACAATGTGGACGATCCGTATTCAGCCACTTTGGAGTAGGCAGTGATGTTGGTCCACAAAAGTCCAATTGTAAGCAACGCCTTGTTCACTTCCGCCAAAGTTGTGGCTGCTTGCGCGTCGCACTATCTAGTCCTTTAAGAATTTGTCGCAATTTTGGAGCGGTTGGTGGTTTATCAAATACGTCCCTGGTCAGTTTGGACGATACGCCCCTTGTCAGTGCAGGAAACCAAAGACCTGGTCAAATGCGTCCCCAGTCACAAACCGTCCCTAGTCTGTACGGAAACTACGAAGGCGGGCGCTAAAGCGCGAGGAACACAAAAATCACTAAGTTTGGAAAATTATACCAAATCTCGACGCAACGTCCAAAACTCTTTAAAAAAGTTTTGTAAGATAGAAAAGAAGCAGATCTAACTTTTGCGGGAGTTTCTCAACGATTAAATATAATACGGAATTACGAGAATTTCTATATTGCAAGGGTGAAGATTGCGCCCCCTGCTCGCTTAGCGAATTGGACTAATTTGATACTGCCTGCCTTCGGAGCCACCGATTAGCATAGCAACTACCACTAAAGTCATACTCAACTTTTTTTTTTCGCTGATTCTGTTTTAGTATTTGGGCATGAGCAGCTGCCGCCTTAATATGAGCCCGCAAACAAGACTCTTCACAAACGCCTTGCTCACAACATCCGCCCCCGCCGCATTCGTATGCGTATGGTCGTTCGGATACATCGCATCCACAGCCTCCTTCCCCAACGCCTTAAACGCATTCGCAACGTACTGCCCATGATCCACAAGAGTAACATTCACACTCCCCACATTTTTCACTGCCAGCGCAGCACCGCTAACAAATCTTCCCGGTACATAACTAAAGTTCCCTCCCTCCCAAGGATTATTCGGAGTCTGGCTAGAAATAACCACATAAGCACCCAGCTTCACAAACATCTCCGCCGCTTCGGACATATAAGCATCGAAGGTTTTGACCACCGTCCCGTTCGTAAGAGTGCACGTCACGGTCCCGGTGCCGGGGCAATCGGAACGCCCGTTGTCATTCGACTTTGGAGAACCGCCGTCGTTGTGCCCGAATTCGATGACGACAAAGTCGCCGGGTTGGACGAGTTTGGATATCTCAGCGAAGCGGTTTTCAACTGTGAAAGAACGGGCTGAGCGGCCTCCGATGGCTTTGTTCACTAAGGAAAGAGAGAGCGAGTATGGCAGCCAATCTCCCCAGCCTGTTTTGGACCTGAACAAATGATTCAACTAGTTTTGTGGCATTGGAACTGACCTTGAATGGCAGAGCTAGCTGCGTAGTGGCTCATGGTCGAATCGCCGGCGAGATAGACTTTGGGTGTTGATCGTTGGACAAGTGAGGTGTGGATGGGAAGTATTGGGGTGACTCCAACCACTGCCACTATTGCTGCCAGCCATATGCTCGAGAGAGACTTCATGGTGATTTCTTTGACTGACAAGAGTAGTAATTGATAATGATGTGTGTATTGGTAGTCAAAACTTAGGTAAAATCTTATTTGCTACCCATTGGAGGCTGTCGTAGTATGGAGATGCGTAAAATTATATAATATCGTCGAAAGTCATTCTTCCAAAGACCTCGATGATATATGCACGACAGCTTCCGAGACTTTTCTTTCTTTCTTTGTTTTTTAAAGTGTTACCTTGCTAGCCGGCCCTGGGGGCTAAATAGATATTCAGGTCGTATCGATTTGTTTTCCCGGGAGATAGGGTACTATAAGGCAATATAAATCAAACCGCTAAATTTAGACGGGACTTCCAGTTCGAAATTACGGGGAAGCTGTGAAATATCTCCCTAATAAATTTTCAACCAAGCCAGATCCCGCTCGCGTATTCTCGCAGTTTCGGTCGACCACCTAGTCAGATGATTTGCGTCACGTGGTCTGGCGCCTATCTTTAGTAGCCGTTTGACCTTCACAATCTCAGACGACAAGTGAGCCTACCAATGTGCTTTTCCGTCTTGGAACCTGAGCAGTCGCTGTTCTAGCCTGAGCTAAGCCCCGAGTCCTGAGTACGCTAATGAATCAGCTTGCTCCGCAAGGTCCCCTAGCTTCCTCGGAGAAAACGCGGTAAGTAAAGGGTTTGTGGTTAATTTTGAAGCCAAAAGATTGACTAGAATGCTAAATACGGAAGAGCCGTTTTATGTCTATAGAAGACGCCAGTAGGTGTGAAATCCAGATCACGTGCTAATCGCTACGCACGACGAGGCGATCAGGAATTCATTCTTAAGTCAATACAATGTACGAAAAAATCAAGAAGTAAAAATACAAAATCTAATACAGACGCCGAGCGCTCACGGCTTGTCGCAGACAACCACAGGTGAATTCCGAACACGACCCTCCGCGTAGCCAGCTAAGTCCCAGGCGAATCCGTGGGTTCGTCATCACCACATTCGTTAATACCGAGCATTGAGTTGAGATCCTTAGGATCAACGGCTGTATACTGATGCCCAGGACAAGCAAGGTTACAATCCTTAGCGCCCTTCTTGAATACCTCGTTAGCTGCCTCGAACAATTCGGTTGCATCAACTCCTTCAGCAACCTCGCCCAAATAGGGGACAACAAATGCGAGGATCGCGGCGGCACCCTGAAAGGCTTCGTTCCAGACGACACACACGACGTCACCTAAGGCAATGAGGATTTCGGAGGCGATTTCGGCAGCCTCGATGCTGCAGGTGCAAAATGCCTGGTTGACGCAAGTTGAGGCAAAGCCGACGGTGAGAGCTTGCGTGTTGTTGGAAAGCGATTGAGCACACCCAGCCGTGCAATCAGCTGCGGTTTGACAGCTATCGAGAGATTAGTACTTAATATGAAGGACCGAGATAAAGACTTACGATGGTCTCGCTTCATTTGAAAGTCTATCACACTCTTCTGGATCATTACACGTCGTTGCGGATGCGCCCGGAAGTTGTATTGTTGTTGCTGAAGCTGTAACTAAAGTACCTGTGCCTGTAGTGGTGGGTGATGGTGTGGGTGTGGGTGCTGGGCACGGGACCTGGCCGAGATTGGGACCGCAATCAGGTTCAGTGGGACAAAGAGTCTGACCGGGATTGGTACCGCAATCAGGTCCAGGTCCAGGAGGACAAGGAACCTGGCCGAGATTGGGACCGCAATCAGGTTCAGTAGGACAAGGAGTCTGACCTGGATTGCCACAATCGGGGTCACCAGTGGTTGTTGGCGTTGCCGGATTCCCGGTTGTAGTACTGGGAAGGGCGCAGCTGCCACCGTCGCTCTGGCGTCTAACTCTAACTCTCATCGCGGGTTGAGCGGCGAATTCCTGGTGCAGTACTTGGATCGTTGCGTCTACGTTGCTCATAAAAGTCGGAAATCCCGACGTCTGAACAGGTTTTAAGTCTCGGAACTCAAACAAAGGTACAGCGCGCTGTGAACTGAACATCTTTTCAGTCGCTTGATTCAAGCCACCGATGGATGAATCATAGTTCTTATCGAAAGCTGAAAATAAATCTAGGGCGGAGTTGCCGGTGGCGATGTCTTGAATCCAGTCCTTGATGTTGACGGTTTGCGGGTTGGCGGGATTAGGGGTACCCTGGCCGCTATATGTGTACTGCAAACCTGCGAATTTCGTACCAGGCACTGGGTTGCTCAAGGAACCTGTGCAGTAGTCGCTATCAATCCTACACATCGTTAGTTGGCAAACAAATAGACTCGGGTAACTTACGAGAGTTGTAGATTCGAATCCGTCTTGTAGCATGCGAGTATGTTAAATATATCGAATACTTGTAGATCGAATAGAGTGATCTCGAATTTTGAGCGGACTTGCGCATAAATCGTGTTGAATTCTGTTCGTGGCATGAATGGTATCTTATGCTTTGGGCTCACATCCGGATCTTGCTCGAGGTTTGCAGCTTTCGCGTAGGATAAGACCAAGGTGCAGAAGCCAAGTATGTCGTCAGTGATCGTGCTGGGATTAATGTTGAGCGAGGGAGACACAAAGTAGTCCTTGGTCACAAGTTGGATATTTTGGCCAGTTGTGATTGAAGTGGCGCCGTTCAGGATGTTTCGGTTGGGATCGGTGTCTGGGTTGGTGTTTGTTTTTTGTACATTTTCTTTCATAAGAGAGTAAAGCGCTTCGAGAGGCATAGGTGCAGTTATCTGTGGTGCCCAGAACATACCAACTTTGTCTGTGGTTGGAGTCAAGCCGACGATGGTCCAAGGATTACACTGCGGGAAGTTCTCGATAGTAATTTGGTTTGGAGGGGTCTCAGCCCACGGTGTCCAATTCATCTGATAATGTTAGTCAGTCTTGGATTCTGTAGCGAGGCACTTACGAAGTCGTCTCTAATTGCTGTACCAGCGGCCGCAGCGCTTCCATCTCCAACGTTGATATTCCTGCCGTCCAGAACATACTCAGGGTTAAGTTTCCCTCCCCCAAGTTCTAATGCCCCGGTGTCTACTGATAGCAGATAGTTTAGTCCTGATCGACCCTGTACTGTCTGACGTTTTGCGGCAAAGGTATCTTCAAGGCTGCAAGCGGAGTTTTGGAAGCTGAAAAAGAAGGTCTCAAACTCGGCTCCAATGCCTGCGTTTCCAGTGACACTGGGTCCATCATTGAACACATCCATTTCGAGGTCCTCGAACTCATCTTGGCAATCAGTAGGGGCCCGCGGAAGCACCGCCGCATTTATAGTGAGAAAAAGAAATAGAAAGAAAAAATGCATGATGAGCTTAAATGGTAGAAAATAAGAGAAAAGTAGATAGGAGAGCTGTCTGTTGTAGTCTCAAATATGACCAAGACACACGCCAGGCTTATATATGCAGTACTGTACATCAAAGGAAGCGTAACTAACATCTTCTATTCTATGAAGTTGGATTCAAGTCCCGACATTCCAAAATTAAACCATCTGGCTTCGTCATAGTCAGAAGACGTTGCCTACTTCCATGGGATACTTGGCCTCTCTACTCCGGCCTCTTCCACGAATAGTACGGCACAGCTGCCAGCATCTCACTCCGCCACCGGCAAAGGTGAGATCCGTAGAGGAGGCCACAACAGGGAGGGCAAATATAGAGGTATTGAACGTTCTCATATAGAACAAGCAAACAAGTCGATTTAAAATAATCGTCTTTGATCAACGAGAGGCCATTATTCGAAGGGGCTCACCTGAGATTCCCTTTTACAAATCCAGGCCAATACAATGCGCCGTGACATAAGATTTCTACCATAGTGAAGAGATACCGCAAAATGCAGGCAGTTGGTCCATTAGAATCAAGCTTTGGTATGGCCACCAACTGGACCCCAATTGTTGGTTCTTTGTTATTGGGTTTCAGGATGCAAAGCACTATTTAGGTACATTATTTAATGTTAGATACTGCGTTACTCATACGGAGGATGTAGCACAGCATCAATGGGAGGCGCAGCCGCGCACTTATAGAACTCGGATTACCAGTCTTCGCATTAGTTCTCGAAAGTTATTTATAGCCGAGGGGTAGGGGTAGGGGTAGGGGCGAGGGGTGTGGTCGAAGCTGAAACACGACTTTAATAGGAGCCGGAGCCGCGCGCTTAAAGAACTTGGATTACCTGTCGTCGTTATTGGTTCTCGAAAGTTATTCATAGCCGAGGGGTAGGGGTGGGGTTGGGCGCGGGGCGGGGGATGTAATACGGCCTTAACAGGAGCCGGAGCCGCGCGAATATATATAGAACTCACATTATTTGTCTTGGTGCTTAGTTCTCGAACATCATTAAAATTTCTGGTTAACAATTCTTCGTCTCGCTTATAGCTTGCATGCTACCCTTAACAACAGCAGTTTCAAAGACAAGAACATCACCCTTCACCACCACCATGATGTTCATGCAGCTACCGATCGAAATTGTCGACAAAATCATCCAACACACTCTGCCGGAGGGGTTTGAGAGCGTGGCATTGACCTGCAAAAGAATATATGGGCAATGCGTAACCTTTATCGCCCACCATAATGAGCTACGCTCGCGCTTCCAAACGTTTGAGTACTACCTGAAGCCGTACCGATTGAAATTGAATCTCATGTCCTCCTCCGATTTGCTCCTACGCATTGCCGACGAACCTGTTGTGGCGCGTTACATTCGTAGCGCAACCTTCGCAATTGACAGCTATTTCCTAACTCGTCAACTACCCAAGTCAGTGCCGAGTATTCACGATGGCGGAGCTATTGTCGATTTATTTGCCAACTCCGTTTATCTCAAGGAAGCCGATCTCGATTGGAAGGAATACTATACTACGTTGGAGTCGGACGTCAGAGAGGGCCGCTACTCCCAGCACGGGGCTGCCTTTCTATTGACACTGCTGCCGAACATCGAGAAACTTATCATCCCACGGTCCTGGAAGCCGAATGATGCAACAGACAAGCTTCTTGACGCCGTCATTGACAAAGCCAGAAAGTCTACATCTAGCCTCGCCTCAGTCACGAGATTCGAGGGGTCGATCTCGCTCGACAGATCAGAGCGGTGTGAGCTGAGATGGGCGAGTCCGTTTCTAGCTCTGCCGCACGTACGGTCTTTTAATGGCCGCAGCTGCGTAGGATCGGAGGACATACCAAGGAGCCTTGCATTCAGAGATTCGCATCGTATCGCCGAGACACTGCAGGTGGCTCATCTAATTCACTGTTGCCTCGACGACTTGAACATTGCCGACTTTCTCAGGCACGCCCCATCTCTGAAGACACTCAGATATATGCACTGCACGAAAAATGGCTCCCGCATTCAGGATTGGGATATCTGCAAATTTGTCAATGCCATTGAGCGCGAGGCCGGGAGCCATCTCGTTCAACTTTCAGTCATAATCCGCGAATTACAAGGTTCCATCATCCCAGGGAAGGCATCAATACGTGGGTTCCAACAGCTGCAAACGCTCGAGATTCCTCTAGAACTTGTCATGTGTAACATAGCTGCCGCTGCGTGGTATACCTTCAAATCATCAGACCCTTTTCTCGACTTAATACCCAGTTCAGTCACCCAGTTTTCATTGGTTTCAAAGGGAACAGATCATCATGAAGAAGCCCTTGACGCCTTGTTTCATCACTTTCAATCCAATTACGATTCTCAGCAGTCTGCTCTTCAGGAAATGCAGATTTCGTGCCTTATGAATGCGGACGAGGTTTACAAGGACAAATGCGCCAGGGTCTTAAGGGAGGCTAGGGATAAAGGCGTGGACGCAGTTGACCAACGGTTCACGAATGGCCAAACATTCCTGTGGGATGGGGAACCCTGAGCTGCAAATTTAGGTTGATAGTTGCAAAGTCTCATCTTTCACAAGAATGAAAGTGTCAAGCCCAGAAATAGTAATACAAAGTTGAAGTTGCACGAAAATTGTAACGGCACGGGCGATCAAAGCTACGGCAGAGGCATATGGGAGGGCGTACGTAGGCTAACAAGAAGCGATTCCATAGGCCTGGTACTAAGGAAACAGAGAAGATACAGAAGAGAGTGCGTAGCTAGCCAAAAGAGAGGTAATAAGCTGGCGCTGTAGCCCCTGAAACTAGGCCGAATCGGTCCAGGACCCCCCCCCCCTGCTACCCACGTGACATCAAAATATCGTCCGTCACAAAAATCAAGAGTGTGGGCCTCCACATTTCCACATTCACAATCAGTTGGGAGGGATACGCTTCATGCTTATTCGTCCTTGGTGACATCCATCTTTGTCAGAGCCCGAGATACCAGAGATATTTGTAATATGGTTTCAAAAGTGGTCATATAGAAATAGACGAACAAGATAAGGAGAGGGAATTGCATTAAAGTTATCGTGTGCTATTAATATCGACATGGTCCAATTCCCTTGGTCGCATCCCAAGTGAGCTACGTACATATTGCCCAGCATGATACACTCTCCCGTACATGAAGGTTTCCCCAGTAATTTTCCATTTTCCTCTTCCTAAACTCATATCCTTTTCAAACTCCCACCCGCTCCACCTGCGATTGTCTACAAGAGAGCAACAACAAGACCAATCACCATCAAGAGAGGTCCTATTTTAGTGCAGAAGGGACTGAAATTGGGCGGGTTCATTTTTTAAGGCACCCGTTTTACTCCATATCACTAGTTGTAAGAGACCTAATTTAGATCTTTAAATTCTTAATACTTTTATAATAATTTTTTTTTTAGTTTACATACTTATAAAGAGTAAGGCTATAAGTGGTATATGACACCAGTCACGTGGTGATTTTACACGTGACTTAGCGCGCACTGCCCAACTCAAATTTCTCAACAGCCTTCTGCTCAATCAAGCTTCCCAACCACTGCTGCAAGTCTACACTATTTCGTGACAATAAGACTTATGAGAGTCTCTTGTCAGCTCTAGCGCAGAACTTGGTCCTAGTTTCGTGAACCCACTTTAGAACAGGTCCCGAAAGATACCTATCTACTCTCTTTTCTAAAAGCACCCCCTGGTTTCGCATTTCAATCTAGAGGACAGGTAGCTATAAATTGCTAGACCTGTTTGCTGCAGCACCCAGTTTATCGAAAAGCCAATACTTCCACAAGTTTAAGACTGAGAGATTGTCGTGGGCTAGAAGACGGCTACAATAGCCGCTAGCAGTGTGGAGTCAGATGGACTTTGATGAAAGACGCAACCACTGGGGTCTGTCGCTTTTGGAAGAAATCCATCTTTCGAAATGGGAGTGAGTTACACAATGTGCAAGCCTGGGGTAGTGCTGTTACTGATCAGTTACGCCAGCGTAGTAGCTGTTCACGGCCTTGGTGGACATAGAATCTACTCGTGGACAGATGGGCCTAACGATTCCTGGTTGACAGAATTCGCAAACACTCACCACCAACCGGCGGCAGTGTATACTTATGGATATCCGTCAGGAGCGTCCCATACCACAGTTGCTCAGGATCTCATCCGCGAACTTGATATTGTGAGGTCGGTTCGTTCTTCTTTCAAGCGGCCTGTCATATTTTTTGCCCATGGACTTGGAGGCTTGATTGTCAAGGAGGTTTGATGCCCTATTTACTTATCATCTCAATCTAAGAGGTTTCAGGCTCTTATCCTGCTCGCAACATATCGCGAAGAATCACACAGCAATTCTCGCCAACACAAGGGCTGTGTTCTTCTTTGGCGTACAACATCGTGGTATGCCTGTAGCCACTCTTGAGTGGGCGCGTTTTATGTTACGTTTGGTCGGCGTTTTCGGTGGGACCTCCCTTTCTAAAGGGCGTGATGCTGCGATATACCCATCTAGGAACGAGCTTACGAGGATGGTCGAAGCCTTCCCCAGGATTAGCAGTGGGTTCGAAATATTCACGCTGATACACACTCTCAAGTCTGGAGTATTTGACTTGGTAGTTGGAGACCTACCGGACAACTTGCTCGGTCCGCCGAACGAACGTGTGATCTATATTAATGCCACTTATGCTAATACGTGCAAACATTCCCGTGGCCATAAGGATTCTGATGTGGGGAAAATAATTGAGGCAGCCCGCAGAACAATTTCGGACCTCGACCAGGATTCCCAAACTCCGCATTGGTCGTCTGATCAGCTCCGGAGGTTTGATCAAGAGGAAAGGTGAGTGAGCTTTCATGAGTATGGAGTCCTAGCTAATTCAACTAGTGTGCCCGGGCAACAATGGTTTAGAGATCTTGAACTTGGCACTCAGCGAGTCATTCAAGACCGGCGTAAGAAAAACTTCAGGAGAAGTCGTATTGCAATTATCGACAGTGGCATCGACAAGCGCCATTCAGCCTTTAGTAGCGCTGTTCAGGAAAGCCGCATTGTTTCCATGTCCTTCGTTCATGGTCTACCTGGAGATCAAGATAATTGCGGCCATGGAACACATGCAGCCCACTCGATCCTGAAAACTTGCCCACAATGCACTTTATTCATTGCTCGAGTGTATGACCAGGGGACGGCTGAAGAATTTGAATCCAATGCGAATGCAATAGCTCAAGTAGGTATAAATGCACAAATGCCCAGCACCACGATACTCACAATGCTATCAGGCTATACGATGGGCAATAGAAGAGAACGTTGATATCATCTCAATGTCTTTTGGCTATCAAGTCGAAAATCGTGTGATCAAGAAAGCCATCAGAGACGCTTTCCATCACGGCATTATTTTATTCGCCGCTGCATCAAACTCTGGTGTCAACCCTAGATTTCCAGTTGCCTTCCCTGCAAATCTCAGGCAGGTCATTTGCATTCATTCCACGGACGGCGATGGTTATCCTTCGCCTCGCAATCCTCCTGCGACACCTGATTGCTCTTTGGCAGTACTTGGTGAAGGTGTTGCTGCAGCCTGGCCTTCTCAACTCTTCACAGATGGCAATGACTTACAACGGGTTGCTAGTGGGTCTTCTGTTGCGACTGCTATCGCCGCAGGACTTGCTGCTTTGGTCCTCGAGTATGCAGCGCAGAATGATGCAAAGCTTGCGAAAGTACAAGAATGGGAGAGACTCAGGCATTGCGATGAGATGAGAAAAGTCTTCATGAACATGGCAAGGGAGCAGGACAAGTACCAATCTGTTGCCCCTTCTAGCTTGTTTGACTATCATGGAGAGCGGATGTATGAGAGAATCAGTGGGAGAATCTCAGATGTCTTGGACTCGCTGTGAATTTCTACCATAAGCGAATGTAGTTGATGATATATTTTGGTGTCGGTGAAAAGCCTCTGCGGCTTGTTTTAGGGGAAATGCCTGTACATGCTCCTTATACGGAAAGCCGTAAGGATCAAGTGATCAAGCGATTTTCGAATCCGGTTTTCGACTTTCGATGTCCGACTTGTGGCACGTGCGCACCCTACCAAAAATCGCAAATACCACATATCACGCCCACATACTATACCCTCTCCCTGTGCCTCTATTACTACTTCAAATATCTACTTTCTTTAATTCTTCTCTCTCTCTCTCTCTCTCTCTCTCTCTCTCTCTCTCTCTATATATATATGGATAAGAGAGGGGGTTTATAGGGGGAAAGGGGAGAGGGGGGGGCAAAGCGAGGGAACTTAACCAAAAATTTATGTCACTAAATTTTTAGTACCTATAGCCTGTAACTTAGTGACCGTAGCCCTAAAATTTAGCGATAAGTAGCCTATAATTATAGGGCTTCCTTTTCCTCGCGAGTCGCATGCCTTAAAGCTCGCTTTTCGCTTTTCGCTTTATTTTCGCTTTTCACTTTTCACTTTTCACTCGCCCTTTACCTCTCCCCCCTACCCCCATCCCTATCTACCCCTCACCTCTCACCCCTCTCTCGTATATATATAAATAAGAATTAAAGAAAGAGTAATATTTTAAGTAGTAATAATAAGTAGAGGTACAGGAAGAGAGGGCATAATATGTGGGCGATTTTTAATAGGATGCGCACGTGCCACAAGTGGGACATCAAAAGTCGAAAACCGGATTCGAAAATCGCTTGGTCTTTTGATCCTTACGGCTTTCCGTAACTTCCAAGGCGAGCGGCATTGAAATTCGTCCAATACCCTAAGCGAGGACAAGCGCAATCTTGGCCCTCACAATACAGAATTTCTCACAATTTCCCCTTACATTCAATTATCGTAAAAATTTCGGGAAAGTTAGATCTGCTTTTTTTCTACTACGCAAAGACTTTTAAAGAGTTTCGGGCGTTCCGTTGAGATTTGGTGTGATTTTCCAAACGTAGCGATTCTGGTGTTGCTCGGCTGTTAGTTGCTGGACCACTGGTGGACGGGTTTCAACGCCAGCCAGTTCAGCTGACCAAGATGGGTGGCGGGAATTTTTCCGCACTTGGGAGGCTGTGTAGATAGACGCGTGCGACTCGGTCGAGCTCGGTGTTTTGCTCCTCGAGCTGAATGCAATACATGTAAGGAGCTCGGGCGTTCAAAGATCACATTGCTCGCTCGTTTATGGATCCCCATCTCATGGTCGAAGAAATTCGAAAGAGCTGCCGGTTCAAAGCTGGACAAAATCTTCCTTGTTAGGAACTCGTCTTTCTCCACGTTGTCGTTAGGCCTCCTCACCAAATATGACAGCCTGGAAAAAAACCACCAGCTGCCAAGGCTGACTGGCCCAATGAGGATGCAGCGACTCAGCCTCCAAGCCAACACCGCCAGTTCGAGGGGCGGGCGAGTATTTCAACTGTTGGTTATCTGCATTCGGACTCCAGCAAAAGACAGCAAACCCAGTCCTACATTGAGGTATAAGAGCTGTATCGCGAATGCGATGTCCCAAGCAAAAACCAAAGGTCATCAAGATGGTGACCACTCAACTCCCAAATCAACGCTGCATCAAGAAACCGAGAAGGTCTCATCACAAGTCCAGAAATGGATGCTTCGAATGCAAGCGGCGAAGAGTCAAGGTGCGTAGCTATTGTCAGGAGTATTCTTGCAACTACAAAGCTGAAGTTCTTCGTTAGTGTGATGAATTGAGACCGTCGTGTACTCGATGTACTGTGCTCCTGGACAAATGCATCTACCCGCCAGAACTACAGTCTACTACAAGCGGTCAGAGGGATGAATTGTCCCTACCGAGCTCGCCACGCATCCTTTCTCCATCCCCCAATGCTTTACCATACTCGGAACGATCGCTATCCTTCCAGGCATCAATGTACGCAACTGCACCATGTGTTGATGTAAACCCCTGCTCCACCGTTGCGAAGGGTCCTGATGGCCCAACTGATACCGATCTGTTTAACCACTATCTACAACATACGAGCCGTACCTTGACTCTTTGCCAAAGAGATCGAAGCGCATTGCAGATCGAAATGCCAAAGCTAGCATTGCAGAGCAGAACCGTCTTTCATTCCATTCTTGCGGTCTCCGCAGCCTGCCTATGCCACGACATGATCTCAAAAGAGCCCGCTCCCGACACAAGTGCAGTCAATCAAGTCCTAATGACTGGCTATCAACACTACAATCTCGCGAGCGAACGGGTGAGAGAGTTGATTTCATCACCACGTTCTTTGAAGGCGGAACCGCTTTTGGCGAGTGCTGTGTTCCTGGTGCCGTTCGCCACTGCAAGTCAGCAGATAAACCATTGGATCTCGAGCAGAAGTGAGGCAAAAGAGTCCCGCAAGCTCCTCTCAACCAGTGTGGGCTCCGATAAATTATCGATCGAAATTATCGATTAGTAATCGTTATCGGCTAAGCGATCGATAAACGATTGATATCGATAATTATCGTCGATAAAAGTGGGCCCAGCCATTAAACGAGCCCTATTACGGCTTTCTAGTTCAATTATAAACCGATTAGTATTAAGATTAGTATAAAAGTATACTATTATTACTATACTATTAGACTTTTTAACTTTTTATTTAATAGTCTATTATATAACGTAGACTAGCTAGTATTTAATCCAGTTATCGATAATTCCATCGATAAAAGTGGGCCCAGCCAGCCCTTAAGCGAGCCCCATCACCTCGATAATCATCGATAAAAGTGGGCCCAGCCAGCCATTAAGCGAGCCCATCGATAATTCCATCGATAAAAGTGGGCCCGCCAGCCATTGAGCGAGCCCATCGATAATTCCATCGATAATAGTGGGTCCCAGGGCCTTGGCAATACTACAGGGCCACTACAGGGCCGCTACAGGGCCAATACGCTATATTTACAGGCCTTAGACCGCCTTTACAGTACTAAATCTATTAATAATAGTGGGTCCAGGGCCTTGGTAGTACTACAGGGCTACTACAGGGCTAATGCGCTATATTTATAGGCCTTATACCGCCTTTACTAAATCGGAATTCTGCTATAGTAAAGAAAAGGCGGTATGAGGCCTATAAATATAGCAATTGGCCCTGTATTGGCCCTGTAGTGGCCCTGTAGTATTGCCAAGGCCTTAGTTCGATAATTATCGTAATCGATGGTCGATTATCGATTATCGAAAAATTAGCGCGATTATCTAATCGTCGCTTATCGAGCTTATCGGAGCCCACACTGCTCTCAACGACTCCAAGGGATGCCATAATCATCATGCGAGCAATACGAACGACGCTTCAAACTCTGCATTGCGGCAGCTCAAGCCCAACCCTCGAACTATCTCGAGAGATGGAGCTGGTAACCGACAGTCCGTCCGCGGAAATCACTATCCCGCCAGCAGCTCTGGCCCCATCACGCACTCATGTCATGGTTCCAATACTCGCTGCCACCGTTCAAAGCGCTTTCGCTAAGCTTCAGCAATGCCTCGACTCTGCTCTGCCCAATCACAGCGATGACCCCGAAGGGTTATTGTCGGCCTGCGGCACCGCTTTCGAAATCTTAAAGTATATCAGTAGCAAGACCTTCTCCGCATCCAACGTAGCCTCCGCCTCATCGCTCAGCAACCAGGTTGGAGAGCCTTTCGAGCCCGTACCAGTGCCACTACCGCAAGTAGCACTCTGGCTTCGCTCGTTTGCAAGAAGAGCCACGGATCCACTGCCGACGGAACCACTGACAAGTCTCCTCCTCAGTTTCCTTGTTCAGGCTCCCCAGGCATACCTCGACCTTGTTCTTCCCCTCCTCGATCAAAGGCTCGAAAGCCCAATTGGCGCTACATCAGACGACATTACCACAAAATTAACCAGAGAGCAAGCTCTTGCGCTAGATATCTATGCCCATTGGTCCGTATTGATGTTCTTGGTGGAGGTGGACTCACGGTGGATTGGCGACCTGCCAGTTGTGACGCTCGCCGGAATGGTGAATAGGTATAGCGACGATTTTGTGACCAAACTATGGCCAAGAACAACTTCTAGGCAGGAGCCGTGGTGGCCGGGAAGTATGCTGACCATTTTCCGAGAAATCAGGCGGCATCGGTAAATTAGGATAGCGACTTTAGTATTATGGTTTATGTAGGAAAATGTAAAACGACCCCCTCCCCCGGGGGGTCGATTGGGGCAGCGGTGTTGACGACTTGTAATTGGCTACCTGAGCTCTTTAAAAATCTTAAGTTAGATTTTTAATAAAAGTATAGGCTAGTGTATTACCGGTATAACCCTTGTATTATAATCACATGCTTCCTAACCTATAATAAAAAGATTACTAAAAATGTCTCCCAGGAAATCTCGGTTATAAGGGAGCCAAAGTAGGATCTATACTTGGAGACAAAATAAGGAGAGCGTAACCGGGCATCAAGGGAGCTGGAACGAGTACCTTTGGGAGCTGAAATGGCCTCTCAGCGCATACTCAGGCTTACTCTGCCGTGCGCTCAGGTTGCTCAGGCCGAGCTCAGAACGTGCTCAGGACATGCACAGGCACACTCAGGAATGCTCACCCTCAGCTCAGGTTAAGGCGGCAGCTGCTCACGTCCAAACACTAAAACAGAACCAGCGAAAAAAATAGTTGAGTCTGACTTGTCTAGTAGTTTAGGGAATTTTGAATTGAACTACATAGTCCAGCTTACAATTTTTTCTGTAAGAAGCCCAGAGTGATCATGATGGCATCAATTGTTCCGAGAATAACCAGTACCTCCCCCACTGCGATGCAAACTGACCACACCGTTTCTGCTGACGTCTCGAAAAAGAATGTTCTTGCCTTTGCAAAAGAGTCAATGCAAATATCTGCTACCCTTACGCTCGGCAAGCCCTCCTAAAGACAATCAATCTTCATCAAGCTCCCGAGCCAAATCCATCCACTGAATCGACTTTTCCATTCTTGGGTTCTCTCCCATCCAAGACGTCAAAATCCGACAGCTGTGTATTTCTGCCAAGATTTCGGAAATCGACCTTCGCTTGCTCTGACGCCTCATCTGCCTCTTGTCGATACCTTCGTTTATCGCTAAGATTTGCTTCGGCTGCCTCCAAGTCTGTTCGAAATTTGACGATCTTTTTAGTTACCCGTTTAAGAGAGCTTTTATTAAAGGCAGATGGCGGGTTGCTTGGAAGGGAGTTTCGGGTCTTGCTAGGTCTGGAGGTAGCTGGAGTTGGGCTAGCCGAAGATGTTGTCTGATGAGCTGACATGTCTTGGGAACGTGCAGTACTCGGAGCCAATGTGTGAATGGGTTGAGGAGAAACTGAGCGATCTGAACCTCTTTGCAGATCTTCTGATTCATCAGAGATCTCGCTCTTCATGTCGCTCTTGACTGGGTCGCCAATGTTCTCGGAGTTGTTATCTTCGGCGAATCCAGTCGAAGTTTGGGAGACTAGGGTATGTTAGCACTACGTCGGCCAGATCACCTCTTAGAGGAGGGCATTGTACCAGATTGATGTGGAACATCGCGGCCTTGACGAACGTGGAGGGCTACTTAGTAAATGGTGTACCGTACATTGTTCATGTGCGCCGCAGTCCACCTATTGATACCAGCCCGATTCTTGTATATACTGACAAACGCCTGGAAGATCACGGCGGGGGAAGCGCCGTTCTCCTTCAGCGCTTTCCCTTGCTTGCAATCTTGATGCTGAAGCAAGAGATGAAGCTTCTCCGCAACCGCCAGAAAGACCCAGAGCTCCAATGCGTATTGAAGCTTATGGAGGGTTCGTTTGTCAAGCTTTTCATTGGGTACCAAGAAATGTGAAGTTTGACCAATCAAGCGGTATATCGTCGTCTCATACCAAAGTCGTTGTTTGTCGCAGGATTTCCTAATTTTCTGCATGAATCTCCCCCAAACAGCGTCCTTGAAGATGTCTTCTGCGCCGTTGCGAAGCATGGAGCGGTAGTGACTTCCGCTGGCTATTTGCTCGGAGGTCGAGAGCGTACCAAGCTCTTGTTCGAGAGCATCTGCTGCAGCGTCGAGGCGATTCTTTTTGTCACTTCGTGCCATTGTCGGAGAAGATTGTTGTAAGGTCTGGACCGGGACCGGCTCCTTCCTGAGGCGACGTTTTTTGACAATTGAGTCATCTGTGGAAGGGGTGTCGTCACCGAAGTCCACAGGTATAGACGCGCTAGAAACAAAGCCAGCTTTTGCTGTGTTCCGCCGCTTCCGCTTGCCAGCAGACGAAGACATGCTGCGCTCGAGGTTGAAGTTAAATGAGAGGAAGGAACAACTTTCGTGGTGGTTGAGATGTAGATTGGGTGTAAGGAACTGGCGATGAATTTGTTCTCGGAGTGCAGAACTGAACAGGTACGCTCATATACATTTAAGGTCACGTGACGAAATGGGTATACTTACACTCGCCTAGGAGTTCATTGTCCCGGCCAGCTTCAGCTGATTGCAAGTCCGACTTTCACGACAGTTCGCCATTTACAATTTAAAATTAAGATTTACTATTAAACATGCTTAAAAGTGGAAGCTGAATCATTGCAAGAGCCTTATGGTAGTTTGAACCTGGGCGTGATTTCGAAGCAGAAGTAAACAAACCCCTTTTGGCCGAGCTTGTCATGCCAAAAATGCAACCACAATTTTTGAGTCACCGCTTATGAAAAATTTAAGGTTCCCCTTTCAAAAGAGCAAAATTGATACAGGGAGATATCAGAATTTGGCTTTTGAGCAGTTTGCTGTTGGAGAACCCCACCTCATGCCCGGCGTTAGCCAGGCTTAATTCTCCGGTCGCAGGTGCTTCTTCCATGTTACCGAGGTACTGGGACAATGGCTTCGAGAATCAAAATGTATTCTTTACCTCAATGTATTACATTTCCCCCACTCCCCCAAATATTCAAAGAAAACGCTAGGTGTTATTCCTCCCAGAATGCGTACCCCTTGTGAACCCGCATCAATATTCGGGAACCCACGCGGCTTGGAAACTCCAGATATAGTTGTTTCTGATACAGAGTCTTTCAGCATTTCTTCTGTAACATAATCTGACCTTGAAAACCTCCCTTTGCATGACCGAAGACGATGTTTGTATTGTCTTGATATCATGTCACAATATGAGAGATCTTTTGATTGTCTCTCCCCAGTCAGCATCTTTCTCACAATTACCGTTATTGTACAGCCTGCAAGATCGAAGTTCGCGGCCACTCATCCACAGTGGGGCAGAGAAGTCCAAGAAACTTTGGTGGTGAAGCAGGGAGATTGACAGAAAATCACGAGTCATGACTCAACCTTGAGAGTTGATTTCAGACAGATGATTGGCAAGCCAGGAAGGGGAGTGTTAAAGAGATCGAAGGTACCGAACCAATCTTTTGATTCAATTTCAAACTTCGGGCACAATCTCGTTTCTTCATATTCCCAACTCTATGACCTGCAGAGATCGAAGTACTGCAAAGTTGCTGCACCAGTCCACGTTGAGAAAACGCCGCATTGCCCGAGGAAAGTCAAAGAATTGCCGACAAGCACTGCCCGATCTCGCCTTAACTGGTTAGTTCCTTCCATTTCAAATTCAGAAGAGAAGCTGAAGTGGATGCTCTCTGAAATTTATGATGCGCAATTGGCCAGAAGTTACGACAAAATTTGACATTTGGATTCGCTTACAGGCTCTCCTCTCGAGTAAACTAGCAGCGAATCACTCCCATCTACCCTGGAATGGGCCAGTCAGACAGTATCAAGTACCTTGTAGCTTGATTGAATAGCTGCCTTCTTCCGGTCAGATATCTCACTATTCAAACCTCTCACTCGGTTCTGGTTTAAATATGTTTCTTGATTGTCTTCGAATCATCTATTCTCGTTTCTCCATACCACTATCTTCTGCAACATGACTTCCTTCCGCAACATTGAAATTTCGGAGTGCGCAACGATACCTCCATGCGCTTAAAGTAAAACCAACCTCTCCTCTCAGGCCGGGAATTACATCTCCAATCCCCAGCGAGCACGTCCTACCCCTCCACCCCTTCCTTCAAACACTAGCCATCCCCAGCCAACGCCAACACTGGGCTCCTACATCCTCACCTCCCTCCTCGCGCACCCGCCCTTCAAGGTTACAATCATAACCCGCTCTTCATCCCCCTCAAACTTCGCACCCCACCGAAACCAAAGCATCATCAAAATTCCCGACACGGTGAGCGTCAAAGGCTAGCACGGAGTATGAGGTTCGGGATCAGGCCATTGAGAGCCTAATTGCAAGGTACACGCGCGCATCTAATGTGGTGTCGTCACCGGGTATCGCCCAAAGCTCCATGAAAATCAACAGTGACACCCAAAACTCCATATCAACAGGATGATTGTCCAAAATATGTTCCTCCATCCACTCGCCCTTGTCCAATGCCCTATCCCACCGTGTTAGCGTGCAGCAACTATTGGAGTTCGGTTGCCCATCGTGCCGGGCGCGAGGTCTTTCGATGCGAGCCGTTGGCCTCGACCCAGTTGGCGGGGAGGCGGATCGGTTCCATATCACGACCCTAGAGCTGGTGTTCTCGTGGAAAACAGCTGTATTCGGGTGTGTGGTGTATTACGTCTAAAGAGAGAAGAAGGAGCGGGGAGCTCGAGACTAAGATACAGGGTGTCGCGAAAAGACGCTAAGAGGTCATGTGGCAATACAACATCCCCCTTCAACTGTAAGAGTTCTCCGAACTCGTATACCTTTACCAAGCACCTCCCTAATTAGCCTCCCAACCAGACTTTTGCTCCTCGATCTCGACATTCTGTCCCCAACCGCCAGTAGTATTCTCAGGTGCTCCTTCATCAGCTGCTCCTTCATCTTGACCTTCAACTTGTCCCTAAGCATTGACTTGTTCTTTACCTCCCTCAACTTTATCTTCCTCAATCTCAACTTCAACTTCACGAGCAACAGGTCTATCCTCGAAGAGTTCTGCAGGAGTGATTCTGACTACTCCAAACTCAGGAATATAGGTATAACCCTTGCGAGAATCTTGCTCAAAGGTAGCATGCTGAGCTTGGTCGTACCATGTAACAGATTACTTTCTAGTGCTCTCCTCTTGCCATTGGATGCCCTTAATGAACTTGTTGTCTAGAAGTTCGACAACTACTTCGTTGCCGAAAGGGGAGGAGACTTGACCTTTATTGCGTGCTGGGACTATGAAAATGGCCTCGACTAAGCTCTTCTTGTTATTGAAATTATCCGTAATACGAGGGGAGTGGTAGAAGGACATGTCAGTGACTTCCAAAAGTTCTACCTTCTTAGGATGGGTCTTGACAGGAGATAAGGTAATTGGCGTGGTATCAGACGAAGTTGGGGTATGGGTGAGTGAACCATCCTTACAAGACAATTGCATAGCGTAGTCAATTATCATTTGCTCCTGGAGCTCATTCATAGGCATACCTGGTAGAGCCTTTGCTGAAACCATGGAGAATTCGACAATCATGTTGGTCTCGTTAATGCTAAAGCCTTGCTTATCGATCTCATCGACTATATTATCATCGACTGTATTATTGACCCCGTAATCTGCTTCCTTCACTTGCTTCGTGGGATATCTTGACAGATTTCCACGTGTCAGTGGCTTCTTCGGGACAGGACAGTTACGGTTGCTGTAATCACCTCCGCAGTGCTTGCAGGGCTGACGCTTAAGGCAATTCTTGGCAATGTGACCCATCTCCTTGCAGATCTTGCACTCCATGAGTGGGTATTCGTCGCCGTCGATCAAGGGACGGGTGATGGCGGGCCAGAGGGAGTGGAGAACTGTCTGATCTAGTCGAAGGTGGTAGTGAACTCCATGCACGCATGGCGGAGATGGGTTAGACCGATATTGTTCTGTACCCTGAGACGCGTTAGCGTGAAGACGTCACGGATGGGGCGACGTACCTGGTGGACACTCCGTTGGGAAGTATCGCCAAGATTCCTGGGCCAAACATGTCAGCGATACCGTAATGAATGCTGGTCGCGCACGAGCGTGCTGGGTGTTGATGAGCTTGGCATCGCTCCCAAGGTTGTCGCTGAGGAACTTCGTGACGCGGGAGATGAGGCGGATACCCTGGCCAGACATGACGCCTGCTGAGTCGAGGAAGTTGATGAGCTCTGGCAATTGGTCCTCGCGGGCTTGGCGAAGCTCACTGTTGAACTTGACGAGCTTGTAGTTATCGACGTACTAGGGCAGGGGTTGGATTAGTCTCTGCTTCGGGCTTGGGAGGGGATAACTCACGAGGTAGAACTTCTTCAGCTCGACCGTCTCGTGCTTGTAGTTCTGGCCGAGAACTACAAGGAAGTCGCGCAGTACAGGAACCCAATCGCCGACATTTATCCGCCAGGTTTTTGCAACGCTGAGCCATGCCTTGATCGATGCCGGTGGGTTGGGGTGCCGTGTATCCCTCGATGAGCTCGTTCAGGTGGACGAAGCCCTTGTGGCCGAACATGCCGTCGTAGAACAGGGCCAGGACGTCGGCGATCTGCGCATCGTTGAAGGTGAGGAGTTCTTCCCTAGGGGCACGTTAGTAGCTGGCAGCGTCGCTCCGAGGGGAATACGTACGTGGTGCCGATCACACCGTTGAACTGCGCCTGCTCGGGGTGCTTTCCGAACGCCAGGCGGTCCGCCGTGATCTGGTTGATCGTCGTGGTCGCAACGGGGGTGATGGCGACGGTGTGCAGCGCTTTATTAAATAATAATCTCATATCGTCCAAGGCGAGGCCCAAGTCATCGAGGCCATCTTCGAACCAAAGGCGCAAAGTATCATCCTCTCTGGGTTGTTCTTTCAACTTCTCCAAGCGGACGTTGTCGTGCAAGACGAGGGCGTTTCCGGGATTGGGATGTTGGCGGCTGCCTCGTGGCGCTGGACGACTGTGTGCACGCGAGTGCGCGATGGATCTGGGGGCCGGCGGCTCTGGCGTCAGGGACGACGTGGATGGGAAGTTCCAGATTGTAGGCGGCGCAGATACCGACGAGGGTCTTCAGGGTGGTGAAGACGATCAGCTGCCTCTCCTCCTCGTCCGCGAACTGGACTTGGTGGCCGAGGGTGTGCAAGGCCTAAGACGTCATTAGCAAGCAGCGTGGAAATCGGGCGAGGACCTACCTGGGAGTAGGATGAGAGCAAGTTGCTGAATTGAATGTGTAGTCAGCTTGAAAGTCTCGTGGTTCTGCTTCGATCTCAAGGGCCAAAAAGCGCAACTTTGGGATGAAGGGATGCGAATTTCTCTTCAACAAGAAAGCTTATTGGCGAAGGTATTCTTGCAGTGTTGACTCACCCTGAAGAGACGATAAACAAGATTCTCTACGTCAATCCTTTCACAGCGTCCCAGAAGCCACTTCTAGCCTCATTGGAGAAAGCGACGGGAATGAAATGGCGTGTTGAAACGGCGAGCTCCGCGAAGATGTGAGAGCTGGAAAGGAGATGCTGAAGACTGGAAATATGATGGGCATTGGAGCGATTATGAAGAGCATCTGCTTTACTGAGGGAAGGAGCTCGGATTTTGAAAGTGAAGCAGTTGAGATTATGAACGAGACACTTTGTCTTGAGAAGCAGGATTTGGATGAGGCCGTTGGCGAGATTGTCAGGAAATTCCGAAATATTCTTGATTGAGCAAAACCTGCAGTCATGAGAGCAATAGAGTGGACACCTGAAATTGGTAGGGTAAGGCAAGAATCCAAGATGACCATTGCATTGTGGTGGCTGGAGAGATACACTCAAAGTTTCAGTGATATAGTGAAAGGAAATTCAAACAAGAGACCGCAAGGAATCCAGGAACACATCTCCTTCTGTCTTGAAGAGTGTGAATGCAGTTCACTTGAAACCAATAAAGGTGACCTTTGACCAGGCTACTGACCGGCCAATCAAGCGTTGGAGATCCTCTTGAGATGTGCAACGAAAACTGGAGCACTAGAGAGAAAGAGTGAATGTGATTTTTGTTTAACGAGTGACATCGGTGAGCTAGAGTTGACTTTCCAAAGTGAGCCAAAAGTGAACTTCGATCGCAAGTTGCGATGTGCAACGAAAATCCCATAATCTAATTAGAGCTATAGCAAGGTGAATCCATATTGTCTCAAAGTCTATCATATAATCCAAAGAGTCTGAGACCAATACAACACAAAGCAATGCAATGAAACAATAGCAAAGAGGGGATCCTCACCACTGTCTCTAGACATTGGAATTGAGACATGGTCGAAGATATGATCTTTGGTCCAACAGACGATAGAACAATGAAATGTCCCAATGGTAGATGTTTGTAATGTCCCAAATCCGAGCCCAATAATGAAATGCAGTTATTGATCCAGAAGAAAGTAGTCATGCAAAGAAACTTGATGGCAGGTTATGGTACCAATGCTTTCGGACAACGAAAGCTCCTTGTCCTCCCGTTTTCTTTGCACCTTGTCGCAGATAGAAGATGATATTATAACAAATGTGATGTGTACAATGAATGTTTTTTATTCTTCTCACAGACTTCTGTATGTCCCGAAACCTGGAAATAAGTCAGCACATTACGACACGACCTTTATGGAGAAATTGGAAGAACGAGGAGCATATGGTTAAAAGGGGCCAATTGCTCCATCCAACTTCCCAGGAATCAAGCAGCCAGCCTGCAACTTCAACCGAACTCCATAGTCATGGCAACCCTCCGGCAGTTGGGCTCCACTCAGAACTTGCCGCAGGATTTCACGGCAAGAAAGCTGTGGGAAATCTCGAAAGACTTGAGGAAGGCGGCAGCCAACGCCGAGGAACAGATCTTCCAGCTCACAAATGGTCGCATTGGCGATATCGCCGAAGTGTTCTGGACCGACTCGGAAGGTTTGCATGTCAGCGAAACTCCAAGATACCCAGGCATTCGATTCCCCCCGCGCTCTTCCCAACTTCCTCAACTCCCACAACTGTTTACCAGCATTCTGGTGATTCCTACCAATCCTCGGCCTGTGGACTTCGACAGTCACAACACAATTCTTTTCTTCTCTCCCATGATGAACCACGCTCAAATTGATGTGTTCATTGCTTCAATCAACGATGAGGAGAAGAGCCTGATCCAGCGACTTGCTATCAACCTCGACCGATTCGGAACCTTGAACAAGACTGCCCTGATCCAATTCAGCGAATTGAGGGAAGTCCTTCTCATCTCCGAGCCCACAGGAGAGGAGCCTGAGGACACACCACAACTCGGCCCCAGGGCGCAACCAGATCCACAACAAGTTTTCTTCTATTTGGCACCTCCGACGGCAGAGTCAACCACCTTAGGCTGCCACGTCTTGGATACACGCACAATGGCGGAAACGGATCTGGAGGTGATCAGAAAGCAACATGATGCCTGGCCAGCGGGACCGATCACCGTTGATGTGGCTTGGATCGAGAGGGACGGGAACGTGATGGACACCTGTTTTCCACCCGAGACCTACCTGGACATCAAGGCAAAAAAGAGAGAGAGGCAAGATCGAGGAAATTGGCAGGAAGAGGATGGCTTCTTCAACGAACCATCGGAAGTCGGTCCTGACGACACCGGCTATACTGCAGACGGAGCTGACGAGGACGTTGAGGAAGCACCGACTCTCGATAGTGGCGACGGTGAAGATGCTGCTGCGGGAGCCGACCAGGATACTGTTACGACAGCAAGTTCCGCCATGCAGAACTTGAATCTGGGCAAAAAGTACGATCCTTTTGATTCGAGAGCAGACACGACCAACGCGAGCGATGTGGAGGCAGAGCTTCTGGATGCGATCGCGGAGTCGAATCGAAAGGTTGAAGAACGCGAGAAAGAGGCTGAGCTTCGGAAGCAGAAGAAGGAGAGTGATAATGTCGCTGAGGATGATGTTGGCTGGTGAAGGCGCAGTCGACGAATGAGAATGCGGATGTTGATTGCGTGCAAATTGATTGTTTGGGAATTTGGAAATGTCATTTGGATGATTCATGGAAAGGAAATTTTGCAACGAAAGGGTATTCGTGTGGAAGTTAAACAGGAAATTGCATGGCATTGCAGACGAATGGAAATCGAAATCACTTCTTTGGACTGAAAGTTGCCTTATCACTTGATGACAACAAACCCCTCCCACCAAGTCATGAGTGCGGAACACCCGGCAGTGTTTGACTATAGCATCTGTCAGCAGGTGGATGGATAGAAATCTTCGAGTGAATGATTTACCCCCATAAGATTCTTTGAAAATAGCGGAACAACGTATTGTGAATTCCACGATGATGCTTCGACCCTCCTGTATTCTTTCATATCCTTCCCAAATAGCCATGCAGTAGCATCACGTTTCTCCAGACATTTATCTCTTCGCTCTCTTCGATCTTGCCAGTTTTCCCTTTATCCCATCCATCATCATTATCATCCTATGCTTTTCTTTTCACCGCTTTCAAACCCTTTCCCCGCCAATGTGCCTTTTTCAAGTGAACCCTGAACGTCTCATCCGGCGTTTGCTCGCTACATGAACATCTCGCTTTCTTCCCCTCCAACGTGGCCAAGAACTCATCCCACACCTTCAAAGCCTCCTTCGCCCAAGCAGGAATCCCAGCAACCCACTCTCTGATTCGTTTAATCGCATCAATCCAAGCTTTGATGCCCTCCAACACCTGGCTATAGCTGAGTGCCAAACCGATAGAAACGAAAAGCGAGCGAAAGATATAATCTTGGAAGGGAGGTTCAGGTCCACCGAGATCAGCTGAAAGCTGCGAAGCGAATATCCGACAAGACTTGGGGGTGTGGAAGTCGATTGTGACGAGGAATCCGCCCATGAGAGTAAAGACGGAATGGAGACAGCCAACGGGTAGGTAAATGGTTTCGTCCGATGTCGTCGTGAAGATTATGCCACCTTCTAATTTGGGTCCGATTTTGGTGGGCTTGGCTCTTTGGCCGTTGGTGGAAGACATCCGTGGGAGGTTCCGAGGGCTTAGGGGAAAGCACACCCAGAGCTTGACGCAGGGCCCGATGAGTGTGGCTACGCTGTCAGTGTGTCGACGTGGAGGTCGGTGTGGCAATATTGGGGCGTGAGAAAGAGGTGCTGATTTGATTCATCGCAGGGCTTGACGAATTCAGATAATGCCAGGGGAGCGGCGAATGATGTGTCTCAGGTGCTGGGGACATTGAAGCCAATGATTGAGATGGGATTGTCCTCTTGGATCATACTGCTGGGCGATTGAGATGCGTGGGTCTACTTTGGCGTCTAGGATCTCTCGGTGGTAGGCGCTGACGGACATCTTGGGGCCGGCCATCGTATCTAGAGTTTCGAGGATGATCTTGGTGGTTTCAGGCGGTTTCTCGTTCCAGGATTCCTCCGCTTCGAAAATACGAGGCTATGTGGTTGTCGATGAAGTCCAGAGGCTTTCTGTCTCAGGCGAAAGGTTTTCGAGGGAGCTGAGAGCAATGTCCGAAACGGTCCTGATTGTTGAGGGGTTGAAACCTCTGAGTAATGTTCGAAAATCCTCCATGATTGAGTTAAAAAATGGTGGGGGTAAAGGAGATTGAGATTCGAAAGGAAAAGCGTCGAAAGAGTCAAAAGGAGATGGAGGTATGGACAAAACCGTTAGCTTGAGACAGAAACTACCAGCTCCATTACTCGGAACCACGATCTTTAACGATAGATCGAGAAAGAATGAAATATACTGTTTCGATCACAATGTATGGGTTGATTCTTTGAACACAAACGAACCATGGCAATTGTATGTGGGTTAACAATGAGGTGATTTGACTCTACAACTCGTCAAATTACCCAGGGCAAATCGGTATCCATTTGCATTAAGATGGGTCGATAATATTACTCTCCGCGTCCCTTAGACGAAGGAGGATTAACCAGTCGATAGGGTTCTTGAGTGAGATCGAGCCCCTTGATAGTGATTAGGAAACTAAACCCCAAATATAGTTTCAAATATACTAAGGAGAAAGAGTGGTAAATAAAGGTCAAGGGTTCTCATACGCTCTTCATCTCACTGGAGGAACGGTGACGTCTCGGTCGAGATGAATAGCATTTGGAAAAATGGAACGCTTCATATTGGGTTGCCACTTGGCGGTTGCCAAGCATCCTCGTTGTGCGAAGACCAAGGTCCATTGATTTGCTGAATCCCACGTCAAGCTGGACATTAGAAAAGACGATTTTCAAAATTTTCAAGGACTCTATGGACAATTGGAGGATGTAGACTTCAAGCGTACCTTGATTCGAAGGGACTTTCCGTAGTGAAGCACTTGGAAATGGTCTAAATTCTTTTGGTCCATTGGCAGACGCATTTGACCTTTCCTTTCGTCGTGATGCTGATTGCCACCAATCACTCGACCTCGACCCAAAGCTGGCCGCCTTTCAAGATCCTCTCAGCCTTTTTCCGCAGAGCATCCATATCGTCGCTGTAAAGTCCAGCACCCATACTGATCCGACACACTACCAGCTCCGTCAACTCCCTCACAGAAAGCCCGTCCCTCCCATCCGCCAATTTAACAGCCAACTTGCCATCAAATTCCTTCACCAACAATTGTATTTCCTTCTTTGTAACCTCCCCCGCCGCCCCACCCCAAACAAAAACACAGGTCGCTCCAGCTTCCAAGAACGCCTTGCCCCTTTTCACCACCTCCTGCACCATCATCTCCCTGGTCCATCCCTCGGGATTCGGCTTCAACCGCAACACATCCGTCCTCGCATTGACTACGAAATCCGGCAATTCTACTTGCGTCGCATACGTTATGGCAAGCCTTATCCTCTCGGCCGATTCTTCCACGCTCCTTAGGCAGCTCATTCCGTGACTGAATCCCTTTTCCGGGTATGAATCCTCGATATTGGCGCCTACTGCACCAGCCCAGATGATTCGATAGACGGACGTGTCGAGGAATTCGCCGTAGCCGTCTTGAAGGTCGACCGTAAGAGGGAGACCAGCAGATTGTGCGATGGGAGCGATTTTGTGGATGCCGGCTAGGTTTTGATTGAGTGTCAGGGCGGTATCGGGGACGGAGAAGGTGTTGGCTATGCCGTAGGAGGTTGTGGCGAGGGCTTTGACGAGGCAAGGGCTGGCTTTATTGAGGGAGATGACAGCGTTCGCGGAGGCTGCATCGTAGATGTTGGTAAGGATGAGGGGATCTCCTGGTTTGTGGAGGGACTTCAGAAGGAGGGCGACTTCGTTGTGGACCGGAGCTGTTTCTGTCGCCATGATTGATGTTCACTTTACGGTGAGATTCCTCATTGCAGGAAAAGAAATTGAAGAGTTTGCGAGATATATACCAAGTACCTACCTGCTACCCCGCATCCGAAAAAGTACTTGAAAGGGCGTAACACGAACTAATCGCGGTGTCATCAGACCGTCGTTCCAAGCAGTAAGATGGAGAGAAGCCCTGCCGACTGAGCGCGTCAAGGGTGATCGGCAGCAGGGTCGTCTGGTCCGGGGTTCGTGCCAGGATCAATGCAAGGCTGAGCCTTCAGAAAACTTGGTATTTTATCCGTAAACTCGGTTGGGAAGACCTCAAAGATGCATTAGTTGTTTTATATGTTTTTGAAGCTCGAAAGCACAGAAGAGAACCGAAGAAATGGACAAAGAACAAGCGCAAGGCCAGTCACGTGCCCATGCGAACGAGGGCCGTGCACAAACGCGTCCACCCGGGAAAGGTACCTTCGATTCAATTTCCCAAAAATCGATCTCTCCTGTCCAATTCAACCCTTTTTCTTCCACAACATTTTCTTTCAACATCGGTGAAGAAGACTCCATCAGTCCGTCTTTCTTTTCCCCAACTTTTCTACCTGTAACTGTCCGGAAGTGGCTGTTTGCACGATGCCTCCCGCACCAGCATTCGACTACTACGAGACCCTGGAGATTGGCAAGAGTGCTACGACTGAGGAGATCAAGAGTTCCTACCGTCGTCTCGCTTTGGTCCACCACCCAGACAGGAATCCCGACAACATTGATGAGTCGACAGCAGCTTTCCAGAGGGTGAGCCACACATACACCAACTCTCCCTTCCAAATGTCTTTCTAAAACCATCTCATAATACTTACTATTAATCTAGATCCAGATCGCCCACGAAACCCTCTCTAATGAGCGCTCCCGAGCAATCTACGACACTCGATCCTCGCGCCGCAGCCCCTTCAACGATGATGGGTACTACAACGAGGAAGATGTGGACTTCGACGACTTCATGCACGACTTCTCCCGTGAACCTTTCGGCAGTTATAGTGGTGGACCATACACCAGGTTCTTCTTTGGCAGCGGGGGATTCCCCTTCTACGGTCCGTCGAGCATGAGTCCCGATGAGGCTCGCAAGCGACACCAAGAGCAGGAGGCAGCTGAGGCAGCATGGCGCAAGCAAATGGTAGATGAAGTTCGGCGACGTAGGGCAGCGGAGGAGGCCCGGGTGAAGGCGAGGGAGATGGCGAGGGCAGCGGAGGAGAGGGAGCAAACATTGGCGAAGGAGAGAAGAGAGCAGGCGGAGAAAGCTAGACAGGAGGCGCTTTGGGCTCAGTCTAAGGCAACCACACAGGCTGAGAAGCAGGGTTCGTGCCTCCATTCTGCATTCTGGGCAAAGGAGAAGTTGCAGAAGAAGTTCAAGTGCACATCCTGTGGGCAAAAGCGTGGGATGGTGGGGCACAGATGTCCTCACTGCTCTCTGCTCGTCTGCCAGGTCTGCCTCAATGGGATCCGTAAAAGCCCTTGATTGCGCAAAAATGATCTTTACCTTGTCGATATTTCTCAACACCACCTCACTATACATTGCACAATCTTCTCGATCGTCGACACATTTGAGCATCCGTAGGGTTGAATGCTCTCGGCCTCTATCTCCTGCATGGAGAGGCACTCGGGCTGTCATGGCAGCAAAGAGGGTGCGAATCTTCACCAACACTGAACCGAATCTGGCTTGCTCCACTATATTTCAGAGGAAATAGGGAGGATTAGGGAAGAGCAGCCATCGGCAAATGTACCTTGGGAGCTGGCTGCATCGGCTGTTCTACCACATTACATCCGATGATATTGGCTCATCCTTCATCGAGGAAACTGGCCGATAGAGTTGTATACGCGAGAGCATCGTGGCATCTCTTAGATCGGGAAGGTTGCTGGTGGATGGCATGTACATAGAAGTCTTCCTCGATAACGGCTCCTCTTAATACATCGTCTCTGACATTTCGTCATCCCCTTTCCCACTGATTTGTCAGCTCTGATATCCTGGTGAGTTGTTGAATCTGATGCGGTGTAGGTAGTTTGAAGGGACAGCACGTCAACAAAGAGGAATTTGGGAGAAATTGTCACGAGTTAAGATTGAGGTATTTATTCATGAAGACTAACTAACATATATCAAAAAGGAGATCCTTCGCATGAATAAAAGCATAACAGAACAGCTGCGAGTAGTGAGTGACAAATGGAAAGCAAATGAAAGCGTTGAGCAGGAATCAGTTCAAGGAGAGGGTCGATTGTGCAGCGAGACTTGTTCGAGAAGACGGCTTTGCATCAACATGCCAAGATTGAGGTCGGGGTGCGGGCTGGAAGATTTACCAATGTCGCACCTTTAGGATGTGAGTCATGCCCGTTGGTTGTGATTGCTCTGCTTGCATTAATAGTCGGACTTAACCTCCGACTATTACCTAGCTGGTGAGCCCCTCTCCATGGATCCCACGGAGATGACGACCTATGGAGGAAGGGTCCGACAGCATATCGCATCCAGGTTCAGTGCATCGAAGACGGATCTCTCTTTTTGTCACAGTATACTTCGGCGCATCTGGATGCTCCTGACGGCGGTGGTTCAAAAGATCTTTCTCTCTGAAGTATCCACGTCTGCCTGTACGGCTGCATCCTGCAACACCGCAAGGAAAGGTGCATTCGTTATGCTCATCACGCATATGCTTCGTATAAGCCGACTGGGAATGGAAAGGCTTATCCACAGCCTGGGCCTTGCGAGGAAGCTGCTTGAATGCCTCGTCCCGGTATTGCGGACAATCAGGATGAGAGCATACCGGAAAGACGTACTTGATGCGAGACGATGGGGTGATCGCATCATCTCCCGTGTCAAGGTGATGATAATTTCGAATATGCTGATTTAAGTGATCCAGGCGTCTGAATCCGTCGGGGCCGCGGTGAAGCTTGCAATACTTGCAAGGATACTTGGGGTCCTCGCTACCGAAAGACTCGAGATGGCGGTTGAGGACATCGAGTCGGGAGAACAGAGCCCCGCACTCGCATCCGTAAGGCCGATGTTGAGCTTCTTTCGCATGCCGAAGCAGGTCCGCCTTTTTCGGAAGTGTCTCCATGCACTCAACGCAGTCATTAGGGGTTGGTGTCCAGATACGACCATGGCCAGAGGTATGTGGCCTCCGCGCGTGAGCGTCGCGCTCAGCAAAGGTAACGAAGGTTCTGTCGCAACCTATCTCTTTACAGCTCCAGGCTCCATGGTTGAACGACCTTGCATGGCCGTCCTTGCGGTCGGAATATGGGAATGATTCCCCGCAATCTCGACAAGGAGAAACTCCCCTTTGAACGAAGCATTAGTTTATGCACTTGGGAACTTCAGTCTTCATTCTCGTTGAATACATACCGATCCCTTGTATTGGACCCATTCCCCTGGGGCATTTGGCCATTTGCATTTGGTACAGAAGGCGGTTGCACCTGGGAGGCGTTGCGAAACGAATTACGGTCATCGGATTCTTCAAGTGCATTTGCACTTGAAAATTGACACAGCACACGAGATGGCTTCAAAGTGTGCCCGACATTGGAATGCTCGAACGTGGCCAGGTTGCTTTGTGGCATGTCATGAAGCAAACCGGGGCGTAGATCCTGACTAAAATCCTGCATGACAAAATCCGGCGTGACAAGAAAACGTCGACTGACACCCTTTTCGTTAGCAAGCAGGAAAAAAAAAAGCTCACCTGCCAAGATCCATACCACCAATGGCAGGATCATTGCAGGCATCAAGCAGGTCGCCCTTCGACCAATCAATGTACTCCTCGAACTCGTCGGACATGATGATGTGAAAGCAGCGTGTGGCCTTTTCTCTGGGAGGTGGGTGTTGTGCGTTGAATGTGTGGGAAATCGCTGCTGGCTGCTGATTTTCAACGTGAGCGGGGTCCACCAACCTTATCCGCTGCCTCGAGAAAGCTCTCGCCGCTTGAAGAATTTGTTTTGGAAGGATGAGACAGAGGGTGGTGGAAGGGCGGAGAGGCATCGCCCTGTTTTGCTGGCGGTGAGAAAGTGAGGCTTTCTGGCGAGGCAGCCACCGAGTGCAGGGTGTCGTGGTTGGTCAACGACAGGCAGCAGTTGCGTTCGTTCGTCGTGGGCTGGGGGTTTATCCCGTGCTTTGAAAAAGGGTGGTTGGAGATGCATAAGATTTGGACATGTGAGAAAGTGGTTGTCGAATCCGGCGGTGAAGAGAAGAGAAGTCTGGGTTCTGGGGAAAGAAGCACATGAGGTGAGGTTGACTTTCCAATGCACGTGGCCTGACCTGGTACAACACCTGGGCGGCGTGCTTTTGCTTAAGGCAAGGCTCAACATCGCCCAGAGATTAACTATTCGCGTCCTTTTCCTTCTTTCGAACTACTCTTATTCAGGACTCGACGAGGCGCGAAGAAACTTTCCAACATTGGGCCAAAAAAAACTCTCCATTCCTCGCAGACGGCTACAAAGATGGCACCGACTCGGAAGATGGAGCATTTGTGGGAGTGGAAGGAAATCGCATGTTTGGATAACGCTTCCGAGGAGCATCGTCCTAAAGTGGAGTTCCTGGAAATGTTTCGTTATCCCCATCTTCCGCAACTTGTTATGAATGAAGGAACATTGGACGACTTGTCAATGTCTGACTGGCTTGCAAAGGTATTTTTTAAAGAGGTGTCGTATTTGAGTCTGTACCCATAGCATGATAGGATCTCCAGCTGCCTTTTATTCCCCCTAAGGAGCTACCGTTAAATCTACCCCCAAGCGGATATCTTCAAGCCCCGAGCGGTGGCCAGCGTCTTCTGTAAGTTTCGTATCTACCCAAGAAGGATGCTCTTCTGATTCCTAAATTCGGCTTCGGCATTTGCAATGGAGATACTGAATCTAAGGAAAGGATTGGGATGCTACCTTTCTCCAATACGTGCTTAGATCTCATTAGAGAAAAACTAGCTTTACCAGAAGAGTTTCTCAGATACATGACCAAGAAAGGCTCCCCTTCGTTCAAGGTTTCTACTCCCGAGCAGAGTGGGAGATCCGTTACATGTACGTTTCACTGAGCTTGAATGATGTAGAGTGCTAAGCAGACTGCAGGCTTTATTTTCACGTTCAGGCTCCACCGTCCAGGTTATTACCAGCTCGCTTTGAGTTATGACCGGGAGACTGGGCTCACCCACGGCTTGCTCCTCGCAATGACAAGAAAAGGTCACGAAATTCCGAGACTACTGAAAGGACTGCGGGATAGGCTTATGTTCTGCGAGCAGCCATTGATTCTTGCTGCCCTGGTAGCGGAGCTCGTGATCGATTCGTGTGCTACCAAAATCGAGTCGGTCGATGGTGATCTCAACGCCTTAGAAGAAGAGAGTGGACTCCACGGATACGATAATCGAGCAAGAGGTGACCCATTGAGAATGGACTTCATGAGGGCAATACAAATTCTGCATTTCTCAAACAGGACGCTTGGATTGGATACCATCAGACTGCAATATACTATACCTTCATTGATAAAGATAGTGATGGAGACCAAGAAAATTGCAACTCAAGAGCACGATCGATTAAGAGAAATAGGAAGAATCAAGAATCATGTGTTTATCTCCGATGGCCGAAGAATGGTGGAAGAGTTGGCTGACACGCTGAAACAATACTCCAAGAATCAGCTACTGCGGGCAAAATATGAGGAGAACCGGCTCCGGACCCAACTTACAGTTGTGAGTAATGATATATAAACATGTAGCATCCTATTGATGAATTCAGGTGTCCCGATTAATGGCACAAAAAGACACAAAAGTCAACATTGAAATGGCAAGAGTCAATATCGATCTGGCAAACGACACTAAAATTCTTGCAAGAGCTAGCAAGGAAGATAGTGCAGTCATGAGAATCATTGCAGTCGAGACCAGAAAGGACAGCTCTTCAATGAAGACTATTGCAATTCTGGGAATGCTCTTCCTACCTTCCACTTTTCTCGCGGTAAGCCATTTATTCTTGATGGCACAACGTTTGCACAAACTAACAGGCTTGTGTAGTCCCTCTTCCAAGGACCAATGATGAGCTGGGATGCCAAGGGGCGCCCTGTTACTACTGCCATGTTCAAATACTTCTGTGCTATTGCTGTTTCTCTAACGCTCTTGTTTTTTTCTGTGTGGGTTGTAGCGACGCTGTTACCCTGGGAGAAATTGCTCTATAAAAGGCGGCGAGCACCTGCCGCGAAGGATTCTTATTCTCTTGAGCATATTGCTTCCCATAGCTTAGAGAGTGGCTGAGCTTGTCAGAGCAATCCTGGAGAAGGATTTACGGATACACCTAGCTCAATCAATCTGGTGTCGGTAAAAATCCTCTATTGCTGTACTCGAGTCTCAACCCGTGAAGTACTTTATCTATGCACTAATCAACGTATTCAGCGGCAAATCCTTCTCACTCGGCTCCCTTGATTGAACAATCTCAAGTCCGCTATCTTCATCTTGATCCATCCGCTGTGAAGCGATGTTAGGGCACGACAACGACAATTGTTACAATTCTTCTATCTGAAGCTAGTTCTGCGCGGGAAGTGTTCTCGTCAACTAATTAAATAGTTGAGTTCCGGACTTGAACGCTGAATAAAAGCGGAGGCGAGATTGAAAGGCTGACAATTCCTCCATGGTGGCGTTGGTTAGGCATCCATAGAGTGCTTACTCGTTAAGCGGGGAAGCCCCTTTACCTCCTGGGTGTTACCCTAAAAATTTTGTTAATTTTCAAGATGGAAGAAAAATGAGAAGTTAAATTGAAATTCTAGATAATCGGTACCTTGCTTAGCTTTTGTATTAGAATCTAGCTTCGTTTGGTTGACAAGTAGGCGAGGCTGGGAGAGTGAGAACGCCAAGTAGGTTCGCCGCCTGAGTTCTGCCCAAACACGACGCTCCTAGCCCCCAAAACGCCAAGTTATACAAGCTAAAAGATACAAGAAAGTGTGATCTGTTTGAATTTAGGAACAGTCGATTTGGCTGGTCAGCCATGCGGCTGAGCTTCTGTTCCTTCGTGAAGAGGGCGAGTAAAGCCTGCATACGAAGATTGCGGCATAACGAGCCTGCGACCATGGGTCTGTGCGCACAGGCGCTTTTTCAGGCTTCACTCAACCAGCCCTCCAAACAACCCACTATAGCCCTGAACACACCCCCACCGCTCAATTTTCAGCACGAGAAAGGCTATGAGATCCCTACGAAACATAAGGAGGCTATGCGCCAGATTCGCTGGTTTGGAAAGGTCCCCGTTTGCGCCATAATAGTACGATACAAGCTCAGCGATACTACGGTCCGCAAGATCCTTAGCTACCCTTACCCAGAATGACGACGCCCTAATAAACTGGTTTTAAAGCAAGAGCATTGGATATAAGTACTTATATAGCGGCATGGGTAGTCAACTCCTAATTAAGCGCTACTTTAATACCTAACTTTCGTGATTTTTTGATGAAAATGCCCTGTGCGCACAGACCCATGGTCGCAGGCTCGTAAAGTGACGGGATTACAGGGCATTTGGACCGCAAGTCCACTTTCAGGCTACTTTCTACTACACTCACCCACTAAAGCCCCCTATATTTCCAGGCTACCCTCCTGTAAGCACGCTATAAACTACTTGGGCGGGTTTTACCTGAGGTCCGGGCAGCCTCGTTAAAAATAGCTATGCCTCACCAAAATCAGAACAATTCTAGAAGGTAATTTATTTATTATAAAATAACGATACAAGGTAAGAGCCTTTAGAAAACCTTTAATTGATTTCCGAAACATTCTTTCTTATTCGTATTACTAGTTAGGCCATTGCAAGTTCGTATTTTGGTTAATAGTAATATTTCGCGCTTTTCCCACCTAAAACCAGCCTGGCCGGACCTCAGGTAAAACCCGCCCAAGTATCCCTTCGTCCGGCGAGGCATAGTCCACGCTAGCAAGGGGGCCTGGCTCAGACTATAAAGTCGTACCTTTGTTAATAAACTTATTAGTCATCTATCACCTTTTCGCCATGAGCCAGGCCCCCTTGCTAGCGTGGACTATGTCTCGCCGGACGAAGGGATAGAAATTGAATCAGCTATTATATCTAGTGATATGTATATGAGCCTCCTATATACTGCACCCGTTCTTCTTTCTTCAGTTCTCGCTCAATTCAATACAATTGACACTCGTCTACAGTAAATCAAGTCTTCTCCTGTCCCTGCGACATCATTCAAATAATATTCGGATCATTTATGCGGTCTACGAAGTATCGTGTGATTACTCCGTGGATTGAGAGCGAGCTAAACTTTTGCTTGTACAAATCACTCCACTGGACAATTCCGTGTTTAGCATCTTATCCCGCATAAACATATCTCTTCTCAGGCTTCGTAACAAGTTGCGAAGGTGCAATCTCCAACCTCCTACGAGAAATGTCTGTTTCCGTATACAAAACTCCTTGCTTGGGACGTTCCGAATCATCAATTTCAGTCCCAGTCGACACCACACCATACCTTACATCTATCTCTCCCAATCCCTTGATCAATTGTTCAGCCTCTGCATTCGAGTCCGCCTGTCTCGAGATAGGTGCATTGAAAGCCTTGGCAATCTCAATGGGACTCATCGAGACCTTTCGGCCAAGGTTCCAATAACCAGAGAACGTGGGGATAACCAAGATGATCGACAGCAAAGTAAAGCCACTCGCAAGTGCAAGATAAAGGTAATGGGATTGATATAAGGCCACGCTTGCAACTTGTATGGCAGGCATAGATTGAATATCGGAGGAATTGGCAGCAGCGATCGCCGTTCGGAACATCAACTCCCGAGCGTTAGCTAGCAAGCTGTCCGTTGGATCTCCGAATGAAATATTACAAAAGTTCTCCAAGTGGGCCGAGCTAGCAGTACTGTTGGAATCGATGAATTGATTTGCGGTTACCCCTGATGTAAGGAGGTAATACCCTATTGCGCCAGCCCATTTGACGTTAGCCCACGAGTTGAAGCGGTTCGCCAGGGCCAAATAAAACCCTCCAAGTGTACTGTTATCCCCAGATTGATAGGACTCCTGAATGTTGTAGAGGCTTTGAATCGCGTCGTCGTAGATGGTTGAGTTTGCGAGAAGGGAGATCGTGCTTTGATTTCCGTCGATTACTGCATTGTATTGTACTGTTGCTGGCCTCAACGTGCAGTTCCTCACTATGAGTCGACTTATGTTACACGTCGCATCGGGTTTGAATTGTACGGCAGTGTGTAAGTTACCAGGATCATACGGTGACCAATTGATGGTGCTTTGGAACAAATCAACGCCCTCAGACACCAGGGATTGATTGCTGTTATAAGTCGTGTTTGGGGGAGCGTAAATAGTGAGGTTAAAATTGGTTTCGTAGGAAGAGCAGTTGACCGCGAACCCGGCTCCGACGACTGTCATCGAGCAAGTGCCAATACAACTTGTGTTTTTTATTTGAATGGCCAAACGGTCATAGAAGCTGTTGACCACGGGCGTGAAGTCTTGCATGAAAAATGATGGAGTATATCCTCGCCCTTCTATTATTCCAGTGTAGCCGGTTGGTACCCGGGGAGCGAGTGCAATCGATAACGTCAGGCCACTCTGCACATACACGATCGCTACTCGTGAAGCCCGTTGTAGTAATGGGCCATTGATGGGGGAAATTGCCACAATGACGGAAGCTAGTGTAACAAAATTAAAGTTTCCCCCGATCGTGAGTGCTGCTAGTACGCTATTTCCCGTTTTCCAGAGCTGATGAAGGTCTGAAATTTTCGTATTCGCTTTCAGTGCGCGCGCCCACCAAGCCGTAGTCAATCCTCGAGCTAGGGCATAGCGTACCATAATATTGGTAATTGTTGAAATAATAGACAGATACACCGTGGGTTGGAAGGTCCATTCCGTAATGGCAATCCCGTCAGAGACTATGAGGACCGCGGCCGAGCCTGCTACACCGCCGATTGCCCCAAGGAGAGCAGCGAATGCTGTCCATGGAAATTGTGCAAAACTGCCGGGATTCCAGGGATTACTCATTGTGCATTTGTTTTCCGGTTTTAGGGTATTTTGGAGTTGATTTTGCTTAGTGTGCAAATTTGATTACCGCCTGAAAATCAAATATAATCACAATAAGACGGATGGGAAACTTTAAGAAAGTTCGCAGCCTTCTCAATTCTTAGAATGTTTCAAGTGGTCTTCGTCTCGCAGAAAAAGCAACACTGACATTCTCAAACTAGTGATTAGGGATCGCTTGATCAGTCACAAATGTGCTAGAGGGTACAATTCAAAAGAGTATGAGCATGGCTTGATCAAACGATATAGCTCAACATGGTTGGATGATTTATTGTGGAGTATCGTTTGGTGGAGACGCTAATTACAAAAGAAAGTTTATCCAAGCAGCTCCAAAGCGCGTGTGACGGGCACACTGCGTGTCTATTGGACTGTGTCCCACGCAGTTACCGGAGAGGAGTCTCCGCAAGAGGGCGGACGGCAGGAGCCGGAGGCATAGGAGAGCAAGTGACGCTACTATCTGTAACCGAGTTCTCTGTACAACCTCAACTAGGCTTCGCACCACCATGCAGGAATGTTTGGCCACTCAAGGCCATTCATTAGGAACAGCTGTCTTACGTAACACAAATATTAGATCGTGGCTCTGGACGCCGGACTGCATGGCGCCGGCCTAGATCCATCCATTTCTAAAAATAAGATCCAAAAACAAGCCAACTACGAATGAACGCAAACGACCGTCAGAACAAGATTGTGTGACTTACGCAAAGAGGGAAATTAAGATCTCAGCAGCACACCCTCACTGCTAGGTTAAGAATAGAATGTGGCAGATCTGCAAGAAAACGCTATAGCCACATCAGCAACGTACAACAGTTCTGCATGACACAACCATACCGGAAGACAATCAGAAACACCGTTCAGCTTATAATACGGGAGAGCAAAATTTCAAACCGATTGTACAGTGTGACTTACCTCGTTGGGTGTCCGTTTCGCTCAAACAATTAAGAGCACCCTCTACTCTCTCTAGTGCTTGGCGCAGTATCTTTGACTTTGTCCACTGACAAGATGATTTATGTTAATTTCTTGCCTATACTAATAATCTCCCACCTTGTCTCGCCGGCTTCATGGGATATGCTCCCCACTCAAACACCCAAGCAACCCTTCCCCCTTGGATTCCTCGCAGTCCAGACCGGCGCTCCAGCATTGCCGACATCCGTCTGTGGCTACTTCTCTGACTCCGGTAGACAAAGAAAATCCATCATTTCCTCGTAATCAATGATGCTGAACTAGTTTTAGGCTACGCCTTGAGTTGCCTACCATCATATTATTGTGGGTTTGATGGTCCAAACGAGCTGTTCGGTTGCTGCACAGCTGTCATCCCTGATGGCAACAGCTACGCTCTATATGGCTGCGAGGAGCCGTCCACATGTTACCAAACTATCCAAACACCTCCATCTGGTGTCTGCTTTGCTGGTGACTTCATATGTTGCCACTCCTCCTGCCAAACTGATCCTTCGGCACTCTACTGGCAAGTCTTCCCCACCACGTACCTTCAAATACAGACCTAAAAGAGTCTCCTTAGCACCGAAGCAACATCAACAGCTTGTGTTGAATTCCAGCTATCAGTCCCAGGTGGTGTATACTCAGCCTATGCCTGCTCAACTTCAAATGCAGTCTTCAATATCGTTACGAGTCCTGTAGGAGTGGGAGCTGCTGCGACGACCCTGAATAACTTAAGCCCAGGGAGTTCTGAGTTCTCAACGCCGGTGAGGACGGAGAGTATTCCACCAACTGCAGTAGAACCGGCGCAAACGACTACCGTTTCAAGTTTCATTCCTCCAACTGCAACACAGAAGACTGCTGGAGGTGAAACCACCGTTAGTGTGTTGCCGTTGTCCACAACGAAGACAGGAGTAGCCGGGAGAGTAAACCAAACTTGGGGATTGGTTATTATTTGTGTAGGACTAGGAATTTTGGCTTAGAATTATCTATTCGGAAGAGCAGAACAAAGGACCGGTTATGGAAATATATATTCCCCAATCGGTATGCTAACTCTCGGATCAGCTTCGATGTCGTCCAAAAAATCCCAAAAAAAAAACCGTCCAGCCTTGACCAGCCGATATAACAAGATTGACACCATGCGTAGCTTATAAAACCACCTGTAGGAGCGGTTTCTCACGATCACCAAACTCCCTCCCTTGCTATTACCGTCTCATGTATTGAACTGAATTCTTAATTGCTGTGTTTTCTAGGAAAGCTCCAGCTTCCTTAAAACTCTGGAAATTACGTCCCCACTTAAAAGTAGACCATAGAGCGCACAGCCCCTGATTTTCGACATTATGTCTATAGTATCGGCTAAAATCCCGCTAACCTGTGGTCATTTCCTTGAGGTCCTAACAGCCTCTAGTTACTACTTCTTGCATAGAGATAAATATAACTTATTTATTAATAAAAAAAGTTAATATTTAAGAAATGCTTTAATATTTTTAAAAATTTAAAATTAATAAAAATATATTTATTTACTTTAATATTAATAAAATAGGAAGTTTTAATATTTAATTTATTATTATTAATTATATAAAAGAATATAAATATATTATATATTAATAATAAGCTTAAATTAACTTTTATTATATTAATATAATATAATTTCAAAGAAGGGATTTCTTTTAAAAGATTTTATTTCTTTATTTAATTGCTCTCGGATCTGCAGTAGCATTGTTTCTCTCGAGTACATCTCTACTTTGTATGCGCATTAATCCCTTCGCTTTTAATGGAAACTGGGTAGCAGCAAAGATACCCGCGTATGAGCGAACAAGACACTTCCACTGATTTAAAGATGGAGTCATCCCAGGTTTCCTCGACTGTACGCGCGCTTGAAGAATTCCCGCCTACATCTGATCTGAAAAGCACTCGGAGAGCGTACCACACAGCGTTACAAGCGTTAATCCTTCCTCTGTAGTCGAATGCGTCCTTACGAGCCCATTCTCACTAGTCTGTGTTCTACAGGCCCATTTTCAGGCTTCGCTAAATTCAAGTCAATAGTTTTATGTCGCTTTTAATAGATAACCACTTATTGTTTTTCTTTTAAACTAAAGCGCATAATATAGAAGTAGTTAAATTTATTTCTTGACAATACTAGAATAAATTGAGTAATAGTTCAAAAAGTTGGGAATTCCCTTCAGTGGTCTTTAGCGAGGAAATTGCCCTGTACCGCACAGACTAGTGAGAATGGGCTCGTTACAATATGCCTACAGTCGGTCCGATCCAAAAGGGACAAAGCGGTCGCCTTCTTGTATCCATATTAACTTTTTAACCACAACCCCAATTAATTAATCCTAAGTAATTAAATTATATAAAAAAACCAGGCGAATAAAACCTATTAATCAGATTTTTAATGCAATCTGTGTTTAATTAGTAATCGAGGTTTAAAGTGCACGGACGTTTTTTACTTTTTGATTTTTGACTATATAAAACGCGAAAATATTTCATAAAAGTCACGTGTACCTAAGTAAATAGTAAATTAAACTTAGACTTATAAGGCCTTATAAGGCCCCTTAAACATTTATAACCTTAGTATATATAATAAGAGCTTAAATTTTAAAGAGTTATTATTAAAGAAAGTGTGACGGCAGGAACAGAGCAATGGAACGAGGCTCAAAGATCAATGATTTCCAATGTCTTAAGAATTTAAAGCTAAGGAGGACAGGAGTGAGGTGTGGCAGTGGATAAGTAGGTATGGCCAAGACCACTGAAACGCCGAGCTTTGGAAGCGAGCTTGGTTTGAACCATAGCTTGGAACCTTAGCTGAAACCAACCCCTTTGGCTGAAACCACGTCCGTATCAACCATGTGACACCAGCCGTCACAGAAAGTATAAAGTATAAAAAGTTTATGATTTTAAATATATATAGCCTTATATATTATATGAGGTATAATTTTTTACTTATATAAAACGCGAATTTTTTTATGCAAGCTCGTATAAAAATAATTATGTGCTTTACAATTACTGCAATATTAAAACTATTAAAAATCGGAAATCTGGGAATTAATTACTATAAGATATATAATAATTCCGATTAATACGATTTATATTAGTTAGTATTTTGGTAGACTTTTTTCATTTTGTCGCTTTTGGATCGAATTGACTATAAATGCGGGTATATGTAATATAATATGGATATGAAAGGAAGAGAGGTGTAATACGGATGACCAGAGCTTAAATACAGTAATTATGGTCACGTGGGGTTGAGTTACGTGGCCAGCCTGTAGTTACCATGTAATAGAGGCCAATTATATTTGCAGAAGCGGGTAAGGCTAGTGAAGAAGACGGAATAGAATGATACAAAAACTCCTTTTACTTCTTCCCTTGGCGTTTTATATTAAGCGACTATAGCTATCTTATCTAGTAATATCCAGAAAAGCGAAGAGATTCTTATTCGTAAATACTTGATACTAAAAACCATTGGATCGGAAATCGTATACTATCCTTACACTTTCTCAAGAATTATTATTGGGACCTAGTGAAATATCCTAGAGACAAGATATTATTAGAAGCGTCTCTACTAGTAGTAATAGGAGAGACTCGAAATGGTTACCTATTCAGGAATGGGCTATAAGTAGACCTGCTAAGAATTCGCGATTCTTGCATGAAGACGATATACTTCTACTCCGACTAAAAGGAGAGGAGGGTTTATCGTGGAATGAGATTTCAGAACGCTTTCCGGAGAGGAGCAAGGAGACATTGCAGGTATACTATAGTACCAAGTTAAAGCCTTGTTCGAAGACGTCCAAGAATCCAAAGAAGCGCCGGAGGTCGGGGTGAGTTGAAGGCTTCACGTTCCCGGAAGCGGGTGAGGCGGGCGAAGGATACCGAAGATGACGATGTGGTAGTCCCTTTCACTCACTCCCTTAGCGCATTATATCAAGCGGCTGCAATGCTCCGCGTGGGGAAGAGCCGAAGAGACGGCGTGGCCGACCTCGAAAGCATTTGTAAGGTTTCCAGGGACATTTGACAAAAACTGAAGATTATCATCAGCATTTTCTAGCTTTCGAATTTGGATAGAATGACCAATCCTGACTTGCAGCGAACGCGTTGTGATAATCCGCATTACCAGCAAATCGCTATGCCTTACTCCGGTAGCTCTAGTTGGCTATAAGGCCCTACATCCCTACCCCTCGCCATCCGCCGCAAACCTGAATTTAACCTCATTTTCCCTATTATATTAGCCTCTAATATTTACGCTCCTTCACCCTCTGCCCCAAAGAACTACGCCTCAAGATCTGGACCATTACCATACCATCTCCGCACTTGGTGCCTCTAAACTATCTCCCCTCTGTGGCCTCAATCTCCTTACTCTCCATATCTGTCACGAAATCTCGGGCCCCAGCTTTACAGTATTATAAACTCCCCTTCGACCTTGTAGGTGGCCCTCCCACTAAAAATCTAAGTCTGTAGCAGGTTTGGAACCACTAATAGCCTGATGATCATGACTACTAACCGGAGAACCACATTGTGGGCATTGAGAGGTTTTCATCGGCATACTACACTCTCTAATCGCAAACGGGTGGCCATTCTCACAACAATACCAATGCCCAGTACCTCTATAGTCATGTGCCATTCCCGCATACACAGCAGCCTTTTCCTCAATAGATATAAAAACAGTGTGCCCCTGCCAACCCCTGTAACATCCCTGTTTTGCTTGCGTAGCATTCCTAAAATATGGGTGTATACCCAAAGCGGTAATGACAGAAGGCCAACTCTGATTAGAATACATAAGTACCCTCTCTAGACAGACCCTAGAACGGGTGCTTATATAATTAATAAGGTTTTAATTCCCTTCTAGCCTCTTGCCCCCGAACTTAGTAACGAGCCTACGGACCAAACTCCCTGTTTTTAGCGAACACCACCCACGCTTCACCATTGCAATATATATAATCAGCATTTAATTAGGAGTTAACCACCCATGACGCTCCATAAGTACATGTCTCCAATGCTCCTGCTTTAAAACTAGCTCATTTATCCAATCTTGAGGTATGCGCTCCCACTCTTCTAAAACCATCGCTTCCATCTCAGCCTCGGTAGTGGGCTGGCGGCGCCGTCTGTGCAATGCCTGCTTAATCCTTCTCCAGCATTTCTCAATTGGGTTCATATCAGGGCTCGTATGTTCCCCCCCGTTCGTCAATACGAGCGATTGATCAATCGCCCCCTCCCATTGATCAATCGCCCTCCCGATTGATCAATCGTAGCGCCCGATTAATCAATAGGGGGGGGGGATTACGATTCGGGCTCCACAGTGGGTCCCGATTAATCAATCGATGTCCCGATTAATCAATCGCATAATATTGGGGTTTCGGGGCTAATAGGGCTAAGGGAGCTGAAAGCTTTTACTTACTAGTTTATACTAAATATATCCTCAATTCTATATTCTTCACTTCGCTTAAGCCTTACTCTTTATACTATAATATAGATTTCTAATATTTAATACAAAGTATATCCTTAAGTCTAATTTTCTTATTTCGCTTATATCTTACTTATTTATACTATATCTATAGTATTATATAGTTTATTTAATTTTTTTCTAGGTATTAAGGGAAGTAATAATAGGGGTAAAGACACTTCTCCAGAGCTTCTAGATATATATAGGGCCTTTACTCCCTTATTTTCTAGATATAGTTTATACTATAAGTACTATAAGTACTAATTTACTAAATATAACTACTGATTTTTATACCTCTCAATTAATTAATTACCTTACTTCTAATATATTTCTTTTAATCCTTCGTTTATCCCCAATCCCGTATATGCCTTATTAGTATATTTATAGGCAAGTAGAGTAATATTTTAATATTACTACTCTAGGAGCTTATTTGTCTGGTATCCAGTTTTTGCCTTCCCTAATTACTAAAGAGCCTACTAATAATTAGTCTACTAAAGACAAAGCTATATAGAATTAGAGGCTTACTAAAGGAGATAGTAGGAAAATTCTTACTACTAGGAAATATATAGATATTAAATAGTAGCTTTAAAATCCTAATACTCGGCTTCCTAGTAGAACTAAGGTAGAGAAGTATTACTAGGCTAATATTAAACACGAATTCTACTTATATAAGCTTTAGGATAATTAAGTATATTATAAGAAGTATTATAATACTTGCCGTAATAAGATCCTTTTAGCCCGGTATACTCTTTATTATAATAATACCTTTGAGATTTTAACTACTATTTATAAGAAATTAATATATATAGGTAAGTATTTCTTTAAAGCTACTAATTTTTATACTAATTATATAATAGCTTCTAATACTATATTTGAGTATATAAGACGACTTTGGTATAGCCTATTCCGTAATAATTACGCTTGGATAAGTGCCTATTATACTTATTATAATAAGAAAAAGGCTTAAAAGAATAATATAGGGGTAATATCTATTTAATCTTATTATTCTGGCTAGTATATAGTTCTGGATTTAATGGATTTCCGTATAAGTATTCCCTAAGTTATATAATTTACTTCTATTTTAGTCTTTTCTATATTTCCTATATTTCTTATATTTTTGAGCTTTTCTTATAATTTTCGTAATTTTCGCGAAAATTATAAAAATTGCGATTTTTATCTATACTACTTACTAATATTATTATAATATAATCCGGATAAAGAATATATATAGATCTAGTAATTAAAATGCTATTTTTCCAAGTTCGTTTGGATCTATAGGCTTAAGGCTAAGACTATAGACGAAGCTACGGATAAGCTTATTAAATGGCTAAATAATAATAGATATATTACTATTCTAGCCTGTAATAATAGGGGCGAGTTTAAGGGGAAAGTAATTGAGGTTTGCAAGAAGAAAGGAATAAAGATTATTTATAGACAAGCTTATTACCCCTAATCTCAGGGCTTTATTGAGATTACTAATCGAATCTTTAAGAAATGACTATAGGCTATATAAGCAAATACTAGTATCTAATCTTGGATATAATTACTTCCTTTAATTATATAAGTAATTAATACTATAGCTATATCTGCTCTTCCTAAAAGTAATACGTTATATGAGGTCTAGTTTGGACGAAAGCCACCTACTAATTTCCTGAATTATAAGAAAAGTACTTGCTATATATATATAGCCTTAGAAGAGAGGGAAATTAATATTAATGAGAGTAGTATTTCTGAATAATTATCTACTATTAAGGTTTAAGGAGAAGAAGAGAATAAAGAGGATAGCTTATTTGTTAATAAGGAAGCAGAATAGAAGGAAATAGTAGAGGAGATAATTTTATCTGAACTAACTAAGAGAATTACGGAGTATATAAAGAAATAGTAAGAGAAGATAGTAAAAAGAGCTAGTACTAAAGCTCTTAAATATAATATTCAGGAGATTATAACCCTATAGATCCCAAAGTAATATTGATTTAGTACAGAAATGGCTCGGATTCTAGTAAGAGTTCTGGAAAAGACTTTAAAGGTATATAACTTATAAGAATATATTTTTGGCTAAAGCTAATTAAAAACAGGGCTACTAGTTAACTACTAAGTATAGTAAGCTTATAACCCTCTGGCTATATAATACTCTTAATAAAGTTACTTTATAATTAACTTATCCTAATTTACCTATTACTGGTACGGCCTATAAGAAAGACAAAATTACCCTCCCTAAAGCAGTAGTAAAGGAGAATAATCGGGGTTCAATTTCGTTAGTTTAGAAGGCTAGAAAAATATTTAAGAAAGCAAAGAAGAGAGTAGCTATTAAGTAAGTATATAAGGATAGAGCTAGAGAAGGGGATTAGGTAAACAAGTGGGTGTAAGGGTACTAAAAAGGGCTAGGGTAGCTATAAAAGCACCTAGATAAAGTGGGAGGCATATATAATAAAGCTTAATTTGGGTGAAGTATACTAATATATACTACTTTTGCTATTTCCGAAACCTTAATATTACCCGATTAGGTAATCGGGGTCCCGATTAATTAATCGGGACCTATTATAGAGCCCGAATTGTAATCCCCCCTCTATTAATTAATCGGGCGCTATAATTAATTAATCGGGAAGGCAATTAATTAATCGCTTGTATTAATGAACGGGGGGTATTATGTAGACGGATAAGGCATTAATATAATACCGTACTATATACGCCAGCGAGTATAGTAATTGCGAGTAAACTTGTGCCCGTAAGCTGAGTTACTATCTTCTATAAATAAGGGCTTGGCAGAGAGGTAAAGAAGGTAAGTAATAGCCGTAAAAGCCTCTATAATACCCTCAATATACGGTACAAGTACTTGAGCTAGGTAATCCCTCTGGCAAAAGGCTCCCTTCTTACTAGAACCGTAAATAAAGAGTAGAGAACTCTTATAGCTATATCTAATTATATTTCATATATTAACTAGTATAGTATGCCCGTAATAAAACTAGTACTAGATATACGTCGGATATATACATTTATTCTTGTTTCTCGTTATCCTCTCCTTAACCGTCCTACCCCTAACTAAGAATGTAACCTTATTAGACCAGAGAACCTTTAGCCACTCCGTTATCCAGAATATATATGTAATTGCCCGGAGAAATTATACGAGAACCTGGTCCGCTATAGGATAGGGCTTCTGGCAAGCTATATACCGGAAATAACCTTGCTATTTGAGCCTTTTCTCAAGGGTTTTCGCAAAGCATTCAAGCCCAAGTTCGTCGTAAAGTAAGATATAGTTAAGGATTCGGTACTACCACATTTCGGACATATATTTAATAATCTCATCGACTTATTAATTAGTGAGAAGAGAGGGTCTCCCGGTATAAGTAATATATATATACTCGGGAGTATTATATTATAATATTTTCTTAATTATTAATTATACGAGCCCATATTATATTATAAGAACCTTAACTAGTACCTTAGTAAAGCTATAAAGCTGGCGTATTGCCTCCTTATATTTGGTAGGGATTTCGTTACCTGATTAATAAATAAAGTTAAGAGAGGGAATTATAGGAGGTATTAGGAATAAAGGTTAGTAGAGAAAATTAATTACAAAAAATACGAACTTTAGTTTATAGGCTTATAAACTATATTTTGTAATTTTATTATAAAATAAGGCTTTCTTTTTCGGCTATTTTTAGCCTCTAGTATATATACTAAAAGCAAGCAAAAAATATATTCCTTTCTTATTCTCTAATAATTACTTAAAAAGTATATCCTTAAGATATATATATAAAAATAACAGGCGAAAAAATCCGTCTATTTTAATTTGTTACTCAAGCAAGTATTTTTTCTAGCAAACTCTACTAAAACTTTCTTTCTCTACTAATATTAATTAATTAATCTAATTTAATTATACTATAGGCAAATATATTACTAATATTAATAAAGCCATTTTCTTAATTTACTTGCTTTATATTTACTAAGCTAAGGCTATATAGAGAGTAAATCTATCTAAATAAACTATTATAAATATTAAAAATATAGCTACTAAGATTTAAATTTAATATAACGAGAAAGAATTATCTCTATTTATAATTAGAAAGCAAGTAAAGTAAATTAGATAAAAGAAAGACTTTAGAAAGCCAGGAAAAGTTATAGATAAAAAGATAATTTAGCTAATAAAAGCTTATATATTAAATAAGAATTAAAAAAGAAAGCTTTAATATATTATAATAAAAGAAAAAAACCTTTTT